GTTCTGAATCTGTTGGGAATATTATTACTTTCTCTAATTATATGGTTCAATTCTATACATACATGTACATGCACCCATTTTCAAATAATCCTTGAAATATTCACAATTTTTTCAGCTGAAAGATATTTTTAATTTCATATTTTTCAAAATATAATTTTTGGTTTGAGCACAACTGAATAAACAATGACATGTACATGGTTTACTTTTTAACTACATGTAAAACACACTTTAAGACGAAAATGAATTATCATTAATAAGGGAATAAATGTGTGCTCCGGAGGTTTTTATCACTCGTTTAATACCGCTTAGAGTCTGGGTGCTGATAATTACCCGAGCCGGAGGCGAGGGTAATTATCAGCACCCAGACTCTAAGCGGTATTAAACGAGTGATAAATACCAACCGAGCACATATTTATTCCCATTCATAAATACCTTATCCGTAAAAAAATTTCAAATAATTCGTTCAAAAAATCCCGATTTTGTTCACAAGTTCACTTCATGCTTTTTGAAACATCCCTCTAGCAAAATAATGGAGTGTTCAGCTGGCGAGTAAGATGTAAACAACCCTTTTATGGAGATTGACGCGCGCGTAACATGTTCTGCGCGATGTCACGCAGAACGCACCTGGGGCGTTGCGTTTTGAATTTAGAACTATAAAATTCTGACTCGCTTGTAGTATTGCGCATGCCTACGTGAGTATTGTGAACGTTCAACCAATGAAACGGTAAGAGGCACTGGATTTTTAGGAGTCCACATTTTATTGTGACACTGGAAAAGTGTTTAAGACCAGCTAGCCATGTCTTTATCATCCGTTTAATACCGGCCACGTGACGGGCTCTCGACCAATAGGAATAGCTAAACTGTCTGAGGTATTTATGAATTAAGGATACTGCATGTAGCAATATGGCATATGTACATAACGTGTATCTTTAACATTTTTTTCATTCACATTTTTCTTGTTGCAAATGCCGTGAGAAATCAGGCCAGAATTATCGCATTGGTACGTGTAGTTGCCATGGCAATACCCTACATCGTTAGGGGCTTCTCCAGATTTCCGACCAATTAATTTCATCCATGCATACACTACACTCTTCATGTAGGACCCTAAGGCGAAAAAAAGAAGTATTTTATTTGTCTACACACTGCAATCCTTCATTACTTTCGGAGTGTGTTTTGATTTGAATTGACAATTTTGTATGCCATAAAAATGAAGCAAAAAAAGTAAACAGTGTAGATTTTTAATGGAACACGAAGTAAAAGGCAAGGACTAATCATAATCTGACTGAAATCTCCAAACCCTACATTTCAAAGGAATATCGAGACGATTGGGGGGTTCGTCGTACAGCCCAACTGCGGTCAACTAAGTAAGGCCTGGTAAAAAAACAATGTTTTTTTGTCCCCGCCTGCTTGTTTTTCCTGCCCCTTCCTTTTTAAATTTTTTTTATTCATACATTTGCAATATATTTTGCAAACATTTTGTCAATATGTAATACTGCCTTTTTTATTTACTTCCGACAAAATTGTGGCTAGCGGTATGAAGAAAAGGTTAGGGCTCCTTTAGACACAATTACATATCAGCCAAAGAGTCGAGAAAATGGAAAAATCCATCCGCAATAATGGAACATCCACCATCTTGGGGAAGAAAAAAAGGGGAAAACAGGGGGGGGGGGGGGAAACACCCACCTCCTTTATTTTTCCCAAAACCCGGATGAGAAACTGTTTCATTTTTTTACTCAACCTAAATCTCAATGAAATGGAAGCATGTAAAATATTTCTAATTTCATGTTATGGTGATATGGTGGACAGAAAAGCATAATTCTACACACATATTCTGTGCTGTGCATATTATGGTGAATTTATAATTATATAATTAATGTGATATATAAAGTTAAAGAAAACTAAATACACATGCAAACAAACAATAACCATCCCCTTCCCCCAAAGAAAGAAAAAAATTAGGTCACTGCTTAAAAAGGTTTCTAACGCACTTATGTAATTTGTTTTTGCTCACTTTGTGAGGAATATTTTCCAGACAAAATCTAGAAAGCAAATAGCTCAAGGAACTGTTTCCCTGCGATCTTGATGATTATCGACTATTTTTGGCATCTCCTGAAAAAAGCAATCCTAAAACACCCGAGGAATGAAAACGAAGACACCAAAGGTTTCTCACACACTTATGTAATTTGTTTTGCTCACTTTTTTTTGTCAAGGAATACTTTTCAGACTAAATCAAGAAAGAAAAAAAAAACAGCTGAAAATAATGTTTCCCCTGCGATCTTGATCATTATCGGTTATTTTTGGCATCTCCTGAAAAAGCAATCCACAAGAAAAAAAAATTGAGAGAGAAAACACTTTCCAGATTTCAAATGAAGATACCGCAAGCGCGGATCCCAAAGGGAGTGCAGGACCTGCGTGTCGGCTTGGATTCGATGGGGTAGTTTATGACGTCAAACTGGTCCCCGGAGAGGCAGACATGACTCAGGTTAAATCGATACCGATGCTTGTGCCAGGCCTGTAGATTTAATCAGGCTGGTTCATTTCTTGATGCTTACTGTAGCCACATTTTGTTTTTGCTGCCGGTGCATGAGGATTTGTAGCTGAGGATTTGTAGCAAATATGTGACGCACTTCACATACAGAAAAATAATAAATAAACAACTCTTTACCAACATGACAGAAACGTCAGCAAAAAAATGACAAATCATCATCTGAAAAAAATAATTCAGATTTTACCACATGCAGGCATATTACAACTGGGAATTTAGAAAAAAAACGAGGAAACTCCAAACCACACAAGACTTTGTACAGTATTTTTCAATTTGTAATGGCATTCATGAGAAGTAAAAAAAAACCGAAGAAATCAGCGGATCTGAGGAAAAGTTGCATGCCTGCACATATGGAAAACATGAGGGCCTAGGAATTTACATTAATGTCTTTATTCAAAATGTTAAAGAGACTTTTGTCATTTTTTTCCCAACAGAATTTTGCAACAGTGCTTGGCATTTTTTTTTTAATAGAAGTTGAATAATTGACCTTTCTCTTTTATGGGAAGATCACTATAAATATAATCTGCAACTGTTGTATGACGTATGTACACTGTTGTATGACATCTGTCCTTTGTTGCTCTTCGGTCGAAAAAAAAAAGCGGAAAGAATGTTTATAATGGCTGATGCCACTTAGAATCCTGTACAAAGTCCATGGAGAGTCAAGAACAATTTCAAAGTATTAATTCTAACAAAATTGGAAATGTTTCTCAGTCCCAGATTCATGTCTTTTCAACTTAATTCTGCAATAATTTAACTGACCTTTACTGAGATTATATATGAAGGAAAAAGTGGTGTCAGGTTGCGACATTCGTTCCAAAAAAGCTTCAGTTGTAACAACAGAAGCTTGTTTGGAAAGAATGTTTCAAGTCAGTCTGAAGAAAAAAATTGCTTTTCTTCAACTTTTCTTATTTTTCCGTTGGGTTGAACATTATTCTCAAAATTGTTTTATGTCCATTAAAATTTGTTCAGCTTCATTGCAACAATCCTGTTAAGATCATAAATACAGGAAGTATATAGTTTAAATAAAATTCATGCCCAACGTAGGAGAAAATCTGCAATAAGAATAAAAATGACATTTACAAAAAAAAGTTCCACCGTACTTTGTGTTATCATGACCAATTTGGTACCCTGTCTTGACTTCTGTATTAAATCTTGCACTTTCGCATCCATACATTTCCTGTACTGCACTGTAATTCTCCGAAGAAGTTGATTAAATCCACTTTCAAGACGATACCTGTACATACACACTGTGACAAATTGAAAGTCATTTGATACATGATGTGCGCTGTATACATGTACATGTGTAACTAATAACATGCATTGCATTGAATTCGCCAAGTCAACCAGAACTCATTACTCTAAGTTGAGACTTGAGACACGATGCCGATTAAATTTCCAAATCGACAAAAGAAAAGCTCAACTCTTGCAGGGTTATTACTGAAACCAGACCTTCTTTCTCTTCCAAATTCAGGACACGGATTTGGTTCATGTCATGTAAACAATATGCCTTGGTGAGTTTATCTTTTGTGGGTTGAAGAATTGTTTTCCATGGAAACGTAAACTGCCTCTGACCCAGGGTCACCCAGGGTGGAAAAAGAGATGGGAAGGGGGGGGGGGGGTTGAATTGGCCAAAAGGAGAAGGGGTAACAGAATCCATTTAAAAAAAAAAAAAATTCTTCAAAAGCCACATTTATGTTTGTGTATATAACCAAATACAACTACACAAGATTTAAATAACTTTCCCAACGTACAAAGTTGACGAAAGTTAAGCCTGAGACCTCATGCAGAAAGACCTGAAAAAAAAGCACACCTGGCCGTCTAACAAAGTAATGAGATTTCCCAAACTCAAACACAAGAATAAAACCCAATCACTCAATACACCTTCATCAAACAGTGAATATCTGTTGGATTTTGGTGACTATTACTATGAACAAGAGACAGTGGCAGAACTTGAAGTTTTTAATATGCATAGAGCAAGGAACGTATTTGTATGAAACTTGGTAATAGAATTACATGTACAGTAGGACTAATTGGTCACGTTGGTAATGAGATGCGTTATTCCTGAAACAAAAAATCCATTTCCATTAAACGTTTGCAATCCACATTTCTGTAGAAAAAAAGCTCTCCACTAAAATATTATTGAACTTTATACATGTTATAGTTTTAAGAAAGATTGCATTTTTTTTAAAGTAGTTTTTGCTATGTAAACTTTCTAAAATGACAAGAAATATGTCAGTTTTACACAATCAAACTTGCTTCCCTTTCTTGTGTGAGAAAAACATATTTCTCCTTAGCTAAACATCATTCACAATCAGATAATCTAACATTAATGAAGGCATTGACCTTCTCACAAGTACAATCGCTGTGTTATTATTATAAATGAAACTTGTCTTGAAATCTTGCAATTATTAAAAATTGATGTCTTTAGTTTTATTAAAAAAACACTCATACTCACCAACTGCAGGAGCATCATAGGAATCTCCGAGAAGGATCTCTGGTGCCGAATACGCTAAGCTTCCACATGACGTCTCCAGCTTCTCACCGGGCATGTACAGATTACTAAAACCAAAATCCGTCAACTTTACAACGCCCTGTTTCTTGAAAAATATGACGTTCTCTGGCTTCAAGTCGCGGTGAACAACATGCAACTTGTGGCAGTAAGAGATTGCACTGACTATCTGAGAGAAGTAATTACGTGCTAGGTCCTGACTTAGGCCATTTTCATGCTGCATTATGTAATCATACATGTCCCCTCCATCCCCAAGTTCAAGAATGAGATAGAGTTTTGTTTGGGTATCAATGACTTCGTAGAGGCGCACCACGTTCGGATGTTGGACTAATTTCATGCACCGGACCTCCTGGAAGAGATGGGCCCGGGAGACGTCATCCAGTTTGTTCTTATCGATGACTTTGACGGCGACTTTTTGGCCGGTGAAGACATGCCGGGCCAGTTTAACGATGGCGAAGTGACCCCGTCCCAGCGTCTCTTCCAGATCGTACATGCCGGCGATTTTCCCATCGTAACCGGACTTGTACGCCGCCGCTGCTCCGCTCATGGTGGAAGCCGTAAAATTGGGAGTCTGCTGTTCCAGAAGATTACATCGTTAGAAGGGTCCGATGATGTAAGATTTGGGCGAATTTGTTGACAAGAAGCTTACCGGTTCCTTCAGTTTTCACCCGACTTGACAAACGAAATTCTCGTTACATCGCACCTGCATAATGTCATGTACATGTTTATTACGTCCAACTGCGCAGCAACATTGAGCATGTCAAGTGCCGGCCTACCGAACCCATTTAGGAAACCCCAGCTGATTGGACAGTAACATCCCGTATTAAACCAAGGGAATTACGGAGGAGCACCAATCAATGACAGGCTTTTGTCTCTTAAATAGCAGTTAGTTAAGAGCGCTAAGAAGGTTGTCGATGAGGGCACTGTTTACATTTAGGATTAAATTCCAGGGATATTCAGAGTAAAAATAGATTCTTCGAATCTGCTGCAATATATAGGGAAATATAACTATTCCATTTTTGAAAGAGGCAAGAGTTGGTAGTCGAGGAGAGGGAATTAGCACTATTCCTGTTTTCAAACTTAGTTTAATCTATATTTTGAAGTTGAACCAAAAAAGAAAAATTACTAGAGCAGGGTTTGAGCCTGACCACCAGATTACCGTTCTGGTGCTCTTCCGACCGAGCTGTCCAGCCCCATGTTGGTTGTTCACATTTTGTCAATGTTTTTGTTCAAGGGCCACAAGAAGCTAGAAACCTTATATGCCATGTAGCCAGGGATTAACACACCCAATCACGATGCTAGCAACATTAGCAAGGCTGTAGCTAACCTGGGAAACACTTGAATTTATCGAGGTTCATGGGGGGCAACCGTATATCACATCGCTTTTACGGCTTAACAACGCTTATGTTCTAAAAAAACAAACATACAAGAGTCTTTCAAATGACAAACACCAACAAATATCAATTTTAAACATTTTTATTTACTTTAATTCCGTGATCTTTACTGTGGTATTATTTACAAGAAGTTATATGTAGCACGAGTAAAAATGATGGACAATAGCGAAAACCAAAGAAAAACATGATTTCAGCTGTATCCTTCATTTTAACCTTCAACAAAAGAGGATTTTTACAAATTTGGGGAAAGTAAACACAGTTTATCACAAGGACCTACTGAAAATGATTGATAACCTGGTGCTTGGTGCCTGACATGCAATTATGGCAATCTTCGGTCAGTGAGTTTTCTAATGGTCTTAATGTTTGTACAACAAAAACTGAGAGTCTATGCTAGAAATTAACAAATGTATTTACAAATAGAGAGACAAAAGTTTCTATTGCAACTAGAATATGTACAGTGAATTGTGTAAAAATTGGGACAACAGATCACCTGCTCCGTAAGATAATTTCTCCCTCAGAGGCCACATGTGGCTTAATTCATATGATTTACTGTTCAACAATTAACCACATTTTGAGAAATCTGCCAACATTTTCTTTTGAATTAAACAGCTGAATGAAACTCCCGGACTAATGGACATGTGACAGAATTCTTGCCAATTTTTCAAAGACACGAGCATATTTTTCCCATCTGAAAATTGAAACCCTTTTTTTTCTTTCTTAATTTGAGGTGCTGGATTCACCAAAGAAATTAACCCCGACTTCTTAAGCATTTTTGGTAGGACCTTCCTCCAAAATTCCACCACCTTGCGATATTCCAAAAGGCACAGCTCAATGTTCCAACTTTCAAGGGTCAAAAAGCTCCTTAATTCTCCAAAATCCTCCCAAAGCCTCCTTCTTAAAGGGTCCAACAATAGGGTTAGATCTGAAGGCCTTTTAAAACCAAGAAGCAATAGTCTTCTTCAGTCATTGAGAAAGATGGTCACGACAAACTTCTAGAATGCGAATCTGGTCCTGATGTCTTCCAACTTCTTGGAGACCTAAAAAATGAAACAAGATAACAAGAAAATTACACCATCAATGTTTGACACTGTTTAAGTGCAGCCTGCTCAGGATACAGATGCTGGTTTTTATGTTATCACTAGAACATTTAAAAAAGAGAAAGGCTAACCACTGTTAGGTGCCACATCAACAATGGAATACAGTTGTTGGTACATAGACCTTGTGCAGAGCGGCCATTTTAGAGGGCATCTTTTGTTGTTTTAATTCAGTAACAATGACTGCACAAATGTTCACTCATGCATATCCTATCAAAACAAAGGCATTGCCCTCTGAGATGGCTGCTACGCATAAGGTCTATATGTATGCCGCCATGCCCAACATTATCAATAAATGGATAGTCGTGGTCCAACCAACCTCGCTAGGGTTTCTGTCCAGTTCGTCGGCCACACTACGCTGCTTGCTGGCATCCATGGAGTTGAACTGCTCGCACAGATCCCCATCAATCACATTCTGAAAACATAAACAAAATTCACATCCTTCATGGACCGTTCTGGATTTTGCCACATTTTTAGCAGAGCTTGTGACTGAGTTTATGATAGTTACTTAGGTCGTGATCTAGTTGGTCAACGTGCACTTTTGGATCGATAGGTAGGATGGGTCTATTCCTAGACTGGACATTTTCGGTAACTCTCAAGGTATTGCTTAAAGCTATAGTCCATCATTTGCAGCCATCCGAAAAAGTAACTGGCGTGTTATTGTTGAAAAACATACTTGGTTGAAAGATAGTAAGTGGACTAATCTCCCTGTGAAGTTAATCTTTCTGGCAAGCTATCATTTTGAAGTAATCAACGAAAGAAGGCCTTTCCAACGGTGCGTCTTAAGACGCACCGTAGGAAAATTTAAATTAGTAGTTCGTTTTGTTATTCGGCGCAGCGCGCGCAAGCATTGGCACGACGCACAGGCGCGCGCGGTTTCTATAATTCGTCGGATCAGTGCGCGACATCGCGTATAGCTGCAATTCAAAACAATTCAAAACATGATTCAGCAACTTTTGATTTGAAATTGAGATCCTAGAATGCGGTTTTTCTCGGAATATACAGCTGAAGCTGAGCTGAAACTTCATCAGGTTAGTTGTTCAGTATCCTTCATTAGATTTTGAACACTTGTGTTGCTTCAAACGAACAAAATGCACAAATTACAAATGATGGACTATATCTTTAACAGTCTGCAGAAAAGAATGCAGTAAAAATTTGACTGTTTATTCATTCAGTAGACTTTTATAACACTTTAGTGGTGTGTATTTACTGGTAGTACGGGAACCGGGTAGCCTATTGAAGTAAAACACGAGTACCCGGGTATCCGTAAAAGAAACCCAACCCCCAAAATTCACATCCCGGAAGTTGTCTAAAGAGCTTTATAGCCGCAACTGTCACCAACGTCATCTGTCGTGAGTTAAAATGCACTCAAACGTGTAATCTGTTTTGGTTTTTCAATGTATCCCAGTTTTCATTTTGAAAATTCCCAACAAACGGCATTCAAAACCTTTCTTTCTCATTGTCAGAGAAGCTACTAAGTAATTTGTAAAGTTGGTTACGGGTATCCAATTCTAGAATCTTGACGGCCCTACACTCTGCTGTGCTTTACTGTTTATGGTGCAAGTGAAATAGACGAAAGCTCTGTAAGCAAAACAAAATTTCTGCTTATGAATCTCTTGGGGTCGATTAAAACTATGAAACAACATGAGCATTACGAAGCAACACGAAGAGAAAAGTTTGATCGACGAGTCTCACCTTGATGGGGAAGAAGTAGGACCTGTAGGAGATGTGATCCCGACCACAGAGAGGCGGGAACTCTGAACGCATGTGCATCTCAAGATGTTGAAAGAAGTCATGATCCTACATCAATGAAAAATGCAATGTCGCAAAAATAATCTTTTGTTCACAATCACAGGTGTGTGGTTTTCGGAAAACTCACAAGTCGTGGCAAAATCAAAGCATATTCCTGTTCAATACAGTTCAATTTCATGTGAGACTGAAGCAAATTTTATGGGGTCAACAAATTTTAATTTATTGTGACATTCGTACGTATACTTATGATTTCACTTTGATCTCAAATCTCTAAGCCAAGTTTTGGGTCAACTTTTAGGCCAGGTCCGAATTACTTGGCTATGGCAGCCCTCACAGTGCCCCTTTTCATAGGTTTTTAAATAGAGTTTGAAAATAGGAAAAAAAAAGGGTTTTTAAAGGCTTTCTAAGTGCCAAAATATAGGCATTTATAGGGTCTTAGGGTGCCAAACTGTGCAATTTTTCAGGATGAGGTAGCAGAAATACAGTGAATAGCCACCTCAAGTTCTCCACTCTAAATAAAGTTTATGTAAAACCATTCTGAAACACTGGCGAAAAAAATATTAGAGAGGTATATTTACAATGTGGTCATTTAGCATTAATAACTAAACTGTGGGTCAATTTGATTTACAAAATTCTCATAAAAAATTGTTAAAATGTATGGCAGAATAAAAATAAAGGTTTTTATAGGATATAACAGATTACTTTAAAAATAAAATAGGCTCCCAAGTTGAAATATTTTAGGTTGCATAGGTTTTAAAGGTTTCGCTGTGAGGCCTGCTATGGCCACCAGTACCACAAATGTCTATGGGAAGTGCCTTCAGCCACATTTATAGTGCGCAGCGTCTGTAGCCACTTCTCATAGACTCGTGTGTAATTTCAAGCCGTAGCCAAGTAATTCGGACACAGCCATAGCCACATGTGTAATTGAAAGCCATAGCCACATGTGTCATTGCAAGCCATAGCCACATTGCAAGCCATAGCCACATGTGTAATTGCAAGCCATAGCCACATTGCAAGCCATAGCCACATGTGTAATTGCAAGCCATAGCCACATTGCTAGCCATAGCCACATGTGTAATTGCAAGCCATAGCCACATTGCAAGCCATAGCCACATGTGTAATTGCAAGCCATAGCCACATTGCAAGCCACAGCCACATGTGTCATTGCAAGCCATAGCCACATTGCTAGCCATAGCCACATGTGTCATTGCAAGCCATAGCCACATTGCAAGCCATAGCCACATGTGTAATTGAAAGCCATAGCCACATGTGTCATTGAAAGCCATAGCCACATTGCAAGCCATAGCCACGTGTCATTGCAAGCCATAGCCACATTGCTAGCCATAGCCACATGTGTAATTGCAAGCCATAGCCACATTGCTAGCCATAGCCACATGTGTAATTGCAAGCCATAGCCACATTGCAAGCCATAGCCACATGTGTAATTGCAAGCCATAGCCACATTGCAAGCCATAGCCACATGTGTAATTGAAAGCCATAGCCACATGTGTCATTGAAAGCCATAGCCACATTGCAAGCCATAGCCACATGTGTCATTGCAAGCCATAGCCACATTGCTAGCCATAGCCACATGTGTAATTGCAAGCCATAGCCAAGTAATTCGGACACAGCCATAGCCACATGTGTAATTGAAAGCCATAGCCACATGTGTCATTGCAAGCCATAGCCACATTGCAAGCCATAGCCACATGTGTAATTGCAAGCTATAGCCACATTGCAAGCCATAGCCACATGTGTCATTGCAAGCCATAGCCACATGTGTAATTGCAAGCCATAGCCACATTGCTAGCCATAGCCACATGTGTAATTGCAAGCCATAGCCACATTGCAAGCCATAGCCACATGTGTAATTGCAAGCCATAGCCACATTGCAAGCCACAGCCACATGTGTCATTGCAAGCCATAGCCACATTGCTAGCCATAGCCACATGTGTCATTGCAAGCCATAGCCACATTGCAAGCCATAGCCACATGTGTAATTGAAAGCCATAGCCACATGTGTCATTGAAAGCCATAGCCACATTGCAAGCCATAGCCACATGTGTCATTGCAAGCCATAGCCACATTGCTAGCCATAGCCACATGTGTAATTGCAAGCCATAGCCACATTGCAAGCCATAGCCACATGTGTAATTGCAAGCCATAGCCACATTGCAAGCCATAGCCACATGTGTCATTGCAAGCCATAGCCACATGTGTCATTGCAAGCCATAGCCATAGCCTCAATTCCCTGAACATTATCTGACCTCGTGCGATGTGAAGGGTACCAGTATCCCGACGGCCCCCGACAGCGTGGTGTAGACCAGCGAATCGGAACCTCCGGGGATGAGCGTAGCCTTCTGCAGGGAGAGGATTGTATCGCCAACGTGGAAATTGATGATGATCTCGGATTTCTGGGAGGCGCCGCTGAGGAGACCCCGGTCCCAGAGGGCTTTGACTCCCGTCGGGTCCTCATCGACTTCATCGTTGGTGCCTGGCGTCAGTCGTATCTGTTAAAAAAGGGGGGGGTTGGGTTTCAGATTATGAAAGAATGAATTTTTACCATATGAACGTTTACTTCTTTCGCCAACCACAGATTTGTGAACTAATGGATTGCCACCACTGCAAACAAGAGGGTAATTATCAAAATTTCCGAAAAATACTGTCCAACAATTCCAAACTCTGAATGTTATAAGATGTCGCTATAAGCCAAATGAAGATTTTTTTTCCTCCAAAATCTGCTCATTGAAAACATTTGTGAGAAAACTCTGTGCATTGGTTTACTGTCACCAAAGAAAAAGACATTTACGACAGAAAAATATCAAACATTTTGGCAAATGTTGGTGCTGAAATAGCTTTAACATTGAGGTTTCTGCCTGAAATGACATCACACTTTTGCTCATGAATATGGAAACTTGCATTAGCATAAAAACCAAAAAGGAACCAAAATGTCCTTAAAAATGGCAAAATGAAAATTGAAATTAAGGTTGAATGGGACAAAAAGGTGCATTTTCAAGGATTGCATTCAAAAAAGTACATTTCAAGGGCCCTTTAAACTCCTGGGTAGAGAGAGGCAAGTAGGGGTTAAGTGGCTTGCCCAAGGACACAACATATGGCCAGCAGCTGGGTTTGAACCCCTAGACCATGTATTCATTATAGTCGAATAAAAATAAACACCCCAAAGATGGCTGCTGAATTGCAAGGTGTCTATACATCATGATGCATGAAATCTTTCTTACAATGCTGACGTTTCCAAACTTGTCCGCGATGGCCATGGTGTCGTGGTCCAGACACGCGGTGGCCGTCAACCAACGCGGGTGGGTGTCGTCGGCGAAGATGACCATCTGGTTCTCCTGACGCTTGTAGCGGATGAAGTGGATGCTCTCCTGGACATCGCTGACGATGATGCGCTGGCCCGAGGTCTGGATGTTGATGATGAAGTTGGGAATATGCTGATGGAGAGGGGGAAAAAAACGACAAAAATAAGACATCTGAACCGGTAATTCCATAATGCAATATTGGGTTCAACCTTCGTCAATGTAATTCTGCAAGTACTTTATACTCAGCGCAGTCCAAGGGCTTACAAGAGACACTTTACAAGCTAAAGGCGGGTGCAGGTAAGCAGAATATCCAGAGTTAAAATCCCATCCGAGTGAAGTTTTGATTTTCTTATCATGCTACAAATTCACGGTTCTAATTGGCAAATCCAGATATAAAATGTAGATCTCGCTTAACCAAGAAAGTTAACTTTTCCTAACAAATGTTTCAATCGCAAGCAGGGAGGAGACTGTCAATTTAAAAAAAAAAAAAAATCTGAAAATTGGATGAAACGTCTGAAAGATAGATGCATTTTTTTCTACACTGAAAATATCTTTGTCTCGGATTCAAAAAGTCTGATTTCAGACTAATGTTTGAAAAATATCAACTTGTAAAAATGAAAACCATTTTTTCTTGCAAACACACAAATTTCCATACGACACAACATGTACGTGTAGATTTACATTGTTGACATGCTTACTTTGTTCTCACACTTGCGAAGCATCTTCTTCTTGCCCAGGTCGTAGATTCGGAGCAATCTTCCCACACCCACCAAGACACGCCCCTGGAACGGGCAAATTGCTGACGGAACATCGTCCACTGGGGTCTAGGACAACACGAAGTAACAAGGAATGACAGGAAGAAAGTGTAATACAATTCTATGTTGATACAGAATCTTTTATTTGGGGTTAAAAAAATTATAAATAACGAAAAATACTGATGCATCACATACAACATTTCTGACATGAAAAACAGCTTTCACTATGTGGTTTTACTCCAAGACACAATTTTATTTCTAGCATTTCTTCTCAGCTTGATAAAAACGAAGCTAGGTTTATCCAGCATCAATTTTACCATTTTAATCGACTTTTTCAAAATTCTTTTCTGACATTTTTCTTTAAGGATTTTATTTCCTTTATTAAATTGAGGCATTGTCCATTTTAATCAGTCAGAGTAAGGCTTTTCGAAGGGCAAGTTGTTTTGTAAGGACGGTCAAAAATTCCCAAATTCAATGATACAAAATTTCCTTGAAAGATTAAGTAACACCAGTCAAATCATGAATAAATATAAACCACAACATCACTAATCTTCAAACGCTATCAGGGCCATCAACTACCTTGTGGAGCAGTTCCAGTTTCTTGCCATCGTCCACCAGCTGGTAGGTGTGTATGAAGCCCCCGGAGCAGGTCCGTGGGCTCAGTGTCACGTCCTTGGCTGTGCCGACCAATACGAAGGTGTCGTCACCACGGTTGGAAAACTTGCATACGCACAGGCTGCAGAAACACAGAACACGATGGCATGATCAAAATGTTTTGAGAACAAGATGGTCGGTATTTTTGTTGACTTCTATCATTTTTGTTTATGTTCTTTTACCAAAAACTTCTAGACAATTTCTTTTTTTGGGGAGGGGGAGGACACTTCTGAGGATCTGATTTTTAATACTGTGTACTGCTTCTACAAAAGTGACACAGCACCCCCTGAACGAAGGCATTGACACTTGGGAGATTGTCAACTTTGGAGAACAGCCAACGTAGGGCTGGATAGCTCAGATGGGAGAGCACCAATATGGTCTTCTGCATGCACCAGTTGGAATAAAATTTCAGTAAATTTATTTTGTTCAACTGAAAATTGACCTGATTTTTTAGAAACATCTTGACATTTTTTTAAAAAATGCAAGAGAATTATCACTTTACCTTTAAAAATGCATGTCAACTGTTTATTTTGAAGTGGAAAAAAATGGAGTTTCAGTCAAAATTTGCCCGATTTTCATTGATACTGTGGTGAATTCTCAAAGACATTGACAATAAATGGGGAACCACCAACATAAGGCTGGATAGCTCAGTTGGTAGAGCACTGGAACGGCAATCCGGAGGTCGCAGGTTCAAACCCTGCCAAGTCGATTTCTTTGTTCACCTTTAAAATAAAAAATGTATGCTGATGAATGCAACTTATCCCATAAAAATATAACCACTGACCTGAATGCGGCCTCGTTTTGTTCCAGAGCTACGGAGTCAAGCGTTGTCCCACTGACAGGGTTGAGTAGCCTGATGAGAGAGGCCCACATGCCTGGCCCGGCCTTAGGGGCACCAAACAAGCTCTCAGGGAGGTCCTCTTGTAGGAAGGCTTCGGCCATCTCGGCGGCCAATTCTCTCTCCTCGTCACCGGCCGCTTCCACCATTTCCTGGTGGTGTGAGAGGATAAAGAGGCTTGGATTCAATCATCAAAAATCTAGATTCAAATCCCTCATCGAGAAAATTAGGCTGCATATGAATCTATTTCTCTATGGACACAAAGCTATGATTTACAAGACATCAAACATGTTCTCAAGCCTAGTCGGGGCTGAAGAGTTGGAAGATTTGAACAGTACTGGAAACCAGCTGATGAAATTTAAGGTCGTAGATTCTAAATAGCATTCTTTGAAGGCTCATTTTTTTTTAATAAACATTTTCCTGACATTGACCCTTATGCTGAATAAGTCCCTTTAATTGATAACCTGATTTCAATCTGATGTAGAACCACATTTTACTGTTGAACTATTTTTTCCTCATTTTTTGTACGTAATGCAGCCAGGAAACCAACACTGCACAAAAACAGGTATTAAGCCCGGTTCGAAAGCCCGCAAAAGCGACCGCGAATTTGTGACGTCGTGTCAAGTATTCGCGCTGCGAATTCGTAAAAGCTGAGCACATTTCAACTCGGGCGAATTTTGCAGCGACGTTTTATGACGTCAAATTCGCTTCGCATCTGCGTGGATAATGAACCGGGCTTAACACTGATATACCAGATCTGTTTTGTACTTTCAGCTAATTCAAAAAAAGTGTTTGCCTGTTTACATAGTAAGAGCTTAAGAAATGACAAAGACTAAAACTTCAGACTCCCTCACATATCCCCACCAAAAACTTAAGACAATATAATTTGATTTTGATAAGGTGACAGCCATTGTCCCATGAGGGTTCAGCACAATGTGACACATAGTTTTGCCACACCACCAAGTGATGAATTATCTATGGACTTCGTACACACAAAAATCCAAGTATCCACGAAACGTCACTTCGTGGTGCGACCGACTATTCCAATATTCCATACCTCGGCCATCTGCTGTTTGCGCATAGCCTTGGTGGTTTCCGTGTAGGCGTTGTGGTCCGACTCGATGATCACGATGTTGTTGCTCTCCGGGTGGATGGCAAACTTGCGCGGCGTGTAGGTCAGCGGGTTGGAGACCTGGTTGAAGACGGCGCCCAGCTTCTCCAACGCCAAGATTCTAAAAAGTAAAAAAAATCACAGGAGTCTAATTTAACACTGGGTTTTTGCCCATCACTGACATCTACAAAACTACTTTATACTCGGGGCTTTTTGAGGAATTTCATGGGCGACTGAGATTAGGGCACAGCCAAAAATCCAAGAAATAATTGGCAGAGGGTTGCGAGTCACTGATGGTCCCGAAGCAACGTAGCGTCTTATATGTTTGTATTTGATTAACCCTCGGAGTCGAGTGACCAAAAAAATCACACAGTGAAACCACATGGAGAATTTTATCACCACACCTTTTCTAGGTCAATAACCCCCTCATGCACAAGATATAGGCAGGTCACATGGCCTTTGTGTGGGCCAGGATTGTTTCGACCTGTCTGAGCTCTGGGCGGCACGAGGGGTTGACACACAGAGATCGGCCGGCACAAAGGGGTTGGCCACTAAGATATGCAATTACTGCACAAACGTATTAGGCGCCTCTTGGGGCTGCTGTCTTTCAACACTCCTTACTCTGCAGTGGTTAGGGTCTGGCCAATGGGAGTCTACAGGCTTGTGGTGTATATTAGGGGTGAGGATTACATGGAATCTTGGCCTTATTGGCCCATTGAAAAAAAAGGTTATTACCATATTTGGAAAATGTGGAGAATTTTATCACCACGTGGCCACACCGAGGGTTAAAGGCACCCCTTATAATAAACAATTCTTTTGTTCGTTTATAAACTATTATAAGTAAAAACACCTTTGAGGTAAAACCTCCACATTTCATAAGGGAATCTTTAAAAATCCTGAATCTGGAAAAATCCTGACAAAAAATCCTGAAATCAGGAAAAAATCCTGAAATCAGGAAAAAATCCTGAAATCGGAAAAGATCCTGACAAATCTCAACCCTGAACATTTGAGAAAAAAGATTTACAAGTCTGCTTGGGTGGGACTGGAACCCACGACCTCCTGCCTTAGACAGGTGTCTTAACCACTCAACTATCAAGCCATGGGCATCACCAGGATTTTTTCTAGAGGGGGGCAAAACATATTTTTCCCAAAAAATTCTTGTATTTCTCTCGATGTATCAGTTTTAGAGGGGGGCAGGGACATTTTACCCCCCAACTCATTACATTTACACCACTATGACTTCGCAACTCTTTTTCTTTTATTTTTTTCTCTTTTTTTCTTCTCTTTTTTTTGGGGGGGGGGGGGTGCTTTTCCGGGGGGGGGGGGCAAGCGCCCCCTTGCCCCACCCCCCTCGCGACGCCCATGTATCAAGCTTGCCGAGGTCATCTCTGATATAGAAACAGAAACAACTAATAATAACTCCTTAAAATTTTGAGAAAAACTAAGAAATTGTTTTATACTGTTGATTTTGAAATTAGTAGTCCCTGAACAAAAACTAATGGCTAATTGGGAGATGCCAACACAGACTTGACAGCTCAGTTGGTAGACAGCTTGCACAGCATTTCAGAGGTCGCAGGTTCAAACCCTGCTCAAGTCAAATTCTTTGTTCAACCTGACGCTGATATTAAAGCATTTCGTGATTTCATTAAATCCACAATTTTTAAAGACTTACACGTTCCATAATTGGTGATACCAAGAGAAAGAAATAAACACATTTTGGGGCAAATTTTATTTTGTTCGGACACAGAGTTGACACTGGAGTTGATTGTGTATTACTGGATTTGGGTTATTTCAACTGAAAGTTCCGGCGACTGTCCATGGACGTACCTGAGTGTGTTTGTGGAGATGGCCACGATGCCTTCGGGGCACTGCTCCGAGGCAAACCCAGAGGCGTACTCCAGAGTCTCGTAAGACAGAGGGGTGAGATGGAACCGAGACTGGTACCAGTAGCTGAGCCAGGACCGACTGGACATGGCTAGGACCTGCAAGTAATCACGAATGGATGAGAGTAAAAAAAAAACGACATTTGTTTATTAACTCTCGACTCTTTTCAGGTTTATCATAAGGTTTATGCTTAATTTGTCCACAACAAGGCTAAAAGCCGCTCAAGGTACAGGGCTACAAGAGAAATACAAAGAAGAGTAGGTACTCAGGAAAACTGAAGGTAGGAATTAACATTCCTCTTGAAAATAGGCCAGATCATAGGTTGGAGGGAAACGAGCAACCAGGCAAGGAATTCCAAAGAGATGCAGCACGTGGAAAAAACTTTTTCTGGGCACTAAACTACTGTGTTCCCCAGTACTGGTCAGACTGTGCTAGTTACTGTACAGAGCAAACTGCGCCAAGACAATAATTTTGAACGATAGCTAGCATAATGCTATTGCCCTTACTGGGGCCTACATGGAATCTACAATGATTCCGTTACCAGACGTTTATATTTCGTCATCAAAACCCTGCGTTATCTATCCCTACCACTGTTATCTGGCAATACAACACAGTGCAGCCACATCAAAATACAGCACACAACCTTGCTACAAATTGGAGTAATAATGTATAATTGAATAGAGTTTCGTGGGGACAAGGAACCATGGTAGAAAAAGATTGGGCCAAAAATGAAGAAATGGAAATATTTGTTCAATCCTTAAACTCTTTGGGTACAAAATTATTATTAGATGGAATTTTGCGTCAGGGTGATATAAATCAAATTAGGTTTTGCCCTTCACCGACGTTTAAACACTGTATACTCAGTGTGTTACCTCCCGAGTGAAAGTTGGAAAAAATCACTCGGGTGGGACTCGAACCCACGACCTCGTGCTTAGACGTAATTCATTGCTCTCCTTAGACGTAATTCCAACAATGGGCCAATGATCTTCAGCTGGCGTCATTTTGAGCAGTGCATCTTCATGACATAATAAAGCTGAATTCGAAAATTTTAAAAATCACAGTAAATTTGATTAAAACGCTCAATTAATCACAAAAACATCTAAATTTCAATTTTTCAAACAGTGCAGCACAGTCGTGGATCAGACTAAATTGTGAAGAAATAGATTTTGGTTTTTGTCATCAATGGCTCTTCAGACGAAGCGCGAATGGGTTGTCATCACGTCCACGACCCTGGCTGCACTGGAGATAAGAAAACACAAACTCACAGACTCCGAGCCTTGCATCTTGATTCTGAACAGCTTGACCGGTCTGGAACCCAGATACCTGGTCCTGGTATCGGATAGGTCGCCGGTGACAGAGTCCAGCACCATCCTCAACAACACACCATTCTGTCAAAAGCGAAATAGTAACAATATCGTCAATACCAAATATTTTTTAAAAGACCTGTTCATACTACAAGCAGAAACACATGAGAATCAAATATTTTGAGCCTGAAATTGTGTTACATGTTTGCAAATTTGAAGCGTATTTGCCTGCAAATTCTTCTTCAAGTTGACTTTTAAGTTGAGTATAGACTTGGAATAAAAAAATACTAATTTCAATTCGTAAAATAAAACTTTGTGTATTTCTGGAGCTGGTGAGTACATAAATTTGATAAGCACATTAAGAGGTGAGATTGGGAGAAAACGAAAAATCCACGAAATAATCGGCAGAGGGTTGGAGGGTTGCCAAGGGCCCAAGAGCAACGTAGGGTAATGGTAAATGTTTGTATGTTATATTCTTAAAAAAATCTTGAAAATCAGGATAAATTCTTGACCAAAATTCCTGAAATCAGAAAAAAAATCCAACAAAAAAAATCAGGCAATAAACCCCGACAAAAACGGGTTCCCAAACAAAACTACACATAATAATATTTCTTGTGAAAACAATGCTTAGCAAATTTTAATAATATGCAAAAATCGAATGACAACTGGTCACAAGCAATATCCATCACATGACATTTTGGCTGGTAACCCATTTTAGCTAAGCTAATATTTTCCGCGCTTAGTAAAATTTCTGAGCTCAGCAACCTTGGTCCCTGACGAATACATCAACACTAAAGTATTAACTCGCTAAGCGTATTGCTTACATGCAGTCCGATGTTCAGGAAGAGTCCACCAGTCATTCCTCTCTCTCCAGACTCTGTGGCCTCGGTGCCTCCCATCTCCACGACGCAGAGAGACTCGGCCGGGGCGGGGAGGGCCTGCATGCTAAGCGGCTGCAGACAGTCCTGAAATTAAGGACGGGAATCCGGGATTAATTTGAGAAAACTTTGAATGAAGCTTTGACGCTCTGTTTGAACATTTTGCCAACACTTTACAAAGGCTGCCATCTGTACCAGTATGTGTGCCTGATGCACAGCAGAGGCATGGAACACTAGTATTGGGCCTGATAGCAAACTAGAAACACAAAAAATTGGGGTCCTTTTCAACATCTGCCAAAAAAAATTGGGAACAGATTTGGATTTGAATTGTGGCCGATATGTGAGCCTTGCCATTGTCTCAAGCCGTGGAAATAAGCAGATTTTAATTTAAAAAAACAAGCGGAAATACTCTAATAATTAAATAAATATTAGCCTTTGATGATCCTAAAGCAAAATATAGTGAATAGGGAACATCTGGGCCCAAATTCTTGGCTCTGCTTACCGTTAACGAAAACCGCCTGCTTACTATAGCAGCAAAGTCTGTGCTTACGGTACGTGTATTTCACCAATTAGCGAGGAATTGTGGCTTCTGCGCATGTGTATATCCCGTAACTACGGATTCTGTGCTTACAGTGTTAGCACAGACTTTCTATGCTACAGCAGTTTGCACAAAATAGTGATCGTAAGCGCGGAATTCTGCGGTTTGCAGAGCCATAAAAATTGGGCCCAGTTTTCAAAGTCAGAGGCCTTAAATTGGAAGCTCAGTGTGGAAACCAAGGGTAGAAACACACTCACAGATGGTCAGTACAAATTCCGTGGAAGAGGTAAATCTTTTTTCTGACTCACAAACTAAATATTACAATGTCCAATATTGAAATTCGCAATGACTTACTGATTGGTCCAGTGAGATGATTCGGACAGTATCGTCATCCAGCCCCACTGCCAGGAATCTAGCCCTCTGCTCACCGGCTGGCACGCTGCCAAGACTCATACACTTGACGTCGGCTGACATCTCCTTGCGTTCGGTGTACTCGTTCAGCTGGCCAGTCTGAGTAAACAAACGAGAAAAATCTTGATTTATTTCATAGAATCCTAGAATTTCTTCATTTGAAAGTTTTTCATGACATACTGAAATCAAAGTTGGCGAATAAATGAAAGCAATCATCCACGATGCAATTGTAACTGCTAAACAAACTCTGGCTTAGACAATTGAGCCCAATTTCTGGGAGCTGCTAAAGCAGAAATTATTGCTTAGCAAATGTTCAAAGCCCAAGCAAAAAAAATGCTTATGGTCACTCAGAGGAAAACACATCTACTGAAATGGACATCTAATGATAAGATACCTATTTGCTATAAAACAAAAGTTTTTTTTGTGTTGAGCAAAATTTCCTTGCTTAGGACCTTCATAAAATTGTCCCCTGGAAAACATGCCAACAGGAATTGTTACTTACTGGGTCCATTTCAAAATACACCAGTTCCCCTCCCGTCAGTGCAATGACAACCTGTACAGAAACAGAGAAACAAAGATCAGAAAGTAAATTCAGACGATAGACAACAGAGGAGCCTGTGAAATTCTTCACGTATGGAAGGCAACTGTTCACATTGTATTACATCAGTAAATGCTGAGGACAAGCAAAAGTGTAATCCTAACTCCCAGAGAATTTTTTACACAAAAAAAATCCACCATATCAACTTCCATGAGGCACTAAGTACCAATTTTGGTAGCTGGGCTACCAAAATCCTTCATCAAAATGTCAAAACTTTCATCAAATTCTTTCACCAAAACCTCCTACAGGATATTTGAAATATCCAGTAGGGTTAATTTCAAGTTGAACTTATTTCCTATCATGATTAAACCTGACAGAGCTGCTTGTCTGGTTCGCAAGTTTCATTCGTAGCGCAATTCTTACATCAATTGACTCGTTTGACAATGCTTATCATCAATAATTTGTGGTTCTCTCTGACAAAATTAGATTTTATAAGGAGATTTCATCAACCTCTCTGAGTCTCTCTAGATTGACCGACCTGTCTCTGGTTGACGGCACATTTGACGATGCTTTTCTTGCCCGGTGTCTTCCATTCGTTCACACGCTTGTCGGCTCGGATGTGACGAATACCTTCGGGGTAGATCTAGGGACAACATAAACACACACAAAAAACATGCATAATAAAATGGCTGCATGGGATGTTTTCCTTACAATGCAGGGATTGATTACAATCATAATTGTAGTCAACAATTTTGTGGCAAAACTTTAAGAGTTCTATGATTACTGGGAGGGACATTCGAATGTATTGACAACAATGCCTGATGCTCATGCGAAGACCCTATGGCTTTGTGCACGTGTCTGAATAATATCAGTCATGTAACAGTTTCAATTAATTTATTATCCATCATGACTAAAACATGAAATTCTATATCCCACAACTTAAAATCAATGACACAAACCTTAAAATGACACAATATATTAACCCTAACCGAACTCAACCCATCAAAGCAGGTTTTGTTGAAATCTGTTGGGATATGTACAGTACCCCTAAACAGATGGTCTTTTACACTGGGCGTGGCATACGTCCAGAAACTAAGTCCAACAGTGTGTCTGTGCAATTTGCCATGTGGGTGTTGGAATTTGCCAGAATGGGTATGGTTCCTAATAAATTTGGCTGGGGGTTAGGGTTAAAGGAAGTTTGAAGACTAAAATCTCACAACAAATTAATCAAAAACAACTTACAATCACATAAAAACATATAATATGAATACAAAAAGAAATGCACCATAAACCGTCTTGTTTCAAAAAATTATTTAAAATCTGGAATTAAAAAGATAAACGAATTTGGCAAGAACGATCTCCTACTATGCATGCTACATGCACGAACCAGTCCCCGCAAGTATATCGAGGATAAAGTTGTCTCAAACTTATCCCAGATGTTTCATGAGATAACTCCTAACCTGCAGGAGGGAGTCGTCTCCGATCAGAGAGGAGGACAGGGTGGGCGTGGTACCCAGGAAACCGGAATCAGTCACTTCCTCTACGGTCTCACCGATGGACAGGACCAGGGTGGCGTTGACGAAGGACACGATGATGTAAGCATCAAACTCATCTACATGGCGACAAAGTAAAATAAAGTGCAAACAAAAAGAAGAGGAGAAGAAATTTAAATGTGGCTCAGATATCTTTGCATTCGTAGCAGAACAATGACATTAATGTTGATATGTTTTTAAAATTCATGTGAATACTTAAAATGTTGACTTTGACAAATCAAATATTCATTTCTGAATTTTTCAAGATGAGAAGTAAATAATATCAAACTTTTCTATATTCTGATGACAGATTGTTGTAGTAATCAGACCAATCACATGGCCAACGAAAGGGCGAATAAAACAATCTACTGCGCGATAAAATGAACACACTCTTTTGTCATTTAACATCAACATTCAACAATGTGTCCAGCCGAACTTTGATCAAACTACTTCAGGTGTAAATTGGCATCAGTGGTTTCCACGGAAAGACAATAGCTGTAAAACGTCTGCCGTAAGTCATTTTCACTATTTTGTTAAATCTCCAACAGTAAATTTCTGGCATCTGTAACTTTCATTATCTGGATAAATCACGAGTCTTTATGTCTGCCACTATCAACCACCACAGGTCTCTGAAGTCAAAACCAAAAATCTCTTGAGGGTATGAATGTCAGTTCAGTCCAAAAGTCTGCAATAAAATCCTGCGTCAAAGTTGATCTCCGTGAAAATCCAAGCGGAACTGTCTCATCCCTGTGACACAAGCAGTGACCGTGAAGCAAGGATGTAGATGAAGAATGAAGAAGAGCACCAAAACTCTATCTGAACAAAATGTATTTGTCTACTGTTCATTCCACCAATCAACTTGGTTTGGAAACCAGCTGGAGAGATGATACTACAAACTTGCAGCCCATTTCAACTCAAAGCCAAACAAGACGTAGATTTATAGCAAGCAGGGTTTTACATCAGCTCATATCTCCCTCGGCTATTTTTCATAAGGTGGAACATTTCATCACTTCCCAAACGACAATCGTAATCGATTTCTCACTGAAGAACCAAAACGCGTCCAGTAAAAAATGCGAGAGTCTGTATTTCCTTGATGGATAAAAAAAAAATCCAAAGACGTTTGCAGTCTACTTTCAAATAAATTATGGCATCTTCCTGTTGGAGAGAATTCTGGAAATGATTAATAAGTAGTAGATTTCTCATTTACAAAAAGATCTTTTAGATTAAACTTTACTAGTTAAAAATCAGGGATGCAGTCGAGTCCATCACAAGTCCATTGACAAGTCCAGTCACAAGAAACAGTGCATGAACAATAACAAAAGGAAAGCCTTTGTCAAAGGTTATTTTTGAAGAGATTGTGAGTTGAATTGGGACTGGAGGAGTTGTGATGGACTTACAGAGACTTGTGATGGACTCGACAACATACCTGGTTAAAATATATCTCTGTGTTTCGCATCAATTTGTCACCGACACCACGAACTGACACTCGGTGGTGCATGAGTGCCCGGCGAGCTCGCGTACTTTACAGAACCGCGTAATTTTGGTTTTCACGAACTGACACCTGTCTTCACCAGTTAAAAGGTTTTTAATTAAATATTTGTGTAAGCCCACACGTATACGGATGGAGTAGATTCCTGTCAAACCTTTAAAAGCATTTTTCTTCCAACTGTATTTCCGCCACATGCTTGCATTTCAGTTCGTGAAAACCAAAATTATTCTATTACGTGTCAGTGTACGAAGTGTGCGCGCATACAAGCCCGTTCACACCGTCGATCGTGGACGTCCCATTGTCCCTCTTTTGTTTGTACTCTAACTTTTTAGGATGACTCCCATAGGTTTTGTACGCAACCCCAACCGCGGACGTATGCTAGCAATCGTGCACAATATTGTTCTCTTCTGTTCTCTGGAATTTTTCGTCCACGTTTTGAATAGATGAACACGATCACATCCACGTGTCTGTGAAACTGAAATTATTGATTACGCAGTTTTCACACAGCGCGTGCGTGTCAGTTCATGAAAACAGTGACGAATTTTAAACCAAGAATTTTAGTTATCTACTTTGCATTTTGGAAAATTAGAACAAATGTTGTTTATTAACAACTACATGATATTGGCCCAGCCGTGACATTTCAGTAAACAGTTTAAACACGCTCATGCATCACTCTCAAAACAACACCACTTTCAAGTCTTCCTGGATAGATACAAACCCTTCACGGATGTCTTTGTCGGTCAAGGACACTTATGAGTCAGCCTGTAAGAGAAGAGAGAGGGCCTGGTGTTGGCATGGTAACCACACACCGGCTGGTTAGGTATTTTGGCTTTCACAAGATTTTTCGTTTACGTCTACTTATCCCAAACTTTTGGTGTGAAACAATACCATTTTATACTGTAGTACCAAATCATGCGCAAATGTGACGCTAAAAAAACGCATCACTTCTTAAAAAAATCAGGTCTTGAATATATTCCAAATCAGTAAGCTCTTGTTTCAATTTTAGTACGTAAAATTTATTACTAAGGGAGCGTGCTTTTGTTTTTAAGTGTCAAACCTTCAACCACACGATATGCATCTACATTTAAAATGGCATGGTATCACAAAATCTGGTGCTTCTAATAAAAAAAAAATTAACAACTTTTATTTTACAATGTTCACATATACAGACGAGATTGTCAATTTAAAACAAGGTTAAAAAAATGGGGGAAAAAAGTTTGAAAGATGCATTTTCTTTCTATTCCAATGATGTCTTTATCTCAGATTCAAAAGATCTGCTTTCAGACTAAAGTGTGAAAAAAAAAAAATCATGCGTGCATTTTAAAGGTACGTACGTAAGCTTCTAGTGCACAGGCACTTTCTGTGAAGGTTTTGCCGGGATATGCGTTGTTTGTTTTGTATTTTTTTAATTTTCTAGTTCAAGTTTTACCCATGCCTAAGAAATACATCATTTAGAGGGTGACGTGAAAACAAAATAAGCAGTTGGTGACAAATTTGTAATTTCCCTGAATATTTACTGAAAGCATTTGACGACATCTAACTGTTTATAATGTGTCAAGTATGTGCTGAATCGTAGGCTCCCGTAAAAGGATTTACAAGTTCAGATAAAAAAAAAAAAAAAAAACCAGGTTGATATAAAACCAATGACGAGGCTTACTTATACATCTTGGGGACAGCAACAGCAATAAACAATTTTTTACTTCATGTAAAGACCACAGAAATCTCGTAAAAATCATACAAGACCACACTGGGAAACTGTCAATGTTTTACTAACACAATGCATATGAGAACGCAAATAAAGTACCGCGTCCGGGAAATCCAGACTTCTCAAATTACATACATGAACACACAGAGCAGGCCCTCAAGAAGCACGGAATGAAAAAAGCCAAAATAACAGAAAAACCAACAAATGAAACAATCAAACCTAAATCAAGTTATTGCACTTCCCAACGCTATATTCCAAAACCTTTAGTGTATTTTTTAGAACTTTAACTAAACAACAGAAATGTAATTCTAATTAAACACAAATCATTGAATGAGATTGTTTGAAAAACTAATGCAAAGAAAAAAACATCCTTCTTTATCAACAGGAATAGTTTTCGGAAGCATTAATCTTACCATCACTGAGTTTCTTGACTGTCCAGACAGCGTTGGGGTTACCTGGCAGCTCAGACACAGCCATTTCTGATACCTACGTGGAAAAAGTTCCAAAAGTAACTTTTACTATCAAAAGAAAAGCACGAAACAGTGAGAATCAACAATTGAAATTGTTTTGTACTTCACTGATGTAATGTTATAAGCACTTTATAGACATGTCCGAGAGCTTGTGAAAAAAAATGGCAAGCTTGTTCAGACGGGACTCGAACCCACGACCTCCTGCTTACTAGTTCGGACGTCTTACCACTTGGCCACCGAGCTTGACGGGATCAACTGGTTGGTTTGATCTGATATAGCTGCAGATACTGGAATCAATGATTTGTGAGATGAATTACATCATACAAAGTCAAGAAGTGACATCTTCAGACACTTCAATACTTAGGGTGAAAAAAAAACAACTTTCTTACCTCCAGACCGTGCCGAAGCACTCTGAGGGAGGATCGAGGGCCCCTGCCTGACGCCACGTACAGCTGAGGGTTGTCTTCGTTGGCCAAATCTGCAATCTGAATGATGCGTAACCATGGTAACCAAAATAATCAGAAAAAAAGTTAGAATTTAAGAATTGTTAAAAATTTGGGGGTTTTGGGGTCGTTTTTACTCATTATGCAGAGAAACTGGTATCTTGTAAAACTCGTTTTTGAAGCGTCACAATCAAGTGCTTTCTGTTTTGGATCAGACGACTGTGTGAAGAAAAGAAGATTTTTATAATCATGGTCTTCTCATACGAAGCGCGAATAAGGTGATCATCATTTCCATAACTTGACAGCACTTGAAAGTGAAATAGCCGATTCAACCACTGATAACCACTTATATGACCATCCTTTGTACGTTGGTAGTCCCAAAAAGTTGAAAAGTTAACCAGATAAGTCCAAACAATAGACCATTATCACGTTGCAGCCATTTGATTTTCTCCCATTCAATTCAAAATAACCAAAGCGATGCTGGAAGGAAAAATAGTCTGGTTTCTTTTTGCACAAAAATTTTTTCATTCAGTACTGTCATTCAGTAATGTTATTGGATATTGAAATGGTGGGAACATGACTGAAATGGTGGCAGCATGATAAAGGTGTATTGTCAAAATTCTCAGAGACAAAAGACAGATGGGCCACATCCCAATCACTTGGCTACGGCTAGCAATTACAGTCGACTCTCGTTGGTACAAACTCTGTTAATACAAAATTCTGGTTACAACAAACAAAGTCTTGGTCCCGACTGCGCATGTATGTGCACAATGAATGGGACTGATGTTCCTCTTAATACAAAATTCTGATATAAGCCCCCCCCAAAAAAATATTTGGTCTCTGGTCAGACCAAAGTTCCGGAATTGATGCGGCGACGCAGGTTGGTTTTTTTTGGTCTTTTTTTTTTCCAAGCTTGGATTGTTCAGACAAGGTGGGTACAATTTTGCTTTTGTTGTGTCCTCATATACATTGGGGTCCTCCATAATTTGCCTTGGTGCCCTCCGTCATTTGCCTTGGTGCAATTTCCCCATTCATCAGTACAAAAATTTGAGGTGCGGCAATAGAGGGCGCTGCTGTAGCTACCGCGGACAATTTGAAGAAAAAAAAAGGTTGACACGCATGATTAAAATCGACGCGTGCGCTGACCAGAGACCGACTAATTTTTTTGGGGGGGCCTAACAAACAATTTGGCTAGGTCCGAACGAGTTTCTTATAATGAGACTCGACTGTACATGTGTCTATTGAAGCAACCGACACCACTTCTCATAGACACATCTGTTACTGCCAACCATAGCCACGTGATTCAGACGTAGTTCATCTCTCTCTCTCTGTAGTCTTACAATGCATCTTGAGCGTGAACGAAACGAGGGCCCCGTAATACAATTTACATGGCCAAGCTTGATCAAGAATACCTGGCAGTTCATGATGGGCGACAGGCTCTCCATCTGGTCAATCTCCACCAGGTTTTTCAAGGAGCGGGGAGCAAAGAAGAAAGTGTCGCCTTCCTCCAGGGGCATGGCGCTGCTGAACTCTGGCTCGTCGTCATCGTCGCCGAGATGGGCAATCTGGTACAGGTAGCTGAGAAAAAAACCCCAGCAATGATCGATACTGAGCAACTTTTAGCCAAAAATCTCACATTGAGATTTACAATAAAGAAATTAATAATTTACATTACAACAGGATTTTGGGGTTTTTCTAGTACTTGCTTTACAATAAGGAGCAGCTCAAACTTGGATCAGACTAAGTTGTGAAGAAAATATGGTTTTAGAATCACGGGCATTTCATACGAAGCGCGAATAGTGTGTCATCATCTCCAAGTATGTCTGCAACTGTCTGTGATTTTCACGAGCTACTTTCACGACAATGTTGGCCAGAATAAAGCAAATAACTTTCATTTGAGGAAGAGGTTCTCAACATAAAAATGGTGATTTACAATTTTTTACAACTCTGAAATATTTCTACACACACAAAAATAACTTGCATTAGACATGCAACTGGGAATTTAGGAAAACAAGGGAATTCCAAACCACACAAGACTTTGTACAGTATTTTTCAATTTGCAATGGCATTCATGAGAAGCTAAAAACGAGGAAATCAGCGGATCGGATACGAGAAAGAGTTGCATTCCTGTTGCCTTCACAGAGGACAGATTTTGTTATTTGAAGTCAGTGCTAATGAAAGTACATACTGCCCACTCATTGGTATCCAAGACATAGGCCCCCATTTCATGGCACTGCTAAGCACACAATTTTTCGCTTACAGAGCCTTTGTCTAATTCATAGAGACCGTAAGCAGGGGAAAAAATGCTAACATCAGTGACGTAATAGAAATCTCCAATAAGCTTGCAACCATTAGTATATCAACACCATGAAATAGTACTTAAGGTTAGCACAAGTTTCTGCTATAGTAAGCACAACTTTTCGGCTAACTTTTAAGCAGCGCCATGAAATTGGCCACAGTCCTACGTGAGTGCATCTCTGTGTAGAAAAAAACAGGAAAAGGAAATTTGTGAGTACGGAAGAATAAACAAAATTCTTACTGGTTTCCAAACTCAGCTGCCAGAAACAGGAAGCCAGTCTTGAGTACATTCATGTTGGTCGCCACGGGCACCGTATCAAAGTACTTCATTCTGACCTCGGTCACCATGTCCTCGTCTGTTTCCAAGGTGATTTTGAAGATGTCTCCCTGTTCTGTCTGGGCCAGGAAGAAGAACATGGACTGCGGAAAAAAGAGAAGATTTTCCAAATATGATGTAAAAATAGGCAAAAATAACTTTTGGCCGATTCAATATTGCATTTCAAGTATTGGATGGTGGAAAATTCAAAAAGATTTAAATCTGCTTGGACAGTTAGGGTGAACAGAGTGAAAGAATACCTTAAAATCCAGCAATCTCAGAGCTCTTGTGTCCCTGGGCAAGACACTTTACAACAATAGCTTTTCTGGTCCTTGTAATTCAAGAGTGCACATCAAAGTTTGGATCAGATTATTTTGTGAAGAAATGATGGGTTTGAAATCAATGGCATTTCATACGAAGCGCGAATGGAATATCATCATTTCCAAAACTTGATTGCACAGGATTCTGAGTTAAGTACAAAAAAGGTAACAATAGCAACAAGATTCAGCGAGAATTTGAGGTTTTTTTATCATCAAATCAATTACAAGGGAGACCGCTCCACGTGTGGAACATCTTTTGAGATTGTCTTACCTTTGTTTTGTGTGTTGCACTGCAGACAAAGATCATGCCTCTCTCTGGATCATCCAAGTCATTCTGTGAGATATGAAGAAAAAAGAGAACAAAACCACATGAAATTCAAATTTCTTGATTCCCAAAGAGGGCAACAAGTGTGGCCGTCATCTGAGACAACAAACCTCTGAAACATTTTTGAGTGCCTGCATGTCAAATGCTGTTTCTGCCTCGGCGTATGCTAAACGCTTACTTACAAACTTGATTCATAATAAGTTAACTGAAATAAACTGTACCCTTCCCAAGTACTTCCGAAATTCATCAGGTTTTGAAGGATTTTGCTGGATTGAGGAAGGTTGAGCCCAGCCACCATTAATTAAAATGTAATTTTTAAGTTTGGATCAGAACTTCCAATAAGGTTAATCACAAGATCAGCTGAAACACGGATTAAATAAATTCATCATTTCCAAACTGTCCCTATCAAACTCGAACCCAGATGCAAGACAGCGTAACAGGTGTGAAAGTCTGTGGGACCTTGCTGCATTGGGCCATCAACACCAGTGCACAAACAGCCAATACTGAGAAATGAGAGCTAATCCTATCAAACAATACCACTGTTGTAACATGTTGCAATTGACAAACGCAGACACTGAGCTAGTTGAATGCATATTAAGAGATCTTCTCATGCAAAAGAAAGCTTCACAAGGATGGCTTCATTATCCCCTAGGCCCTTTTTAATAGGAACCATCCTCAATCCTACAAAATCCTGCAAAATTGTGCACTTATGTTCAAATGAAGGATACCCACTGCCTCAACTGTTCAAAATCCTCCACCAACCCCGTCTCTCAAAATGCATTCATCCTCAATCCTCCAAAGTAATCCTCTGGTTCATACAGACATTCAGCCTCAATCCTCCAAGATCAGAGCCAGAACTAAATTACCATGTGCCCTCAATCCTCCAAAGTCCTTTAAAACTTCAACTCGCATTCAGCCTCAATCCTCCAAAATCCTCCAAAACCACCCGGTTGATTTTGGAGGATTGAGGAGGGCAAGGGTCAACGCAAAGGACCTTTGGCTCAGCACTGTGAAGCAAATATATTTTGCCAGGGAGAATGTTCTGGAGGGGTACCTACCCGTCTTCTAGGGATGGGCATTCTGATATCTGGCTGGTCGCCCAGGTTCTTGTAGGTGATGTAATTCTCGGAGCAGATCAGCACACCACTCGGACCATCACTACCGCCAGGAACTGGATTGAAATGGACAAGTTTGATAAAATGATTACAATTTATAAGATCTTTCACGAACAATTATAAAAAAAAAAATTAACTTGTTGCAAAAGGAGAGTTTGACCCTTTTTTTTTAGTCTGAGAAAGTTGTTATGTGCCACCCATGGCGCAACTATTAAGTTTGGATCAGAACTTCCAATAATGTTAATCACGAGATCAGCTGAAACACGGATTAAATAAATTCATCATTTCCAAACTGTCCCTATTAAACTCGAACCCAGATGCAGGTCAGTGCAAGGGGTGTTAAAGTCTGTGGGACCTTGCTGCATTGAGCCATCAACACCAGTGCACAAACAGCCAATGAGAGCTAGTCCCATTGAACAATGTCACAGCTGTATCCTGCTGCATTCGGTGACCACAGACTCTGAGGCAGTTTTGCCTCGAGATTTTTGACCTGATGGATCTTGCTGCACTGGGCAGGCTTGTTATTTTGACCAGTGTTGCAAATTGTTACATTGGCCACGGTTTCTGATCAAAATACCCCGGAGGGTTAGAGTTGAAGTCATGAATATCTACTGCAGACTGTATATGTCTTAGCCGAAGCCACACCCACAACACAGACAATTCAAGTGCAGCCTAAGGCTGGGTGCAAATTACTCGGCTACGGCTCATAGTTAACACACGTGTCAATTGGAAGTGGCTACAGCCACTTCCACAGACACATGTGTAACTGCAAGGCTGTAGCCATGTAATTCAGATAGGGCTAAGACTCACCAGCGATGAGGAAGTTGCCATGTTCTTCCAGGGGTTCGCTGTACTTCCTAACCACATGATTCAGGCCCAGGTCCAGCTCGTAGTAAGTCAGCATCTGTTGAGTGGCTGCGGCTGCCTCGCCAGTCGGGTCGGAATCGGCGTCCTGTTGAACAAAAATATAAATTATCTCATTATCATAGTTTGTTGGAAAGCATGGAGTTTACAGTTGATTGACGTTGAGTGATGGATTTTGACGGACATGGTGTTTCTACTTTTTGCTGATTATTAATTTGAGGTTGTTTAGTCTGGCCTAGTCCTGTCATATCTTGCCTTGTCTTGTTTTGTCTTGTCTACGTCTTTTTTTTCCTTTTTTTCTTGTCTTGTCTTGTTCTGTCTTGGGCCAAACAAAATAATAGTTCTGCTTTCGATTACCCTAACTTCCCTATTTTGACAGCCCCTATCCTAATTTGTTTTTGGAGAAAATGAGGAAAAAAACCTGAAAACCATCAATTACTACCTTTTACCCTTGATTTTGCTCAGACACCTCCATTTGATCGTACACAAAAAAATTTGCCAAAAAAATTAATAAAATGCCTACCTTCTACCCTATTTTCAAATGCCATGTAATCGGAAGCAGATATAAAAAAATTTTGCCTTGTCATTTAATTGTTTGATGCTAATTTACTTACAAATGTGCATACATTTTATATTGTTTTGTTTCATTTTTCTTGTTTGTTGCCAGTCTTTTTAATATTTTATATTTGCGTTTATTTGAATATTTGTAAATGTTGATGTAAAAGGTCCCGTTCAAATGACGTCATTTCCTACAGACCATCCACGTGCATCGGCATTTTGAGCGTCAACTTGCATAACGCACATCGGCTGCGTCGTATTTCAAACACATTTCGAGCAACAAGCGTGCATGTTTGGAACATTTTCAGCACTGTGCAGTGTGTGCTTGATTGCGTAAAATATGCAGTTGCAGTTCTCCTACAGAGATGGCCGTCATTGAACGAGCCCTATTCAGCCCTCGGGCTGTCATGTCAATCTTTTTTATCAATAAACCATTTATAATAATAATATAATACTTAGTAAAACAAAGTGGGGAGTTAGGGTTAAGGTTTGAGAAGAAATACTAGAGTCGATAAGATGTTTTCTTTTTATCAATATTATTTTATATTATCATTCATAATATCCAACTTCTCCATAAACCTCCCTTTTTAAATGGGACCAGTTGGCAAATGGGAGCTTTTGGTAATGTAATTTGGTAAGGAACTAAAAGTAAATGTACAGTTGTCTGGGCGGAAAACCTATGCTACGCCCAATTATTTTTCCCAAGTAAATATTTGTTTTGCATAGGATCCAGAGCAGCTCAAACTTGGATCAGACTTGCTTGTTTTTTTAGAATCACGGGTATTTCATACAAAGTGCCATCATTTTCAAGTGTCATCATTTCCAAGCTTTTCTGCACTCCCAAATCATTTTCAAAATCTACTTTCGCAACAATTGTGGCCAGATATACTCACAGAAACTTTATTTCACAAATAGGGTCTAGACATGAAAGGGTGGTGATTTGGTTTTATATCTCTCTGACAAAATTTGAACAGTAGGGGCCTACTTCTTATGGCTGGGTATTCTTTCTGATTTCAGTGGCTTATCTCACCAAAACTTGAACCATTGTCCTGTTGCTTTTATTTTTCTTTTAACCCCAACCTCACCAACTCCATCAAAATCCATCCCCCATTTTGGGGGATTTGGGCAGATAAGCCATGTGTACCAAGTCCATCAAAATCCACAAACACCAGTGGTGGATTTCAATGGATCTGGTCCTGAAGCATTATGTGAAGCAAAGTGAGTGATGGATTTTGACGGACAGGGTCTTCCACTTAGTAAAACTAAGTAGGGAGCTAGGGTTAAGATCTTAGAAGAAATCCTAGAGTTGATAACATGTTTCCTTTTTATCAATATTACTTCAAATATAACAATTCAAAAACTTGTAAATTTTGTATGTGTATTTTTTTTTGGTGGGGGGGCCTGACCCGAAAGCCAGCCTACTGTCTTTGACTGATTGAGTCCCTGCAAGTCCCTACAAGTCCATCACACGTCATTCAGTCCCAATTCAAATCACAAGCTATTCAAGTGAGCTTTGGCAAAAGGCTTTCCTTTGTGATTGTTCATGCACTGTTTCTTGTGACTTGTGATTTACTTGTGACTGGACTTGTGATTTACTTGTGACTGGACTTGTGATTTACTTGTGACTGGACTTGTGATGGACTTGTGATTTACTTGTCACTAGACTTGTGATGGACTTGTGGTGGACTTTTGTAACGGACACGAATACATCCCGAGTACAAATAATGCCCTAAACCCAGACTTTCAGTGCCAGCTTGACTGGGAGAGCCTAGTCCAGTAAAAAATATGAGAAAATAAAATACAAAAATAAATTTATCCAGACCTCATAATCAATCTCCAAGCACGCAAACATGGGGTTCTCAAAGCCCACGTCCACACCCACGATGTTGTAGCAGAAGGTGTTGGACTTGTGAGCCTCCAGGGGGGAGGAGATGGTCAGCCTGGCCTGGGAGTCACGGTTCAGGATGTAGACCAGCTTCTGCTTCTCAATGGCGGCGATCATGACGGCACGACCCTTGGGGTCCACGGCTAGGAGCTGGCCCGGGACGATGCGTCGGCAGCCACTCTTGCCAAAGGTCTCTTGATGCACCTGTGGGAGAGGACAATTCATTAACACTCACACTCAAGGGTATTTTTGGCTAGAAACCCTGCTGAACGCAACAACGTGCAACACTCGTCAAAATGACAAGCCTGCTCAGTGTAGCAAGATTCCTCAGGTCGAAAATCTCAAGGCCAAACTGCCGCAGAGTCTGTGGTCATAATTGCAGCAGGATCCAACAGTGCAATTGGTGAATGGGGCTCGATATCATTGTCTCAGAATTTGCAGTTTATGCACTGGTGTGGATGACCCAATGCAGCAAGTTCCTACAGACTTTTACTTTTTCCATCTGCTGTACTAGGCTGCATATGACAAGGTTAGGATCAAGAGTGGGTCAACTGGAAATGCTGGTCATTGCTTAAACAGAAAGGATATTTTATGCCCCTCAATATAGAGACTAAGAGAGGCAAGTTAGGGTATAGTGGCTTGCCCAAGGACAACACATAGCAAGCAGCTACGTTCTAATCCCTGTTTACATACTGATCTGAATGTGATTTTTCATCATCTTATTGTCTAGTATTTCTTTTAGAGACTATCAGTTTGTGCTATCACCACCCAATACCAATACTTTAAATATTTATTTGGTCTTACCCTGTCAAAGGTGTTCTTGGACTGGTTGTATTCCAAGATGACAATACGGCCCGAGTCACTCCCAACAACAATGTAATCTGTAAAAATTTCACACACAAAAAAAGAGCAAAAACTTGCATTGAAAAGGTGAAGAAAACTAGGGACACTATACAGCATCATAAATAAATTTGCTCAAATCTAGATGTCCTGATAGGCAACAATTGTAATCCAATTAGTTAATTACAAATACGGCACATACAAAGGGAATCAGCACATGCATTTTTTGCTGGTACCAGAGGTGGCAGCAAGTCATTTTTTGCAAGTCCAAGTCAAGTCACAAGTCATTGTTTGCAAGTCCAAGTCAAGTCACAAGTCATTAGGTCCAGTCACAAGTCAAGTCACAAGTCATTTGGTCTAAACACAAGTCAAGTCACAAGTCATTTGGTAAACACAAGTCAAGTCACAAGTATCTTTGTCCAAGAACACGTCAAGTTGCACATTATTTTGTCCAGCTCATGTGTAATAAGCTAAAAGAACGTTACCTGGCGTCAACTTACGAGTTATTTTGAACATGCCTCCTTAATAAGCCATTTGCGTGTAACCTATACCCTTTGGGATTTACATTTGAAAAACGTCTGGTACAATGACTTGCTCAGAATGCTTGGCACATTTTAACTGTGAATTCTCCAGACCAAAGACACTGTTGCTAATCACATGATTCGGGGCAAGCTCTTGCATAGTTACGTAAGAGACGCTCAGCACCAATACATCGTTCACAATGGGTGAGAATGGCACAAAGACACCAGACCATGCCGGAGCTGGCGGTTGCTAGCATAAGGCTTGCCCCGAATCACGTGATATAGTAACAGTCTCTTTGGTCGGGAGAATGCTAGGTTAAAACGTGCAAAGCATTGTATTAAGTCAGTGTTCCAGATTTTATTCAAATCTAACACGCAAGTGGCTTATTCCCCTTTTTCAATGTGTTGCAATTACTATTCTTGTAGTTTATCACATATCTGTCGGATATTAGCCCTTTGTATGCTTTAGTAAATTTACTTTACATTGTAGAAATAAATGTTGAGATGACATGAAAAAAGACTACACTCACTCGATTCAATTTTCATGTATACTAAACGCCTACCAATGGGTTAGGCTATCCGGTATTTTACATGCAATTGACAAAGGCCTGCTTTCTTTTCATGAAAGGTTCCTTTCAGTTTCAAAGTTTGTTCAACCATTACATTAAGCAAGAGACTTGGTCATTGAAAACTGCAGTTTGTTGTGACAGTCTTATTGAAAACTTTTGAAACTAGTTGGAACTATTCATTTTTCTTGATTCAGTCACTGAGGTCTATTTCTGGAATGAAACTTTCTCACTGCATCTATATCTATAAACTGCATTGATAAACACTTTGAGTGGCCTTTTTGGGCCTTGTGTTGGGCGACTTCAATAAACAAAAACATTTTTTTTTTAATGTACAAACTGTTACACTTCAAATAAACAAGATTTGATAGCATAGTATCACTCAACTTTGCTCTGTGTGGCCTCATAATTATTCCTCTATGATTGAATACACATTCGATGGGGGAGCTAGTAGCAGGAATTACAGTGCACCCTCATAGCAAGAGGAAAGAGTCTGGGGAGGCTGTTAGTATTACCAACCAGAAGTGCAGGCAACATAACAGCTCAGCTCACTGATATGATCTACAGCTGCAGCTGGGCGAAGTAGAAACCACGCAAGCCAAAGTCCGTTTTTTAATGCACGTAAGGCGTAAACCGAATAGCCAATTAAAAGTATATTAGCTTAATTTAAGTGTATTGGGTCGCTCGAGTAGCGTCTGACTTGGGTTGGTAACAAGTCATTTTTTGCAATCCCAAGTCAAGTCACAAGTCATTGTTTGCAAGTCCAAGTCAAGTCACAAGTCAAAGCTGGTATTTACAAGTCAAGTCACAAGTCACAAAAATAGCGACTCGAGTCCGACTCGAGTCCAAGTCACATGACTCGAGTCAGCAACTCTGGCTGGTTCCAAATAATCAAATAGACATGTCCAACCATCGGTGACCAGTCTGCGTTCTCTCAGAATTTGTCAAGCGGGACTTAACAATAGTTTCTTGATTGGACTTGCTCTGGGCTTTACCTTTACTGCCTCCCGTCAGCTTGAAGGCCATCAGCGCTCGGATGATGCCAAAGATCTCGTACGTCAGCACGACGTGCAGCTTGCCCGTGTTGGGGTCCAGCTTGAGCAGCTCCAGGGTTTTCCCCCGGGCCACGACGATCTCCTGCTGCTTGGTGCCGGCAAAGTTGCCATGGATGGCCTGCACGATGCCCGTGGCCCGCTGGAGGGTCAGCGAGTACAGGAACATGGTGGCAAGGGGTAGTGGTTGCGGCTATTCAAACACACCTGGTTGAAGTAGGAAAGAAGGTAAAAGGTTTCATATTAATCATAACTCCCTAGGCACCAACTACTGTAGTTCCAGCACTCCACTCAGTAGAGCTAACACACCACGAATCGAGTGCCTCGGGCATTGCGTCGCATTTTTAGCGATATCTTCAGAACTGATTATCGGATTAATCAATTTTCATTGCTTTTTGGGTGGTATTACTATTACCCAAACATATCAATTATCAGGACTTATGACGGCTACACTTCCTTTTTGTAACTTGTGTAGTTTTGAAGTTACGATTAGCCTATAAAGTTCAATTCTGTTGGCTGTCATGTCGAGTTCCATTGTTTCTGTCCATGGTGGAAAAAAAAGTCATGTGACAAAATAGCCTACTCAAATGTAGTCCGAGTAACTTGGACCCAACTTATCGCCTTTTTAAACATTTTGGACATGGTCTGGCGATAGTGGGGTCCAAGCTAATACCGCGACCTGGACAACATCATCCTGTCACTGTCCCAAAAACCAACATTTTCCAACAAAAAACATCAGATTTCACCTTCAAAACGGCCTCCAAATGACTAGATATGCCACCTGAGGTACAAGTAGACATCGATAATTAAGATGGTTGTACTGAAGTTTACTTACGATCCGGAAAAAAAAGTGAAATTTTCCGTTCATTTCGGAGAGCTCCCCATGCGATCTTGAACACGTTAAATTTCCGATCGTGTTTAATGTTTGAACGACGCGATTTCTTCTACATGCCCAGCGTACATTCAATGGTCCCCGTATCCCAAGTGCGATTCCGTTACGGAGCGCGCGCGATGCATCGATTATGATAATGAGTCACATTTGTAAACACATACATGTGCATTTCGAACTGTAAAAGGGAATCGGGAACCAGCTTGAACTGGTACCCGCCATAAAAGCTGCGCTAGTTCCCGACTCCCCTATTATCGTTCGAAATGCACATGTGTTTACAAACGTGATCCAGTCTACTCATTATCATAATCGATGCATCACGCGCGCTCGGTAACGGAATGGGCATGTAGAAGAAATCGCGTCGTTCAAACATTAAACACGATCGGAAATTTAACGTGTTCAAGATCGCGAGGGGAGATCTCCGAAATGAACGGAAAATTTCACTTTTTTTCCGGATCGTAAGCAAACTTCAGTACAACCATCTTAATTATCGATGTCTACTTGTACCTCAGGTGGCATATCTAGTAATTTGGAGGCCGTTTTGAAGGTGAAATCTGATGTTTTTTGTTGGAAAATGTTGGTTGTTGGGACGGTGTTGTCCAGGTCGCGGTATTAGCTTGGACCCCACTATCGCCAGACCATGTCCAAAATGTTAAAAAAGGCGATAAGTTGGGTCCAAGTTACTCGGACTAACTCAAATGGTATTTTCGTTGTAGGCACATCACAGTGGGCCGGGCGTAACGTTTGTAACTGGGAACTCGACCAGCTGAACGTGGTATGGTCACAATGAATGGTCCTGTCATTATGCAGTAGTTCTGTGCACGGACATGACGGAGCTATGTCTCCATGCTTCAGTCAGTAGGCCTACATTGGGTTTTCTCGCCCACGATCGATGTCACTGGGTGTTTGCACGCTTCTGTCCACAAAGGGAATGAGATACGTCCCGACGTTGGTGGCGCCATCCCGTCCTCCTTCAACATGTCCCGACTAACCCCTGGGACCAACTAACTTTTGTAATTTTTATAATAATCCAAGGAAATGCACAAGAAAAAACGATTTACATGGTTAAATTAATATGAAAGGTAATCACACAATACAGACATTTGGAAATCATTGTCAGCAGTGAGCAGATGTTTACGGATTATTTTTACCTGTTCGTCTAACACACCGATCTAAACATTTGCGCGTCCATGCCACTGAACTGGTATGAATTGTATCCAACGTATATCATGCGTTTTACGCGCAATTCATTTCCCAAACGTCGGTACCAGACTAATTATTGCTGAGTTTCGTCTGAAATCCAGGCGTCTTTAAGCAACAGATGTAAAGGACTTACCTTAGGGTACCAGTCGATAATTTCCTTCGGATATTAATGGTGCGGTCCCTGTCCTTAAAGGTGTATTGCATGGGGTCGGGGAACTTATTCATATTTTAATCCATGAAAAACGATGATATGTTTGTAGTTTTCCTCGACAGTGTCACACTAACATTTTTGCAGAATGGAAAGTTTATGGCAAAAAGAAAAAGAAACAGTGACCAAAAAAACTTAAAATTATTAATTCTGTCAAAATAATCATTCTTCATGCATACAAGTACATATACACCTCATGTTTCTTTTTTTTCTCTGTTTGTACATTAATATATTGAATATCAAATTATTTTTTTGATAAAGTGGTGCATATCCCCAGTTGGACATCAAGATTTTGGGTTGGTGCAATACCGGGAAAAAGGGGGGGGGGGGGTATGTTATTTTATTTTGAATAAAAAATGGAACCAATTTCTTTCGTAAAATTGGTTAACAGTGATGAGGATATAACTACTAGAAAAGTTTTTATTTGTAAAAGTAATTATTTGTAAAGTCTTTTTTATTTTATATCACTGTGTATTGCATTGAAGAACGGTGAAAATTCCAACAATTTTTGCCCTTTTTCCCTTTTGCATAATCAAGTTAAATTTCAGCAAAATATTCGCTTAGTTTACCAATCACATCACTATTTCACTGGGAAAACATAGAGAGAAATAACTTTTTTACGAATGTCTGCCCAAAGAATTTTATTATTTTAATTTTATTTGCCTTAGAATTCCTTTAACACATTGATTCACTCATTTCCCTTGCAACCTTAACCGTATCCGATCAAATGTAAATCCGTGATAAAATGGCGTCCGCCACGTCTTCGCCGTTTGATGCGATGGGCGTGCAAAATTTAACCGATATTTCCGACATTCAGGAGGCTTTTGAACAACTTTGTGTAGAGGAGGTAAGGTGTTTGTAATTTTCTCTTCAAGGCAATTGATACGATAGGCTCAGTCGTTGTTTCATTGCTTATGTTCAGTGTAATTAATCCAACGCCAATGTCTTTCATTTGCCACTCGACTCGCAAGCAAGCCGGGTTTGGGGGGGGGGGGCGTGGCGGGTTGGGAAGAATGGGGGGGGGGCGGGGACCGGGTGTAGGGCCAGAGCCGAGTGGGCTGTGTGCCTCTTCCATTTGTAAAAAAAATGGTGTGCGAAAATAGTGATAATAAATTAATAGAATAAATATCCCTTTAGAAATTATATTAAAGTTGTATTTTGTACGCATTTCTACTAGGCCGGCTATTCTGTTCTATACCTTGCCCCGTTAATGAGGTCAATATGATTTTCACATTTGAACTAATAAGTAATAGGCCCTATTTGTTGTTAGGCCTATTTACGCTTTAGAAGAGAAGAAGTCCCACCTTTCTCAGACGTCTATTTTTCGTGTAATTTTCAGGTTTGTTTGATAACCCCCCAAAAATAAGATCAAGGAAGCTCTTGTCTGTAACAAATTGAACAAAAAAATATCATGCGGGGCCCAAAACTGGGCGCTAGAACTCCTTTTTTGGCATTTTGGCTTGGATTGATCGCTAGTAGTGAGCTCCATGGTACGACTGATCCAAGCCAAAATGTGTATAAAAAAAGGAGTTCTAGCATCCCAGATACTGAGTATCTTAAGAAGCAAAGTATCCACCAACATGACCAATTTATACAATATAAAGAAACATAAACGGGAGATAAATGTAAGCAAAGTATGGCATGGGTGTGATTATTCCAAAAATCTGGGACTCTCAATACTGTGTGTGAGAGTCGTACAAATTAAGGTATTGAAAAAATGCAACACAAGAAAATAGACTGGCACCAGAAACAACCAGTCCAACACCCCTTTGGTATTGCATCAGTCAACTGTGTCAAAAAAAAATCTGACATGTCTGGTACTGGTCTCTTGTTTCTACACTTTTCTCTAGTCAGCTACCAGACTAATGAAAATGATGTCTTTTCAAACAGTTGGACTGTGGTTGGACCATAGAGCTATATTAAATTACTAGAGCGCTAACGCGATGTACAAAGTAATGCCTGATGGGGCCATCCATGTTTGTACATAAACCTATGGAGAACTAGAAATTTTGTACGGCTTTTGTACGGCTATTTGCATATCTGCGTTTGTATTCCATACCGATGCGTTATCGAAGCCGATACGCCCAAAACCGAAACACACGATCAGCAAATGAGCGTGTCATTTTGCTGTACGCAAAACAGCGCAGCACATGTGCGTATTCGCTGCAGATGCTTTTTGCCGTGACCTTTTTTTGAACTGTCATGACGCGCATAAGTTGTTTGGGTATGTTCTACTTGCGCGTTGCATGTAGAGTACACTTTCAAAATTCAATCCATCTATTTTTATTATGTTCTACAAACACGCACATGAATTCAAAATGTCTGCGCACAGGACGGCTTCAAAGCATCTCCGCGCTCAAGAATGAGGAGTTAGCACTCTAGTAATTTAATATAGCTCTATGGGTTGGACATACCAGTCTAGTCTTTTGCGGCAATTATATATCACTTGAGTTCCCTCTCAGGTGCAAAATATTGAATAAAAGTCAGCTTTAAATATTGAATTGAGACTTCAAACTTGGTTGTTGAAATACTGAGGACCTTGTCTTTGCCCCCACTTTACTCACTCTTTAGCCCACAAAATTTTTCCAAAATTTCCATGTGGCAAAGACAAGGTCCTCAGTAATTTTGTGGGCTAAAGAGTGAGTAAAGATGGCCTGACTTTGTTTTGCATGTTTTTTCAGCACTCAAGGTCACAGTCTGTTGACAAGTTTTTACTGATGTTTTTCTCAGAAAATTATGCTTTGTTCTCAGCAGGCATCACATTTGCCATTTTCATGTCTTTCGCCTTCACCGGAAAATTACATCTGTGTACTTTTTCCCCACAGCAAGCTATTACCGACGATGTTGATGGCTTGTTGGAAAAGCAAACAAACCTAGAGGCCAAGATGAACAGCTTACAGCGACTAGGGTAAAAAAAATGTTTGTTTTTGTATTAATTTAATTATTTCTTTTAAAGGGAATATACAACATTTGCAAACATCAACAAATGAAACTACGAAATTATTATGAAATACCTTACTGAGCTGTTAGTGAATGACAGTCTTAAGCATGTAAAATTGTGGCACTTGGTGTGCTGTCATTTTCAAGAAAAGCGGTATTTTGGTATCAATTTCCAACGCTGCTCGGCTGACCAGCATTGGAAAAAAAACTGGCTTTTTTAAATACTGCCCCCAATTTACCATATTGAGTGAGTCCACATTTTTTTTCCAATCGATTACACACCTATGAACGGGTACAAGCCTGCTAGACTGGTTCCCTGATCTTACAATTCCCCGTAAATTGTTTCATCTAAAGTGGGGACAGGGAACCAGACTACATGAACATGATTGTTTTTCTTGGTTTTTCCTGGGTTTTTTTTCAGCATCTACAAACACTAAACTTCAGACAAGTCAGTGTAACAATATTTGCTATAAAATACTGACCCCCGAAATCCATCCATTTCTGAAAATTACAGCAAAAGCAAATGCTGTATTTCCCTTTAAGATACATTTGTATAACTTTTTTTACTACAACAGACACCAGTCATATCTGTACATGTTTTGCTAAAGTGACGTCAGGTCGTCTAGTCTGTTGTGTTCCAGAGATTGTATTTGTGCATTATTATAGTTTGTAGATCAGGTGATACAATACTACTTGAACGTCAGCGTTCATATAATAAGTATAACTGTATAACCCGATATTAATATTCCCATGTAGGCAAAACCTGCAGCTAGTTCATACCGACGCCAAGCAGCTGGGAAGCATGATCTCCTTCACCTCGGACCTGGCTGAGAACGTCAGTGGGAAAGTCAGGGAACTTGACGTTGCAAAAGTAAGAATTTCTTTTCACTTTTTTTTTTAGCGAGAACCTTTGAACACTGTTGGTCTCGATGTCCTAATTTTGTTTAAGTTCAAAGAAGGAGCAATTGTTTTTTTTGGATGTTTCCAATAAAAAAAAATGCCCATTTCTCAACTCTGATGTCGAACCAATGTTTTCAAATTGATTTGCAGAAAGTCTGATTTTGAAAATTTATTTGTAAATTCTCTCATGTTCAGTCTGTGTGCCCAGCAAAATTAAGGAAACACAATTGTCATAATTGTAATAGTACATTTATATAAAATATATGGAAATACCAAAATAAAGTTAGAAACTCATGTTGCCATTCAGATTAACGCTAACTTTGAAAATGTAGTTGACTCATTTTATTATAATTATATTTATTGCACACAGAATAGAGTTCAAATCGCAATACAGAGAGTGAATGACATTCTGGATCTCAAGGTAAGCCAATTAAAAAAATCTTATCATAAAAATGATCTTCCTGTATGTTTATTTTGTGTGTGTGTATTTCTCCTCATAACTTTTTTTAATACAAATCTACTTTGTTATTTAGTTTTGTACAGATGGGGTCCAAACTGCCCTCCAGTCTGAGAACTATGAGAAGGCGGCGGGCCATATACACAGGTATCTGAGCTTGGATGAGAAGGTGCTGAAGCAAGTCATCGCTGATAATAAAGAAGGTATGGTGCCCTGTCTCAAAACCTGCACTATGCACTCACTTACCCTAACTATGCACTGATCACAAGGTGCAGTAGCTGTATGAATCTGTTGAACACGTTGCATTGCACAGGCAATGGCAGCGGTGTCACTGGCACTTCTTCAAAATGTGATCAAGTCCTTGAACTTGTGACATGTTAATGAATGAAAGGTTTGCGGAAACACCATGTGCGAATAATTTCTCAACTAAGAGAATGGTTCTGAAAAGAACCAGAGGTATAAACTGGACACTCTGGTCAGTATGCCTTGACTGTCTTCAGGAGACGGTCAGACCTTCTCCTGAAGACGTCGAGTTCATACCTAGCTGGCTCTTTTCAGAACCATTCTGTTAGTTGAGAAATTATTCGCACATGGTGTTTCCGCAAACCTTCCATTCATTAGTATCTTCACCATGCCAAGCCTCAAATCTTACTTGTGACATGTTTTTGCCTTGTGATTACTAGCGATTGATCTGTGAATGATTGGTGATGACTTGTGATATGTTATGATGACTTGTGATGTGTTTTGATAACTTTACATGTTATGGGATGATTTTGTGGTGACTTGCTATGACTTGTGATGAATTGTAAATCTTCTTGTGATGACATTTAATGTCTTGTGATGTCTTGTGATGGCTAGTGATTGATCTGTGATTTACTTGTGATGACTTACAATGACATGTAGTGACTCAGGTATGTGTTGTGATGACTTGTGATAACTTGTGATGACTTGTGATGAGGTGTAATGACTAGTGATTGGCTTGTGATAACCAGTGTTGTAGGTCTCGAGACCGGTCTCGAGACCACTTTTTGCTGGTCTCGGTCTCGGTCTCGGTCTTGGAAGCTGTGGTCTCGGTCTTGGTCTCGGTCTCGGTCCCCTTTGGTCTCGATATTTTGGCTGGTCTCGGGTCGAGACCGGCAATATGTAGCTTTTACAGCTCGATCGATTACTCTTTGTTCATTTCGTTCAGTACAATTGATAGTTAAAACATTTGCTAGCCCGTAGATCAAGCTTGTTATATATCGCGGTCGGTTTGGACTCGACTGCACGTTGGAAAGTCTCCAAAGTACATGTAAAGCTGCAGCAGTACCAGTCACTGAAGGATTTGGAACAAGTTCGGCATTTATCTGTTGAGTCGGGCACATAAAGCAAAGAATAAACTTGTAACAATTTATGCAATAAGGGTCAACCATTTTCGGGGATTGTGTAGTTTAGCCCACCCCTGTGGGCGTAATCACTCGCATTTTGTATTCTGATAATAAATGAGGTGCTTCAAATTAGTTATATTTTCGACCCCACACAATGATCTCTTTAATTTGGGACAGTATTTTGAAGAAAAAGTAAATTTTTCTACCTGATTTTCCAACATTGAACTCACACACTCTTACCAGTTACCACTCACTGTTGCCATGAGAGTGTATGATGAGACCCCATTTTCTGGCTGCTCAGTTTGCAGTACCCCATTATTCCTCAAAAATTAAAATTCCATTCAGAATTTTTTTTTAAAATCCATATCTGGCACATTCTGGCTACCACCTCGCAACTTGCGGGTCTACATGTACAAGTCCACATTCTATGACAGAAATTTAAAAATTGATTCAACATTTTCTAGCTCCCATTTTTTAAAATCAAGTACACAAGTCTTGTTAGAAGTTAAGTCCTATATTTATTTTAGGAAAAAAGAGGCACAATGTAAAATTAAAATTGCATCTTTAAATATCCGTTAGAAGTCATAGCTGAAACCAAGGGGTGACTGTTGAGTTTAGGATCCGAGTTCCTATAACAGATGAAACATCTACCTTTAACTTTTACTTTTGTCACGACTGGGTGCAGCCCATATTTCTTAAGTATAACTACTTTTTGCTCAAGTAAGGTGTCATGTATCAATTTGTCAACACTGCCACTGGTCAAAATTTTGGTCTGTAATCTTTGTGAATAGAAAGGTTACAGGTTTCAACTATAATAACGTGTCTTGTTTTTTTATTTCGACTATTGTTATTTATTATCAGCGGTCTCGGTCTCGGTCTCGGTCTCGGTCTCGGACCATATTGGTCTCGGTCTCGGTCCGCCTTGAAGGGGCTGGTCTCGGTCTCGGTCTCGGTCTCGAATCTTCAGGTCTCGGTCTTGGTCTCGGTCTCGGACTATCCGGTCTCGACTACAACACTGGTGATAACTAGTGATGACTTATGATAAAATGTGATAACGTGTGATGTTGTTGTGATTACTTGTGACGTCTTGTGATGGTTTGTGATAACCCAAAACAATTTTTTTTCCATTCAGGTGGTGGAATTGACCTGTCAATCAGCCACCTCCACGAAGCCGAGCAGAACCTGAAGGCTCTCGTCAGGGAGAAGTTTGACTCAGCAATCCAGAGCAGAGACAGGGGATCCGTGGAGAGGTTCTTCAAGATCTTCCCACTCCTAGGGCTTCATGACGAGGGACTTGAGAAATTCTCAACTTATCTCAGGACGCAGGTGAGCTCAGATCACAGTTTTACTTTGACAAAATTTCATTGACTTGACAAAATTTCATTGTAAATATTTAACTTAACCCTAACTCCCTAGGCACTTATGCTAGGATGTAACCTCAATCCTGCAAAATCCTCCAACTGCCTTCATGTAAAAATTGCATACAGCTTCAATCCAGCAAAATCCTCCATTATTTCTTGAATGGTCCTTAGAGGGGTGACCACTGCCTCAATCCCGCAAAATCCTCCAGCAGTCACTGTTATTATGTTGAGGCAGAGCCAGTGACATCCTGGAACAGTGTGGAGGATTTCAAGTATAATGTAGGCCTAAATTTATGCACGGCTGAGCATAAACAATACACAGTCCGGCCCAAGACCTTGACAAAGTGCATCCTCCCAAATCAGCCTTATACTTTTGCCATGTACATGTAGCCTCAATCCTGCAAAATCCTCCATTTGGCTAATAGGATTTTTGAGGATTTGGGAAGGTTAGGGTTAAGGCCAAAAAAAAAAAGTCTCCGGTTTCTGGTATGGAGCTTGCCCAAAAAGTGGTGCGGCGACGCGGCTGTTTTTTTTTTTTTTAACTGTTTTTTTTGCTTCAAATGTCGGCTGAGGACTGCAATTGGTGCCCGACTAAACTAAGTGAAAATATATGGGAGTCCAGAGAGGCCACATAAAGCTTATTCTCGATCATAACCCCATCTAAAAACACGTTAAAATTGTGCAGCAGCAGGATTCCAGTCAAACCAGTGAGTTTGGCAGTTTTGAGACATCATCTTTTATTGAAAAAAAAAACTTTTTCATTTTGCCGACACGCATGGCTACGGCGACGCGCGCGTACAAAGTTTGCTTGAATACAAATCAAGACATTCATGTGTTACCCTTTTACGTCCATGTGCACAACAACAACAAAATGAGAGGAAAATAAAGAACGATCTTTTACATTTGTCTCTTTGTTTTGTTTTTCAGGTGGCTAATAAAGCCAAGGAGAATCTTGCCCTGTCCCTAAGCAAGGACAGCTCGGATCGACGAGCCAGCGTCATCTATGCCGACACCATCACTATGCTGTTTGAAGATATCGGCAAGTGTGTGGAGATACATCAACCACTGGTGGAGACTTTCTACGGTAAGTCTTCGAGAGCCATCTCTTTGAGTTCTAGCAGCCATCTCTTTGAGTTGGAGAGATTCCCATCAGTTTCAAACTGGCATTCCATTGCACCAAACCAATATATTCAAAAGATTTGACTGAAGTTTGATATTTGAAAAAGTAAGGAGCTACGATAGACTGTTGCAGTCATCAAACTTTTTTGAGGTACCTGAAAAACAATAATGATACAAACAATTTTATAGTAAGTAAAAGGTAAAGTACTTTGCACCATTTCTCAATGCACAGTTATACCACTGTCCGTTAGGCTGTGAGGCCAGTTTTCTGCAGCAGCTTGAGATCAGCGCAATCCAGGTCTCTAAACTCACAGGTACCCATTTATACTCCTGGGTGGAGAGAGGCAATTGTAGTAAAGTGTCTTGCCCAAGAACACAAGCACCATGTATCTTCATCAGGGTTTGAACACCATGCACCACTACACATGAGCTGGACTCTCTAACCGATAGACCTCGGCCTCCGTGAGTTCTTTGACACAGATGCAAGCAAATGAGTAATGAGTCATGAGCAATGAGTAGTGAGTCACTTGTTTCCCCCTTTTTTGGTCTTAGGTCCAGGTAGATTGTTCACCCTCATGCAGTCGCTACAGCAAGAGTGTGACGTTCAGGCCAAGAAGATCGTGGAGAGCTTCGTCCGTAACCGAGACTTTGACACCAGGGCGCAGCAGGTCCAACAGAGCTTACGAGGCTACAAATCATCAAACCCCAACGACAAGTACGTCTGTTCTCTTTACTCCTAATGTCCAAGTCCTATTTTGCTAGGAGCATTCATAAATCCTCCAAAATCTTCCGCTGTGTAGGAAACCATGGGACTACTCTTTGTACCTACCAAGTTTCAAGAGGCCTTTGAGTCCCATGTGAAGTAATAGTGGCTGGGCTGTGCCTTCCTGAAACCTACAAAATCTTCTGAAACCCATGGAAACCTTTTTTTTTTCTTCAGAAAATAACCCAGTTGATGTGTTCTGCTTACATTGCTTTTAACACCGTAATTTTCTCAAATCAAATGTTCTTTCTACATATGAAAACGATTCTACAAGTATTGAAATGTTAAGTCCGCCTTCTTTCTATCAATAATGGGTTTTGTCCTTCACCAACGTATTTTATAAATACTGTATACTCAGTGTTGTCCCGAATGATTGTGAGACAAAAATCACAAACTACAATCTCCTGCTTACTAGAACATATGTCTTGCCTCTCTTTTTGTCTGATAGACTGGATCCACGGGACCTAGACGTCATGCTAGCAGAATGTACATTACTGAATACGAGGACAGAGCTGTATCTGAGATTCGTCAAGAGGAGAATACTGGTGAGTAGATGTTGATATTTACTAAGTTTTCAATGACTCTGCTCCTGAACTCAAGAGGGCGCTGTTTAGGTTATCAGTGATGGTGAGTGAAGGGCACCAGCACTTTAACTGGTTCACTTGCACTTGTCATCCTTTTACATTTGGAATACCAGTGGATATGCAACTTAGAATACCTCTAGTGGGAATACCTCTAGTCAAACACTGGCTTTGGTTCCTGGCTCCCTGCTGTATATTATGATGCGTGCAGCTGTTGGTTACCAGTGATGCAACCGTGCCCCAGGCTACGGTTCCAAATAGTCGACTAAAGCAGTCCAACCATGGCCAAGTTCGCGCAAGGACTATAGTTGACCAATGGTTAACTAACGTTTGCCCGAACTCTGTCTAGTCGGCGGTGGTTGACTACGCTAGTCGACTATTTGGAACCAGCCTACTGGGGTTAGTTGCTTCGCTGGTAACCAATAGCCGCGCGCATTCATAACGCTAGCAGAGAGCCAGCATCCAGAAGTTTTGCGATGACATTTTGACCAGCGTTTGACTAGAGAGGTTCGCACGTTGCTATTAGTGCGCAGGCGTAAGGTACGTCACAAATCAACCACTAGTCGACTAATGGTCCTTGCCCGGACTTGGCCCATCCTGCGTTGGAGTAAAGTTAGTCATATTTTGGTTAACATAGTCCTGGCCAGAACTTATTCTCAGTTGAACAAGAGCAAATCGAGATAGGCTGGATCCCAGTCCTTCCATTGTATTCTTAAGTGTGAAAGTATGGGGCAGGAACCAGTTAGGAAATGAGAGTAAATTATATAACCGACATACAGATCCTTGTCATTTGATTGGTGGAACTCACATCACGTGTCATTCGTTATTGCTGCCGTTCACGCCGGGTCTTAAAAAGTACTATCCGCCCATGGGGAATGGGAAATACTATTGAACAGTTAAGGATCACCATTGTTCCAAGACGTGGTATTTGTGTGCAAATGCTTGCTGGTGTGCGTGTTCAGCGTTGCGCGTAGTGCGTATTGTTCCAAAGAGCCAGCGCTACAGCTTGGGTTCAAACATTTTCGTGAAGGGGTGGTTTGGAAGAGAGAAATACATTTTTCACCAATTTTGTATTGAAATAAAAGTTCAAATATATCAAATGACAAGGATCAATATGTCAGTTATATAAAACAAATATTGAGTGGCTTTAAATTGTGAAATGGGAGGAATATTATCGCTCGGTAAAATCTGGACTTTTCCAGTTCACTCGGCTTCGCCTCGTGAACCCCGGTCACAGAGGTGAACATTGAGGAAACCACCAACATGCCAACCTGACTCTTCTAAATCTAAAGTCGACCAATCTATCATATTTTTGACAGAGTGATATCGAAGTCTTGGACGAAGACGTCGCGACGAAGCAAGCCCGCCAAGGGGAACTGGACAGGTTCCTGATGAACTGCCAACTCAGTCGACACATGCAGGAACTGATTGGCAACTACATCATGATGGAAGAATACTTCATGCATGAGACAGTTACAAAGGTCTGCTTGGCCGTTCGAAATTATCTTTTTCTTAGTCATGGGTTGCCCGACTTGGAATTTTTATCAAGGGCTCCCTCTGGTGTTTAAGTTTGTGCAGTTTGTTGTTATCTTTACCACATAGTGTAAAATAAGAAAGCAACATCTCAAGGATGAAGTGATTTTACTGTTTTGCATTTGAGGAAAAGTAAGGAGAAATTTTAATGAAAGATCATCTGCAAACTCAATGTGGACTTTTTTCTTCAATTTGTTTTGAATTTGTTTGGTAGTGGTTTCAATATTATTGTTAATTTCTAAAAAGCATTCTGCATTCCTTAATATGATTTATGAATTTTACGAATATGCAATAGTCAAAAACCCACCCACTTTGGTGGTTTAGGAAGATAAAGGAAGTCAACACAAGGCAAAGTTGTGCATCATAATTATGTTATTTTTTAAACAGACTATTATCAAGAATCAAGTAAGCTTTTTGAAATTTGTTTATGAATAATTACTTCAGTGGAAATATGAAATAATAATACAAGCTTTTGGAAATTTGAAAAATTAATTACTGGGATAGTTATTGAAATAATTTGAATTCTGGACTTGAATATTGTACTACCTGCCACATTTTTTTTTTAATTTTTGATCTGCTACTACTGGATGACTGCCAATATACATTATCAATCTATCTTAGTTGTTCAATCAAATCATTCATTTTTTCCCCCTGTTTGATTTTCTTTGAAGGCGGTGAGTTTAGACAGCCTCGAGTCTGGCTCCCACACATCCAGCATGGTTGATGATATCTTCTTCATTGTCAAGAAATGTACAAGGTATGTCACATTGCTAAAATATTCATTTCAGCGTTTGATGGTGAAGAAGGGTTATAGGGATCAACAAACTACTATAATTTGCTAACCACAGCATCCCTTTTTATCCCCCTGGCTTTTAAGCCAGACAGGGGGATATTGCTATCGCGTATTCATGGGTGTGTCTGCTTGCGTTTGTTTATGGTGTAAATGGAGGACACACACGTGCAACATCATTGGTGAATCGAGGACAGGAACCAAATCGAGGACGACCTCGATAAGAAAACGTGTACAAAACCATTGAGAGCTGTTGCGAAAAAGGGTACAAACAAGGAAAAGGGTGTGGGTGTGTGTTCCATTTTATTGTAAAATTCACTCATCAATCTCAACCAAACTTGAAAGGTGTTCTGTGGAGAGAAGGCCGACTTCAAAAAAAATCCTTTCCAACATGGATATTTACGAGGTCTCTGGAGACCTCAGCTCAGTATTACTAATTACTCTAACGTAGTCTGGTGTCTCACCGAAACTCTCCATTCAACCCCAAACTCCCCATTCAACTGAGAACTGGTACCTGCCGGGTGGACAATCAAGGCCGTCACTGAAAATTGTCCTTATTAACTGCCTGTGCATGTACATGTTTACAAACTGCCAGGATGCCAGGGGGATCACGCAAGTTTTACTTGCAGTATTTTTCTTCGTTCTGGATACGTGGGTGATAACACGGTCATCTCCCCAGTGCCACACTGCGTGTTCCAGTTGCGCTCATCCAGTGTATGTATGTACACTGCTACCCTACAATTTTCTTTACTTTTTAGGAGAGCTATTTCCAGCGGTAGCACCGACTGTGCCTGTGCAATGCTCAATCACACCAGCTCCCTCTTAGAGGGTTCGTATCGAGACGTCTTGTACAGCAAGCTCCGAGCCGGTTACCCGTCAGGTTCGTTCGACGTCAGTCAAGCCTACAACATGCTGCAGCAAGGCAGGTTTGCTACGTCCACGACGGATACCAACGCCGCTAAACTAGAATTCCTGGTGAGTCTTTCAAAACTTCAGACAGCAGTTTTGTTCCTGGCATTTAAAAGCAAAATATATCCGAAAGCAAACTGAAACTTGTAGTCAAGTCAATCACAAGTCACTCGGAAATCATGTCAACATTTGAAGTGAGTGTGCAATGAAAGAGAGATGCCTTTGTCACCATTAATTTGAATTGGTTGATCCTGAAGCGAAACTGGATGAGAACTATATTGACTTGTGATTGATTTGTTATCAACCACAACTTTGAAGCGGGGAAGTAGTCAAGTCCATCACAAGTCCTGTCACAAGTAACAGTGGATGAACAATAACAAAGGTAGTAGTGGTAGTCCATCAATTCGACGATGACGTCTTCGCAATTCTCAAATAGAACAAAAGCTTATTGTCCAGGTAGGTGCACTCTCATATGACTTCGTAGACCAAATTCAGAGGCACAACGCCTCCCACAGACCTGGCAAGGAATACCGTCACCTGGAGGGGGATGCTGTTGCTGCTCATGCCTTTGAAGCCTGCGCACCGCTCGAACCTGAACAGATTGTGAGTTGAATTGGGACTGGAGGACTTGTGATGGACTTGCAGGGACTTGTGATGGACTCGACAACATCCCTGCTTTGAAGCAAGCTGACAGATGTATTTTAAAGGGAATTTTATGTAAAAATGTTGTCATTTAAAATAAAAAAATTGTTCTAGCATCCTGGACAACATTTGTGTATATGTAGGCTACCTCAGTTTGTCTGCAGAATTGCTTAGCGTTAAGACACCCACAGTCTGACAACTTCTGGTTTGTTGTATCATGAACTATCATTACAGACGACATTAAACAACATTGAGGTCAGCATTGATTTCACGCAAGCCCTCAAGAAGAGTCTAGGAGACGAGTGTGCCTCCAGGAATCAACACCTAGGGGACAAGGAGAGAGAAAAGCTAGAAAGCTGTCTGGGTGACCTAGGGAACGTCACACACAAATTCAAGGACGTTCTAGAGGTAGGACAGTAATTTTGTATTCCCTTATATTAAAAAAAAAAAATTGTGAAAATCCAGCAAAAATTGTTGATGCTACTTTTCCCTTTCATCCAAGTCAAACAGTTTGAGTATCTGTTTTATAATTACTTAAATAATGCCAGCACCCCACAATCTTTAAAATCTACCAACCAGTTTGGGATTATTGTCGGTAAATCCCAGCCATTAAACCCTTTGAATGTAGAACTTCAAAGAATGTGGCATGGGGTTTTGTTGCACAGCGAAGGATTTTAGAAGACAAGGCTTTGCCTCGCCCGATATGCAGGAAAAAGCGGCTAAGCCGCCTGTCGCAAGCATCGCGGGCAAGAGGGGGCAAAGGCCCAGGCACACGCACAATCGTGTATTTGCCTGCAATCGAGGACCTGTTGTCCCTCTTTTGTTTGTACTCAAACTTTTTTAGGAAGACCTCGCATATGTTTTGTACACTTCGCCAAATTGGGGACCCTTCGGGAATTGGGGACCCTATTGTCCTCTATTGTTCAACATCCCCTATTGACCTCTATTGTTCAACGTCCCCTATTGACCTCTATTGTTCAACGTCCCCTATTGAATGCAGAAACAAACTCACACCCAAGCATGTATTTGCCTTCAATCGGGGACCCCTATTGTCCCTCTTTTGTTTGTACTCTAACTTTTTAGGATGACCTCCCATGTGTTTTGTACCCGATCGCCAAATTGGGGACCTTTGGGAATTAGGGACCCTATTGTCCTCTATTGTTCAGCGTCCCCTATTGAATGCAAAAATAACCAACACACACTTTCTTCTTTATAGTATTGCAGTGATTTGGGAATGTTCTCAGCAAAACGTTTAGTGAGTTACGTTAAGTAACACCTCTATTTGACCATCAGTTAAAAAAAATTCACTTCATTTCCCCATTTTGTAATTTTCTCAAGCATTGTGCACCATTTATTTTAGCGTTGGGGAAGGAATCTAATTTTCCTAAGTCAGCATGATGAAAGTGCTACCACTGAGACAACTGCCTAACACTATCATCTTTCTCCCTTATTCACTTCTTTCTCTGGCCCTCTCAACAGTACGGCCTGAGTCAGTTAAGCACCAGTGCCATCAAACCACGCCTCAAGCCGTGGGTCGATAACTTCCTCTCCACAAGTCACAACATCTCGGAGGAGGAGTTCTCCAACTACGAAGCCAACGATCCGTTTGTCCAGACATTCATCATCAACCTGGAACAGCTCCTAAAGGAATTCAAGGTTCGACAAGTTTCCATTTATTTACTCATTATCTCCAATGCCAATTTAACTAATTAAACCCTGTGCTACCTGATACCGCCCTGTAGGTTACTCTCTGCACCGCCCCAAACTGCCCAAGCACTGTATGGCTCTATAAGCTCCGTGCATGACCAAGAGAGGGCTCAATTTGCCTAGTAATGGTGCCTCTTTTGGTGGGACATGCACTTCGCTGGTTCACGCACGCATTGCCTGCACAGTGTGTGGATCGCGGTACCGGTACGGTCGCAAAGCAAGATGGCGACTGATTGAAACCGATTTCACGGCTCCCCACCAGCCTCTCTCTTTTCAACCAGTGAGGGGGTACTTCTGTACGAGGCGGATAGACTCATCAGGGAATAAATAAATACAATGTAGTACAAGTTGACACGAACCCCTGGATACTTATTTACAGGAATCTTCATGAACCCGGTAAAATCCAACAATGAAGGGCAAAACCTCATTTGATTTACATCACCCCGACGCAAAATTTCATATTATGAATAGTTAATGCGGTACCCGCTGCTATGTACATCAGACTCGAACCAGCCAACCGATCCCGTTAGCTCGGTGGTCGAGTGGTAAGACGTCTGCACTAGAAAGCAGGAGGTTGTGGGTTCGAGTCCCACCCGAGTGATTTTTTTCCAACTTTCACTCGGGAGGTAACACACTGAGTATACAGTGTTAATACGTTGGTGAAGGGCAAAACCTAATTTGATTTACATCACCCCGACGCAAAATTTCATATTATGAATAACTTAAAGACAGTATTTCTTTTTGACTTGTAAAAACTTTGTGGAATAAGTTGATACCAAAGTTTTTGGCCAAAGAAGTGATGGCATGCACAAGTACCCCCTCAACGGTTACAAAGAGAAAGTTGGGGGAGACCACTGAGTGGGACTCTTGAACGCATTTGTAAATTTTGTTGATCTTCTTGATAAACAGACTAATACTTGTTTTTGTTGTTATTTTGGTTTTTTTGCACACAGGAGTTGCTCACCCCGGCAAATTACGACGCTCTCATCGGATTACTCACGAGCGAGGTCACAACTCAGCTTGAGAAGACGGTGCTCAAGTCAGTCTTCAACAGAGTGAGTTGAGAAAAAGCCAGAATTCACTGATGGGTGACAGGATTTTGGGAATCCAGTAACAAATTTTATGAATCCAATGCGGGGGACAAACAAACAGGCATGAATTTGAGATTATGGCCTTGTTCAAATGTTGCTGTACTTTAATAACTACAATTTTACAGGTTTTAATTTTCAGGGTGAAGTCAAGCTGCTAAATTGCTTTAACCCTAAACCGCCCTTAGTCCTTCAAAATCCTCTTTGCCAAAGTGGAGGAATTTGGAGGATTGAGGTTACGTGGCAAAAGTGCGTTACTGATTTCGTAGGATGCTCTTTTGTCAATGTCTTAGGCCGGACCTTGTGTTGTTTTTGCTCAGCCATGCATAAATATAGCCTAGGCCTGGATTATGCTTGAAATCCTCCGTACTGCTCCAGGATGTCACTGGCCAAGCCTCAACATATTGACAGTCACTGCCGCAGGATTTTGCAGGATTCAGGCAGTGGTCACCCCTCCACAGACCGTATTCAAGAAGTAATGGAGGAATTTGCAGGATTGAGGCTGTATGCTATTTTCCCATGAGACCAGTTGGAGGATTTTGCAGGAGTGAGGCTACATCCTAGCAAAAAGGCCTAGGGAGTAAGGGTTAATGAATGTAAAAAAAAAAAAAAAGTTTGTTTGGCTTTCAGAAGTTTGCTCTATGCAAGTCGTACTTGTCAACTGTTTCTGTCAAGAACTATAAACAAATAAATGTCACTCTATCTTATCGTTTTAGCTTGGTGGTTTGCAGTATGACAAGGAACTACGTTCCTTAGTCGGTTACCTAACCTCAGTCACACAGTGGACCATCAGAGACAAGTTTGCCAGGCTCACCCAGATGGCTACCATCTTGAACCTTGAGAGAGTGAGTACGGCTATGGATTCTCACAGTACATATCTATGTCAAAACAACTGAAGCCATAGTCGCTAACTGGCCAAATCGGATGTGGCTATAACGGTCTACGTTTTATCAAATCTTTTTCAAAATGTTTTATAAAAGAGAACCAATTAATGACATTGTTGACATAGAGTTGCCCAGAAAGAGAAGTATAATCTGGCTACCGATCGTCGTCAAATGATCGTCTGTTGTTAACAAATTGTGACTTCAAATTGATTTCTTTTTAATTTAATAACCCAATAGTCGGCAAAATGATGTCTAATAAGTTTACTACAGTGGAACGCCACTATACCGAACACCGTTATACCGAACATTCGGCTATACCGATCATCATCCTTGGCTCCCAGTTTTAATGTACAAAACGTACCAAACTCTGCTGTTGAAAAAAAATCAGCAGATTAACAAAAAAATCTACAGGTTATATTAAATGCTATTTGGAAAAATTGAGATGAACTGGGTTTGAACCTGCAACCTCGAGATCACCGTACCGGTGCTCCAGCGAATGAAGTCGTGTAATAACTGTGTACTTAATAATGTTGTTTTTTTTAGGAGACACTAGTCAAAAGCCACAAAGCTGTCGATATATAGAGTTACTTGACATAGTTATGGTATAATATTCTTCTCTTTTTTTTACCCGGCAGGTTTCAGAAATCTTAGACTACTGGGGCTCCAACTCAGGACCTTTGACCTGGAGATTGACCCCAGCAGAGGTCAGACAGGTGTTGTCCCTTAGGTAGGTCATCGGTCATCCCGTACTCAATATCGTAGTTGGCATCTTGCTAGAAGTGACCTTTCGAAACGAGTCTTGAGGACATTTTGTTTTTCATGTATTCATTTTCCATGTTTGCAGTAGACAGAGCCATCAGCCACCTCCTTATGTTGTTATATTTCACATTTTGATATTCTGATAAATATAGACATTTTGTGGGCGAAAAAAATTGAAAGTTCCTATTGATTTCCAAGATTTGTTTCAGGGCTTTTAACCAAAAAGTAGCCGTGTATGGTTGGGTCACACAAATAGTGCTTTAAAATCGCCAACAACCAATAATTTACTTGTTGCCCTTTTTTCCCCCAGAATCGACTTTCGGACTGAGGACATCAAGAGGTTAAAACTCTGAAACAGTCCTTGCCGGTAAACGTCTCCACCTGTAATTCAAAATGGCCGCTTCCAGGGAATTCCACTGCGTAACAGACAAGGCAATGCAGCATTCCGATTGGCCCAAAGTCACATGACATATCACATGACACATCACATGGGTCTTACTGTCAGTTAGGTGTCTTTATTCCCATGCATGCTTTCATCGATTATATTTTTCAATTTTACAATGTCACATTGTTTTGTTTGTTAGTTCGGTGATGCTTATAATATTTTGCACAGTCGAGGGGTATTCCAGAAAGATTAGAGGGTAATAACTACCCCAGGACCAGACTGGGACCGTAACTGCATACTGATGTTTTTTAATCACCATTTGGCTATTAAACTAACACTCACACAAGGTGTACCTCAAAATGCTGTAGTTACAAGCATGTCTCCTGCGAAATTTGAGATCTTAAATCCAATTTGTAAGCAAATAATGGCAGTTTGTAGTTCACCCACCTGGTTCTGGAAAGGTTCGTGTGCTCCGCAAGTATTCCGGGTCAAATATATGTTTGGACTTCGGTAACTCTCTGAAAAAAATTACAATTGACAACTAAAATGTTGATGGTGCAATGCTCACAACGACAACAACTTAGCAACCCAGAAGTTTCAAGGAACTTTAAGCAAACTGTAGTGAATAAGAAGCTGAATACATAATTAACGCATCTAGGAACACAAACATTAAAACAGGTCAGTGACTCAGTGTAACAATATTTGCTATAAAATACTAACCCCCAAATCCATCCATTTCTGAAAATTACGGCAAAAGCAAATGATGTATATGTGACGAGGGCTTTGTCATTAAGTTAATATGTGGGATTATGTGGTATGCAAGTGTCACACTTGTCACAATGTGTCCTACTTTGTCACATTTGTCACTCTGGCACACTTGTCACACTGTGAGTGTGACAAATAATTGATAAAAAAATTCACTTTGTGTAGTTTGATGACATTCAAGTGCCTTGTTTAAATGCAAGTTTGTATTTGTATTCACTGTTATGAAATAGGGTGCCAGACTCGGTACATATATTTATATCTTTAGCATTTGACAGCAATTTCTTTTTTATATTTTAGTTGACACATACATTCCAATGGTCTTATAATGAATGTATTGTAATTCAACATTGATGCAGAAAAGGATATTTTTAACAATGCATGAATTTTCAAGATATTTGAAATGTTCATGTTTGCCCTTGAACTAAAAAAAAAGAAGGAATTACCAAATGCAAAGAGAAATTTAGTGTTCAAAGTAACAAAATCTGTCCAACCTGATTCAATTTAAAAATCATATTACTTTTGAAATTTTTTGTAATAAAGGTTTTTTGTGGTAGTTTCGTGGCAAGAGATCTCACATTTTTTTGGGGGGGAAAAAAATGGTTGTTCTGATGTAGGATATTTTTTTTTCTTGTATCACAAGCTTTTTTTTCCATGAAACACGGCAAAGTAAGTTTGTAATATTTATAAACAATAACTTAGGTTCCCTTGGTGCCCCAAACCACTGGTTACCGTTGAAGTGAAGTTTAGTTTGTTAAATATTTAGCAATGTTTCCTTGACATTGTAAATGTCGCTCAATTTATTGCAAGTTATGGCGGGGAAAAAAAAGGTTTCCATTTTTTTTTTATATTTTAGTTTTCTATCAGAGTACTTATGAGTTATGTGTTTCAGCACCTTCTGTAAATATTCTGTGTATAAATTATAACTTAAATGTCAATAATGTAAATATACCTGCATTGTACAGATGAAAGATCGGAATAATCATGTTCTTTGCTGCCAAAATATTCTTTGAACAAATAAAAAAACTTCCAACATAATATTCCACGGAGGTCCTTGTTTTGTCGTTTATCGATTTCTAAATTTAATTTGAAGTCTATCAGAAGAAAGTATGAGAACTGCAAAATCTAAAAAATGGAGAACAACTTTGCAGGAAAGGTTCTCTTTTTATAAAAAAAATAGTTCGACTGAAAAGGCAAAACCCTATATTATTATTATTATTATTATTTATTCGGCCAAAACATTCAAAATACAAACATGTACATGTACATACAATGTAAGAAATGTCATACATCAAGGACAGTCAAGATGAAAGATAAATTGTGTAACAAATACCAATCAAAAAGAATAGATGTGTATAGGTACAGTAGGTAAGAATGAGATGGGGAAGAAATGGGGGTGGGGATGAGGAATGTATAGAAGGGGAGCGGATTGGGGAAGAGTGGAAGTGGGAGGGAGTTCAACAAGCAGAGTAAAGACAATCCAATCTAAGATGGCCAGGATGAACAAAAGTGAAAACACTGTGACTCAAAAGCCTGTTCATCCAATCCTAGGTTGGTAACATGAAATAACTTTAAAATATAACTATTAAATACAAGTAATATGAGAAGTTAAAAATAAATCTGGAAATTAAAAATGCTATAATAATGGAGGGTAATATATATGAATAAAAAAATGGGTAAATAAATATCTGCTAAATATGTAAATGAATTTAAATGAAAATAAAAAAGTAGCATAAATAAAATAATTCAGTAAGAAACACAATAAGTGATAAACAAGTAAGCAATGAAACATACAAACGAGTTGAAAAAAGCATCTTAACAAAGACAAGAACAATCAGATAAAACCATACAGAAAAAACATAACAGATACCGTACACATGCAAACAGACAAGCAAAGTTACAATTATACGAACAGTCTAATACATGTACAAACGTAACACACACACACACACACTAAAACATATTAACAAAAAACAAACAAACGACAAACAGCCCAACACCCCAACAAACAAACAAACAAACCAAAAGTTAATAAGAGAACTTTATACGAAAAAAAAATTAAATGATTCATGAAGGAAAGAAAACTGACTGGTATAATAGAAAACTGACTGGTATAATAGAAAACTGACTGGTATAATAGAAAACTGACTGGTATAATTTAATTAACATCACCAGATGCAAATTCTGTGAACACTTTCGACAGATTTAATGCCTTTTCATGCATACAGGTTTTAATGGATTTGGATGAATTCAATCATGAGCATATCTTTCCAACATTACTATTAAAACCGTAGACGTCTGTACTGGGCCGGGAATTTCCCTAAATGTGCAATAATTAAGATGACACTGGGGGAATTCCCTCGATGTGCAATACGGAAATTGAGTCGCAGAGGAGGTTGATCAGAACAAAGAAGTTCATTTTTGCACCAAATACCTGCGCGGTCACTCAGTGAGTACCAACAGGCTACACAGACCTTTTTTCAATTAAAAAAGGTGAGTAAACTGTGACTAATAGTACTCTTATGATACTTTTATTCGCAATATATGGATGTGAACTACATTATTCTTAAGAATCTTAACCCAAAAGTTTTATATGTAATAGCCTATATAGGCATGATAGGTGGAATAATGAAAGCATGAGTTGTGTTTCTCAAATGTTAAACCCGACTTGATGTCTAAAAAAAATTGGGATGCATTGTGTGATGGATGGCAAGCACAGAGTAGTACATATCGTCACCGTTTTCACGAAGGGGCGGGGCATGTCAAAATTGACATTTTTTTCGATTTCGAGTTTTTTCACTATTTTGCTTTAAAACATGGTACTTGAGCATTCTGACATGTTCCCGTAAGCAAAACATCATTAATTCCTGAATAACATTAATGACGTCAGGGGCAGGCATCTCGATAATGGCATTTTGCGATTTCACGAAGAGACGCGAACATGCCTGCCCCCGTGAACACGTACAAAACGTATTGCACGGAAAGTAGGTCAACGGAGATTTTCGGTTTCAGGAAGAGACGGGCATCTGTGTTACATTCTCAGCTACGCGCGCGTAATCAAACACGCGCCCCCTTCCCTATGGAAAAGCACATTAAACAAGAAGGGTGTTATGGAACAGTTGGATTTTCGATTTCACGAAGGGACGGGCATCTTTACTAATTAATTTCGGCTAATTAACCACTGTATTAATTATAAGTATTGGGTTCAAATTAAAGTTTACCTATCAAAGAATTACGTCAAGGTTTCCTTATTGCATAAAGTTGTTGCAAAGTAGTAGTTTTGCTGTTTTAAAAACGGAGAAACTTCTCTTGCGATTATCTCGAAAAAAAAATTTCTTCAAAATCCACATGCCCGTCCCTTCGTGAAACCGGTGACGATATATTTATACAATATTCAGATATTTCTGAAATTAACATTTAAAAAAATGTATGTATTATTAATTTGTTTCTATTATTAATAATTTTTGCAGTGATTACATTCAGAGATCACCATGGATGTACAGCCTGGACATTGCTGGCGTTGTGAGGAGAAAATTCTCCCAGAGCACACTGTGCCTTGCAGCCGATGCCCGATGGCCGTATACTGCTCCACTCAGTGCCAAGTAAAGGACAGCAATAGACACAGCACTGTGGAGTGCGAAATGTTCGAGGAGAAAATATGCAGCACCTGCGACAAACCTGGGAAAACACTGGTGGTAGGTTGCTGGTTGACATTTCATTTTTCTTTTTTGTAATAAAAAAAAAAGACCATGCAGGCAATAAAAGCTGGTCCCGAGCACCAATTCTATATGCTAAATCTAGACGTCCTTAGTGGTGCTAGCTGGAGTTACCCAGCTCTAAATTTTATCATTGGGTTGACAACCCAATGATAAAATTTAGGGATGGGTCAAAAACTCCAGGTATAGCGGTGCCATGTTTCAGCGCGCATGGGTTATTGGACTGGGCAGCAATTCACTACGAAGTGGGTACCCTTAACAAAACTCACCAACACTCCACAAAGGACGTCTTGGAAACTTTGTGTTAATTTCTGCTCGGGAAATTCCTAGAATCAAGTGTGCATTTGCATGCGTGCGTGACGTATGTCTGGTTTTTGCACGTATAGGCCTACTGCAGTTTTCTAAGCCACGTTTCTATACAGCTTGCAAGCAATCCTGTTAGTTTTGTTGGATTAAAAAAAAAATTGACTGCGTGGACAAAGCGATTGATTTTGCAGCAAAGAAACTGGGCCCAAGAAGGCTAAAAATCAGTTTGATCTTCATCGACTTGATTCAACCCAACTGTACGGTGGATCAGCACCTAGCGCCATGAATTGCACACGTATGGTACATTGCCTTACAGTTTTCAGAACAGCTATTTTGTTTCCACCGATGCGCATGGGCTGTTATGTCAAGCCCTGTTGCAATGTGAAATTTTCAAGATGCTTTGTGTGTGTGGTTCGTCAATCGAGTCAGGTTCGTACACGGTTCAAAGGATGTAGGCCGGTTCTCTTCACCAGCCTTCATCAAGTCTGTCACAAGTGTTGGTTGGTTGGTCAGTCAAATGGTCGGATGGTTGGTCGGTCGGTCTGTCGGTTGGTCAGTCAGTAAGTCAGACTGGATAGGTACAAAGAGGACATTAAGGGTCCTCTCGGATCGGCAAAAAGACATGAAAAGCTAAAACATGAAAAGCAAATTGTGTTAATGTTTTGTTCTGTTTCTGCAGTGTTCAGCATGCAACAATGCATGGTATTGCAATGCAGACTGTCAACGGCGTGACTTTCCATTGCACAAAACAACATGTCGGGAAGTTCTGTCCACCATCAAGGAAATATCGAAGTATCTGACCAGATTGGTAATAGGGTATGGCGATTATCCCGAATACTTTGGGAACACCATTGCGGTAGACTTCCTTCGACTTGGCAACAATGAATGGTCCGGAAAGAAAGTTGAGGAGCAACGGCGAGATAGGGACTACCGCGTCTTATCTGCTGGTTGCGGAGACCTGCGCAACACAGTGTTGACGGCTGCTTCCCTGCCCTCTGAGTACCAGGGAAAGCTTCATGTGACTCTTAATGATCTGGATCCATTTGTTCTTGCAAGGAACGTGCTGTTTCTCTTCATGTTGGTTCGTTTTGCAGACACTGACTACATTGCTTCTAGTTTGACGACCATCTGGTACTCACTCCATATTTCCAAGAGAGAGTTCGACTTGATCAAGACAAGCTTGGATGAACTCATTCAGATGAGTGCTCAGCAACTCAGTGATGCCACAAGAGGACTGGTGAGTGTCTTGGATGAAGAACTTAGATATCTTCGCCATGTTTGGAGAGGATGGCAATCACTGGAATGTCGAAGAGGCAATCCAGCCTCTATCAATCTCAGAAAACAAAGACAGAAAATGTTTGAGAACAGTGACAATTTTTTTAAGGTTGAACGCTCAGCATATTTGAGGTGTCTGAATGCAAATGATAGAAAGCAGATGGAAAAGTGGTTTGAGCATGGTCTGTTCCTACCTTGTGAGGCAAATCAAAGAGACATACCATTCGACAACCCTACACTTACTGCCCCAGAGGCAAGCAAGCTTATAGCACCCAACGGTTGCGTACAACTTCTGGAAAGATCTCCTGAGATGCCGAAAGAGGTCGACAAGTTACAATTCAAATACCTCATTAGTCCCAAAAGGATGCCCTTTGCAGTGTGGGACTGTTTGAGAGTAAGAGAGCACATCACCCCTGGATCCGACTCCTCTCCGATGGTGACGTACCACAAGTATGTGACAAACCTCCTCCAGAAAGGCAGGAGCCTCATCCGTCAAAAAAGGCTTCTCATCCATGTCTCCTTGGCCAACTATCTGGCCTTTCCTAAACATCATCAAACCCTGAAAATGCCCAGCTATGACCGAATCTTCACCTCCAACCTTGCTGACTATGATGGATTCGCTAAACTTCTTCAGATTTTCAAGCCACTGCTCAACGCCAGCAACAGCTACTCTGTCATCGTCACCGAGGTGATGGGATTCCGTGAAAATGCTGCACCTAACCCATGGGAACTTCAGAAAACAAAAGGAGAACAACACGAGACCTTGGATTACAGTGCCTTACACTGCTTTCTCCAGTATCTCCGTGCAGATATCATGGCAGGGGGGTTTCACATACCGGCACTCAAGGATGTACCATCGTTTGACAGTGTGAAGAAGTGTCAGGGCATGCGAATGCGCGACTTCCGGAAGGAACTGAACAAACTCGTTCCATTTCAGTATCGAGTGAATGAAAGGGACCTCACACTAGTGAACGCAGGTGGCAGAGCTGTAGAGTGGTTGCTTCCGAAGACTGAAAGTTAGACAGAAAATATACTTCACACACACACAAACTGTTTTGGAAGATCTAGGATTTTTTAAGAGGGAATTTGGACAAGCACTAGATGATGTTCGAGAGAGAAAACAGCTAGGCCTGAAGCAATGAAGTAAGATTTGAGAAACATTTTGATGTCATTTTAGGAATCTTAATTAAGGAAATTTGAAGTTGTTTCCAATGATATTTGAATAACTTAACATTTGTCAGATAGAAGGGGGGGGGCCGGGGCGATAGCCCAAACCAACCTCTTGGGGTAGCCCTAACCACCCCCCCCCTCCCGATCTGCCCTTGTGCTACTGTTTGCTGCATTGCATAAGGAATGTACTGCATTGTCGTCCATGTTCATAATGTTCAATACAAGTGAACGCACGTGTATATGCTCTGTATATTATGTTCGAGAGCCAACAGTCCAGAATCAATGAATTAAGATTTGCAAAACATTGTGATGTCATATCTGGAAACTTAGGATTTGCTTCTAGTAACATGTAAATAATTTAACATTGCAATGTTCATACAGAAAGGGAGTAGGGGAGGTGGGGGGGGGGGGGGGTGGAGCCCCAACCAACCCCCTTGGATTTGCCATTGCACTACTTTTGGTGCAGTTCAGATGAAGACTGTGTTGTATTATTATCCATGTTCATAATGCTCAATACATGTGAACCCACGACCTCCTGCTTACTATACTACAGACGAACCATCAAATATAAGTTGGTGAAGGGCAAACTCTAGCCCCATAAAAGTGGCCAATTTACTGGACTACCTCCGTAAATAAAGGCCACACTTGGAACATGTACCCGAACATGTAGAACTTTGTAAAATTTTGATTTTCACAATTAGGCTTTGTTTGTAGTTTATTTTTGCTTACGAAGCATACTGACTATATTTATAGGATAAAAAAAAAGTGCTGCATTTGTCAGACGTCTATTTTTCGTGTAATTTCCAGATTCGTTTGCACACAATTACGTATCAAAATTTCAACATGAAATTACACGTAAAATAGACATCTGAAAAAGGCAGCCCTTTTTTAAATATCCTATAAAGATGGCGAGTATGCTTCTAAAGCAAAATTCAATTACAAACAAAGCCTAAAAGTGAAAATCAAAATTTGACAAAGTTCTACATGTTTTTATACATGTTCCAAGTGTGGCCTTTATTTACCGAGGTATATCCAGTAAATTGGCCACATTTATGGGGCTAGGCAAAACCCAATATTGAATTTATATCTCCTTGCTCAGTGGCGCACCCAAGGGGTGGGGGGGGGGGGGGGGGCCCCTCGGGGGGCTTGAGCCCCCCCTCCCCCCAGGTTGTCAATTTTTTTAGGGGGGGGATTATTTTTTTTTAGTCCCACTATTTGACCTTGGTGATGTATGTGGCCTATTTTTCGAGTAGTATAAATAAATTTGGGGGTAAGTGGTGCCACCAACGTCAAAATAGTCCCCCCCCCAAAAAAAAAATTAAAAAATTGTGAGCCCCCCCCCCCAAAACCAAATGCTGGGTGCACCATTATTATCCTTGCTGCACAACTTGTAAATAATAACTGAGCAAATGCTGGCTAAGGCTTTAATTTGGACCTAGAATTGTCCTAAGGAAGTCGCAATGGTGGATTTTTCTTATTAGAAATAACTAGAAATAATAATAATTAGAAAGAATCCTTAACATTGGACACTGTATGCAGTCTCAACTTTCAGAAAAGTGATAAACAAACTAGCTGGAGTTACCCAGCCCTGAGTTTTATCATTGGGTTGTCTCCTAATAGACAACCCAATGATAAAACTCAGGGCTGGGTAACTCCAGCTATAAACAAACCAAACAAAACACCCCAAAATAACCAACATGCCCCTCCTGATTGTCAGCATGCAATAAACGGTATAATTCCTTGCAGAAAACAAATCACAACAACATCAGAATTTATCTTGGGACTCAAGGTAATGTGTAGTCTAAAACAACAAGTGTTGGCGAAATGAGACTTCAAAACATTTAAAGTCAGAAAAAGACCACGCATCAGGTACCTAAAATTAATACACCAAAATATTATATAGCTCCTTTTATTACCCTGTTAAAGGGAAGATACAACATTTGCAAACATCAAAAAAACAAAATGATCAACTTATCACAAAATACCTCACTGGGTTGTTAGGGAATGACAGTCTAAAGCATCCTGTAAAATCATGTCTCCTGGTGTGCTGACATTTTCAAGAAAATTTGTATTTTTCCAATATGCTGGTCGGCCGACCAGCGTTTGAGAAAACTGGCTTTTTTCAAAAACTGCTCCGAATTTTTCATAACAGTGTTCCGGCCGCATTTTCCTTGCAATTGATTACACACGTGAAGTGCCGTATAGTCTTCAATTGTGAAGTTGGCACTAAATTGGAATAAGAAGAGGGGTACACAAACCTGCCAGACTGATTCTCTGACCTTACAATCCTCAAAAGTCTATAAATTTCTCTGTTTCATCTTAAGTGGGTCAGGGAACCAGACTACAAGAACATGATTGGTTTTCTTGGTTTTTCCAGCATCTACAGGCCCAAAACGTGAAACAAGTCAGTTTAACAATATTTGCTAAAACAGACGAATCCTCCAAATCCATTTATTTCTGAAAATTGCAGCAAAAGCAAAGGCATGCACATCCCTTTAAATACAGTACGGTGTACATGCATGACCACTGTAACCGATGTATGAGTTTAGTGATTGATTGTGTAAATATTAGGACGTATACAAATGTTGCTTCTTCAAGCTTTTAGTCATAAATCCCCACTTACAAATTATTATGAGCTATAAAATGGAACAAATTATTTGTTCTTTTTTTAATTATTGACAATATATTTCTATATTGTAGGCAACATGTGTGACTAAAGTGAAAAACCTTGTTATTTAAAAGTAAACTAACAAATGTTCTCAAAATAATATTTTAAAAAAATGAAGAAAATTGGACGGTGTTGTAATTCTATAGAGTACAATAAGGCAAAAATATAAGCTTGTGTTAATCCAAAAAAAAAAAATTTCCGGTTTCTGGTATGGAGCTTGTCCAAAAAGTGGTGCGGCGACGCACCACTTCTTATAAGTTCTTATAAGTTGAGCACCTTCTGTAACTAATCTGTATATAAATTATCAATTAAAAGCCAATAAATGTATATATAGTGCACTGTACAGAATGGATTATTTGAATAATCATATTCTTTGAAGAAAAAAAATCCACTTTAATATTCCATGTGCGCTTCTACATTAGTTGTCATTTATCAATTCCTAAATGTAATTTGAAAAGTGATTCCAAACTCTATCAAATGAAATTGTGAGAACTCAAATTCTAGACGAGGTTAGCAAAGCTGGACCCCGAGAGTGCACAAAGTTGGAATGGATTTACTGGAAGTCTTTTTCGAGCATCTGGCGAACACACAACTGGGCTGGATTTAGCCTATTAAGAGGTAATCCAATTCAAAAGCACTGCCAGGATAGGCTCTCCACTGGCCAACAACAGTCTGTCAGTCAGTCGGGCTGTCTGTCTGTCCGTGAGGTACAAAGATGCAGGCTCAGGGAGGGACCACCAAAAATAAAATATAAACCAGTTGTGTACAGATTCAGCGCCCTCTCTTGAAGGAACTTATAGTTGATTCAACACAATGGGCTTATGATATTTAATGAACAGTTTGGTTATTAACTTACGAGTTAATCATTAATCCGCATTTGCTTGTACTGGGAATTCTCTAAATGTGCAATCAGATTGGGGAATTCCCTGGCTGGATGTGCAATACGATGATGTGCAATCTGCGAAATTAGTTCATACAAAGCAAGTTCATCAGAGCAAAGGCAGTTCATTTTTGCAGACCAAATAACACAGCAAGAATCACCAAACAATTCCTCTCACAAAAAGGTGAGTGAATTCTATACTCTTTGAAGATACACATGCACTTTGATTTGTAGTGGGACAGTGGACTACTTTTGTTTTGTTGATGCTAATAATATCTGTATTAATTTCAATACGATTTTGCACACACCCCTAGGGGGTGTGCAAAATTGTATTGAAATTGGAGGATTCAGGACTGCATGTTTAGGGATAGCTATGGCAATCACTAGTGCACCCCACGTATGTATGTTGGGGATTGTCACTTAAAGTTTGCCCGAGGGGTGGGGATTTTGTCACTTCAAAAGTGACAATCCCCACGTCTTGGGTGGGGCAGCTGGGGGGCGGGGAAACAATTGATAGGCGCATTACAGTTTAACAATTTTGATTTGTTTCTGTAATTGTGACCATTTATTGTTCATATTCTTTTTTGTAGTGACCAGTATACGCGTTCACCATGGATGTACAGCCTGGACATTGCTGGCGTTGTGAAAAAATTCTCCCAGAGCATACTGTGCCTTGCAGCCGATGCCCGATGGCCGTATACTGCTCCACACAGTGTCGAGACAGGGACAGTATCAGACACAGCGCTGTGGAGTGCGAAATGTTTGGGGAGAAACAGTGCAGTGCTTGCGGCAAAGCTGGGAAAACATTGCCGGTACGTACGTGCATGTGGACCATTTTAACCTTTTTTTCTTCCAATAACAAGACCAGGCAAGCCTTGTAGAATTGGTCACAGACTAGAGCAAAAATTCTATGCTAAATTGGTCGGTCTGTCAGTCGGTCGGTCAGTCAGACTGGATAGGTACAAAGAGGACTTTAAGTGGGTCCTCTTGGATCTGCAAAAATGACTAAAAATGAAAAGCTAATCACGTTTGTTTTCTGTTTCTGCAGTGTTCAGCGTGTAACAGTGCATGGTATTGCAATACAGACTGCCAACGGCGTGACTTTCCAGCACACTGGAAAAAATGTCGGGAAATTCTGACGTCCATCAAGCAAATAGCTTCGAAACTTAACAGATTGCAAGAATGGTTTAATTATGGGGATTATCCTGAATACTTTGGAAACACCATGGCAGTAGACTTCCTTCAACTTGACAACAATGAATGGTCCGGAAAGAACGTTGGAGATAAACAGCTAGATAAAAGGTGAGTCAAAAACGAAAGTGACCGAATTTGAAAAATATTTGTAATATATTTGGCTCACTCCATTTTATTAAAAAAAACATAGGGATAAAGTACATCTTATTGACTTTTAACTGTTAAAATTTCACGGAACTTATTCCCAAGTTATGTATATTTCAATTATAAAAATATCACAAAACTCGGCTGTCCACCACTGATCATTTACCGTTCTATGAACCCATTGAGTACATTGAAACATGGATGTCTCCCAACCTCCATAAAAGAACGAGAACTTGCAAAGGTAAAAATACAAAATAGCCATCAATATTTCAGGGAAAACATAATTTACTTGTTCGTCATATTCAAAAACACAAAATCTGACAGTAAATATAAGGTTTCAGTCTTGATTTCAATTTTTAACATCTCATTTATATTTAAATGCTTGTGTGTAATCTGTAATTCTCACTAAGCTTAATAGATTCCAATGGCATTCCAAAAATGGGTTCTTTTAGTAAAACATGTATAACTTCTGAAAATATAGATCAATTTCAGTAATTCTTTTTTGTCTTCAGATGAGTGGAAGAATATGCTCTTTAAAGACATGCTTGATTGGTGTATGAAATTCAATTGCCTTTTAAGAAAAACAAATCTTTATTCCGGCTCACTTTCTTTTTGACTCACCCTGTATAGAGAATATCATATCTTATCTGCTGGTTGCGGAGAGCTTCGCAACACAGTGTTGACGGCTGCTTCCCTACCCACCGAGTACCAGGGAAAGCTTCACGTGACTCTTAATGATCTGGATCCATTTGTGCTGGCACGGAACGTGTTGTTTCTCTTCATGTTGGTTCGCTTTGCAGACACTGACTACATCGCTTCCAGTTTGACGACCATCTGGTACTCACTCCATATTTCCAAGAGAGAGTATGACTTGATCAAGACAAGCTTGGATGAACTCATTCAGATGAGTGCTCAGCAACTCAGTGATGCCACACGAGGACTGGTGAGTGTCTTGGATGAAGAACTTAGATATCTGCGCGCTGTTTGGAGAGGATGGCAATCACTGGAATGTCGAAGAGACAATCGAGCCTCTATCAATCTCAGAAAACAAAGACAGAACATGTTCGAAAACAGCGACCCAATTGAGTATAAAGGTGAACGCTCAAGATATTTGAGGTGTCTGAATGCCAATGATAGAAAACAGATGGAAAAGTGGTTTGAGCATGGTCTGTTCCTACCTTGTGAGGCAAATCAAAGAGACATACCATTCGACAACCCTACACTTACTGCCCCGGAGGCAAGCAAGCTTATAGCACCCAACGGTTGCATACAACTTCTAGAAAGATCTCCTGAGATGCCGAAAGAGGTCGACAAGTTTCTATTCAAATACCTCATTACCCCATCGAGGAATCCTTTCATAGTATGGGACTGTTTGAGAGTAAGAGAGCACACCCCTGGATCCCACACCTCTCCGATGGTGATGTACCACAAGTATGTGACAAACCTCCTCCAGAAAGTCAAGAGCCTCATCCTTCAAGGGAGGCTCCTTATCCATGTTTCCTTGGCCAACTATCTGGACTTTCCTAAACATCATCAAACGTTGAACATGCCCAACTATGACCGAATCTTCACCTCCAACCTTGCCGACTTTTATGGATTTGCTAAACTCCTACAGATTTTCAAGCCACTGCTCAACGCCAGCAACAGCTTCTCTGTCCTTGTCACCGAAATTATGCAGTTCTATGCGAATGTTCCTGCAGCCAACCCAACCCAACTTCCAGAACCCCAAATTCAAAAATTGATTTGCGATTACTCCCAGGACTGGCAGACAACAGAAGCAGTGTGGGGCTGTCACATCTTCGAATATTACAACAGCACCCCTCACTTTCTACAGTATCTCCGTGCAGAAATCATGGCAGGGGGGTTTGGCATACCCGCACTCCAGGATGTACCATCATTTGAGAAAGTGAAGAAGCATCAGGGCTTGCGAATGCGCGACTTCCGGAAGGAACTGAACAAACTTGTTCCGTTTCAAAATCGATGTAATATAAGGGACCTCACAATGGCACATCCAGGTGTCAGAGCTGTAGAGTGGTTGCTTCCAAAGACTGAAAGTTAGATGGCAAAATGTACTTCACAAACACATTCTTTGCTTTGGAAGATCTAGGATTTTTCAAGGGGGAATTTGGACCCAAGTGATATTTACTTGCAATCGTGAACCCCATATTGTCCCACTTTTGTTTGTACTCTAACTTTTATGAAGACCTCCCATATTTTTTGTACACGATCGTCAAATGTGGACCTTTGGGAATTGTGGATCCTATTGTCCTCTATTGTTCAACGTCCCGGGCCCTTTTGAATGCTGAAAAAACTTGTACATGTACATACACTCTCTACATTATGTTCGAAGAGGCCTGAAGCCAGTGGCGTAGCCAGGAATTTTTCAGTGGGGGGGCGCTGGGGGGGGGGGCTGGAACATTTCATGGGGGGGGGGCGTCAAGCAGGGGCGTCAATCACTTCTCAAAAGTGGGGGAGGGGGGACATACCTTGATCATAACTGATGCAAGCGCGAAGCCCTTACGGCGTGGGGTTCGGGGCCCGCTTAAGGGCCCCGAAAAAAATTGGATTTTCGATGCTCTGTGGTGTGATCTGAGGCAATTTCTTACCACTTTAACCAATAATTATCTTAGCACAAAAGATAATAATTTAAACATAATTTTCGAGGTTTTCTCAGCTAAAGGCATAAGAAAATTTTGTGAACATTGTTTTTCGAGGTTGGAGTCATTGAATCAGCTACCAGAATTCTGAGCTATAGGCGTGGGGTTCGGGGCCCGCTTAAGGGCCCCGAAAAATTTTGGATTCTAAATGCTCTGTGGTGCTATCTGAGGCAATTTCTGACCACTTAAACCAATATTTTCTATGCAAAAGATACATTGTAGTACATAATAGGGCCCATGGCGTCATGTAGATCAATGATAATTTTTTTAGAAACTCAAAATCTCAGGGGGGGGGGGCGACTGGGGGGGGGGGGGGCGACAAGGTTTCATGGGGGGCGGTCGCTCCCCACCCCCCCCCCCCCCCCCCCACGCCCCCCCGGTGGCTACGCCACTGCCTGAAGCAATGTATGGAAATTTGCAAATAAACATTGTGATATCATTTCTGGAAAATTAATTAAGGAAATAAGAATTTTGTTTTCATTATTAAATATGTAAATAATTTGACATTTGTCAGATGGAAAGGGGGGAGGGTAGCCTCAACCAACCCCTTGGGGGTTTCCGTAACCACACACCCCCTTGGATCTGCCCTGGCACTACTGTTTGCTCCAGTGCATGAAGAATGTACTGCATTATTATCCGTGTTTAAACCTTGCCGCAAAACTTGTAAATTAACCGAGCAAATGCTGGCTTTGGATAGAAGTTTCCTAAGGAAGTCCCAACAGTGGGTTTTCTTATCAAAAGAATCCTTTCAATGGACTGTATATCATCTGTATGCAGTCTCAACTTTCAGAAAAGTGAAAAACAAACCAAACAAACCACCCAAAAAATAACATGCCCCTCCTGATTCCCAGAATGCATCGCAGTATTAAAACAGTATAATGTCACTTTTCAGAAAACAATCACAATATCAGAATTTATATTTGGACTCGAGGTAATGTTTAGCCTGAAACAACAAAACTTTGGCGAAATGAGACTTCAAAACATTTAGAGTCAGACAAAAGACCACATTTACAGAGATACCTTAAATTTATATACCAAAATATAGCTGCTTTTATTACCCTGTTAAATAAAACGTACGTATGACCACTGTAACCGATGTATGAGTTTTGTAAGTGACTGTGTAAATATTAGGACGTAAACAAATGTTGCTCTTTCAAGTTTTCAGTTATAAATCCCCACTTACAAATTATTATGAGCTATAAAATGGAACAAATTGTTTGGTTTTTTTTAATTATTTCTAAATGTAGGCAACATGTGTGACTAAAGCGAAAAACCTTGTTATTTAAAAGTAAACTAACAAATGTTTTCAAAATAATATTTTTAAAAGAAATTAAGAAAATTGGACGGTGTTGTAATTCTATAGAGTACAATTAGGCAAAAATATAAGCTCATGTTATTTAACATTTTAATCAAATCACAATATGAATCAATGTGTTTCATTGCCGGAGATCTCACATTTTGGGGGCAAATATGTTGTTCTGATCAGAAGCATTTTTGTCCATGAAACACAGCAAAGTAAATTTGTGATTTTTATAAACAATAGCTTAGGATTCTCGGTACCCCAAACCAATGGTTACCATTTAAGTGAAGTTTTGTTTTATATTTAGCAATGTTTCCTTGACATTGTAAATGTCGCTCAACTTATTGCTCAACTTCTGGTGGGGAAAAAAGGTTTCCGTTTTTTTTTTTTTAGTGTTCTATCAGTGTTCTTATACGTTTGGCACCTTCTGTAATAATCTGTAAATTAAAAGCCAATAAATGTATATACGAGTATTGTACAGATGGAATTGGAGTAATCATGTTTTCTGGCCTGCCCAACTATTCTTTGAACTTAAAAAATAATCCATCATAATATTCCATGCAGTTCTACATTTTGCTGTTTATCGTTTTCGAAATTGTGATTCCCGAGTCTATCAAAAGAATTTCTGAGAATTGCAAAATCTGAGAAATGGGGAAAAAGTTTGCAGGAAAGTTGCAGAAACAAGTCAAGGCGAGGTCAGCAAAACTGGTCCCAGAGTGCACAAAAGCCCCAATTATATTCAATTGATAGAATCAGTTGATCAGAATGTGTATTCACAGGAGCCTTTTTATGCATCTGGCATGTCAGGTATACTGGGCCAGATTTAGCTTATGATTGGGTAATCCTATACAATAGCACTGCCCGGTTCTCTTCATGGCCAACAACCAGGCTAATTTACAAGTGGCAGTCAGTCAGTCACGTGCTGGGACCAGCAAATATAAAATCTGAACCAGTTTTGTACTCGGGACACTGAGAATGATAAAAATAGGTCGACTGATAAGGCAAACGCAATACATGTAAAATTTACATCACCCCCACGCAAATTTTATGAACAAGCTAAAAAATAGTTGCTACACTTTGAATGCCCTCTCATGCATACATAATGGCATGTGGGCGCGGTGCTTGTAGGGGAAAGTCCCTGGATGTGCAATACACAGATGTGCAATCTGCTGTGAAGTTTCACTCACAAAGAAGGTTTGTCAGAACCAGGAGTGGGACGTTCACTTTTCAGCACCCAAATACCACAGTCAGCACCCTAACACAGACGTTCACCGTGACATAAAAAAGGTGAGTGAATTGTCACATATTTCTCTGAGGATATCGCAGTCGAACAGTGAACTACATTCTGTATTTTACTATACTGCGAAAATGATATTTGATATTTTTAATAACAGATTAGGGGTATGAAATAGCTTGGGAATAAACCCAAGCGCAAAGGACCTTCGATGACGCGAGCATTTGCATTTTGAACCTGACTTGATGTATTAAAAATTTGGGCTAAATTGTGAGATGGTTGGCCGCTGAGCACAGAGTACATATCAATTATATTCAATATTAGTAAAATAAATACAGATATTTTTCAAAATTAAAATTCAACAATTTGGTTTTAAGCTGGCGACTAGCTTGAGTAACTCCATGAAGCTCGTAATGCTCATTGGGAATTCGACATGAGCTGGAGTTACTCACGCTGGCTACCATATTGGGTTTTGTTTGGTAGTGACCAGTACATGTGACCACCATGGATGTACAGCCTGGACATTGCTGGCGTTGTGAGGAGAAAATTCTCCCAGAGCACACTGTGCCTTGCAGCCGATGCCCGATGGCCGTATACTGCTCCACACTGTGCCGAGACAAGGACAGCATCAGACACAGCGCTATGGAGTGCGAAATATACGGGGACAAAAAGTGCAGTGCTTGCGACAAACTTGGGAAATTACTGGAGGTAGGTCTGTATCTGTATCGGTATCATATAGTCGGCAAAGCATCCTGGGCGGGGAAACATCACACCAACTTGATGTGCATCTCGCGTGGGACTACGCCAAATTATATCACCCGGAATTTATTCTTTTCTATGTCCCAAATTTTTGTGAATTTCCTCCTTGAATAAGTTAAGTGACGTTGCACATGCTGCAGATGATGGCATTTCGTTCCAATCCTTAATAGTTCTTGGGAAGAAGCTGTTTTCGAATGCCCTGGTGCGAGTACGAATTTGCTTAAACTGCTGTGGGTTTGCTCTAGTTGCCCTTGCATTTGGAGTCAAGTAGTCTCTGCCGGTACATCAACTAGCCCCTTTATTTATTATCTTGTATATCATGATTAATCTGTTGGCTTTTCTTTGTGTCATGTCAGTTATAGTCAGTCAGTCCATTAAATAGGTACAAAGATAGACCCGTAAACACGGCGTTAATAATAACACCATGTTTACGGGTCTAGTACAAACAGGGAACTCTAGGCTGGTCCTATGGTACCTGCAAAAATGACTAAAACTTAAGAGCAAATCATGTTTGTTCTGTTTCTGCAGTGTTCAGCGTGTAACAGTGCGTGGTATTGCAATGCAGACTGCCAACGGCGTGACTTTCCATTGCACAAAACAACATGTCGGGGAATTCTTACTTCCATCAAGCAACTCTCTTCGAAGCTTTTCAGATTGAAAGGACAGTATGGTGATTTTCCCGAATACTTTGGGAACACTTTAGCAAGGGACTTCCTTCAACTTGACAACAACGAATGGTCCGGAAAGAGTGTTGAAGAGAAACTTGAGTTAGATAGGGACTATCATGTCTTATCTGCTGGTTGTGGAGACCTGCGCAGCACAGTGTTGACGGCTGCTTCCCTGCCAGCCGAGTACCAGGGAAAGCTTCACGTGACTCTTAATGATCGGGATCCATTTGTGCTGGCACGGAACGTGTTGTTTCTCTTCATGTTGGTTCGCTTTGCAGACACTGACTACATCTCTTCTAGTTTGACGACCATCTGGTACTCACTCCATATTTCAAAGAAAGAGTACGACTTGGTCAAGACAAGCTTGGATGAACTCATTCAGATGAGTGCTCAGCAACTCAGTGATGCCACAAGAGGACTGGTGAGTGTCTTGAATGAAGAACTTGGATATCTGGGCCATGTTTGGAGAGGATGGCAATCACTGGAATGTCGAAGAGGCAATCCAGCCTCTATCAATCTCAGACAACAAAGACAGGAAATGTTTGAAAACAGTGACCAAGAGTTGAAGGTTGAACGCTCAGTATATTTGACGTGTCTGAATGCGAATGATAGAAAACAGATGAAAAAGTGGTTTGCGCATGGTCTGTTTCTATCCTGTGAGGCCAATCAAAGAGACATACCATTCGACAACCCTACACTTACTGCCCAAGAGGCAAGTAAGCGTATAGCAGCCTATGGTTGTGTACAACTTCTACAAATATCTTCTGAGATGCCAAAATACCTTATTAGTTCCAAAAGGATGCCCTTTTCAGTATGGGACTGTTTGAGAGTAAGAGAGCACACTCCTGGATCCCACACCTCTCCGATGGTGATGTACCACAAGTACGTGACAAACCTCCTCCAGAAAGTCAAGAGTCTCATCCTTCAAGGAAGGCTCCTTAGCTATGTTTCCTTGGCCAACTGTCTGGACTTTCCTAATCATCATCAAGCCTTGAACATGCCCAGCTATGACCGAATCTTCACCTCCAACCTGGCTGACTTTCATGGATTTGCCAAGCTCCTTCAGATTTTCAAGCCACTGCTCAACACCAACAACAGCTTCTCTGTCATTGTCACCGAGATTGTGGGATTATATATAAATGTTCCGACGGCCGACCCATGGAAACTTCCAGAACCCCAATTTCAAAAAGTGATTTCCAATTACTCACGGGACTGGCCGACAACAAAAGCAGAATACCACTACATCTTCGAATATTACAACAGTACCCCTCCCTTTCTCCAGTTTCTCCGTGCAGATATCATGGCAGGGGAGTGTGGCACACCACCACTCCAAGACGCACCGTCGTTTGAGAGTGTGAAGAAGTGTCAGGGCATGCGAATGCGGGACTTCCGGAAGGAACTGAACAAACTTGTTCCGCTTCGGTGTCGATTGGATGTAAGGAACCTCTCATTAGTGAACGTAGGTTGCAGAGCTGTAGAGTGGTTGCTTCCAAAGACGGAAAGTTAGACAGCAAATTTACGTCACACACAAATTCTGCTTTGAAAGATCTATAGGATTTTTCATGAGTGAATCTGGACAATGTGTTAAAGTCAACACACGTACACTCTCTATATTATGTTCGTGAGCCAGCAGGCCTAAAGCAATGAATGGAGATTTGCATGACCTTTTGATGTCATTTCAGGAAACTTAATTAAGCAAATTTCGATTTGTTTAAACGTGTAATAATAGTAAAAAATACAACATTTATCAGATGGAAAGGGGCGCAGGGTAGGGAATATCCCAAATCCAACCCTTTGGGGTAGCCCTAACCACACCCCTGGATCGTGCACTACTCTTATGTTCCTGCATTGCGTGAGGAATGTACAACATTGTCATAAGATGCCCATAATGCTCAGTTAAGGAAAATACATGAGAAAGTGTAGATTCGTAATTTAAGAATTCTTGAGGCGCGAAGCACCAAGTGAATTCGTAAATTAAGAATCCACACTTGCGAGTGTATTCTTCGACTTAAACCATTGCGTCAAAAGAAGTAATGTCATTAACAGTCCAGTGAGTGGAGATGAAAAGACTTGCATATCTCGTGTCGAGTCGTGGCAATTTATAGGGTAATTTACAAGGGAGTTTATCGAGGCTCTTATAGGTAATCAAGCATTGTGGCGTGTTTAGCATGTGTATCGCCACACCCTTACAACCAAGTCATTTTGTGTGTAGACCTAATGTCAACATGAATAGTTCAGACGACGATTTTTTTCTGACTCAAAGTAGTTTTTGCAGTGAAGTGAGAATCTGACAGTGAAGATGCATTGGTAATTTTCGGAAGGAAACTTTTCATGCAGACGGAACTATTAATGCTCATTATGGAGAACAATTGTCCGTCACGTTCAAAGTGTGGATTCCGAATCCACACTTTGTGACCAGTGTAACAGATTTGTAGTTCCAAATCCATACTTTTACCAATAGTGTGACGTCATAGCAATAGTTTAAATACATGTGAACCCATGATGTCCTGTTATTGAAAATAACACTCTGAAAGAATCATAAAAAGGAACACTGTATACAGTTTCCTCTGTCAGAAAAGCGAAAAAGAAAAAAAGAAAAAAGAAAAAAGCAAACAAACAAACTAACAAACATGCCCCTCCCGATACCCAGAATGCATTGCAGTTAAACAATATGATGTCACTATGCCTCAAACCTTTCAGCCACTCAAATCTCAACATCAGAATTTGGACTCGAGGTAGGCCTATAGTCTAACTAAATTTTAATGAATTTTATCCTAAATGTATTAATCACTGTTATCCAATTAGTTTGGAGAGCCCCTCGACAGAAACTTGTTTCTTTTGGGTAATCCTGCGGGAGCTTTTTGGGTGTTGTTTTCTGTTATGTTTTCTGTTATGTTTACTACTCAGTGTTATTTGCACATGTAATTGTTTTGTCTGTAGTTCACTGGCAGTTTGTGATATCCCGGAAAATGAAATAAATAAATAAATAAATAACACAAAATGTGTTGGCAAAATGAGACTTCAAAAAGATTTAGAGTCAGAAAACGACGCACAGGTAGCTAGAATTAGTATACCAAAAAATATAGCTCCTTTATTACCCTGTTAAATTATACTTACTCTACATAACCACTGTAACAGATGTATGAGTTTAATAAGTAATAGTGTGTAAATATTAGAAAGCTTTCAGTTATGAATCCCTAACTTCCAAAAAATTATGAGTTATGGAACAAATTCAATGGTTCCTTTTTTAAAATTAATAACTATATCCCTAGCTGAACACTGTAGGCAACTTGTGTAACATAAATCCAAAAACTTTTTTTTGTTCAAAATATTTTTTTTTTCCAAAAAATGAAACAGACGAGATGTGTGTTGCATTGTAAAGAGTATAACAGGCAAAAATGTAAGCTAGTGTTATTTAACTTATTATCGATTCACAATACTAATCAATGTGAATTATTGAAAGATTTTTGAAACAATTTTAGCTAAAACAATTTAATTGAGCTGTCAAAAGTGTCAAATTGGAATGACAAGTATTAAGGCAGTAATATTCATATAAGATGTTGTTTGTCGAACGTGAAGGGTTTGTTTGGTCCAGCACAAAACTTTTCATTCTCACAAAATCATAATATATCCAATTTGACCTCATACTATTACTGTTAGTCAGTGTATACTGCAATCTACTTACTATAACTAATAACTAGTTAACCATTACTGTATCCGTTCACCTGGTTAATAGTTTAACTTTAAACCAGCCCTTGTTCTAGCCTTAATCTCCTTGCGTACGCAATCCTTGCATGACATAATTGCATGGCTGAGAGTTCAGACTGGTGTACAGACTAAAACAATTGTAGCAGAATGAAATAAACCCTGTACAAATGTATTTAACTAATAGTTAGATTAAATGCTTTTTAACATTTCATGAAAAATGCATAAACAAACCTTTGGACAAAAAAGGCCACTTCTTAAGAAAAAGGCAAGTAGTGTTAGCAGATTAAATACCCAATAAAGTATGTTACAAAAATAATACGTGAAAAGCCCATTTACCCAAGTAAAACAAATCCAGATTTATAAATTATCTATACCACACCCATAAATACCGTTTGCTCTAATTTGTATGATAATCTCTGAAAAATAGGGTTTAACTCAAAATACAATGTTAGCGAAACATTTCAACAATTATTTCTAGATGACCTACTAGATCTTGCCATTCTTCCAAGAATTGTTTTTCTCTCCAAACACGGCATTTAACAAAAAGTTGTTATTGAAGATACAATGAGTCTTGAATAAGGAAGTCTTAATTAATTTAAACTAATATTCATAGTACCAGTAATTAATATCAATACCTTACACCATATTAATAAAGTAATAATTATTTAACTTGAAAACAATATTAGAGAAAGTGTTTTGCTCCAATTTAAAAACTTTGAGGCACTTTGAGTAGAAAATTGGGAACAAAGCTTATTATTTCTAGTTACATGTACTGACTTTTAACATCAAACCCTGTAAATATAAACCCCACCTCACATTATCCTGAAAGACACTTTGAATGAAATAGTACAAAAGAATTGACCGAGGACATTTAAGGCAAGTATCCTGATGGTATAAAACATTTACCAGAATATGAAATGAAAGTATCAATTGATCCCAAATAAAGGCACTTCAGGGCAAGGGCGGATCCAGACCACAAGTTTGGGTTGGGGGCCCATAAAAAATATCGGTTCCCAAAAAGTGGGGTTCTAAAATATTTTTGGATTCTTGATGCTGTGGTGGGATCTGAGGCAATTTCTGACCACTTTAACCAATTTTTTTTCAGGAAAAGATGCTGGCGTACCCAGTGCCTGCCTTTATTGCGACGTCACTTAAAAAAAAAAATGGGCTTGTTTTTTTTTGGGGGGGGGGGGGGGGGGAGGGGGATGCCCCCCTACCCGATCTGCCCTTGCTTCAGGGACGTAACACTTTGTGTGCCCAAAACACAATACATGTAATACGAACAGGGTTGCTTATTGCTTGCACTAACAAAATCCTTGTTTTTTGTTCAGCTTCTTTTGGTTGTAAATACTTCTTTTTTTTTGCCTTTGTAATTTAAAACTCTCCTTTAATTTGAACATAGTTTCCAACTCAGAACAGGCCTGATTTCATGGTGATGCTTATTAATAGTAAGCAGAAAAGTTGAGTTTCCTGTAAGCTTGTTAAATTGCAAGGATAATTTCTGTGATTGCAGCACTTTTTCGAGCAAATGTTTCCTTTTGAGGTAAGCATTGTTTTGTGGCTTACTGCTTCCACCTTACTGTCTCTGTGCGATATATGGTGGCTCTGTAAGCAGATTGCTAAACGAAGACACGTCGTCTCTTCTAAGCAGTATTTCGTGCTTAGCAGCTTTGTGACTTTGGCTCATGTTCCCTTGAATGCTAACTTAAGCAAATAAGCCTATGAACTACGGCTCATAAAACATTAGTATTGCCTGTTGCATCATACTGTCCATTTTAGGCAGTGTTCCTGGTATGTGCGTACTTTGTGAAACATTATTTAATAAATCTAGTAAAAGATGTTTATAGTTTCAATGACTGGCAGTTTGTACGAAAGTGCAACATCAGCTGAAATGTTAATTTACAAACAATTGTACAAAAGTATAAAAATATATACGGTATTGTTTTTTTGTTCCAAATGTACTGTAGAAATGCTTTTTTTTTTAACAGTTTAGACCTGAAAATGAACACAATATGGGCAAGAAATCTATCTTCACAAACATCAGAATGTTATTTTGTATAGAAAAAGATACCAAACGGTTATTATGGAATGCAAATATGGTATGATTTGGAAACAAAATGTTCATTTACTGGACCTCAAACATCACTTTATCCTTGAGGTAATCTTTGCATTGTTTCATGCCATATCATACACTGGCTTATTTTTGTATCACAAAACCAAAACATTTTCCCAATATTGGGAGTCAAAATCTGTCTTTTAAGTTTGATACTTTACAATTTCTTCCTCGTCTTTGTGATCTCATTTTTACTGTCATTTTTTGTTGTAGTTACGAATAAAATTTGGAATGTTACTCCCATGAAAGAGAAATCTCCTCTTTATTATGTGTGTTTTCATTTTGTTAGTTCACTTCCCATCGTCCAGCTACACTCAACCAAAAAAGAAAGTCCCCCCTTCCAATACTTTTTTGAGCACCTCTCGCTCAAATAACGACTAATCAGTACAGAAATTCCTTAGCAATCCAGCCATACTCTTTATTTGGCGCAAAACAGTGATAGTGTGTACGAATTTATGCAAATTATGACAAATGATACCGAAAACAGTTGCACTTTTGTCCACATGCAAGTTGTGGTTCACACTCACCTTACACGTATCCAAAAGTGCAACTTTTTTTTCGGTACCATTTGTCATAAATTGCATAATTTTGTAAAAATTATCACTGTTTTGGGCCCAGTAGTTTTTAAATTAGACAAAAAAGTAGTAAGGAGGGACTTTTTTTGGTTGAGTGTATAATACTTCAAATACAAATGAACTGAAATGTCCCCTGTTTACATTGTGGGTATTCTGTTACCATGGTTACCGCATCAGGCAGTGGTTTCACCAACCTCTTCTACAGTGGTCATTTCCACGATCTTCTTTTCAGCCTCCAGTTGTTCGTTGTCCTTATCGGCGTTTCGTTTCTCGGCAAGCTTTAGTAATTAGGAAAAACAAAACAAAGGATGAATGTGATCTTTTGACAGACTCCCGAAGATGTGGGTGGGGAGGGGATGGGTGGGGTGGGGAGGGGATGGGTGGGGTGGGGATGGGTATGGGTGGGGTGGGATGAATAAGGTGGGGTAAGGAACAACAGAGTAAGGTTCTATGAGTTACATTTCCATGAAAAAAATTTAACCACTTTTGTAAGATAGTGTGCAATGAGTTGAATGATAGTGCCATCTAAGTCAAACGACATCAAACATTTTACGCGCCCTTTTCTCCGATGAAAATCTGGGTGAACATTTATAAGATTTCAAAAGATAGGTCACTGACATAGGGTTTACGAAAATTTCCAACTTTTTGAAGATGAATAATGAACTGTCCAACCAGTCTGGAAACAGAATGGACACTGAAATGGAATGAACACTAACGTATGAGACATTCGTGGCCAAGTTGTGGAAAGCCGAACCTTCAATGAACGGACATCTTTGTACATTAGAATGCTGCCATGATTAGATCCACAAACATGTCTGTTTTGGACTCCCAATATGAACAATTGGTGGCGCTGTACGGCCTACTCAGTGTGTGAAGGACGTTGTGCGTGCCCGCACCGGTTCACGTATATATGTCACGGAGTACACGCAACCAATTCTCATCTCAATAAGCACAAACATGTAACTTGTTTTGCATTGGCGCCAGGTGAACAGTGGCAATGGCGACCAAGTGTCCTCTCAATATCTCTCTTTGTAACCATCCATAGTGATTCATCAGTTGAGTTGTCAAATGTTCAGTATTGCAGTGTTTTTCATAGCAGCATTCTACTTTGTCTGAAATGTTCATGCTTGCGATTTGAAGTCTAAAATACTTACAACTCTTAAATCTCTCTGAAACAGATCGATGTATCAATAAGAATCAGAAACTAAAATTAGAGACCTGTAAAATTTAGAATATGTGACATAAGATGTTGGATATCAACAGGGGCGGATCCAATCCATTGTGTCAAAGCTACACAATGGGCCTTATTCACGAGTTGGCCATTTTTGTCGAGTTCCCTGAATGTATTTCATTAATTAAAGGGAAAATACAACGTTTGCAAACATCAAAAAATAAAACTACCAAATCATTTTGAAATACCTTGCTGGACTGTTAGTGAATGACAGTGTAAAGCATCCTGTAAAATCATGGCACCTGGTATACTGTCATTTTCAAGAAAAGTGCTATTTTTGTATCAATTTCCAACGCTGATCGGCCGATCAGCGTTGGAAAAAACTGGCTTTTTTCCAAATACTGGCCCCAATTGACCATCGCACTTGTTTGCAATCGATTACACACCTATGAACGGGTACAAGCCAGCTACACTGGTTCCCTGACCTTACAATTCCCCAATGTATGTAAACTGCTCTGTTTCTTCTTATATGGAGTCAGGGAACCAGACTACAGGAAAATGATTGTTTTTCTTGGTTTTTATAGCATTTTCGAACCCAAAACCTCAAAAAAGTCAGTGTAACTATATTTGCTATATATTTCCAACCCCCCAATTCCATCCATTTCTGAAAATTACATCAAAAGCAAATGATGTATATTCCCTTTAACTGTTGAATGGGGTGGCACCAGACTATTTATGCAGGCACAATGCAGCCTTATTTTACTGTCATTTATTTTTTAAATACGGCTTTAAACATTAGGGAATGTTTAATTACAAATTTTAAATTATTCATTGAAGCAGACTGGAATTTATTATATATTAACTTGCTTGCATTTCTCTTCGCAAGTTCCAAAAAGTAAGATTTTACTTAACTTTCAATTCAATATGGCCGACTTGTGAATAAGGCCCATCAAAGGTGGCAAGGGCCATTAGGCGATCGGCCAGGTTTTGGGAGTATACTCCAGGTTTCTAGTCATAGTGGTCATGATGTTGTCAGTAAAATATAATTGAGCATATTTTTTGATTAAATATATACACCATGTACATGTATTGTTGGTGTACCCTAACGTGGCGCGGCCCCCAACGTGGAGCACTTTGATTTTTCGCCCCTCGTGCCTTGTTACAGCAAAACTGTTACCTCAAATTTCACAAAAAGTGAAATTTCATCAAGCTCTTAACATTCCCGTTCATAAATCTTGAGTTTACCTACCCGCTACAAAGTTCTAGGGAAATTCTATTTTGGCGTGATTTTCCAATTTTTTTTTCGAAGTGCACAATGAACCCTTTTAAAATTTGGCCCCAAAATAAGAAAATTATTTCTGAAAAACTTGTAGTTGCGTATGTGAGTGGAGATAAAAAATAATTTATCAGAATTTATCAACTTTCTTAGACGTTAATGTGGGATTTTCCGAGATTTGTTCAAGTGCGCCACGTTAGGGAACACTCGACCCAATTTGTGCCCAATTTCCTGACGCCACCGTTTTTGAAATTCGGACTTAATTTCATGACACTAAAATTGTTCACAAAGGCTCAACAGCAAGCATTATTATAAAAGTAATACTACCAGTATTTAACTGAATAAATTTGAAGTTTTTCTACAAAGAGGTTTGGCAACACTGCATGAGGAAAGTCGGGGGAAACGTCGAAGTGCGCCACATTAGGGAACACCATTATATTACATACATGCACTAGTACTCCACACTGTGGGATAGATCAGCGGCTGATAAAGTTGTGTGACATAACCTGATATATCCTGAGTTTAGGATCAAGATTTACTCACCATTTGCAGGAACGCCTGTCTGGATTCAAACTCTTCGCGAGCCAGCTCTACTTCCATCCACTTTGGGAGATCAGGGATCAGGATTGCGATTGCAGCCTTCAGGCCCAGCAGAATGTGCTGGGGGAAAAAACACCCACAAATAACCCAGTCACAGTTTTGGAAGACTTCAATTAGGTTTTTTTAAAGTTTTTTTTTAGTCTTCCAACATAGATGCCAATTTTTTTTTTTTACTGAACTGCTTTTGATTGTATGGTCATTTTATATCTAAAAAAGTTGTTTTCTTTAGGCGTATGATATTGGTATCTGTGTCTTGAGGAAAGATACTTTACCACAATATTGTCTAGCTTGTTAGATTTAAAAAACTACTTTTCGGAATTTATTTTGATTGCATGGTCATTTTTTTTTTCTTCTCTCTTTTGAAATCTGTCTTCAATCACCTTTCTTTAAGCGCTTGATATTGCTACTTGCATGTTCCTAAGCAAGATAGTTTACCACAATGACAAATGTTCACAAATCTGCTTACAGAATCTGCTTACCTCAAATATGACAAACATCAGGATGTAGTGGGTGGTGGACATGTTGGGGAAGAAGGCCTTGACTTCAGGGGACATTGCCATCAGCGAAGTGTTAGTTAAAACTGCAATAATGCCCATGATCTCAAACACAACCTGTGAAAGAATAGAGGCCCAAACTTCACTAAGCACAGAAAATTCATGCTTAGCAGAAACAGGCAACCGGGCAAAATGTCATTGGATGTACATAGCCTGTCACTGGTCCCCACCTTTTTTATGTTTAGCACATATATTTTCTAAGCAGAAAAAAATGTTCTTAGCAAAAATCGGCTACCAGCTGAAATGTCATTGGATGTACATAGCCAGTGACTGGTCCTCACCTTTTTCATGCTTAGCACATAAATTTGCTAAGCAGAGGAAATATCTGCTAAGCAAAAATAGGCTATTGGTCGAAATGTCCTGGGATGCATAAGCTGTTACTGGTCCTCACTTTTTTTTTCACGCTTAGCACAAAACTTTTGAGAAATATTGTTTGCTTAGCGTAAAATTTGCCCGATGAAAAAAAAATTCATTTATTAACAAAACGAAACATTCCAAAGTGAGGAAATACCTTGTAACAAGCTTCAAGCTGAGATATCAGTTAATACAGATGTCTTTATAGAAGAATTGAAAACAAAATTGGAAAAAAATTCAATCATACCTGCCAAGTTCCAATATCTTCAGCTGACTGGCCAAATGGTCGCTGGCAGACGCGACTGATCTTGAAGGCGTCGGAGCGGATCTCAATGACGTTGTTGAACAAAGCCCACAGCGCGGCCAGAGGATAGACGGCGGAGAAGAGAAAGACGTAACCAAACTGAAGGAAAAGCTCCAGGTAGTCATCAAAAGTCCCCTGTGAAAGAAAGGTAAAAGTTAACCATGAACAAAGAAAATTGAGTAAAGCAGGATTCGAACCAGGGACCTCTGGAATATCTTTCCAATGCTCTACCAACTGCACTTACAAATTCTCCAACTAGTCATTAAATGTTCTCAATAACGAGCAAACTTAACCACTGTTTGATCGAACAAATAAAATTGACTTTAGCAGGATTCGAACCAGTGACCTCTGGTTAGTCAGCACTTTCCAATCCGCAGACAAACTGATATGCGAAAAAACTGTTTAAATTCACTTTGTGGGATCTGGTTGCATCCCCTCAACCCCCCCCCCCCCCCAAATTGTGCCCCACCCCTTTTCTTACAGGATAGACATCCATCTTGCTCTGCTCCTCAGCGAGTCCCTTCGCCGCTTCCACGTTGGCATCGTCGTCTTTCTTCTTCTCGGCTGCTTCCAGAATGTGGTCTCCCTTGCGCCAGAAGCGCAAGATGAGGTACGGCAGACCGGTCTCCAGAAACTGCTCGATGACTTGCTGCACGATCAGCAGGGTAGCCAGATACTGATAATGACAAACAAAAGACATTCATAAACATAAAACTTTGTTTATTTTATTTATTTGTTCGTTATTTTTATTCTAAATAATCCGCAAAGGGAAACCGATCAGGTCCATTATAATAACTTTTTCACAAAGTTGCACAAAGAAATTGACTGGAGCGGGGTTTGGACCTGCCACCTCCGGATTGCCGTTCCGGTGCTCTACCAAGTGAGCTACCCATGTAGTCGAATTCTTTGAAAAAAAATTATTTTCCTTTTCATTTTCTCTGGTAATGATACCAAAGATTCTTCACAAGGCACGATAGCTCAAAAGGCTGAGGAAACTTTATGGGAGACAAAGAAATGTTCAGTTTTAGACGTAGGAGGAACAACTTGGAAGGATATTGAAGGAGATAAAGTCGTATGTTTGAATTTTTCACTTCTGAAAAGAGTTTGAAAGTCTGACCTTTTTGAGTCGATCCATGTCCTGCTGGTAGAATGCAACGTAGAACAGGGCCATGAAACAGTTGGCAAAGTCAAACTGTTGAACAGAGGAAATTCAAGTTTAAATTACAAAGATCTTCAAAAGGCACGTTAAACTGATATATTTCTAGGGAATATTTCTAAATTTCTACAATTCAAATACTGATTTCTATTTTGTGAGATAAACACTCATCACCTCCCCCCCCCATTTTTTTTTTACAGTCACAGAAAATTGAATTGATCACATTTATGAGTTGATTGTCTTAAAGTGTTAAACACATCTCTGTCAGAAGAATTCACTAAATTTTGCCAAGTGAGTGATTTTTTTCATTAATTTAAAAGTAAAAGTTGTTTTTATTCTAAACTTACCACAATCAGCTTCATGATCAAGTTGTTCTCATAAGTTGAATTTAGGCGATGATTTTCTGTAAATGATAACAAACTGTTTTATTTTACAGTCACAAATGATTAATTTGTATGAAATAATTCTGTAAGAATTCATTTCTGTTCAAAACTGGTTTAGTTTCAAATAGTTTTATTGCTTGAGTTGCTAAACAAATTGAACTGAAGAAAAAGTTGTTTAATTTTTCAAATTTTTTAAAATTTCATAGTAAATGGTTTTTGGAAAAACAATTAATACCGGGGAGAGAATTTTCTGTGCTCGGTGGAAATATTGATACAAACAGAATTGAATCTCAAATCCTCAGAGAAATAGTTTTGAAACTGCCAACTCACCCCAGTCATTGAGGTACGACGCCAACTGCCGGTAGAATTTATTGATGAAGACAATGGCCACCGCGTAGATCGTGCTAGGCAGCAGGAAGACCAGACTACCCGGCATCTTGGTGATATCCATCCGCCCTTTAATGTAGTCCTCCAAAGTGAAGCTGGCAAGCATGATGCCAAACGCGAGGATCAGAAAGACGACAATCAAGGGCGCGGAGACGCCAAACTTCTTCAGGTTGCGCTTCCATTTCGGGTAGTGCGGCTCCTCGCGGCCCGTGATCCGGTTGCGATGTAGCGGCCCGTAGAACTCCGGCCGCGGTTCCTCGAATTTCACCATCCCGTAAGTGCCCCACGAGTAGGCCATCCCGGCGCACTTGCGCTTCCACGCCTCCAGGAAAAGGGTGGTCCAGATGAGGTTGAAGATCGCGAAGAGGGCGTAACCGTGGCTTGGTGGACCCAGGAACGTCGATAGGAGATATGATAGGAGACCTACTCCAGCCGGTAGCACCAAGGCAGCAGTGTAGAATCCAAGAAAGGAGAAGTAGATGGCCAGGGCTTCGCCAAAATACTCACGGATTCTCTCTGCATTTTCATATTTCAAAATGGGGAAAAAAATCAGTTTTTTCCCCTTCACATGTGATGTACATGTACTTCAAAAGTACTGCATACTTATGCCAATGTCGTGAAGCTGCTAAAGCATAGCAATTTGAAGGCAAAAATGTGCTCAGAATTTTTTTTAAAAAGGTTACCAGAAAAAATGACATGCAGTGTCTACTGCCTGTGGCTGGTTTTCAATCTATAAATTTGCCGGTCCGCTTAGTTCCTGCATGTAACTGGCCACATTTGTTTCAAATCTTTGTGGGAAAATAAATTCATAGCTTGCAAATACTGATTATTTACTAAGTAAATATGGCTTCATCCCCCCACCAAAAAAAAAAATAAAAAATAAAAACAATCTTAAAATGATTTTTCTTCTTTGCAGTTTCACATACAAGTATTCCTGTATCTCCAGAAAACTTTTTTTGACTTTCCAGAACTAAAATGCTGGGTTTGAAATTAGTCACATTTCCAAAAGGAAAAGGGACAAAGTTTTAAAAAACAATTCTGTCTTACCGATTGGCTGTCCATTCAGGCTATTGAAACTCTTGTACCATATCTTGGTGAGCGAGGAGAGTTCACTAGCAATGTGCAGCGGGTACAGATGGGTCACTATCTTGGCATCCATACACTTGGGAACTGCAACCAAAAACAACACCATCATCTACACACAGTACGTCGTATTATATATACACTTTATCTCTGACAGCCAGGCTACTGGGATTCAGATTGTGCAGAAATGCCTTAACCCTAACCCTCCTCAATCCTCCAAAATCCTTCTGGCGGTTTTGGAGGATTTTCAATGATTTGAGGCTGAATGGCACAAGTGTCGGTTGATTTTGGAGGATGAATTGTGTCAAGTTCGTATAATTTAGCCCTGTGTTATGCCCGATATCATCCGCACTGCTTCTGAATGTCATTGGCACTGCCTCAACCCATTAACAGTGATTGTTGGAGGATTTTGAAGGATTGAGGCGATGGTCACCCCTCCACTGAACAAATTCAAGAAATAACGGATGATGAGGATTGAGGCTGAATCCAATTTTTACTTGGAGGCTATAGAAGGATTTTGCAGGATTGAGGATGGTTCCTATTCAAAAGGGCCTAGGGGTTTAGCATTTTGTTCCTCAGATTAAACCAGTTACAGATTTCCATTCTGACATTCTTGCAGTCTTAGACTTACTGATTCGTTGCTTCTCGTACAGCACCAGGTTGTTAGTGCCTGGTATGTTGCTGGTGGTGGGGTTACGGATGTGCAGGAGTAAGTAATAGATGATGCGCTGGCAATCGCAAGTCGTCAAGAAATGCTGCTCTGTTAACATCAATACGAAAAAATTGTAAAAAGTTACAGGGCTGCAGTTTCAATCCTGGAAGAATCTTCTAATGACATAAATCATCTACAACCATTCTTGTATTGCAGAATCTTTGTATATCTTCTAGAAATCATAATTAAACGGAATGTACATCATTGGCTTTTGCTGTAAGTTACAGAAATGAACTATTTGAGGGGTAAGTATAATAGATCAAAATTATTACACTGACATGTTTGAGGTTTTGTGTTCGAAAATGCTGAGAAAAACCAAGAAAAACAAAAATGTTCAAGTAGTCTGGTTCCCTGACTCCACTAAAGATGAAATGGATAAATTTATAGATGCCAGAAAGTTGTAAGGTAAGACTGAAAAAAATTGTAAATTCGGAGAAGTAGTTGCAAGATAGTTAGGTTTTTCAGACGGTGGTCGGCCGACCACCGTTGGAAATTTGTACAAAAATACCACTTTTCTTGAAAATGACTTCACACCAGGTGCCATAATTTTGCAGGATGCTTAAGTAGTGTCATTTATCAACATCCTAGTAAGGTATTTCGTAAAAACGTGGTCGTTCTGTTTTTCGATGTGTGCAAATGTTGTATAGTCCCTTTAATATTACATTTCTTTTTTCAATTTTGTAATTATCAAGTTAGAATGTTGACAAGATATACTCATTCATTTCTTACCTTCGCAATCAAACTGTTCCGAGTGGACCCGAGTGAATTCGCGCACGGTGCCGTCCTTGCATTTCTTCTTCAGACAGGCTCTCTCGGCGCCCTCTAGCAAGCGTTCCCGCGACGCGCCAATCTCCAGGACCGTCCCTCCGCCGTTTTCGCTCACAGACTGCCTAGCTTTCAGACCTTGACATCGAATGTAGGTACATAAGATAAGAACATTCATCCTTAACTCCAAAGAAATTTTGCGCTTGGAAACTTCCTGAATCAAAACCAATGTTGCATTTTGTATACTTCAATCAACTGATCAATTAAACCCCAAAAGATACATCTGGTACCAGTCTCTGTTTCTATACATTCCCTTTATACATGCCACCAGTCTATGTTTTTCAAAAAGTTGGACATTTACCAGTCTAGTCTTAGGCTTCAAATTGAAATCACTTGGCTTCACTCTCAGGTGCGAAACGGTGAAGAAAGGTCTGCTTTCAAAATTGAATTGAGACCCCAAAATTGGCTGGTGAAATGCTGAGAACCTTATCTTTTAATATTTGCCTTGTTGAAATTTTTGAGAATTTTGTCGGCTAAAGAGTAGTAACCACTTAGCGCCGGGATTATTTTTCCGAAAATTTGGATTTTCACAAAAAGGCAACATTTTCCAGCCACTTTCTGATACACAGCTAAACACCACAAATACTGATTCGCAGCAGTCAATTCAACAGCATTTACACGATATATCTTGCCGAAACCTCATATGTTTCAATACTCCGCAGTGTGCACTGGAGTGTAAATTGCCGAACAGTAGGTCGTGCACAACGGCCAATTTAAGATCAAGACACTGTCTGCCTCCACAGACTTCACAGACTTTGTGTGAGCTTGTCTTACATACGCAGTGTGGACTTCCGAACAAAAGACGTCCACATAATGTAGGTAGCAGCGACGAAGTGTGGACTTGCCCACGTCCACACAGTGTTTCCCCATTTCTGGAAAACAGGTTTAGAGGCATTTTTGGGTTAGGTTTATCTGTAGCAGAATGAAGAGAAACACTAAAGGGAATCATTGAAAAAAAATTGGGTTGTAAGAGTTTTCACAGTTTGAGAAAAATGAGTTTTTCCACTGGTGTTCCTTAACTACACGAAAAGAAAGGAAAGTCCACACTAGGTATGTGAAACAAGTCTGTGTGTGTGTGTGTGTGTGTGTACAGGCATTACATTCACTGTGTGGACTTCCGAACAAAAGATGTCCACATAAACCAGGTAGAGGAGACACTGTGCGGACTTGGGCAAGTCCACACAGTGTTTCCCCATTTCTGGAAAACAGGTTTAGAGGCATTTTTGGGTTAGGTTTATCTGTAGTAGAATGAAGAGAAACACTAAAGGGAATCATAGAAAAAAAATTGGGTTGAAAGAGTTTTCACAGTTTGAGAAAGTCCACACTTGGTATGTAACGTAAACTTGGGTGTGTGTGTGTGTGTGTACAAAAGGCACGAGGGATTAGCGTGTTTAGACGTCACGCAGAGGCGAGTTGAGGCAATCTTGATGTTTTAACCCGTCAGCCGCGCCTGTGTATAAAAACAGCCAGTGTGTGTTATCAAGTCCTCCAATGCGAAAGTTGGTCTTGAATTTGTTTTGCATGATTTTCTGCACTCAGAGTCTCAGTCTGGGCTCAATCCTGTAACATCCTTAAAAAACACTTGTTGGATTTTGAACAGGTGGTAAGGTACGGGGGAAAAATGGCCAACTTACCCGCTCCGCCAGTCTCCGGTTGCGCCTCGATGCGCTCAATCAGCCACTTTCTTGTCTCCTCAGTCGTCTTCTCCGATATCTCCATGATAACCAGTGGCCTGAAGTGACCGCCCTGGTGTGTCAGGATATCGCCGTGGGGATCCTGGATGAAGTGGTGATGATGGTGGTGGTCTTCAGGCTCATCGTGGTGATGATCACCATCGCGGGGGTCAGCCTGGTGACTGTGGCCGTTGGCTTGGGCCACTGCTGCTTGGCGCTGGATGGCAGGCATGGTACTAGACTACAGAGCGTACATTACTCAAAATGAAAAGGAAAGACATAAGCTGAAAATTTGACTCACAATCAAATAAAAATGAAATTAAAATCATGACAAGTTCTTGCTCCTTTATGTGGCAATCTCGTGGAACGCATGCTTTACACTAATGGCTTATCCCACAGTAGCAAATGCAAACTCAGCAAAATAAGTTTCAATACTGGCCCACAACTTGGCGATCGTGTAGTGCCCCTGTTTAGTTTTGATCAAATTAGAGTCAAAGCTGTTTTTGAAATACTCAAAAATGTCCTTTTCAACCTAAAGCAGACTTCTCTCAATATAATGACACCTTTTTTTTTTTTACTTAGACATTTTCCGGTGACAAATTTTAGTTTGGCTCCAAGCCAACATTATCGTTGTAACTTTGTATTCACAGGATGGGAATCAGACCATTTTACAATTTCAGACTTTATTTCACTTTAAAAAAAATCCTCCAGAGCCACAAATCTGAAAAAGAAAATGTAAAAATACTCTGCAAAGTGCAATAAAATGTTTGAGACATGTTAAAATAATAAAAGAAAATATTCTTATTTTTTGGGGATGGGGGAAAAAACCTTAAAAATTTCGCAAGCAGGGATCGAACCTGGATCTATCTTCCGGCTCATGAGATCCGTTGCTTATCCACTAGGCCACTAATACATCTTATAATTTAATACATCTTATAATTCAGCCCTATCTTAGAGAGTACAGCGCTCTCTGTTGATAGGGATTGCCGCCGGCAATATATCCACTAGGCCTATCTTTTTAAAAAATGTTAGGCCCTAGGCCTATACCAGCCCTACTCCTAGAACTATGAGGCTCCACGTAGTGAGCCTCATAGTTCTGTCACGCCCCAACTATCGCATCGGTCCCAACTATAGTTGGGACTGTCCCAACTATAGTGCGGCAGTTGGGTCGGCCCAACTATAGTTAGGACTGGAGTTGCGCCGGATGCTTCATGCTTGATAGATCTTGTTGGATTAAATGTTCCGCGGCGCTGGCACCGTGTATTCGTCGTGTATGCATGCCGCAAGGCTGGCCGGTCACGTGGTACTACCTAGTTGGATGAGTTGTCCGGCTGCTGGGTTGATTGTCCAGCAACATTTTGCAAAATTCAAAGATTGCCATGGCCGGCCAACTAGTATAGATGGGCCCCACCCATAGCTAATGTCAAAGGTCCAAAGTAAAGTCGGACAGTATGTAACAGAGCTGTAGGGAATGTTTTATAGTCGCTGTCGTCGTACATCAATGTAAACTATAGTTGGGACCGCCAAATAAAAATATTGCGGTGGCCCAACTACAGATGGTCCCCACCCATAGATAATTTCATTGGTCCCAAGTAAGGTCAGATGTGTATTAGAGTTGTAGGGAATGTTTTATAATCGTACAACAATGTACACTATAGTTGGGACCGCAAAATAAAAAGATTGGAGTGGCCCAACTATAGATTCGCCCCATCAATAACTAATTTCAGTGGTCCCCAGTAAAGTCAGACGTGTATCAGAGCTGAAGGGAACGTTTTACAGTTGTACATCAATGTAAACTATAGTTGGGACACCGCAAAATAAAAAGATCGGAGTGGCCCAACTATAGATGGGCCAGCCCAACAATGGAACTTACAGTTGGGACCGTCCCAACTATAGTTGGGCCAGCCCAACTGTGGAACTACAGTTGGGACAGGCCCAACTATAGTTGGGACAGGCCCAACTATAGTTGGGACCGATGCGATAGTTGGGGCGTGACAGTTCTAGGAGTATACTAGCCCCATAAATGTGGCCTATTTACTGGACTGCCTCCGTAAACATAGGCCACACATCCACATGTACAAAAATCGTGTCGACGGAGCCAAATTTTGATTTTCACATTTAGGCTTAGTTTGTAGGGTTTTTTTGCTTTAGAAGCATACTCACCCTCTTTACAGGCTAATCAGAAAGTGCTGCCTTTTTCAGATGTCTAATTTTTGTGAAATTTCATGTTGAAATTTTGATACGCAAACGTGTAAAAATGAATCTGGAAATTTCACAAAAAATATACATCTGAAAAAGGCAGCACTTTCTGATTAGCCTATAAAGAGGGTGAGTATGCTTCTAAAGCAAAAAAAACCTACAAACTAAGCCTAAATGTGAAAATCAAAATTTGGCTCCGTCGACACGATTTTTGTACATGTGGATGTGTGGCCTATGTTTACGGAGGCAGTCCAGTAAATAGGCCACATTTATGGGGCTAGGAGTATACCAGCCCTAGGCCCTATTTTAGGGTATTATTACTATTTATAGGCCTATATTGTTTTTGGCGGCAATAACATATATCCCATGCAGAACAGTTGTCATAAAATGTTTTTAAAAAAATCATGCCTACAGAGAAATTATGTCATAAAGTTATTTCTGGCCAAAGCCCCCCCCCCCCCGCTCTAACTAACCCCGCCCCAACCACCGGCCACCGTCCGAGAGTGAAAGTTGTAACAATTACAAAAATGCAGGTAGATTTTAGACCCCTTGACAAAATAAAATCGTGCTTTCTTTAGAATGAATAACACAAAACCCGTTAACTTGTTAAGATTCTTGATAAAAAACTTCGAATCGTGTCTGCAAATTACCCAAAAAGTGCAGAAAAGGGCGAAACCACCATCCATACGCAACGACACAAAAGCAAGGCACACCTTCAAAATAATCACAGACCCGCCTACACAGTCATATCCTCATTATGATAAATAGTCATAAGTACAGTAACCAGACCTTAAAGTCTGCCTCCCTGACGCCATGCGTGAAAACCGCATAAAACCGGAAACGGGATACCAACTACAAACTTTAAACCCGCGAAAATTATCAGAAGTTTGACATCGTCGTCTGTACCACTGAAACTTTCAAAACTTTCACATTGAGGTAAATTAAAGACAAATTTAAAGGAGTATTTTTTTGAAGGATACTTGTTTTCAAATAGGTTTTTCTTTCGTTTGGTGAACGTTTTTGGAACTTATCATGAGCCAGAACGCTCAACTTAAGGCGGGGTTGCCGGTTTGCCGTTTGGGAACCAAATTTGAACTTCAGACTCGGAACGCGGAGGTCCACCTTATTCGATTGTTTCACCTTTTACGCTCCTTTCAGCTTTTTACATAAACAACGTAAAAATCTTCTCATTATACTAGCTAAATGACAATAGCTATGTCCATCTGTAAACAATCTTTCGGTGCATAAAAACTTTAAAAAGTGCTTAAAAAATGTTCGTAAATTTGGTTGCTGTTTTCTTATCTTTTGCGCAAGGCGCGCACGTCATTAATAACTCAGTGAATACAAAACTAAAAATGCGTGCGCAAAAAGTGATATTGAGTGCAGTTGTCTGGTGTTTTTATTTGCCAGTATGCCTATATAAAGAATATTGCATCCTGACGCCACTTTTTTCATCTTCATATATTATCAGTGAAGGTCGGTCATTACAAAAAAATGTTGAAAAGACATGAATCTCAGACTGAGAAACATTAACATTTCCAAATTTGTTAGAAAATACTTTGAAAATGCACTCGACTCTTCATAGATTTTGTACACAACCAAAGTAGAAGTGGCGTCTGGATGCTACCTTTTCCCTTTTCCCTTTTCAGTGCAAATAGTATGCAAAAACAAAAATTAGAAGAAAAGAAAATGCCAGAGAACAATACCTTGTATTCGTTCTTTCTTCTTGTTTGACAAAGGACATGTCTAACGTTAGTTCTTCATTTTTGTTTCATTCTCAGTGAACTTTACAAAGTTTACATAGTTTTTCCCCCCCCCCCCTACTTACATTTGTCATTTCCTCTAGTCTAGGTTCATGAAGGACCAAATAAACCCCCGAGTGACAAGGCATTATGGCCTCTAAATCAAGCGCATCCAGTATCTTCTTTGCATCTACACCCAACTTCAAGGATCTGTGCTCCGTCACACTTCAAGTTCAGGAAAATACCGAAGGAGGGATGACACCCAGTAAATATGTGGGCTCCCAGCCTCAAATTGTAAAATGCAGGCAAGTGTATATTTACATGTAGAGATTTTATCAACTTTTGGAGCTGTCCTCAAGATATTTTTCCTCTTTTTATATTGATCACTTAACTTTCATTTTTTTGGCAGATTTATTTTGATGTATATCTCTGGTATTCCTTCTAGTTTATTCTTCAAGTGGTACATGTATTTCTTTGATTGCATTTTCTTACATTGATGAAATAAATAACCAAAAAAAAGAGGAAAATATACACTAGTGTTGCTTATTTTGTTGATTTGAAAGAAGGAACCGTGTTCTTCACATCTGTAAAATTACTTTTATCTTTATGAACTGACACAGCAACGAATCACTAATGAAAAGAAAGTTTATGACAACGAAATATCCCAAATTTTGGCAACTTTTTGTGCATAAACTAATTGCAACATTGAGGTTTCTGCCTGATATGACATCACACTTTTGCTCATGAATATTGAAATTTGCATTAGCATCAAAACCAAAACGGCACCAAAATACCCTTGAAAATGGCAAAATGAACATTGAAAATAAGGTTAAAGGGACACAAAGGTGCATTTTCAAGGACTGCATTAAAAAAAAATTGCATTTCATGGGCCCTTTAAGAGAGTGATCATGTTTTTTGCAGAGAGTTGATATTCACTGAGCCAGGCGTTCTAGCTTCACCGTCCCTTCAGCAGGAGGGATACATCTACGCCGTCCTGCAGCAGTCGGTGTGGAAATCAGGTCGTCTGCAGGCTAGATGCCAAAAGATGGGACTCGTGGTAAGTTCGCAAGGAAAATCCAATCATGCATTTTATTGATACAACAAATTCTGGATCTCTGCCAGTACCTATAAAGTCTCTTGGTACCAATTTTATTAATTTCTTATAATGCTTTATTGGATGTTGTTCCGAAAAAGAAATAAAAAGTAAGAGATGCATTAAATTTAAATTGATGGTAGGGAAGGTAACAATTTCTGAAGACAAGATTTGAGAAATGATTAGAATTGTTTGGACTTTTGGGAAAATGTTTCACTAAAACGTAATAAATTCTTGAAAAAAGATTGTTCAAAAAACCTAGTTTAGACAGAGTTTTAGCTTTAAAAGACTATTTCAGATCCTCAATTACTAAAAAATTAAAATCAAATTAAATTGGGTTGATTTCTAATTTTCTTGACATTATTAGCTGTGGTGTTTAGAGAAAACTTTGAAAGTCCAAGTATTACTTTCACCTTTTCAAATTAATCAGGGAAAGTTTATATTTTTGAGTGCCGGCCAAAATACTGTATCTAGTAGTAATATTTTAATTTCCTTTGTGTGATTTTTTTTCCCCAGGTGAATAAACCAATGCGAGTCATAAGTCCCGTCTTCCAAGCCTGCTTAGCCTACACCATCAGGGCCAGAATGGCCCCACTGTGGAACAAAGCAGGCAACTGGTACATCCAAGGCAGAGATTTCCTGCTGAACTCTGGCAGGGTAGCGGCTGTAGGTAAGTACATCTCATTGTTGGAAAAAGCTCCAAATGTATCAGAAAAATCAAAGTTGTAAAATTTAAAATAGCAGTGCTAAATATTCATAAATTATAATCAACTTTGACTTTATTAAGTCAGTTTTGCTGAATTGTGACATTTCTGAGTTATCCTTTTCTGACTTAAACTTGAAATTAAATTATGAGTTAAACTTGATATTACTTGATTTATTGACTTTGCCTTTTAAATTATCAACTTGAAATTAATAACGTTATAACAAAATTATCAACTTTATTTTTAAAAAATCGGTGAATACCTGAACTGTATCAATTTAGACTCCTCTAGTGTGATATTTGAAAAAGGAAAATAGTGCATGTGTTGTAATTTCTCCTAACTTTGGTAGGGTGTCCGTATCTGTTATATGCAAATTATGAAAAAAGTGAAGTTTGGAAACTGCTGTAAAATTTCTAGTAATGATTTACAAAAAAGTAAACAAAATAGGTTAGATAAAAAAAGGTCTAAGTTGAAACGATATCAACAAATGAGTCTTATTGGTTGTGTGGAGTGCTGTGGCCTCGTGGTTAAGGGCACTGGATTCGTGGCCTGTGGGTAAAATTGCGGGTTATGGGTTCGAGTCCAGCCAGGGTCATGGTACGTGTGCCCTTGAGCAAGGCACTTTGTCACTCGTTGCTTCTCTCCACCCAGGAGTTAATGGGTACCTGTGAGGGCAGAGATGGTTATTGTGATTGAATAAGCTTGCTTGCACCTAACGGGCAGCATCGAGCTCAACACTCCCCAGGGAGCTGATATGGTATTTGGAATGTTTAATTGGCCCAATGATCAGGGGTAATAATAATACTGTAAACCCTGTGATTTTACTAATAAGAGCGTTCTTAAATGCCGATTATTATTGGTAAACCTGTATTGTTTGATGTTTCATTAGATTTGGAGCTGAACGTAACTGAAGCTGAGATTTGTCTTGTGCTGCGTCCCCTCATGGTGAAGCTACCACAGAGCTCAGTAAGTTTCTCCAGTGATTGTAAATTTCTGAAATAATTGTTTTAAATCTCAAGCTGGTTACACTAAGCTTTAAAATGTAAAAACCTTTAGCAGGGTTTCCAGCCACTCTGAAAATCAGGGGAAACTTCAAAAATGAGTTTCCAGGAGAAACTCAGGGAATTTGGGAAAAACACCCCAAAAATCAGGGAACAATCGGGGAATTTGACAGTGACCCAGAAGGGAAAGGTTTTCACCAGTTTGTACCATGTGTCCACGTTGTGTCCATTGACTGACTGGCTATGGTGGCATTTTAGAGTTTATGCAGTTTGAAGATTACCTCTCCAGACAGTAACAATTGGCTGAGCTGCACCACCTCTTGACTTCTAGCAACCTTGTTAAAGTGAAAATATTTCTAATGGAATTTGGAAATTTCTCAGAGAAATTTCAGGGGAAACTCAAGAAATTTTGTTTTTATAAAGAGTTGGGAACCCTGTATATAGAGTATGTCAGCTTTTCCTATTTTTTTTTGCTTTCATGCTTCTGAACTTATTTATTGCGCATTGTCTGTGTTTTAATTATTATTTCTAGCTGATTGATTTTGAAGTGTGCCAACCCATTCTGGACCAGTTCTTTCTCTCCGCGAACAACGTCATATCCGAGTACTCCATTGACAACAAGTGGTGTTATGTCTTGCCAAGGTAAGAAACAGCCCAACTGGGAATCGTTGGATCACTGCAAACATATTTGTGATTTTCCTGAAAAAAAAGATAGATATTTTGACTTTGTTCTTAACTTTTGATGGAATTTTGTATCCGTCAGCAAAAAAAAACACACACAAAAGTTATTGATCACAGCAACCTCCGTCTGTTGGATCAGATTCGAACCAGCCAGCCAACTCTGGCAAGCTCGGTGGTGGAGTACAGTGAAATCTCAATAAGTCAAACCTCAGGGTTATGGTCTCAAATTTAAAGTTAAGCAGAGTTTTGAGTTTGCAAATGGATTTTCTTTTCAAAAACAATTGACGGGAATAATTTCTTACTTGAGTTAGAAAGGTTTTCGAGTTTAATAGCAGGTTTTGACTTATCGAGCTTTTACTGAAGTTAAAGCGTCTGCACTAGTAAGCAGGAGGTTGTGGGTTCGAGTCCCACTTGTGAAGTTTCTCACAGGATGTCCAACAGCTCTGAATATACAAAAGTTATTCACAATATATTGCCCCCCCCCACCCCCCACCCCCCCCACCCGTCTGTGGAGTAGGCTACCAGCAGCAATCCGATCTGCTGATACCTTCAACATTTTTAAAACTTACTTGAAAACCCATCTTTCTAAGCATTACTATTGTATCACTTAAGTTAATTGTTAAGTTCTTAATTAGGCCTGCTTCTATGTTTTTAAACTTTTTTATCTGTATTTCTTAATAACCAGTGGATTTTTAATTGGACAGCGCTTTGTGATGTCTTTGTTACATGGAAAGCATTTTTTAAATTATTCATATTATTATTATTATACAGTGCTTGTGAAAGTATATTGTTGAAGGGCAATACCCGATATTGAAAGATTTTGTTCTCATTTTTGTTGTAGCCTCAAGAAAGGCAAAGTGGTTAGCATCAGTCATGAGATTCCATCCACCAGCCCCTTCAAGACTTACAAAGAAATCCGAAGATACTGGAAGAATGCGGTATGTCATCACACACGCAGTAATTGCCCAACAATCCTCATGCAAACTCCAACCATTTATACCCCTCATTATAACCCAAAACTTATCAGTTTTCTAAAGTTAAACCCATGGAGTAAAGCACGATTTGTCAACAGTGTCCAACTATCAGAAGAATAATTTTTTTTGGGTCTAATTATCTCTTCATCGGCAACTCAGGACTCTAGCCGGTTTTAAACGTACTGGCCAAGCACATGTTTATTCCCATTCATTATACCTTTCGGTCAAAAAGTCAGAACAAGTCAAACTTCCCAACGATTTTGTTCAATGATTTGACTTCATGTTTAGTGAAACACCCCTCTAGCTATGTTTATGGTATGTGCCTTACGCGAGTAGTACTAGAATTCTCCTGATATGGAGATTGGCGCAAGCGTGGCGTGTTCTGTGGCGCAGAATGCAGCGGTGCCGGTGTAGTGTGAATTTAGGACTATGAAATACGGAATCGTTGGCAGTATTGCGCATGCCTAAGTGAACATAATTAGGAGAGTGACTGGTCACATGTGAGGGTTCAACTAATAAAAGAGTAAAAGGAGTAAAAGAGATTTCATAGGAGTCCAAATTTCATGTGACACCGGAAAAAAAGCGTTTAAAACCAGTCGGTGTTTTATCAACCGTTTAAAACCACCCATGTGACAGGCTCTCCACCAATAGGAATAGGTGAGCTGTCTTAGGTATTTATGAATACTGTTTAATAAAAAATGGACAAATTAAAGGTCTATTAGATTGTGGGATAGGCATGGTCGGTGATTAAAAACTGGACTAATTAAAGAGAATAAACTAAATTGGGATTTTAACCTGCTGGTGCTGCCTCTCGATTGCCAGAAATCTGCATGAACAATTTAGCCCAAATCCTAGTATTAATTTTATATAAAAAAATTTACCTTTATTTGTGTATTGACAGTACGGCTACCGGCTTCCAGAAACTGATGTCGGAGTTCTCTACTACAACGTCTACTTCCCTGCCATTGGACCTACACTCTTCACGTATCCTTTATATGCTTCCTTCTGTAATAACCCAAAACATTCCTCCTGCCACAGCAACAGAAGATACCAGCATCCTTAAACACCTTGAGTTTTTATATTTGCATATCTAAAAACTATTTCCCTCGCTATTTATTCTGTATAGTTGTGCAAACAATTTGCCCATTATCATTCAGCCAAAACCAACACTACCTTTGAAAATGGAGCTTATTTATGGGCGCATGTGTTAAGAATTTGTTTTTTTTTATAAAAAAGAAATAAATGTCATGAATCTATTAAATATTGAGTTGATGTCATGGAACAGGTGAAAATATTTGTTCTGTAAATTGGAAACTATTTTTGAAAAATTTGCCTTTTGGGTATAAATTTAAAGTTCTGATATCAAGTTTTTACCGTTTACAGATCATGAGATGTAAATGTTGTATGTACTTCATTTTGTTATTAAATCAGTGCAAAATTACGAGGAAAAAACACTCAAATACTAAGTCTGTGCGATGCGATGTGAGGGTGCAGCCTAGCCTACACCAACTGGGGACTTAAGTAAGTCAACTAGTCAGACTTTCTTGTCTTTCTCTTTCTCTGTTGAAAAAAATTCTGTAACTTTCAAATAAACCAGCTACCCAGAGTTCTGCATTCGCAAGGACGAGCCCATACTACAAGCCCGCATCGACCCAGCCCCTATCCTGAATGCCTTCCTGACGGACTTACAGTACAAAGTCTCCTCAGTGTGCGGTACGGCCTTCGAGGTAACTCCTAAAGCCCAGTACATCAACACGGGACTGTTCCCGACAGGAAAGGAGGTAAGAAAAAACATTGCATCTTGATCAGAGTCAAAACTTTATACAGGGTGAGTAAAAAAAACCGAAACCCAAATATCGGGACCATTATTTTAGTGACGTTCTGCATGTAGCACTTTCAAAATATAGGATATGAAAGCCCAATTCATAAGCTTTCTTTTAGTGCAAGAATCATTCAAATCACTTATGTACTTTTCAAGTTACGGAATTTTAAACACAACCACCGTTTTAAGGTTCTGTCCACGAATCACAAAAAAGTTCAGTGTTCTTTCAGTAAAACGAAAACAAATCACATAGGGATGTATGTGAATTGTTTTCGTTTTGCTGAAAGAATGCACACCTTTTTTTGTGATCCGTGAACAACTTTAAAATGGTGGTTGTGTTTAAAATTCCGTAACTTGAAAAGTACATGAGTGATTTGAATGATTCTTGTACTGAAAGAAAGCTTAGGAATTGGACTTTCATATCCTAGCTTTTGAAAGTGCTACATGCAGAACTTTACTAAAACGTTAGTCCTGACATTTGGGTTTCAGGTTTTTTTTTACTCACCCTAAAGAGTCTTGACAAAATGAAATGAGAGAGGGCTCCATTTTTTTTTTTACAACAAACTATAATCAGGGACCAAACATTACTTTAGACTTGATAACTTGTGATTGACTTGTGACGGACAGCGATATGACAAAAATGTATGCACGGTCCTTTGGTAGGATGTAAATCCAATAAAACTGGACCCAATTTTACGGAGCTGCTAGGCAGAATATATTGCTTTAGGAAATTTATGGACTCAGCGAAATTACTTGAGAAACAGTCCAATTTGCACATCGTACACAATTTTTGCTTAACAAATGTTTTCTGTGCTATATAATTTTGTCATTTTCTGCCGTTAGGAAGCTAAGCTGTCCCAGTTGAACCTATCCAGCACACCCCCACCTACATCAGTGCGTCGCATCCCAAGCAGACCCATCTCCCTCCAAGGCTGCCCTGCTCCCAACAGTTTCACCCCTACTCCGTCCTTGTCCCAGCACACCCCGACTCCTAGCTACCGGTCGCCCACCTATCCCCTCTCTGGAACCGTGGGCGATTTCAACGCCTCCTTCTCCATCGCCGGTCGCGTGTCCATTCCCGCCGCGACCAACAGGGTTGCCCAAACGCCACAAACGGACGGCCAGTATGCTGCACATACAGGCTACACGTACCCAGGTCCTGTTTACAATAATGTAAACATTTTCAGCGTTTCAACTGCCTTGTCTCCACCAGCACGACAAACGTCCTTCAGACCAGTACTACCGAAGCAGGCTTTGAATAACTTTAGCTTCAGTGCCGCGAATATGTGGAATGACACAGCTTACTCCAACCCTGTCGTCAACAAGACGACATACAGTAGCATTCAATCAACCAATCAGTGCATTCCAGTGGCGACTATGATGGGCAGCAACCAATCAAATATGCAAATGCATCAACGTATAATTCCCAAGTTTGTACCTCAGCGTTCGCGGACGTCGCACAACATCCCTGCTTCCTCAACAAGTTCCCGATATGACGATCTCTCCCCGAGGATTGTACCATCGTTCCACCCCAGCAGGCAGGTCAACCAGCACCCTAAGACCCAAGTACGTCCATCAACTTTTACCGCATCCCTACAATGCACCTCTCTGGGTGCAGCAGGCCTGTCAACTCCCCCTCAGAAACCGCAGAACAGTCACCCAGACAGACCCAAGCCAACCAAGCCATCGTTTGCGCCGTCCTTTCCTCGCAAAGACTCCTCTCAAGCCGCTAAAGCACCCGCCGTCAAAAAGAAAGTACAGCAGACACTGGACGGTATTGTTGTAAAAGCTCCAAAACGTGCTGAACTACAGAAGCAAGACTGCGGCAAGACTGCAAAAAGAAAATCAAAGGTAACTTTTGTTATATATATCAGCAAGATTTGTGAGATTGTTTTTAAAATATGCCTCAATTTTTGTCGGAGCAGAACCTGTATGTACATATACTTCATGATACATTTTTAAAAGTGTCCATAATCAGTGGGTTTAAAAATTAATTTGACGTCGGATCCATTCGGTGAATCACAAGAAAAAAAAAAGTTTTAGAAGTTTTCAAAGATAACTTAAATCCCAAGTTTTGATTTTATTGTGACTTCAGTCATTTGGCTTAGTGCTGATCAAAACTCCTGCATGTACATGCATTTTATCACAGACAAAAAAAACAACAAATAGAATGTATAAAGATCCATCCCTGTGTTTGACGTTGACATGCTTGTTTTGTGTCTGTAGGATGACAACGGTAACGGCCCTCCAGCCAGCAAGAAGGCCAGGTCTAAACCTAAAGTACAGGAAGAGGTCAATGTACAGTCGCTTGCCATCAACGACCAAGTAAGTCCTTACAAAAATGTGCAGGAAAAAATTGAAATGTCAGAGATAGTTGTCATCAGTTGATGTAAAGATACTGTGGGAAAGCTAGATTTATTTTAAGAAATAAATATGATTTCTTTGGTTTAAAACTTGAAATCTGAAGAGATCAGTGTACATGATGTCTAGTTTTTGTTGTGAAATATTCTCAGATTTCTTTAAAAAACGGACTGACAATTCTTTTCTTCCAACAGCTATCCAAAGTGAATACCGTTACCCTGGCAACGTGGCTGAAAAACAAAGGAATTCCAGTCAAAGCCAAGGAGAAGAAATCCGACCTCATGCAGAAAGTGGCGAACTTCATCCACGCCAACTCCATTGAAGATTAGGACGACTCGCTTAGGAGTGCTGAATCGAGCGCGAGTTAACAGTGAGTGTTAAATGAGTCCAGTTCCATTAGGCCAAAAAAAAATAAGCCGGTCTCTGGTCAGTGCGCGCGTCGATTTTGATCATGCGCGTCGATGTTTTTTTTTCTTTTTTCATATTTTCCGCGGTAGCTACAGCAGCCCCCTCTGTTGCAGCACCGCCTCAAATTTTCGTACCAAGGAGCACCAATGAATGGGGAAGGGTACAAAGGCAAATGATGGAGGGCACCAAGGCAAATGATGGAAGACACCAATGTATATGAGGACAAAAATAAGCAAAATAATACCGACATTGTCTGTACATGGCGAGTAAATCACTCATGTACTTTTTGAGTTACAGAAAGGTGTGCGTTCTTACAGCAAAACAAAAACAATTCACACCATCCCTATGGGATTTGTTTTCATTTTGCTGAAAGAACACTTACCTTTTTGTGATCCATGGACAGAACTTTAAAACGGTGGTCGTGTTTAAAATTCCGTAACTTGAAAATTACATGGGTGATTGGAATGATTCTTGTACTAAAAGAAAGCTTATGAATTGGGCTTTCATATCCTAGATTTTGAAAGTGCTACATGCAGAACTTCACTAAAACAATGATCCCGACATTTGGTTTTTTTTTTTTTTACTCACTCTGTACAATCCAAGCTTGAAATTTTTTTTTTTTAAAGAAACCGCATCGCCGCATCCATTCCGGAACTTTGGTCTGACCAGAGACCAACAATTATGTTTTTTTGGCCTTACACATCTGTGTTGTAGTCGAGTCCATCACAAGTCCTCCAGTCCCAAATCAAGTCACAAGCTATTCAAATAAGTTGTGACAAAGGCACTCCGGTGTTGTCGTTTTCTCTTTAATTGTGACAGGACTAGTAATGGACTTTGTGATTTATTTGTGACCAGGCTTGTGATGGATTGGACTACAGCACTGCAATGAGGGGAAAATAACAGACCCTTTGCATAGAGCGCCCTCAGGGAGGACATGTCTCTGTTACTGCATTATACACATGTGTAGACACTTTGTAATTTCATTGTCACTGAATTTAAACAACAAAACCTGTCCTGAGTGTTGGCATTCCGTGCAAAAGTCTATCAACAACTGTTAATCAAAACAAATTATTTCATCTTAATATGGATGGAAATGATTGACTCCTAATTTTTTTTAAACTTCAACTGTGAAGAAAACGTCATTAGATATATGAGCAAGAGAAGTATTTTGATGTGTAGTCCCACTGTAGTGCAACTTTCCAAACGCCCAGATTTCTTTTTCCTCAATTCTTTCGTTCCTTAAAACTTTCTTCCCAATTTTTTTTGGATTTGCGCCATGGATTCTTCTTGAGTCATGTGTTACTGTTTTAAATAGGTTCCAAATTTTATACAAAAATCTTAAACGCAAGATTATTTTTTATGAACAATATTAATCAGTGATTAATTACACAGCACTGGAGTATATGAAGCAATGCATTGACCACACCAAGTTTCATGGACACATTTTTGTTCTATTGTTTATTTTTAATGCATGATCTTTTTTGGACATAGAAATCAGCACTAAGTAATGTTTTGACAGCAAATTATGTGACAATGCGGACAATGTACTAGTAAATGCACTTTGGGCAAAAGTATTTTAAGTTAAATTCACACCTTTTTTTTTTCAAGTGACAATTTACATGTATTATATGATTATTGTACGTCCAACAGCAGAGAAGCCAAATTTTATCAGCTGGCACATATTCTTAATTCGCAAAGCCCAGAATTAATTGACATTAATTAACTATGACATTGCGATGTAACTGAAATAATGTCCAACTTGTGCAAAATGTGATTTGTTTGATTTCTTGAACAAAATTTTATTGTTTGACTTAATAATGTAGTTATTATTTGGACAGATAAACTGTAAAGAAATTAGTATAAAAGAAACCCTAAAAGTTCCAATTTTGTCTAAAAACTTCTCTATTTAATAATGCTTTATATTTCAAGTTTTAACAAGTTTTGACCACTGCCTTTTGTTTCACGTTCTTAAGGAAAAGTAAGGTAGCTCTTAAATGCCACTTTCCTTTCCCATTTGATTCTGCCTAACACGGCTGCCCACCACTTATAGTTTTCTAACTGAAGAAGTTATAAACATGATCAAATGCCACATAATGCCACCTCTTCTATTTTTAATTACAAAGCTGCTTTGTCAAAATCAAAACAAGTTGAATTCTCATCAGAATGTTTTAATCATTTTTACATAATTTCATAGATTGCTTATCGCTTATTATGCAAGTTATAAAATCAAATTTCTTTTAACGTTCTACGATATAATTGAGATATCATATATTTGCATAATGTTGAGCAAAACAACTGTATTATATTGTTTGTCATAAACACAATTGTCAAATTATAAAATATTAAAATTTGAAGTGTTTTATGTTCCCATGTTCGGCAAAAGCAAAATAATTTGTTATCGTTTATTCCATGTTGTGTATCTTTAATTTAGTACAACAAAATTTAGAAATTCTCTATCCCAAAAAGGTATATCTTCTTTTAACAAATGGAATATATATTTTTCACCACCGCATTTAAAAATCAAACATATTCTGTGTAATATTTTCAAATGTTGACTGGTGTCATATTGAACAAGGAACTAAGGAATATTGTGCATTATAACACCTCAGCCACAGATTCTGCATCTTGATTGGCCGAGAGTGAGTCACATGGCATTCACTATTGTTACTTTTTTGCTGTGCACGGCCAAAAAGACTACACAACGGCTGAAACATTTATATGCATTAATCCTTGTTTTATATATAATACCAAGACACATTTTTAACTTTTTTATTGGAATCACTTTTCATTAAGTTCACTGATTGCACATTCACACATCGTAGTCATGTCCCCAAGGAATACACTACTGTGACACAGGCCTTGGCATCGAGGACACCCGACTATAGTACATCAAACTCCCTGCAGCTGAGGCTGCATCCACATTGCATGGCTACGGCTAGTCGTAGCACACGTGTCAATGGGAAGTGGCTTCATTTGCTTCCACAGCCACATGTATTATTGCAAGCCATAGCCATGTAATCCGGACGCAACATAGCTTAATCCCCATTTTGAAGAGTTCACGTTTAACATGTACTCCAATACGACGTCCGGTCAAAAATTTCTTCGATTTTCAATACGATTTAGGAATGTTAACATACTTAAGAAGTAAAATATAATATAAGAGAAAGATGTCATCTTTTGAGACAAAAACCATAAAACTAAAACTTCCCCACCACCCCAAAAAAGGAAAGTGAATCTGTCTAATTTTATCCCTCGTAATTTAGTATTTAAGTTTAAAAATGTTCAAGAAACATTTGCTTTTAAAGCAGACACACGTACAATGACCAAACACTACGATTACATGTTCACTGTGCAACACTGCGGCAGGTAGATACCATTAGTTTGCAACTGGATTCCCCTCGGGGGGAAGACACATAAATGACAGGGTTTTTTTAACCAATGAACGTTTCGTTTCTTCCCAGGAGAGAACCCTCGAACGTCGACAAAGTGACGTGGATTTGAGATTTGCTTGTCGGGTGTTTGTTCATGCACATGGGCCCCTGAACGTGTCTCAACCAAATTATTTTCTCATTTTGCTTAGTGTATTGCTGTTGATTACTTTATAGCAAAAAAATCACTCATTACTTTTTTGCTGTTTCTAATATTTAGTACTCTTTTCAAATTCCCGAAATATTGTTTTTCCAAATATCTATGTACATGAACAAAATTTAGAAATTTGACGATTGTTAATTTGAATGACCATGACAACTAAATAAACTTAGAAATGATGAATGAATCTTTACCATGGGTCATAAACCCTAACACATCCCTGCAGATATGTGCGATCACAAGACAGATTTGACCAGTTGGGCACGATTGACCGTCTGACCTTTGCCAGCCAGGTCAGAGTTCAAAGGTCATAAATTTGTACTCTGTGAGTAAGCCGACAGATTACATGTGATGACAATCGGAGCTTTGCCAGCTAGGTCAGAGTTCAAAGGTCATAAATTTGTACTCTGGGAGTAAGCCAACAGATTACACATGATTGAAAATCTGACCTTTGCCAGGCAGGTCAGAGTTCAAAGGTCATTAATGAGTATATTCAGGGAGCGAGTCAACAAGTACCACATGATTGACAATCTGACCTTTGCCAGGCAGGTCAGAGTTCAAAGGTCATTAATGAGTATATTCAGGGAGTGAGTCAACAAGTACCACGTGATTGACAATCTGACCTTTGCCAGGCAGGTCAGAGTTCAAAGGTCATTAATGAGTATATTCAGGGAGCGAGTCAACAAGTACCACGTGATTGACAATCTGACCTCTGCCAGACAGGTCAGAGTTCAAAGGTCATTAATAAGCATATTCAGGGAGTGAGTCAACAAGTACCACATGATTTACAATCTGACCTCTGCCAGACAGGTCAGAGTTCAAAGGTCACTGATTAGTACTCGGGGAGTAAGCTCATGGCTTCGGAGGCTTTTATCCTCACTGCTGCGTCCGGATCCTTCAACAGTAGGATAAGAGCTGTGGAGGTGAAGAGAGGAGAAAAAAAAGAAAAACATGAAATAGTGTCTAAAAAATGTCGCTCTAGAAATAGAGTCAATTCATTGTTGTTATAGGATAAATCTATACACCATTATCATGTTGTGGCCATCTTGATTTTTCCCCATTCAATTCAACGTAACCAAAGCGAGGCTGGAAGGATAAATAGTCTGGTTCCTTTTTGCACAAAAAAAATCATTCAGTACTGTTATTGGATACAGGGAACATGACTGAAATGGTGGCGGCATGATAAAGGTCTATAGGATAGCACTACTGGGCTCAGAATCGAGTCAGTGAGAAAATCGGTCAGTCGGTGAGATTAGTACACGGACACTTGGCTGGCCCTTTGAGACCAGCACAAAAAAGGGGCGGAGTGGTGTCCTTACCCCCACAGACGTGCTCCTTGGTGATGAGTGTGTGGCTAGCCTCGGGCAAGTTCCCCAGGAGGAAACCCACAAACATGGCCGCGTTGCCCCGGATGTCCGGCCACGAGCTCTTGAAGAAACCCACGTTGGCCATCACATAGAAGTTGACTTTCTGGAGGAAGTCCGAAATCTGACGGGGGGAAAAAAATGGACAGGAAAGATAATTTTCTGGAGAGAGAAAAAAAAAAAGCTGGGAGACATTACGTGGGAGTGAAGAAGCAGAAAATTGAACTAGCTTGCTCTCCGTGGACTTTTCAATTTCTTAATGAAATTGAAAACTAATCAAAGTAGTTGCTGATCCAGCACACTCCTGTTACCAAGCCAACAGAAGACGTCAACAATGTCAGTAACCTGCTAGTAACGAAAAGTAGTGGCTAAGCACAGAATATTCACTTAGCGAGAAAAAAATAACATGTTACCAGCCAATATTATCATGCAATGCATTCTGCTGGTGACTGGTAGTCCGCTGATGTTTTGCTGAGCAACCTTTTTGGGGACACTGTGGCTTGTCCACTCAGGGACTCCGGACTCTTATAAGAAAATAATTCAGAAAACTTGTGCAAACGGGCACTCAACTTTCTTTGGGGTGACAATTTAACAATGTACTTCTGTAAAAAAAAAAAAAAAAATACACAACGCACTTTATCACTCAATCACAGAATTAATGAAGCTTGCATAGTACTTGTTGCTAAATGCTTGCGTTCGCCGAAGCATAATGTAATTTACAAGAGATATCTTCAAGTTAACGTTAAAAAAAAAAATCAGCTTTCTGACGTCTTTGCCTCAACAACAATCGTTATAAAACTGAAAACTGGCAAAACAAAAGTCCAGATACAGCCTGCTTGCTTGATCTAAGTAAATCTGCTTGCTTGCCTTCGTTCACATTTTAAGGTAAGATTGCTTATATGCTTGCAATTTTATTTAAATAAATTTGATTAACAATGGTTGGTTAAAGGGAATGAACATCATTGGCTTTTGCTGTAATTTTCAGAAATGAACTATTTAAGGGGTTAGTATAATAGATCAAACATTGTTACACTGACATGTTTGAAGTTTTGTGTTCGAAAATGCTGGAAAAACCAAGAAAAACAAAAATGTTGAAGTAGTCTGGTTCCCTGACTCCACTACAGATAAAATGGATCAATTTATAGATTCAAGAACATGTACGCAATAGCAACCAAAATTTGGACTGAAAAAAAAGGGGTAAATTTGGAGCAGTAGTTGAAAATGGTTAGATTTTTCCAACGGTGGTCGGCCGACCACCGTTGGAAATGTATACAAAAATACCATTTTCTTGAAAATGACTTCACACCAGGTGCCATAATTTTACAGGATGCTTTAGACTGTCACTTACTAACATCCTAGTAAGGTATTTCGTTAAAACTTGGTAGTTTTATTTTTTGATGTTTGCAAATGTTATACTGTATATTCCCTTTAAGTCCATCAAGCCTTTGTCGTGAAGTGATGAAGAACCTCCAAAAATGAAACAAATGCTACAATCTTTTAACTAGATTGTTTTCATCGTTCAATTCTAATGGGGAATCATTTTGTGGAAAGTTTATTATCTTCAGTTGATTTTTTTTTTTCAACGATTGGAGTTTGGGTTTGGGAGATCTCTTGCATGGCATCAGTATATGCCAGGACAAACTGTTTGCATACCAGTTGTGACTTTCTTGAAAAGAGTTGACATGGCTGGGAGATTTGCAATCATTATTATAAATCTTTTCAAGCAGGATTCTAAAACAACTCGGTTGTCGACACTCAAAAAAAGAAAGCACCGGAGCTTAAACTTTACCAAATAATTGGGAGTAATGTTTTATTCGGTTTATATACTGAGTCCCCCACTACATGCAAGCAAATTGACCAAAAAAACCCCAAACCACTGGTTTTGAAGTAAGACATTCTGCACATGACTGTATGGAGTACTGGACACTCTCTCCAAGTCTATCCTATTGTGCACATTGGTATGATCCTTGCATGTGTACTGCTACCCATAGTCCCTATAACCATCTCAAAAGGAATAGTCTGTAATTTGTGCATTTTGTTCGTTTCAAGCAACAATAGTGCTCAAATTCTAAAGAAGGGTGCTGAACAGCTAACCTGATGAAGTTTCAGCTCAGCTTCAGCTATATATTTCGAGAAAAACAACATTCTAGGATCTCGATTTCAAATCAAAAGTTGCTGAATCATGTGTTGAATTGGGCCTGAATTCAGCGCCCGAAACACGTTCTCACTGAGCCGATTGCAGCTACGCGATGTCGCGCACCGATCCGACGAATTATAGCAACCGCGGGCGCGCGTGTGCGTCGTGCCAACGCTTGCACGCACTTCGCCTATTGAAAAAAACGGAAATTTCCAACGGTGCTTCTTAAGACGCACCGTTGGAAAGGCCTTCTTTCGTTGATTCTTTCAAAATGACAGCTTGCCAGAGAGAATAATTTCACTGGGAGTTTAGTCCCCTAACTATCTTTCAACCAAGTATGTTTTTCAACAATAAATATGCCAGTTATTTTTTGGATGGCTGCAAATGATGGACTCTGGCTTTAAGGTTTTAGTTCGCACTTCTAAACTGGCTAACATCCCTCTTTTCAGTCAGGGATGAATAGACAAGGAACTGTAGATTCCTTGCCAAGTCCACGTTAATAACTTTTCGATTTTAACCTTGCCTTTTACCATATTTTTTTATTTAATACTCCTTTTTTGTACAAAATGTTCACTTTGCATTTTTCAATTCGCTGCACAGATTTTTTTTTTTTATACATGGTGACGATTATGAATTTTTAATTGTTGCAAAAGTATAAAATATTTGTTTCATTTTATTTTTATTTTACTCTTATTTTAATATTATTAATATGTTTATTAGGCCCCCAAAAAAGTCTTCGGTTTCTGGTATGGAGCTTGCCCCAAAAGTGGTGTGGCAACCCTTTTTTTTAAATTTATTTTTTTTACTTTTTTTTCTTGAAATGTCGGCTGATGACTGCAAATGGTGCCCGACTAAATTTAGTGCAAAATGTATGGGAGAGAGGCCACATAAAGCTTATACTCGATCGTAACTCCATCTAAAAACACATTTAAATTGTGCAGTAGCAGGATTCCAGTCAAACCAGTTAGTTCGACGGTTTAAAGACATCATCATTTTTTTTAAAATTTTGCCGACGCGCGCGCGCATACCAGAAACCGGAGACTTTTTTGGGGGGGCTTTAGAATGTGCGTCTGAACTGGTAACAAGCTTACTTTGCTATCATTGTTTCAATAAGGAAAAATAAATTTGCATCCTCGGTTTGCATTCTCAAAATGCTAACGCACTTGCAGTTCAAGTCAATCAGTTAAATATGTGTTTGTTTTACTGCCCCTTCATTAGTGAGTACATAGATCCCATTTACAAAACGGAGATTTGATTTGGGACAAAATTGAGATTTGACCATGGGCGTCTCGAGAAGGTGGGGCAAGGGGGGGCGCTTGCCCCCCCCCCCCAAAAAAGGACAAAAAAAGAAGACGAGGTACAAAGTCACATTGATGTTAATTTAATGCATATTTAACAACATGGGCGTCTGCAGGGGTGTCAATGGGGGTGGGGTGGGCAAATGTACCCCCGCCCACCCTAAAAAAATGATGAATTGAGAATATGCTAGAGAAAGTACAAGGATTTTGGGAAATAATGTGCTTTGCCCCTCCCCCTAGAGAAAATCCTGGCGACGCCCATGGATTTGACTTGTACTTAACATTGATGTGTTTCATACTTTCATTAGAAACCCACCAGCATGGCCAATCCTACATTCAACGTCAGTTTGAATGTGAATGCAACAAAACATCAGAACCAACTCTGGCCGAGCAATTTGTCAACGTCGCAGCGCCCAATAACGTGACAACGACCCTGGTGTGGAGTTCGCCCGTAGTGATAGGTTTCATCGTGTCCCTGTCCGCCTTGACCTTGATCCTAATCTGGACCCTCAACCCGCTTTGTCTGGTCGCCATCTACCGCGCCATCAACATTCAACCCACCACCAAGATCTTCATGGCGTCTCTGATCATTGCTGATATCGGCGGCGGTTTGTTCGGCTTGATTCCCGTCACAGTCCTCCAAACTCTACGCTGTGAGGAATGTCTAAGCAGCGCCTATGTCATGCAGGATGTATTTGCGGCACTGAGTCTTCAGTCTCTGATGTTTCTAACTGCAGACCACTATTTTTCTATCGTTTGGTGCTTGCACTATCCTCGCTAAGCTTCTCGTTCTATCCAAGTGGTTCTTGGTCATCCTGACCGTCGCTTTGATTCACACATGCCGGCTCTCCCTTTGCACCTCTCAGCAACTGCAGATTGTCTTCTCTACCATCTTGATCCTGATTATGTTTGAACTGTGCGTGATTGTCATCATGTATCTCCACATTTTAGTGATCGCGCGACGCCACGCCCAACAGATCAGCACACAGGAGACAATAGTAACTGGGCAGAACCAGGGTCTGACCAAACACAAGATCAAGTCTTTAACCACCGTCATGATCGTTTTTGCTCTCTTCATCATCGGTTGGGGACCCGGCATGACTTTCATCATGTATAGCTACATCACAGGCACAACTTTTCAAGGCACCATACTACCCCACATCGTGGCTTTGCTCTACTATACAACAAACTGGATAGAGGTGGCTGTGTTTTGCGTCCGCAACCAAGATGTCAGAAGGACACTCTGCAAAGTCGTGGCAACTTTTTTCAACAAGCTACGGCTTAAGTGCTGTAATAGCACACCAGTTGTCCTAATCACTCCTACAAGATCGGAAGTAACAAGCCCCATGTAAATTAAAAGTGGATGGGTTGTATAGGTTCCGATTGCATAACGTCAAAGTGCCATGTGATCATCTGATGTGACCAGCCACCATTGCAGTAGGCAAGCGTTTGGTTAGCAATCACGTCGCACATTGTAAACTAGACAGTGGGGCTTTTTTTCGCGTAAAATAACCAGGAATTCTTTATCAAATGGCACAATGGTCACTACCTGAGCCGAGTACGGTTGTCAAAATTGTGCCGACCAAGCACTGGGTGCTACTACTGGGTGCTGGCTCCATGTTTTTTTTTCTCAGAGTTTTTGCCACCCATCACAGCTTTGAAGGCTTGCCTACTACCTACTGCAGGCAGCACTATACGACAATGGCAATGCTGACTTTGCAGTGGCCGGATGTAGGCTGGGTCACGTGGGTTAACGAGAGAGCCCTTAAAACATTAAAAATCCAAGTGTGGATTTCTTTTTAAGATTTGAGATTGTAAGGCTCAAAGGGAATACACAACATTTGCAAACATCAAAAAACAAAACTACCAAATTATGATGAAATACTGACTGGATTGTTAGTGAATCTAAAGCATCCTGTAAATCATGGCACCTGGCGTGCTGTCATTTTCAAGAAAATGACAATTTCCAACGCTGGTCAGCCGACCAGCATTGGAAAAAACTGGGTGTTTTTTTCAAATACTGTCCCCAATTTACCATATTTGTTAGTCTGCATTTTGTTTGCAATCGATTACACACCTATGAATGGGTACAAGCCATCTAGACTGGTTCCCTGACCTTACAATTCCCCATCTTAAGTGGGGTCAAGGAACCAGACTGCAGAAACATGATTGTTTTTCCAGCATCTCCGAACACAAAACTTGAAACAAGTCAGTGTAACAATATTTGCTATAAAATACAAACCCCCCAAATCCATCCATTTCTAAAAATTATGGCAAAAGCAAATGTTGAATATTCCCTTTAACTTACATTCCAACACAGACCTTAAACTGATGAAGGAAAACATGTCAAGCTTCGGAATTCCTTTCAAATTTTAACATTGGAGTTTCTCAATCTGGCAACAGTGTCACGAGCACCATTGTAATGTGAAAAAAAGTAGAAATACAGTGCACTCAAAAAATTAATATGTAAATTTGTGAATATTGAGAATAACAAAACAGGATACAAAAAAAGTGTGTTTGTTTTTTTTGTAGAATTGACTATAATATTGTTCTTGTACATTGGTAATTTGGGTGCAAAATTATTTTTCCACCAATGTCTTGAACCTTACCCTCCCAAATCAACCAAAATCAAACTGTTTGATGGGATCAGGGCTCCTGGAATCCAGCACTATTACCGTAATTTTCGGAATATAGGCCGCGCGGAGTATAAGCCGCAGCACGCAAAAATCTGCAAGTTAAAATTTGACGTCAGCATATTAGCCCACCGACGTATAAGCCGCACGGACCGCAGAGGTTTCAATTTTGTAAGGCCGCCAAATTCTTAAGTCAAAAAGCTCTGGACCAGTTCCATTTACACTACGAAAACTATAACAAGGGCCACAAAAGTTATATCAAAACATTTACGGTCGATACTCGAAACTACGAAATTGACGATGAGAAATAAACACCAATCACGAGTCAATCACGAGCCAATCACAAGTCATCACAAGTCAACCACAAGTCATCACAAGTCATCACAAGTCAATCACATATCAATCACAACTCACCCAGTCCATTGTGAACTCAAAAAGCTTTCAAAATAAATTGTGACCAATGCATTCTTTTGTAAATTATTCATCTTCTACTTCTTGTGATTAGACATGTGATTTACTTGCGACTGGACTTAAGACGAACTAGTAACTAGACTTGTGATTTACTTGTGACTGAATATGTGATTTACATGTGAATAATAGGGCTGTCCATTTTAGAATAATTCAGTATTCGATTCTACGTAACTGCATTCGACCGAATATTCGATTATTCAAAACTCGGCGGTCAAGTTCACTCATGCCAGCCGCAACTGCATGCATTACCTGTCAAAAGTTGCATGCAGAGCGCGCCGGTTACAATTTGCGTGGCAATCTATGTTAATCAATGGATTAAAAATGCTAAAAGGATGGGAACAATGAATCACTGTCAAAAAAAAGAAGAAGTTACTGTCAACATTAAAAAGTGGCATCTGACAACAAAGCGCAGCAACTTCACAGTTAATAACATCACAGTTGTGTGTGTACACACGTAGTTTTTTTTTTATCTGATACACCGTGCCCTCTGGAGACATGCACACAATAGGGAACAAAAGATTGTATATGTCTCCACAGGGCAATTTCTAAAGATGAATATGTCTCCACAAGGTTATCACGAAATGGATACATGGATTTTACCCAAAAGCTAGGAATTTCCAAGGTGGGTTGATCCGTCGCAAATGGAAGAGTTTTAGAAAAGGGATATTAAGTCTGAATTTCAGCCAAGGAAATTAATTCTGGTTAAAATAAGAGCATTTTAAAACTACACTTTCAAACTCGAAAACTTTACTACACAAGAACAAAGAAATGTCTCCACAAGGATACAGTATTTCAGTATGTGTGCTTTTGAATATTCGAACCAGCAAAATGCTATTTGAATATTTGGTTGTTGATCGAAAATATGAATATTCGGGACAGCCTTGGCGACTAAGGATTTGTCGGACTTACTATGACTTTGGAGAGATTGAACATAAACTCGCCGTAGTTCAGCGATCCCTCGTCCAGCAGGTGCTTCTGAAACATCTTGTTGAGGGACTCCGAGCCGATGAGGGGGCCGACCTCTCTCAGCGTAAACTTACAAGCCTGCGAATTACCACAAAAATACTGCAGGTAACACTTGCGCAACCCCCTGGTAAACTTTCTGTCCATGTTACGTACCTAACACTGTAAGCATAAATATCTTGTCAAATTGGCCTGGAAAGTCTTAATTTCTTTAAAAGCACAATCCTCAACAATGGGGTGGGAATGTACAAGTGAAAAATAGGACAAACAACTTGATGTTATTATCCTGCTTCATTTCCCAATCCCTTTCCCAAAAAATGACATCCTTGTGTAAAAATGTCTTTCTTATTAAAGGGAATATACAACATTTGCAAACATCAAAAAATAAAACTACCAAGTTTTTACGAAAAACCTTACTAGGATGTTGGTAAATGACAGTCTAAAGCATCCTGTAAAATTATGGCACCTGGTGTGAAGTCATTTTCAAGAAAATGGTATTTTCGTATACATTTCCAACGGTGGTAAAACCTAACTATTTTGCAACTACAGCTCCAACTTTACACTTTTTTCAGTCCAAATTTTGTTTGCTATTGGTTACATGTTCAGGAACGGGTGCAGGCCAGCTAGACTGGTTCCCTTACCTTACAATTTTCCGGCATCTATAAATTGATCCATTTTATCTTTAGTGGAGTCAAGGAACCAGACTACTTGAACATTTTTGTTTTTCTTGGTTTTTCTAGCATTTTCGAACACAAAACTTCAAACATGTCAGTTTAACAATATTTGATCTATTATACTAACCCCCTCAAATAGTTCATTTCTGAAAATTACAGCAAAAGCCAATGATGTACATTCCCTTTAACAAGGATTTGGCAGGTTTTTTTTAAGTATGGGCGTTTTTCCACAACCACATCCGGTACATTACATGTAGGTTAAAAGGTCAACAGCAAGGGCGCCCTCATAAGATTCTGAGAGAGCAAGGTATGGTAAAAATGTCCGCCACGAATGACTTTCTGCTGGCCGAAATTAATCCAAAAGCGGACGCACGGTAGAATGACCACAATGGAATGTTGACAATCACTCGCAGTGGCTTTCTCACAAAACTTTAAGTCCAGCAATGCGAACGTGATTTTAAAACTCACTTTCTTGACGTCTTCATCTTCGTCGTTGAGGTGGAGTAGGAGGCTGACAAAGTTGGTGTGGATCTGCTCCAGGAAGGGGGGCTTGGAGGGTCCGTCCCCAAACCGACTCAGGTTACCGAAGAGAGTGAAGGACACCGCTCTGACCGTGGCTCGATCCTGAAGGGCAGAGGGCAGTTAAACTGGTTCAATTAAACTGGTCTACCCAACTAGAGCAGTCATCAAGTTAAAGCTACAGTCCATCGTTTGCAGCTATCCAAAAAGTAACTGATGTAATTCTTGTTGAAAAACATACTTGGTTGAAAGATAGTGAGGGGACTAAACTCCCTGTGAAATTATTCTTTATGGCAAGCTGTCATTTTGAAGAAATCAACGAAAGAAGGCTTTTCCAACGATGCATCTTAAGATGCACCGTTGGAAATTTCCATTAGTGGTTCGTTTTGTTATTGGGTGAGGCGGCACAGGCGTTGACACAACACAAACGCACGCGCGGTTGCCATAATTTGTCACGGATCAGTGCGCCACAACGCGTTGCTGCATTCGGCTCAGTGAGAACGTGTCTCCGACACTGAATTCAGGCCCAATTCAAAACATGATTCAGCAACTTTTGATTTGAAATCGAGGTCCTAGATCGTTGTTTTTCTCAAAATATACAGCTGAGGCTGAGCTGAATTTTCATCAGGTTAGTTGTTCAGCACCCTTCTTTAGATTTTGAGCATTTTTGTTGCTTCAGACGAACAAAATGCACAAATTACAAATGATGGACTATACCTTTAAGAAAAGCAGCTAACTAAACTTGTTCTGAAAACTGGTTCAGAGATTGGTAGCAACTGTTACCTTTTCAAAGCAGGGCCTGATCCTGAGTGCAATGTTAACCAGGATGGGTCTGATGTTGGACTCGTCAATCTTGACCAGGATACGAGACAGGCCCGTCATAGACTCCAGGAGAATCTGATCGTCCGTGTCTTCCTTGTCGTCCATTCCGGCCATCATGGCCGACAGCACCGTGGTGCAATACTTCTGGGTCTGAACACCAAAAAGGAGAAAACCTCAGAATTATGGTGAAACTTCACTGTCACTCTTCCACTTTAGGGTCAATTAAAAATGTGCTGGATTTAATCCTAACCCTCCTTAATCTTCCTCAATCCTCCAGGCAGTTTTGGAGGATTTTGGAGGATTGAGGCTGAAATGGCAAAAAGGCGTTGATTGATTTAGGAGGATGCATTGCGTCCAGTTCGTAGGCAGTGTACCAAGCATTGTTTATGTTTAGCCATGCATAACTGAGCTATGCATTATCCTCGATATCATCCGCACTGCTTCTGAATGTCATCGGCACTGCCTCATCCCATTTACAGTGATTGTTGGAGGATTTTGAAGGATTGAGGCTGAATCCAAGTTTTACCTGGCAGCAATTGGAGGATTCTGCAGGATTGAGGATGGTTCCTAACCAACAGGGCCTAGGGGACTTTGGTTAATCAATGGGGCAGTTTATACTGTGCCCGTATATTCTGCATGGTAGAGCAATAAACCACTGAGCTTAGAAACATGAGCAATTTTTCCAAAATAACGAGCAATGAATCCGCTAATTTTTACTTGACAGCCCTGGACCCAATGTCGTGAACTGCTTAGCACAGAAATCAGCTAAGCACAAACAATATTTGCTTCACAAACACAGGTTACCAGCCATGATGCCACATGATATGCACTGCTTTTGACCGGTTCCCAACTCACTGGTGATCAGTATGTAGCATTTAATACCTGTTGCGGTCCCAGGCTGGCAACGTTGCCCATACCCCGGATGCACAGCATGCGCACGACGTGGCACGAGTCCACCATCCGACCCAGCAAGTTATTCATGATGTCCTCCACCAACTGCATGTCCCCGGCGCATTTCTGGTTCACCAACTACACGGCAAAAATAAAAAAATAAAAAAAATTGAAGATTAAACAACTTTTCACATTTAACTGTCCTTAGAGGGATATACGCTCCGTTCAGAAGTACCCCCTCACCAGCAAAGAAAGTACAGTTGGGGGTGACCGACCGACGCCATCTTGCCCAACTGCAATTTTGCCGCGATGCGCGGCCGTACCACTGCGTGTACATAGTACAAATCTCCTAGTGTACGTGCGTCACATGCAAGGAACGGTGCGCGTCAACCAGCTAAATGTCCCGCCCATGGGACGTCGTTGCTAGGTAAAAGGGCGCCCTCTTTCGTTGGCGCATGGAGCCCATAGGTGTTATGCAGTCTATGGAATATCCCCTTGCACAGCAAGGGTATATGATGTGTGCCGCAGATTGGGCGATTAATTATGCATAGCAAGACTGCGTCTTGACCTCGAGATTCTGACCATTCAGCGGGCGCCTTCTATCGGGTCACGATAACCCATTGTTGTATTACAAAAACATGGTAGCCAAATTGACCAATCGACAGCTTAGTCCACATTTCTGATTGAAATGACGTCACAATTTTTTATAGTTGACTCCGATTGGCTGGCGTGGGGGATAGCATACAATTTGCATGCTAGGATATATCAGACGTTCATTGTGAGGCTCTGTATATGTAATTGTTTGATACTCAGACTGGGGGTTATGCCCTTCCCCGAAATAGGAATTGTCTTCTTTTTTTTTTACCCTAAGTCCCTCGTGTATTCCAAATATTGTATTAAAATTGGGAGTTTGAGGACCGTTGGGGTTAATAATTAAACTAAAGGGGTGAACTCTATATTAAATCAATGCTGTTGTGTCTAACCACTTTCTGCATTTAGATTTGTTAAGATATATTAATTTAAAAAAACAAAAACAAAACAAAAACGGGGGGGGGGGGGGGGGGGGGCAGGAGAGTACCCCTAGTAAAATTGAGGTCTTTCAATCCGCATCCTAGCCCCCCTGTAAATAAACAACAAAACACAAAAAACAAACCACAAATAAATAACAAAACAAACAAACAAAACCACGGGGGTGGGGGGGGGGGGGGGTGGGGCAGGAGAGTACCCCTATAAAATTGAGGTCTTTCAATCCGCATCCTAGCCCCCCTGTAAATAAACAACAAAACACACCAAAAAACCACAAATAAATAACAAAAAAAACAAAAAAACAAAAAAACAAAAAAAATTAAAAATGAAAAACAAAAACAAAAATAGAAGATTAAACAATAGAAATGAAAAAAAAAGAAAATTGAAAAGCGCTTTCTTACTTCGGCTAAGAAAGCTGCAGTCACGACCCTCTGAGGCTCATACAGACTGGCTAGCGTTGGGATCAGACAGGAGACTATCTTGGAGATGTAGCCTGTCATGTGCTTGGCCATGCCCCTGTGGAAGAACATTGAGAAAGGAGGGATGAAATCTTATTGAATCACTCGGCAAATCGCAAGCCGAATCACAAGTCAAGGCACAAAATCTATCACAAGGCAAACCACGAGTCCAATCACAAAGTCTATCACAAGGCAAATCACAAGGCAAATCACAAGTCCATCACAAGTCAAATTTTGCACATCAGTTAACAAGTCCATTGCAAGTCAAATCACAAGTCAAATCACAAGTGAAAACACAAGTCCATCAAAAAGTCCCTTAAAAAGTCAAATAACAAATCAAGTAAACAGGTCCATCACAAGAGAAATAACAGTCCATCACAACGTCATATCAAAAGTCAAATCACAAGGCAACTCACAAGGCCAATTACAAGTCAAATCACAAGTCCATCACAAGATAGATCACAAGTCAGGTCATAAGGTCGTCACAAGTCAATCACAAGTCCATCACAAGTCAAATCACAAGTCCATCCCAAGTCTTATACTTCATCAATCACAAGTCAGAACACAAGTTCGTCACAAGTCAAATCACAAGTCTAATGATTCGTCAATCACAGGTCAAATCACAAGTCAGTCCAATAAAAAAAATTAAGGCCACAGCTAACGGGATGAACATCAACAAGGGAAGACCTTTGTCTCAGTTTATTCCAATACTTTGTGACTTGACTTGAAACCGAAGGGCCCGTGACTGACTTGCAAAGACTTCTGGTTTCCAACTTAAAACAGGTTTACTTGAGATCGTCATTTCTAAGTAAAATTACTGGCTCGATTAGATTTGGCAAAGTAACAAAATCTGAACTCACTGAGCCAGGATGGAGACCCCATCCTGGTACTTGTCGGTGTCCTGTAGCATGTCCCATACCCCCTCGCTCTCCAAGAACTGGATCAACTCTGACCCCTGACCTCGGAGGATCAGGGCCTTCAGAGCATTCACGGCAACCCTGTCAGGATAAACAAATAACAGTTCGATTCTTTGGACCCCGCTTGTGGAATTCCGTCAACTATGACATCAAAACAAATTCTTCAGAGACCTGCTTCAGAGTTCTTAGAAACACACTTTTTGATCTCCCAGAGTGTGGTATTGCTCCGGCAAAAATGTTGCAACCTGACGCCACTTTTTTCTTCATATATCATCTCAATGAAGGTCAGTCATTGCAAGAATGATGATAAGACATGAATCTGGGACTGAGAAACATTTCCAATTTTGTTAGGAACTACTTTCTTGACTTTCTTGAAATTTTCTTGACTCTCCATAGACTTTGTACACAGCCGCTGAAGTGGCGTCAGGTGGCAACATTTTTTCCATTGTTCCTTTTGTTTGTTTTTCTCATCGCCCCACTCCAACCAGCTGTTTTTATCTACAATTGTCCATCAATTTACCATGTGTTCATCTGTCTGTCTGTCAAGCTGTTTGTTCAACTGTTCCTGTATATGTTGGTTTGTCTGTCTTGCTTTAAACTCTTTTTCTTTCTTTTTTAATGTTTAGTGTCTCAATATATTGTGATTTACGTAAAGGCATGTCCCTACAAGCTTCAACTTCTCATAATCATACCTCCATTCAAATGTGATTTCTTCAAATAATATGTTTACCCTTATTTGGTTCGAAAGAAATGCCATTGAAATTGAAATTTGATTGAAATATTGGGTTTTGCCCATCACTTACATAATTATTTTTTAGTCTGTGATGTTGAGAGCTTAAAAGGAAAAAAAAAAGTTCGCTCGGGTGGGATGTGAATTTAGGACCTCAGCTGCAGTGACCGTTTAAAGGTACAGTCCATCATTTGCAGCTATCCAAGAAGTTACTGACATAATTATTATTGACAAGCTTACTTGGTTTAAAGATAGTAATGGCACTAAAACTCCCTGTGAAATTATTCTTTCTAGCAAGCTGTCATTTTGAAGAAATCAATCAAAGAAGGCCTTCCCAACGATGTGTTGGAAATTTCAGTAAGTAGTTTGTTTTTTTAATCGGCGGAACAACCGCAAGTGTTGACATGAGGCAAACACGCGCACGCTCATGTAGCTGCAATTTGCTCAATGAGAACGTGTCTGGGACGCTGAATTCAGGCCCAATTCAAAACATGACTCAGCAACTTTTGATTTAAAAATCAAGATCCTAGAATAGTGTTTTTCTCGAAATATACAGCATTCACTGAGCTGAAAGTTCATCAGGTCAGTTGTTCAGCACCCTTCTTTAGATTTTGAGCACTTGTGTTGCTTCAAACGAACATAATGCACAAATTACAAATGATGGACGCTACTTTTAAAAATAAAAAATGTACCCACTGGGTACTTACACGGAAGGCTTGATGGCAGCGTAGGCCTTGGTCATGGCTTTCTTGTCTTTCCCGCTTGCTCCGTCCTTCGTGACTGACTCCGGTGGGTTGGGGGGCCTGACCCCCACGCAGGAGCCCACGTAGATCAGCAAGGTGGCAAAGATGCGGTGAAACTGGTCACGCAGGGAAGCCTCTGTCTCTTCCACTGCAAGGATCTCAATCAAGGCATGGACGATCTGGAAGGAGGGGGGAGGAAGAGGCATGAAGTAAAATTTAAAATTAATGATTTTAAATGGAATATACATAATTTGCTTTTTCTGTAATTTTCGGAAATGGATGGATTGGGGGGGTTGGTAATATATAGCAAATATTGTTGCACTGACTTTTTGGGCGTTTTGGGTTCGTAGCTGCTATAAAAACTAAGAAAAACAATCATTTTCCTGTAGTCTGGTTCCCTGACTACATTTAAGATGAAACGGAGCAATTTACAGGCATGCAACTGGGAAATCACAAAAAAAGAGGAAATTCAAATTTTTTCCAGACTTTGTACAGTGTTTTTCTATTTTTAATGGCACACACGGGAAGTAAAAAAAGAGGAAATCAGCTGATCCGAGGAAAAGTTGCATGCCTGAATTTATAGATGTTGGGAAATCGTAAGGCTAGGGAACCAGTCTAGCTGGCTTGTACCTGTTCATAGGTGTGTAATCGATTGCAAACAAATGCGGACTAACTAAATATGGTCAATTGGGGCCAGTATTTGAAAAAAGCCAGGTTTTTTCCAATGCTGGTCGGCCGACCAGCGTTGGAAATTGATACGAAAATACCACTTTTGTTGAAAATGACAGTATACCAGGTGCCATGATTTTACAGGATGCTTTAGACTGTCATTCACTAACAGTCCAGCAAGGTTTTTCAAAAGAATTTGGTAGTTATATTTTTTGATGATTGCAAACGTTGTATTTTCCATTTAAAGGCACATATGATCATTTGCTTTTTTTGCATTTTGTTCTTTTCCAAAAACACCACCACTCAAAATACAAAGAGCAATGCAAAATCTAGCAATACAAAAGTTTTTCCAACTCGAACGAAACAACAAACGAAACAAAAAAAAAGGGCTCATGTTCTGTTATGGAATAATTAATTTACAAATTTCAAGTTATTTGCCGCCTGATTAAAGTTCAGTTCTTGCACAAACGACTGGTTCCTGCCTCCTGATCAGAATCAATATTTGGGACCGGGAGCCAGTCTACTGTTAATATGCAAATGTAACCTAACGTGAATTTTTGTTTCAGAAGGGTTGCCAATGCGCAAAATCTATTTTTATATAAAAACAAAATTCGAATTCAACATAAAAAATACAAAGAAAAAATTTGGTAGGAGAAAAAAAAATTGTTGAGACTTATGTGAGTGAAACATTGACAAGTCGAATTGATTCCAATATTTGGGATATTTATTACAATTTTTATAAGTCAAAAGTAGCTATTGTAACTGCCGATTTTGTCAGTTTTGTTGCCCTCTTGTGCAGACAGGGCGGGGGGGAGGGGGGCCTTAATAGATGGGTCTTACCGTCAGGGGAGAGACGTTTGCCGTCTTTGAGATGGTCTTCTTAGTCTTATGGTCGATCTTTTCTTCGTAGTGGACGTTCCTCGTCAGTGTATCCATGAAGCTGTCGAACAGATGCTTGAGTATGACGGGATCGCTGGCCAATGACTTCCAGCAGTCTTGTATGTGCCTGTGGGAGACAGATGGTTAAGTATATCATTTTTTTTCAAGAAACTGGAAAGGGTCCGGCATTTCATCAAATGGAGCTTAGCGGTTACACTTTAAAATAAAATCACCTCTTAAACTCCCCCCCCCCCATAAAAAAAATATCTTGGATCTCTTTAAAAGGAGAATTACATGATTTTGGTTCATTGTCAGAAACTAATCAAATCACTTCACTGTATTATTATTTTGACCCATTCCTCAAAAATATTTGCAAACATCAACAAATATAACTACCAAATTATTCTGAAAAACCTTGCTGGACTGTTAGTGAATGACAGTCTAAAGCATCCTGTAAAATCATGGCACCTGGTATACTGTCATTTTCAAGAAAAGTGGTATTTTAGTACGCTGGTCGGCCGACCAGCATTGGAAAAACTGGGGTTTTTTCCCAAGTACTGGCCCCAATTGACCATAATTAGTTAGTCCGCATTTGTTTGCAATCGATTACACACATATGAACGGGTACAAGCCGGGTAGACTGGTTCCCCGACCTTACAATTCCCCAACGTCTATAATATTGCTCCGTTTTATCTGAAATGGAGTCAGGGAACCCGACTACGGGAAACTGATGGTTTTTCTTGGTTTTTATAGCATCTACGAACCCAAAACGTCAAAAAAGTTAGTGTAACAATATTTGCTATATATTAGCAACCCTCCAAATGCATCCATTTATGAAAATTACAGCAAAAGCAAATGATGTATATTCCCTTTAATTTCAACCTTGTAACGGGATAAGGTACTGAAATGCTTTAATCAAAAAATTGTTGCTCCCAAGTCTTCTTTCAATTTCACATAAAATAACCTGATGAAGTAACTAAATTGCTCATTAAATGAAATCTTCAAGTTTTTGCAACAATGTGCAAGGAAGACATGCAGTTAATTCGTTCTGAACAGCCTAGACGTTTCTGTCATAATTTCAAAAACACAGAAGAAACGAAAAACAAAAACATAAAACAGTGAAAGATATAACCATGGAAGATAAAATCATCCTTACGCATCATAGGGCAGGGGATATTTCAGCAGAGTATCCACGACGTTGGAGAGGTGGTTGGACGCCAGTGTACGGACGGCTCGCAGGGTACCAGTACGCGTCTGCTGGTAACTAATGTTAATCAGCTTGAAATGAATAGCACCGATCATTTCATCCACCTAAAATAAAACCAAAAGACCAAACTGTGACAGATTTTGAGCAGAACTTGAAATTAGAGATTCTTTTATTGATTTTCAGTTTTACTCAAATTTGCGATCCTGAATATGCCTTAAATAAGGAAATAAATTAGTGCTTGACTGGTTTCAAACAAGTATTTTCTCCACATCAGGGCTCCTAGCCAGTTTTAAACGTACTTGTTTAATACCGGCCAAGCACATATTTATTCCCATTCATGAATACCTTTCGGTCAAAAAGTCAAAACAAGCCAAAAATTCACAAATTTCCAACAATTTTGTTCAACAAGTTCACGTCATGTTTTGTGAAACGCCCCTCTGCCCACGTCTATGGTATGTGCCTCGAGCGCGTACTGCTAAAAAATCTCCTGATATAGAAATTGGGGTGAACGCAGCGTGTACTGTCATCTGACAAAAACAAGGTCTTGTTTAGGCAGCTGGTCTGCACATTATCAATACTGTTTGTGGGGCGGGAACCAGCCTACCCTGCGAGAACGGAATTGTTGCCTGGCTGCCAATAATTCGATATTGTAAAGTAATATTTCAAAAACTAAACATCGGCCAATTTTTTCGGTTGATGTCTCATTCAAAAGTGCATCAATTTTGTATCGCTAGAAAAATAACAATTTAGAAAAGGACTTTATTTTTCGGATGAAACTAAACAAAATCACGGGGAACGCAACTTAAACAAAGACAGTGCATTCTGAAACACAAGTAGACATGAGTTGGATCAACTTACGTCAACTACAAGCTCCGTGCCTCTAGTCTTGAGCATGGTGTTGAGGACGACGCAAGCACCGCTAGAGCAATGGGATTGGACATCAAGGAGGCCCTCTATCAGCATATAGATGAAAGGTTTGAGCTGCTCTGAGGGGATTTTCTTGGCAAGGGCCTGGAAGAAAAAAGGAAGAAGGGAGAGGAAAAGTGGCGAGAAAGGTCAATGTGGTGAAACCACTGGAGCTATGCATCAGCACATTCAGGGGCATTATGTTGCTCTTGCTAATGAATATTTATGAGACTGACCTTGGGCCTACCTTAAAGAGGTCACTGACAGAGTTGCAGAGTATGGCGTCGGTCTTTGAAGCTCTGTATCATGAATATTCATGAGTGCCCCATTTGGCTTACCTTGGAGAGGTCATTGACTAGGCTGTAGAGTACATTAGGGTCAGTCTGTGCGGCTCTTTCCCTGATTACAGTCAGTGCTTCAATAACCGGATCCTGGAATGATGCAGTCTTGCCTGAAAAAAAGTAAAAAAATTATTTCGCTGTCGTAAAGTTTCTTGTTTCTTTAGTGATTCGTTGTTGTGTCAGTTCATGGCAGAAAACCAATGAGCAAACTTTTCTCGCAAATGTTTTCAATGGGCAAGTTTTTGGGTTCACAATTTCATAAAAAAACGCCTAATATGAACAGTGTCTTACTGAAATGACATCACGGCAACAGCGCCCTCAGCTGTCTGGAAAAGCATGGACCATTTTAAATGTTTAAAGAAGTGCACTTTTCAGTAAAATTAACCAAAAAGCGATGTCAGTTAGTTTTCGTACACTTAAGAGGATGTGAAAGTAGCACAAAATAAGTTCCTCAAAAATAGTCACTTCATGGGCCCTTTAAAGCACCCGCGGTAAGTAATTAGCATCACAGGATCTTTTTCACAATTCTGTGGGATTCTCATTTCTGTTGTTTCAAAATTTTAATTCAAATTTTCAAGGCCAAGGAAATAAAAGTTTTCATGAAAAAAAATTACGGAACGGATTGGTTGTTACCTTGATATAACAGATCGATGCGGAGGATAATCTGAATGGCTTGCACGGTGTTCTCTCTCACGGTGAGGTCCGGGTCCGAACAGCGGGGTACCAGTCGACCGATCAACGTCCCCATGTTGGTAAACGATCCGCTACCCTGTGTTTCAGAAACAGAGAATTTGAGACTTCTAAATGTCAAAAGACTTTACTAGTCTGTCCTCTCAGCAGTTGTTGGAGAAAAAAAGAACCTTGACAAACTCTAAGACAGTGCCCTGCAGTAAAGATGTGGAGTGCAAACAAATTAGGAGATTTTACTCATTGCACTTTTCTCTCGTTTGTTCAATCATTTTCATCTTAGGAATTGATCAGGGCAGAGTAAGAGATTGACCTGTGATGGCTTTGGTTGACTTGTGATAACATGTCATGACTTGTGATGATTGGTGACGATGGGTGATTGACTTGTTACGATTGGTGATTGATTTGTGACGATTGGTGATTGACTTGTGATGATTCGTGATTGATTTTTGACGATTGATGATTGACTTGTGATGATAGGTGATTGACTTGTGATGATTGGTGATTGACTTGTGATGCTTGGTGATTGACTTGTTACGATTGGTGATTGACTTGTGATGATTGGTGATTGACTTGTGATGCTTGGTGATTGACTTGTGATGATTGGTGATTGACTTGTGATGATTGGTGATTGACTTGTGATGATTGGTGATTGACTGGTGATGATTGGTGATTGACTTATGATGATTGGTGATTGACATATGATGATTGGTGATTGACTTGTGATGCTTGGTGATTGACTTGTGATGATTGACTTGTGATGATTGGTGATTGACTTGTGATGATTGGTGATTGACTTGTGACGATTAGTGATCGACTTGTAATGATTGGTAATTGACTTGTGATGATTGGTGATTGACTTATGATGATTAGTGATTGACTTGTGATGATTAGTGATTGACTTGTGATTATTGGTGATTGATTTGTGATGATTGGTGATTGACTAGTGGATTGACTTGCGATTGTCTCATGATGACTTGTGATTGACTACAAGTCATAATCAGAGTGACCAGAGGAACTTACTGCGCTCATGTCTGTCACATTATTCAGGTAGAATTTCAGCAAGATGAGCGTCGCGGTGACCGATCGTTGCCTCTCATGATCCTGCACCGACACCATCCATGGCTCTAGATGCTATTATCGAACAAATACAACAGACTGGGAGTTAGGCACTCTGTGACAACAAGAGTCTTGGAGGTCAAAAAGTATTGCTCTTATTAACCGTAAACCCCCTTGAGTGATTTACTAGGATCCTTCCTCACTCCTGCAAAATCCAACACCATATGGTATTGACTCAACACCCAAACTGTTGCACTCTGATCATGGTGGTATGCCTGACCCCATGTAAAGCAAAATCCGTTAACTAGTGCAGTACTCATTCAAATAGAATCAAACGAACCAAGCAGTTTGGTTTTGAAGGGTTGGGGTGGATAGGTTCTCTTACAGTCACAAACAGTCAAAAATCAATCCCCTGCCATGCCTTTTACACAGGCTAGTCACCAACAGTCAGATCATATTTCAAGCAAGCACTGTGACTTGTCAAACTCAGTCAACTGACACAAGCAGGCAAGTGGTAGGCACAGCTGGCTTATCAATCACCTACAGTCAAAGCATAGATGCATGAAGTTACATAAACAGTCACAGCCAGTCAATCCTGCTTTCTGTAGGCTGGAAGCTCTTAATAACTGTTGAAAATAGTCACTTGAATGATTTTGACTGCAAGGACTACTTGGCATAGAATGTATGTTTGCAAAGGATGGTTAAGGAGTGCATCAGAATTAGAAATTCATACATTAGAAACAGGAAAAACTGAATTTATTAAATGATCCTTTTGAAATTTTTTTTTACAACCTCGCATTGGTTGGATAAGAGTCAATGACGTCTTAATGACTACTCCTTGCATCTTAAAAAGTGGTATCAAGTTTTATTTACCTTGAAGACATTCAGGAATCCCTGCGGGGTCAGGTCCTTGCGTAGGATCTCCGACAGCAGATCATGCAGACTGCTGAACGACGTCTTGACCAGGGATTCGTTCTGTCGCACCTGCTCTTCCTTCACTTCTTCCTTGCCCTTGCCGGGTACCAGCAGCCCCACCGGTAACTTGAACATGCACTCCACGCTGACCTTGATCAGGTCGAAGGTGTCAGCGTCGTTCAGGTGGGGCTCCAGTTTACTGTCGCATTTAACATCAAGGAAGCAACAATACTATGATTTTCTTGAAAGGACTTCAGTTTTTATCATTATTTTATGTGAATTTTCTTCGTTTTCTTTAAGAGATACTGAGCACTGCTGCATGGCTACTCAAGATGTGCTTTTGTAACCTTTCCTTACTTTATACATGATTTATTTTTAAATCTCACAGATTTTAATGCCCCTTTAAATATGATCAAAAATAAATACTTTGACTTAAAGGTAGGAAATGTAATTTTTAAATCTTAATTTAAAATTTGTATTTTGTAAATGTTAATTTTGTATGGAAGTACATAAATACAAGTCACATGATTAAAAATCAAACTGAATGTTGGTACCACTTTTTCCAAAATTGCACTATCATCATTTGTTAAATAAACACCCACAAGGGTGGCATGGGTGGTAAGTGCGTGAAGCGCTCGCTCCGGCCCGGCTTGGACCACGTGTTGGTAGAGTTGTTTGTTGATTCTCCCCTGTACCACGTGAGTTTTTCTCTGGGAGCTCAGGTTTTCCTCCCTCTGCAAAAATCAACACTTTTGATCTCTGGGTGTGCTCCATGGTCAGACATGGGTCGCATGACGGCTGCCTAAGGCGCCTTTACAAGTTTACATGCATACGGTCGACCACAAAGCAGCTGCTTCCTTCACAATTCAGCTTCTCAGCTGCGAGTAAGGATGATTAGCCCACCCACTTTATTATCATTATTAAGGTGTTTTTTTTAAAGGATACACTAAGGTAGCACAGGACTGCATGGCAAGGCTCCTGGTCTCGTTATGTAACTCCTTAGTACTCTCTGTCTTCATGTAACTCAACATGTGGTTCAGTAGCTCCGTCTTCTTACTGAAGGAGTAGTTACGCTTGAGATGGTCTGGGTGGAGGGCCTTGCCGATCAGGTCTACCGCTCGGATGAGGTTCTGCTTGACTGCCGTGTCCTGGGGAGAAAGGGGAAAGTTCGGAGGATTCCACTTTCAAAGAAACCTTGGTTTCAACATTTGCTCTACAAACAGTACTTGTAAAGTCTGTCCAAGCCAATGGGCTTCATGCGCCAACAAAGAGGGCGCCCTTTTACCTAGCAACGACGTCCCATGGGCGGGACATTCAGCTGGTTGACACACAACGTTCCTTGTGTTTGACGCACGTACACCAGGGAATTTGTACTATGTACACGCAGTGGTACATGGTACGGCCGCGCGTCGCGGCAAAATTGCAGTTGGGCAAGATGGCGTCAGTCGGTCACCCCCAACTGTGCTTTCTTTGCCGGTGAGGGGGTACTTGTGAATGGAGCGGATACGATTTCCTGGGCATGAAACAACTGAAGATATTTGTATTCTTCCTGGATGGGATGCTAGTCCATCGCAGGTTAACCCTAAAGGGGCCGGGTTATTTTGACCATCTCTCAGCCGGGGGGGGGGGGGGGGGGGGGGGGGGGGGGGTGGATTCCCCCCCCCTAAGATCTCGGCCATCGAGTGACGAAAAATTTTGAAACTCGGCACATGCATAGAGCAACTCTTCCTAAACATACCCAAGAAATTTCATGACTATAGGTCAAAGGGTTTTGGATTTATGGCTAATTAATTATTCATATGTACGAATGGCAATTCTGCTCTGTCTACACGACGTATATGCAAAAATTCAGTTTTCACGGAAAATTTTTCGCTACGGGGCAACCCGTGGTCCGATTTTTATGTTTTTGGTATTAAAAGATGCGCAAGGCTCAAGGCTAAAAAGTCATAACAGCTCGGGTCGCGAAATTTTTTTTTTAGAGGCTATCAGGGAAAATGTTGAGGGGGGGGGGGGCCGGATTCCGCCCCCCCCCCCCCTCCGGCCCCTTTAGGGTTAATCCCCAGCTAATGCCGGTACCCATTTATACTCCTGGGCGGAGCGAGGCAACTGGGGGTGAAGTGGCTTGCCCAAGGACACAACATATGACCAGCAGCTGGATTCGAACCCCTGACCCTCTGATAATGAGTCACGATCCCCAACCACTAGGCCACACTCCCCACATCACCCTCAAAACCACTTCGATATTTGATGTTTCGACCATAGCAAAATAGATTTTGTTTTTTAAATTTCTATTTTGTCTAGAAATACACACATTATACAATTTTGGACGAGACACCGTCCCACAAAAAAAATGGACTTATGTTTTAGTTATGGATTAATTACCTTACAAATTTTGGCTTTATTTTCAACCGGACATTAACTAAGTTCCCACAGGGTAGACTGGTTCCTGACCCAAGTGAGAATTAATAATGTGAGGACTGGAACCAGCCTACTCCCAGTTGGGTGGGGGGGGGGGGTTCTACAACTCAAAACAAAAGCCTTCTTTCAGATGGCAGCAGACGCCGAAGCAAAGTTTTTTTTACTGGAAATGACTGACTCTGAATGTTTTTATTGTTCATTGCTTTACCTTGACATGTGCAAAGTGCGGGTTGATGTTCCTCAGGATGTTAGCCTCCACTCGAGACGCTATGATGTCGCTGGGAGCAAACAGTGTCAGGTAGCCATAGCAAAGCATGACGGTGCTCTTGATTCTCTCCACGTCCGCTTCAGTTTTATCCTGGAAAGGTGACCACAGAAATAAATGGCCAACTCAAGTTTTTAGATTAAAGCAGTCAACTGAACAGTGCGGTAGCAAACTTTGGAAGATATTAATATAGCTGGAAGAATTTAGTAAACAATACGTTAAAAAAAAGACTAAAAACAGCAAAATTACAGTAAACACAGCACACAATTGAGGAAGATAGATTAACAAGGACACCTTACCACAACACATATAACTAAACCTCTGGATTAGTGAAAAGGAGTAGTGATTTCACATGACCAAAAAAAAAACTGTGAGCTGTTCTTTGAAATGTGACCAGCTCCACAAAAAAGGGTATTAGGTCGCGCTGTGCATTATTGTGTAATGGCCCGCTCAGCGTTTCGTCAAAATGTGATTTTCATTTTTTGTCATGAATGACATCTTTAATATCTACAGTTTCAGGCTTCATTCACAGAAATGTTGATTTCCATGAACAAAGTGAAAAAAACCCAACCATTTTGTATGCATCGTTCTGTTGTTCTACAACAAAGCCTGCTATTTCAAAGCCTGTTTTCTCAGTTGTGTAATTTGAACTCCAATGAAGTAAATAATTTTTTGCGACATAATACCTTTTTTTTGTGGAGCCGGTCACAAATTTCATGAAGGTTTGATACCTTTCAAGTTTGGCGAATCATAACTTGGAAATCTTAATTCTTTAAGAATCACAACAATTAAATGGAAATTTCAGTTAAAAAAAACCACCAATATGGATATTACGGGCTACTTTGTTATTACAAAAATACAACAAATCATTGATGCAAATAACTGCAACAAAACTTAACTACACGGCATGTCTGAATTTGTGCCCAAAACAAATAAAGCTACACAACACTACTCCTCAAATTAATCGTGTTTTTAAGTTGAACAAAGACACTGACTTGGAGCGGGGTTTGAACCTGCGACCTCCGGATTGCCGTTCCGGTGCTCTACCAACTGAGCTGTTCAGCCGTATGTTGGCAGTTCCCAACTTTGTCAATGTCTTTGGGGCACTAGTCAGAAGGGTACTAGTCAAATTAAACTGACAACTCAACTACACCATTCAATATAAAATGCACTAGTGACTGTCGTAACGGTAACAAAAACGTGCCTGTGTTATTATGTGGAAAAGTGGCACTACTCTCAACACACTGTGTTTATTTTCACAGATTTGAAATCAAGACAAGCAAGGTGCACTGCTGAAGAACTTACTGAGAACAATCCCTGGCTCTTTGAGGAAATGATGAAGTGAGACGGACAAAGGACAAGAAAGATTTGAGAGATTAGAAATTTGAAAGGAAAAGAGCGATTTGGAATTTGAAAGGAAAACAAGCACAAAACAGCAACATTTGAAACTGGAGGTTCTGATGACTAACTGTCACACAAGTTCCAAATCTACGAAATTAACAAATATTTTAGCTTCTTTCTTAATCAAAATCAGATTTGAACCAAGCCCACCCCGGCAAGCTTAGTCATTGTTTGGTTGAGGCATCTGCACTTGTAATCAGGTCATGGGTTCGAGTCCCATCTGAGTAAGCTTGTGAATTTTTTTCTCAGAAATTCTCAGACAGAACTGAGTTAACGTTCTTGAAATTACATCATTGAAAGGTAAAAACCTACTATTTACAGCTTTTTGGCAACACAGGGTATTTAGTACTTTATATTCATAAACCAACAAAATTGTCATATTTATTCATTCCATTTTTTTCTCAGTTATCCTGGGTAGTTGATAAGTACCTCAGATGTGTTTGCCCAAGGTCCCTTTTTTTCTTTTCATTATATTTTGTTTTGGTAATTTATCATTATTTTTGTTATTATTATTTATTATTATTATTATTGGGAAGATTGACAACCACAACACCAATGGCCACTTAAGGTTATGAGAAACAAGAAAACAGATGGAAACAGGCAATTCAAGAGAGAAGTATCTGTTGATATCTCCATTTAAACTGAGATAGTTTACAAGAAAGGGGGAAAGCAAGATTCTGGCAGGGAGTTCCAAAAAGATGCAGTCGGAGGAAAGAACCTTGAGGAATACTTGGCTGTATACGCCCTTAGGAATAAAAAAAGTACATGGATTGAGAACTGCTTAGCAAATCATGTAAAGCGGGTATAAGTTCATGTTGGGGGAAGGTTTAGGCAAATCCTAGATTGAGATCTCCCCGAAACCACACCTACCTTGACCAGTCCGAAGAAACCGGTGGACTTGCGGGCCATGTCCATTTTGGTCACGCTCTCCAGTTTGGCCAGCGCAATGTCCAGGTGGGACGAGGCGCAGAATCCTAGACCATAGGCACAACCCTAAGGGGGAGACAGGGTGCAAGACATTGACCATCAATGTGAGCAGAGGCTAAATTTCATAGAGATGCCAAGCACAGAAATTTGCTAAGCACAGAAAATATATGCTTAGCAAAAACAGGTCACCAGCCAAAACTTCATGGGATGTGTTTTGATGTGACCGGTTCCCGACTGATTTCTGCTTAGCAGATTTATATGCTAAGCAATATTGCCTGCTTAGCAGATATGATATTGACCCCTGATCCTACAAAATGAGTCTTAAGGGCATTTTTTCCATTAGTTTTCACACGTATTTGATAACATATGGATATTATGTGGGTGAAGCGTTGACATTGCCTATGGACTTCCATTGTGCAAGAGTAGATCTGGCGACTTCTGACAAATTTTGTAGGGTGGGGTCACAAGTGTTATTTTTTTTTCCAAATTAGCCAATCAGAATCAGGATCTCAAGTAGCCGCAACCAATCACATCAATCGTCAGTATAATTTTCTCAGTACCTGTTAAAGACCTTTTACAAAACTTCAAGACGAGCGGTTTTGAGGTGGCCTAAGTTTCGCCGCTGCACGGAAATAAAAAGAACTTTGAGGAAAATCTTACTTCTCTCTCCAAGTGGTTGTTGTGACGGACCGATGAGAACATGATGTCCAGATGTTTCTGCACAAACTGCGTGTTTTTCACTTTTCTCATCACTACACCAAGACACTTGTACAAGAAGTTCTGGCGAAAGCAAAAAAAGAAGGAAAAAATGAAATTTTTCCTGTAACCTCCCAGATCATTCAAATCCACCAGTACAGAATATGAAATTGGAGATGAAACTGCTCAGACAAAAATGTACTCCATAATAAAAATCGAGATGTCATATGCAATGAAAATGCAGTTAAAGTGCAAACATATCAAATACTTTGTGGTCAAAAGGACCCATGTAAACCGGCCAAAAGAGCACAGCCAGATGACCTTGGACATAGAGATAAGAGCTCCCGGGCTCTGTGTATATACAGTAGCGCTGCCTATCACGTGTACAATAAACAGACCCTACGCACTGAACCATGAGCAACGGCAAACTTTATTGGAGATTAGATGAACAATTCTTTTGTAAATGAAAACATGCGAGCCTAAACCTCAACCGTGTGCAAGTACGTTGGCCGCCTGTATCGTATGCAGGCTCGGCAACAACAAAGACTTGTTTTTAAGACCACTTCAAAAAACAACGTTGTGCCGTCCGTGCGCCTAAATGTAATAAATTGAGAGCGTTAACGAGGTAAAAATCTATGCATTTCCACAGTTTTTCTTCTCTTTTTCCAGTTTATTTTGAAGGCCGGAAAAACCAGAATTTTGTGAGATAAAAAAAAAAAAAAAAAAGGAACTCAGGCTAAAACCGGGAAAGTTGCATCTCTGTGGCTTGCATCACTGTAGGAAGGTTACACACACAAAGCTAATAAAGTTAGGGTTGATGATCTAAAAGTAGACAGAAGCAAAGCTAACCTTTTCCTCAGGCATCTCTTGGTACAAAGGGATGTGATCTCCAAGGGCTGCTCCGATATCACAATGCCACTCCTCCTCCTCAACGACATCCAGAGTCTTAGACAGCAACTACACAAAGGAAAAACAAAATAGGTTGTCACAAAATTCCAAGAACATGCCAAACCTTAAACAAAGTAAGCTCTTCATAATCCAGTTCGACTGAAGAAGTCTTTTGGTCGTGAGCCATTTTAAAGGGAAGTCGGAATAAATGACATACCTTCAGGAGCAAATCTTCCCAGGATTTCTGGCTCCACTTGTCTTCGTCATCGAGATTTTCTGCAGCAAGAGACGAAACGAGTTTTGGTATGACACTATCCCTTATATCTACTACATCACGGTGAATTTAGCAAGCAGTCATCGAACCTTCCACCATGAAACTGCGAGTCAAGTGCTCCGCCCTCCGGCCTTACCTTCTATGTACTGAATGAGTTTGGGTATGACAGCATCCCACATGTCCACCACTGCGTCGTGAATGTTTGGCGACATCGCTAACATCAGCTTCAGGACGTGGATACCCCGCTTGCGTCCGTTGTCTGGTCGACCAGCCATGACCTAGAAAAACAAATCGAAGATTATTTCTAATTAACCCTTTAGTCACGGTCGCGCCTGAAACTGCCCGGCCTATTACTCATTGAAGCGCCCAAAAACTGCCCGAGCACTCTATAGGTTTATTGATTCTGCAGTGAATAAACACAATGTAATACAATGTAACACAGATGCTAGCTAATGGGTTATTCAATTGAATAAATGTACACAAAATCGGCTTTTCCGATTCAAATGAACTGTGATAAAGGCATTGCTTTTTAATTGTTCAGTTTGCAGAGTTGTAATGACTCGAGTCAATGACTCGACTTGAGTTTTTTTTGGTGACTCGACTCGACTCGAGTCCCTAAGGGTAAATGACTCGACTCGACTCGAGTCACTGCGAGCAAATGACTCGACTCGACTCGAGTCCCTCATCAGAAGACTCGACTCGACTCGAGCGAAGGCTAATAAGACTCGATCGAGTCCCAAAAATAAAAAGCGCAACTTTGCGAAAAGTATTTGCAATGGCTTACGGTGCAAAATGTATGCTCACTTTACTTTGCGAATAGCAGTCATGTACAAATATACAAGTGTCACAGACTCCCACCTCATGGTTCTAGAACGCACAAAATACTATCCAGGAACCAGATTTTCAAACACATTTTCTAATTCGCTGTTTCATCATTGGTTTTGGGCTATTTCTTATAAAGCTTTTGGATTATTGCGCTTGCTAAAGTTATGGCCTCCTTTTATAAATTTTGGTATACATAGTGTTCAAATAATCGTGACTCGAATTGACTCGAGCTAAATATTTGACTCGACTCGACTCGACTCGACCTTTTGACCTAATGACTCGACTCGATTCGAGTCACTTCTTTAAAATGACTCGACTCGAGTCACTTCTTTAAAATGACTCGACTCGACTCGAGTCACAAAAATCAGTGACTCGTTACAACTCTGTCAGTTTGATGCAAATTTGTTAAGGTAACGCGAACGTCACAATGAAACTTCAATTATTGACGTCATGAAGTTCACTTCACTTTCGCTTTCTCGAGAAGTATGAACAAGCCTTTACTGTGACAGGACTTGTGATAGGACTTGTAATGTACTCGTGACAGGACTTGTGACTAAACTACAACACTGGAATGTACTTCGCATCGTAAGTGTGAGCTAGTGCCTTCACCAAGTGTGTCCCTCACAATGGAGTAGGGTGTGCATTTACTGAAAAAAAAACACAGGTACCCGGGTACCCGTTAAAGACTCCCAACCCCAAAATCTAAATCTCGGAAGTTGTTTTTCACATTGTTCATTAACGTCCCCACGATAATACTACCACAATCGGTGCGTCAATACAGCAAGATACAAGTGCTCTTTATGTTTACGGTGTAAACTGCATTTTCGCAAGCGTCACAAGTGTGAATCTACTTTGTTTTCCATATGTCTAGCCTGGTTTTCAGTTTGAAAATTCCCCCAAAATGACATTCAAAATCTTTCTTTTTCATTTTATGAAAAGTTACTAATTATACAAAAATAATTTCATAATCTGGAACTGGTTCCTGACATAAGCGGTCGAGTAATCAGGTACCCAGTTCCGATAACCAACCCTACAATGCTCTCGTGAGTGATCGAATAGCGCCCTCTACCGTCCACACACGGGGTCCATTACGATAACCAACTTACCATTAGCCTAGCCACGAGAATGTTGGGTTTGGGCAGGCTGCTCAGTTCTTCGTACAGCAGCTTGTAGTCGTCCGTTTCTTCGTCGCGTTTCTTGGCTCCGATGAACGCGAGGCTCTGGCACAGCGTACCCATGGCGTCGGTGTACTGGGGCTGAACTATGAACTCTAACAGGAAGGGCCACAAAACCTGGGAAAGTAGGAACATTTTATTTTGGTGTTATTGTTATTTTAATTGTCCATTCAGTTTAGACAATAATAGCTTTTTGTCTTGCTATCTACTTTTTGTGCCATATGCTCCTACTGGCCCTGTAGTGACAAAAATGCAGACAAATTTTAAGTCGGTGCTTTTTGGCACAAATCTTTAATTTGAAGGTATGGTGTTTCAAAATCAAGGCTTTTCCTTGCTTTGGCTTTAGGAGATCTTAAGTCACGGACTTGAGAATGCTGGCTCAATATGGGTTTAAATCCCATTTTAGGAACATCAAAATCTTATGGTTTATTTGAAAATTTGAAATTGTAATAAAAAAAGCTGTGTAAAAAAAAACTTTGATTGAGCCCCGTTTGCTCGTTCCCAGGTTTGCAGCATTGCTAATGTAGCTAGCATCGTGACCTTGGGCATGATCCCTGGCTACATGGCATATATACAGGTTTATGGCTTCTGACTAGCGCCCTTGAACGAGGGCATTGACTATTGGAGAACCGCCAGCATGGGGCTGGATAGCTCAGTTGGCAGAGCACCGGAACGGCAAACCGGAGGTCGCAGGTTCAAACCCTGCTCCAGTCAATTCTTCATTCAACTTTGAAAAAAAAAAAAAAAGAATTGTAAGTGATTCTGGGTGTCGGAGATGAAACCAAAGCTGGAGAAGAAGCCGAAGTTTTGGAAATGGCATACGAGACTTACCGATTCCATGTCGACGACGGTGGTTGTAATGAGGTGTATGACGTTATCACACATGGCTCGCAATGCAGCACTGTTGACTGGATCGGGATCAACTTTTTCTTTTTTGCTCTGCAAAGTAAAGTGATAACAAAAATGGAACAAAAATTATATTCAAAGTTAGAGTAGATCTTTTGCAGCTATCCAAAGAGTAACTGAAAAAATAATTGTTGAAACGATTAAGCTTGATTTAAACGATTAAGCTTGATTTAAAAACAGTAATGGCACTAAACTCCCTATGAAATTATTCTTCCTAGCACGCCATCATCGTGAAGAAAACAATAAAAGAAGGCCATTTCTAAAAATGCGTCAAGCGACGCATTTTTGGAAATTTCCATTAGTAGTTGGTTTGTAATTCGACAAATCTGTGAATGGGTGCATGCAAGCGTTGGCACGACGCACACGCGCGCGGTTGCCGTTCAGAGTGTTCGGTTCAGTGTGTGACATCGTGTAACTGCAATTGGCTGAGAGCGTGTCCTGGATGCCGATTTCGGGGGCAATTCAAAACACGACTCGGCATCTTTAGATTTTGAGCACTTTTGTTGCTTCAAATGAAAAAATGCACAAATACAAATGACCAACCCTGCCTTTAACACCACAATACACACGTGTCAGTTTTTCAAAAGTTAACATTGGGTTCAGTTTACATTCACATTCAAAAACTGTTAGGATTGACTTTACCAAACTGAAATGTCCTTGCGGTATATGGGCTCCGTGCGCAAACATTAGAGAGGGCGCTTAGTTAAACCACTTTTGTGAACTAGAAAATGGCGGGAAAATTAAGGAATTAGAACTTACGGTTTGCACGACGTCATTGGGCTGCAGCGCACACTGCTTGACAACAAACTCTATCATGAGGTTACCGCCCTCCAATTCTAGGTAGCCATGGTGGGCCATCGCAATCACTACCTGGGCAAAGATCTTCTTCACCTGTTTATAACGATACCAAAAAAAACCCCAATTAATCAAAAGCAATCAACTAGTCTTTAAAAAAAAAAAAGTATGACTGACTGACTGACTGACTGACTTAGTCTACGAGTACAAATATTGTCCTGAACTGAAACATTTGGGTTCAGCTCAGCTGGACAAGCTGGATTTTCTTATATCTATTACTGGATTTTCTTAAATATTAAAAACAAAACGGTCCAAAGGGTTTCTTAAATCAATTCCACATAAATGTTATTAATTGTAATTTCTTTTAAATCTATCTGCATGTTAAAGTTCCACCTACCAAGAGGATTAACCCTAACCCCCAGGCACTTCTGGCTAGGAAGCATCCTCAATCCTGCAAAATCCTCCAATTGCCACAATGTAAAAACTGGATTCAGCTTCAATCCTCCAAAATCCATCAGTGGAGGGCCTGACCATTGCCACAATCCTTCAAAATCCTCCAACAATCACTGTTAATGGGTTGAGGTAGTGCCGATGACATTCAGAAGCAGTGCGGATGATATCAAGCATAATGCAGGGCTCAATTATGCATGACTGAACATAAACAATGCTGTGTGCAGCCTACGAACTCGACACCTACAAACTCGACACAATGCGTCCTCCAAAATCAGCCGACACTATTTTACCATTCGGCATCGATCTTCCGAAATCCAAAAATGCTTGGAGGATTTTGGAGGATTGAGGAGGATCAGGGTTAAGAAAGATCATAATTTGGTATATTTTAAGTCGTGTATTGCAACAAGTTTCACTATTTTATAAAAAGTAAGATAACGATGGAATGACAGACTAACCTTGTTGCTCTGATCTGCTAATATGATCCTCAGTCCTGACAGCACCAGAGACTTTTTGTTGTCCATATGAGGTCCTGCCATACGACAACAAAATTGACAATTTAGACCAATCAGTTCGACAAAAAAACAATATCCCAAGTTTTTGCTTGGTAATTTTCAAATCCAAACACGTTTGCTGTCCTCTTCTTTTACTTGTGGTTCCTTGGCTCAACTTGAGCAACACTCATGACTCTGTGCCACATGTCTTCTGATAATAAGAAATTGGCTGCCGTTTGTTAAAAAAAAGTTGTGACCTAAACTTGTCACAGACTTTGGATTGGCTACTCTCTTCTAATCTGTTGAAGCACAGTTTTACAACTCAAGAGCTAGGCTTCAACAATAACAACAGCCTGCTTCAACCTCCAACAATGGAAGCAAATACAGTGGAACGCTGCTATAACGAACATCGTGGGATCCACAGAAAGTGTTCGTAATAACAATCGTTCAGTATAGCGATTTTAAACTGTCGGTACCCTCTTTTGACCAATAGTGAAGTCACTGAACTGGCATTTCTCACATCCCGCCGCCGCACGAGGAGTTGTCACAAAACTTTAGCAACGGGTGGTTTTCCCTTTTATTCGCTCTTCACCAACACGATGTAACCATGGGTGGTTTGGATGTTCGGGAATTAAAAGTGGCCCAAACAGTGTTTAATACATGTACAACCGGTAGTTTTTTGTTAATCTGTTGACTTTTTGCAACAACGATGTTCGGTACGTTTTGTACATTAAAACTGGGAGCCAATTAGGAATATGTTCGGTATAGCCGAATGTTCGGTATAGCAGCGTTCCACTGTACACCTTTAATGTGATAAAAATCAAAGGCTGCGCAAACTGTGTTCGCAATATTGTCATTTGTTCCTACCATTAGAGTTAATGAGTTGCTTGAAGACTCCTAGTGTGCCGATGCGGATCCTTTCGTTGCCTTCTAGTTTCTGCAGGAGGTAGGCGACAACTCGATCTGAGAAGGAGCGAGCGACCACGGCAAAGCAGCGAAGCACCTCGTTGTGATTCTTCATCGTCAAGGGGTGGTTGAAATCAGGTGGGACGCACACCTACAAAACAGACGCAACCAAAGTTTCAGAGAGCACTTCTACAAATACTTTACTAGATTGTCTTTGAAGGACTTTGCAAAACAATCTCTTAAAATCAGCTCGGAAGAGGGTGGCACAGGTTAGGAATGGGGGATGGTGTATGGGATGGGGTTGGGGTGATGTTGAGATGGAGATGGGGGGTGGGGTGGGGATGGGAAGGGTGGGAATGGGGTGGGGTGGGGTTGGAATGGGGGTGGCGTAGGGTTGGAATGGGGTTGTGGTGCGGTTGTGATGGGGTGGGATGGGGTTGGGATGGGATGGGGGTGAGTGGGTTGGGACAGGGTGGGGTTGGGGATGGGGACAGTGTTGGGATGGGGATGGGGTTGGGACGGATGGGGGATGGGATATGGGATGAGATATAGGGTGGAGGATGGAGTAGGGGTGGCTGAGGTGGGGTGGGGACAGGGTTTGGGTGGGATAGGGGTGGGGAGAGAGACATGTCAATATGGTGGGTACCACACATCCCCTGGGTAGGGGTGTCTTCGTTGTCCTACCTGGGCATGTAGTGTGTTCAGTATCGTCTCCAGCTGAGCCTCAAGCATGGTGCTGCCATTAGCAACGGCCGACTCAAGAATCATACACAAACCCTTTCAGAAAAAAAACATAGGAGGAGTTAACAATAAATGGTAGAAAAACGACGTGGCGAATTCAACCTCAAGAATTGGGGCTTTTCAGATTCTGACAAATGCAGCGGTGGAGAAGTCCAGACAATGGCCCACCTGCTGACATGTGGTGGAGATACGTGCAATGTTGACGACCTCCGCGAGGGCAGTGATGTGGCAATAGCTGTGGCAAAGCGACGGCAGAACGTCGTCTGACACACGAGCGAACGAGTTAGAAAATCTATTTTGAATACAGTAAATCCTGACTCATATTTACAATAACTCTTCAACACTGCAAAATAAGGACAAGTGCCAAAAAGACAAAGAGAAAGAGAAATTGTAGAAACCTGAGTTATGAAGAATGGCTCTGGATGTTTCTTGTACATGTTCAGGATGGTGGGAATCAATTTAGGGACCTGCTCCTCTAAACGCTCCTGTAGGATGATCTTGGACATGTGGCCCAACGCCTCCACAACCATCAAACGAAGCTGCAAAAATACATACGAAAGGAATTATCATTATTTCAATGCACTGTTTTTATCATAATGTAGCCTGTGAGCCGAAGTATAGCGCCCTCAAGGGTGCTTGGGTATTGTACGTCATTTTTTCCTCTTGTTTCAACGTATTCGCGATTTGAATGATTCTTTTACTATAAAAAGAAAGCTTATTAATTGGGCTTACACATCCTAGATCTAAAAAGTGCTACATGCAGAACTTCTTTAATAAAAAAAACATAGAGGGCACCATTTGGGTCTCTTATTTTTTTAATCAACTGGTACTATTTATGACCTAAGGGAAGGAGTGGGTGGGGGGGGGGGGAGTTGCAAAATATTTCAAACCTTGGCTTCTTTTGACTGTTGCCAAGCGTTGAAAATGTGGTCAAAGGCAGTGAAGATCTGCGTGGAATAGGTTGCCTTGTTGATGGTGGAGTCGGGTGCATTCTCAATGTTGGCCACGTAGTCTTCGATACTCTCACTGAATCGAGCCAGTGCTGCAAAATGAAATGGAGGAAAGTCTTCAAATACATCCGTGTCAGTGGTGCTATGGGTCTGATGGCTATGCGGAAGAATCAAGGTGATGGATTTGGTGATATATTGTTGATGTACCCTAACGTGGCGTGGCCCCCAACATGGCGCACTTTGATTTTTCGCCTGTAGCGCCCAGCTAGAGCAAAAGTTTTAACTGAAATTTCACAGAAAGTGAAATTTCATCAAGTTCTAAACACTCCTGTTCATAAATCGCGAGTTTATTCACCCGTAAGAAATTTTGAAGAAAAATTTATTTTGGCGTGATTTTCCGATATTATTTGCAAGTGCAAAGTGAACCCTTTGAAAATGCCCCGAAAAATAAGAAAATAATTTTCTGACAAACATCTTGCTGGGTATGTAAGTAGAGATAATAATCATTTATCAGAATTTATCAAGTTTACAGAGATTCTTAAATGTTAAATGAAGATTTATTCAAGTGCACCACGTTAGGGAACACTCCGCCAATTTGTGCCCAATTTCCAGACGCCACCGTTTTTGAATTTTGGATTAAATTTTATGAAACTGAAATTGTTCACAGAGGTTAAATAGCAAGCATTAATAAGGTAAAAGTACTGGTATTTTACTGCATGAATTTGAGGTTTGTCAACAAAGAGGTTTGGCAACATTACACGAGGAAAGTCGGGTAAGCTTCGAAGTGCGCCACGTTAGGGAACACGACTATATGTCGAATAATAATAACCAGTTAACGTTGATAATCAGTTCTGTAGTTATTTTACAATTCAAGGCATGTCAGGAGGTTGGTTGACAAAAGCTGCTGGTTAGTTATAATTGCTAGCCGGTTTCTAGAGAAAATCTGATTGGGTGCATGTTGGTTGGTTGCAGTAAATTACTAGTTAGGCTAGTTAGTTTCTAGTCATCTACTGGTGGAGTTTGTTACTGGTTAATTTCACAGAGGTGCTAAGTACTGATCAATATGTTTCATAACAAAATACAGGTTAAAAACAAAAACATTGTGAAAATAATATTCTACATGAGACATGTTCTTGGCTAATTTTTCTCTTGCCACTTTAATGTGCTAAGCTCAGTCAATTTATGTGCTAAGCAAAAATCTGCCAAGAACCAGCCACAAGCAATATGTATTGCATGAGTTTTTGCCTGGTAACCTGCTTTCGCTAAGCAAATGTTTCTCTGCGCTTAGCAAATTTGTGAGGCGTTCTGGCAACATGAGACGGAACTGGGCACAGGCCTAGTGGAGAAAACTGCAAAAATTGAGCGAGGAAGATTTTTTTTCTCGATTTTCAGAACGATTCATATTTGTAATCTTTGATATGTCTACTACACGTTTGTTAAAGATAAAGTATAAAATATGTGGAATAGATGTGTTTTTAAGGAAAAACAATTCGCATCTTTCATTTTCACGAATACAAAACTCCAAACTTTAATCGCTTTTTCTCAGTATTTTACTTTTTTGACATGTCGATAAATGCGATCTTTAAACAGCCATAACTTGTCAACGGAAGGTCCAATTGAAGTTTAACAACCATATTGTAGGGAGATTTTTTTCTCTTTCTTAATAGACCATTATCATGTTGCGGCCATCTTGATTTTTTCCCCATTTAAATCAACGTAATCAAAGCGTGGCTTGAAGGAAAAATAGTCTGGTTCCATTTTGCACAAAAACCCTTTATCATTCAGTATTGTTATTGGATACAGGGAACATGACTGAAATGGTGGCAGCATGATAAAGGTCTTCATCTGCAAACCCTCATTTCTACCTCTGCCCAGTTCTGTCTCATGTTGCCAAAACGCCTCACATCTGTGTGCTTAGTAACTCTAGGAAACTTGTAACTCGTTCACAACTTACCGTGCACACAGACCCACTTCATGTTATCCTGTTTGGCCATGCCCAGCATTGGCAGCAGGGTTCCTAGGGTGGCTGTGAGAAATGGAACGAAGCCAAAACCTGGAGGACAGAAAAAACACAGACATCAACTTGATAGGGCTCTTTCAAATGACGTCATTTCCTACAGACCATCCGCACGTGGCCACGTGCATCGGCATTTTGAGCGTCAACTTGCATAACGTGCATCGGCTGCGTCGTATTTCGAACACATTTCAAGCAACAAGCGCGCGTGTTTGGAACATTTTCAACACTGTGCAATGCGTGCTGGATTTCGTAATGAGCCCTATTGGAACCAATATTTTGACAAGGCATACACTCAAAGAACCTTAAAACCCTCCCTCTCTGGCTGGCAATTTCAACAAGCACTATGAACTGATGCAAGACTGTACATTTCTCATATTTAATCAAATCGCCTGGTTGACTTTGAAAGATCTTGGAGAGTAAGAGTTAAAATTGTTATATAAAGTAGATTCTTAAGGATTTAGCACAATAAAAGAAAAAAAAATTCTTGTCCTTTGGTTGAAATCTTAACACTGCAAATAATGCCAACACATGCAAAACAATGCTATAACTCCTAGATTTTCCGATTTTGCAATTTTGGTGACCGTTATCGACAAATTTATCTGAAATAACAGCATTAGAAAGTCAAACCCTCACAGAAACAAAAAGTTATTTCACTTTCTACGTCCAGATTGTGGCCCGAAGTTCCACTACCAACAACAGACATGAATAGTGAATTTAGGGGAATAAATAGCTGATTAATTAATGCAAGGCTACGGTTTCAAAAAAAAACAATTTGCATCATAATTAGTTCATCTGCAGTAGATATGCAAGCCACACAGTGACTTTTTTAAAGCTTTTTCCATCATGTACAGCAGATGCAAATCGTATGATAATTATGTCAAACTAAATGAAACATTTATCTCTTTCCATTATTTCAATTATTAATATTTCAACTGTTAATATTTGAATCATAATCAGTTCATACATTATGTTAATTCTCAATCAAATGTTAACACTGATCTATATTTAATTATTAAAAGAATCTAGCACAAACTACAGCTATACATGTACGTAAGGGTAAATATGAACAATTGAATAAATAATGCAACAATCTGATCACAGAAATGTTGGATGAAAAATATGAACATGTGTACAAATACATGTATATATAATTCTGACAGACATCATGCATTTCAGTTAAGCACAAAATGTAGACCATGTAGCATTTGTTTACAAAGTTGGATGTTGTGGTTATTTGATGCCATCTTTCAGCAAACGGCTTTCTTCTGGTATGTATTTCTCTTGAAATATGAATGGTTTACACGTGTTGGCATAACACTCCATAAGCAGTAAGCACAGAACAAGTTGTTTACATTAGTGACGTAAACCTCCATACCAGTGGCGCGCTTGGGGGGGGGGGCTCACAATTTGTTTTATTTTGTTTTGAGAAATTAAAAAAAGAAATGTTGCCCAATTGTTTTTGCCGCAACTGATATTTCTTTTTTGGGGGGACGGACTATTTTGACGTTGGTGGCGCCATTTACACCCCTATTATACTACTTGAAAATAGGCCACATACATATCACCACGATCAAAGTAGGAGTTAACAAAAAATTGACCCCAAATTTTGTTTACAAAATTGACAACCTCTTGGGGGGGGAGGGGGCTCAAGCCCTCCGAGCCCCCCCCCCCCCCCCCCTCCCCCCTTTGGTGCGCCACTGCTCCATGGCCCACATCCACGCCATGAAATAGTGCTTAAGGTTAGCACAATTTCCTGCTATAATTAGGACAACTTTTCTGCCAACTGTTAAACAGCGCTACGAAATAAGGGCTCCATCGGAGGGGACACATTGCACGCACAGACAGGTTCACACACATACAACGTGAAGTTGGTACTTTGTTAACGATCAAAGGGGGACGGGTGCTTGTACAAGCAGTCTATAGACTGTATGCCTGAGCTTTTTCAGAATTTGATGAACTCACTGTTTGCCGTGGCCAGGTTCGCCATTGTCTGGACAACAAAGAAGTGCGGCAGGGTCCCCGGTTGGAACTTGCGGACCAGTTCCTCCATGACCTCATTGCAGTACTTGTGACCGAGAGCCACCAGGACCCCGCTGGCTGCGGTCTGCCATTCCGGCTGAACTTCCTAAAAACAAAATCGGGTCGAAAAAAAAAATTCAGACAGGTGCAAGATAAAAGTGGGAAAAATTCCAGTTATTAATTAACCCTAACTCCCAAGGCATTTTTGCTAGGATGCAACTTCAATTCTGCAAAATCCTCCAACTGCCTCCATGTAAAAATGTGCATACAGCCTCAATCCTGCAAAATCCTCTGTCATTTCTTGAATGTGATTCTTGGAGGGGTGACCACTGCCTCAATCCTGCAAAATCCTCCCGCAACCACTGTCAACATGTTGAGGCAGAGCCAGTGACACCCTGGAGCAGTGCGGAGGATTTTTAAGTATGATCTAGGCCTAAATGTATGTACGGCTGAGCATAAACAACAAGAGGTCCGGCCCAAGACCTTGACATGGTGCATCCTCCAAAATCAGCAACGCATTCTTGCCATATAGCCTCAATCCTGCAAAATCCTCCATTTTGTAAAGAGGATTTTGGGAGGATTTGGGAAGGTTAGGATTAATGCTTCTGCAGGGACACTCCACATTCATCACAGGCAACGAGCAATGTTCCCAAACTAGAACAGGTTGTTCCAAGATTGCTTTCCATTTGAACAAGCTTTTCATTGTGCAATTCCTCAGCCATATGACTGGAAGCCTAAATCGAGGTGGTACCTATAACAACAAAAAGAAACATGCCAACTGAAGACAGAAGGTATTGTTGCCGATGTGCTCAAACTGTGATAAGTTATCAGGCTGCTACCCATGGAAACAAACAGTACTCCCAGTAGAAGTATTCAAGCATTCTCTTGTTTTGCTACATTGAGATGTTTGTCAGGTTATACCTAACGGGTGACGTGAGGTTTTTGACGCTTGAAATGTGCGTTTCAAAGTCTGTTTTTCAGAAAATCACCAGTGCTGAACCATTTGCAAACCATAAACTTTGTTTTGGTGATTACGGCAAAAGTGGACATGCTTCCCAAATTCTGGCAAGCAGTGAAGAAAACATGAAGAAAAGTGCACAGTTCATGCATATAACCATATAACCAACCGCTACCAAATTTTAAGGGTTTTTACCCCCAAATTCTTTGTTGCTTTGTCTTTCCATAACATTGCCAGTTTCTCGATGGTATCCTGAAAGTATGATTACACACAAATAAAAACAATTAAAATTTCTGTAATGTTCTCTCTAATATATGTCTCCTTTCTCTTAAAATTTCAAATCCGCTGCTGGATATTACTTTATTGCTTTCCTTCGTAGAAAAAAAAGCGCTCCGCATCTTTTCAATCAACGTCAACTTTTGCATGGTAGTACATGTACGTTGCACAATTGTTGGGATATACGATCCCATTTGCCCACTTCTCCAAAGACACCGTCAGTTTACCTTGGTAGCAGTGAGTTCATCCGACGCCAGCTTGACCAGGTCTGGGATGAGAGGCAGCGGTACTCTGTCCAGGGTCTCCTTCAAGATGCGCTCCATGGTCTGCAGGATCACCACTCGATGGTCCCTCTGGAGCTGATAGAAAAAGGAGAAAAATAAGACTGCATCTAAATTATTTGGCTACGGCTTTGCAATTATATACGCACCTGTGGAAGCGGCTTAAGTCCTGTACCACAGCCACGTGTGTTATAGTATCCACGTTATTTGTACACGGTTAAAGAGGTTGTGGAATGCTCGAAGACATTTCCGTCATTTTTCAGGTATATGTAGCCTAAGGTGTGATGAAATAAAAACGACTATTGTTTCTGTCATGAAATAAGTACAAAAGGTACTTTTGAGAGCTGTTTTTCAAGTCCTGTCATGCCTGTTTCGACCAGAACGTGCAATTTGTGTAAAAGTCGTCGTTGCGGGCAGCAAACAAAACACAGTATCGTGACGTAATAAACAGGACTCCCGATGCAGAGTAGCATATACAAGTCCTGTTTATTACGTCACGATTTACTGTGTTTTGTTTGCTGCCCGCAACGACAACGTTTACACAAATTGCACGTTCGGGTTGAAACAGGACCTGAAATATAGCTCTCAAAAGTACTTTTTGTACTCATTTCATGACAGAAACAATAGTCGTTTTTATTTCATCACACCTTAGGCTACATATACCCGAAAAATTACGGAAATGTTTTCGAGCATTCCACAACCTCTTTAAATAGGTTCTCTCAAGACCAAGTCTACATCCAGGTATCGGAAAGTCAGCGTCGCCATTGTAGTAGGCAAAGATCATATGGCACACTGAACAGTACCATCAGTACAGCAAGTCTTCAAAGCTGTGATTGATGACAAAAACTGTGAGAAAAATGCGCTGCCAAAACTCAGTGCTGGGTTGGCTCGATTATGACTAACCCGAACTCCCTAGTGTCTTTTACTAAGTGCTGGCCAGAGTCTGCCAAAATCCATGACTGACCCTGCTTCACATAATGCTTTAGGACCAAATCCGCTGAAATCCACCACAAGACCACCACTACTATAAGGTGGATTTTGATGGACTTGGTACTCATGGCTTGCCTACCAAAATCCACAAAATGGGGGAACAGATTTTTGATGGATTTGGGAAGGTTAGGGTTAACGGTACAAGGCACAGGTAGTGACCATTTTGCCATTTTATAAACAATCTGCGGTTATTTCACATGAAATAAGCCCTGCTGTCTAGTTTACGATGCATGAAATGGTTGCTAACCAAACCCTTGCCCACTGCAATGATGGCCAATCACGGGCAAACCGGATGGTCACATGGTAATTTGAAATTTTACGATCGGAACCAATACATCGTAGCATGATCCTGCTGGTCATGTTAAGAGCACACGCGTCATATGTTTTAATAGGAAACCTCACCTCTCTCTACAAAATGAACCGATACTAGCATGTAACATGCAAAGTCTAAAAGCATTTCAGTAACAATCTAGAAAACGTTTCTGAACAGTTTTACTGTATTAAATACGAAATACAATAAACAACAATTCTTATTACTGACCCCCTTTTGAAAATATATTTGTTCCTCTGAAACTTTTACATCAACAAGGAAGTTTTTTGGAGGTCAGGGTGGATTTTACTGTTTACGGCAAATTTCACCTTTATTGCACATGGGTTTGTTTTTGCATTCAATAGGGGACGTTGAACAATAGAGGACATAGGGTCCCCAATTCCTGATGGTCCACGATTGATGATCGCGAACAAAACATTTGGGAGGTCTTAAGGTACAAACAAAAGAGGGACAATTGGGGGTCCACAATTGAAGGTGTTTACACACTTGTCTGACTTGGTGCTTATTTAAAGAAGGAAATCAATTTCTGATCATTTCAGTTATCGTTTAGTAATTCATTGGGCAGAAACATATTGTCAGGTAAACAATATCTGGGCAATTCCATGGTTACTCACGTTACATTTTTGATGTACTTTTGAGTTTTCATGGGCTGTAATTACCTTACTGAAAAGGTTTCATAACTGTTATCCCCATGGTAGATAGAGTAGACCTAGACCTACCTAAGCACCAAAGATGACATCCAGAAAAGTATGTTAAGTATGATAAACAAGTCGCACAAAATCGGTTACTAACGTTACGAAAATGTAAAGTGAGTAACCGATTTTGTTCGTCTTGTTCATCATACATAACACATTTTTCTGGATGTCATCTTTGGTGCTTAGGTAGGTCTAGGTCTACTCTATCTACCATGGGGATAACAGTTATTAAACCTTTTCAGTAAGGTAATTACAGCCCAAGGAAACTCAAAAGTACATCAAAAATGTAACGTGAGTAACTGTGGAATTGCCCATCTTCATATTCCATTCCACACTGTTTATATTACAGTAGCCCAACCCTACATGGGATCTACAGACATATGGTTTATTTTCACAGGTGTTTAGATTAACAACTTTTTTTTTTTTGAATTCAGACATTGGCTCTATGCCAAGTTGGCAATGACAAATAGATTGTGTTGCAAAATATTAAAATAAAATACCTAGAGTTTGGTTCAGGAGACAGCTACGTCTGGAGATAGGTTGGGGGAGTCAGGTTGGCATAGCGGTTCTTTCCTCGCCTTCCACCGCTGTGACCCGGGTTCGACTCCTGCCCAAGCCACATGTGGATTGGGTTTTCAGTCCTTACCTAATTCCGTGGGTTTTCCCCAGAATATTCTTCTTGGGTTTTCCTCCCACCTCTAAAACTGTAATTTCTTCTTGTTGTCTTCTCTCTACAGGTTTCTTCAGGCTTGCATGCTACAGTGCCTAGGGCACTTTTGAGGAATCCTTGGTTTCAGTACCAGATAATTAATAATAGTATAATAATACAATTTTGAATGTTAACATAATGAACCTCTCTGTACCTTTCACTGAATCATGTCTATAATTAGTTGAAAATTGTAACAAATTGAATGCTGCAGAGGAGAAATACAATGCCATCAAAAAAATTAACAAACTACAAACGTGCGTATCGCACCTTCTAATTTACATATAATTGACAAGCGGGCCCACTGAACCATTCATTTTGCTGAACTGTTCATTCAGACGATATTTATTGCATATGGGCTGATATATTTATGACTGCCTGGAACTTGGTGTAGGATTTCCGTACCAGCACGTATTACAAAAACCCAGGGTAGTGCAAAAGCCCAGCACATAAACATCTGCAAATATTTACGCTCCGACAATGCATATATACTATGGTCTGTGTAGACATGCGGGCAACTCTGCTGCAATGCGTTATTGGCCCGACCATCAGGGGTAATAATGATTACGTACCGTTTTGGCAGTTACATGTATGTCCGTTTTGTAGGCCCAGATGTTAATATTATTTATTATTTTATTCATTTGTGGGGTGAGTGTTGCCCCTCAATGTGTTTACGGGGCTCAATTTCCTGGCTCGTGATTGCTGGAGGATTGAGGCAGTGGTCACCACTCCAAGGACCACATTCAAGAAATAACGGGGGATTTTGTTTGAGGCTGTATGGAATTTTTACATGGCAGCAGTTGGAGGATTTTGCAGGATTGAGGCTGCATCCTAGCCCAAATGCCTAGGGAGTTAGAGATAATTTAATTTTAGAAATATGCTCCCCCCTCTTAAATTGAATAACACCACTACCAGAATACTCAGAGACAGTTCCACGTCTACGCTAGTTGTACCTAAGTGCAAAACTGATAGATATATGAAGTCTACAATTCCTGTCTTAGCTTAACTTTTGCAATTCTTAATTGTTTACAATGTAGGTGCAAGTGAGTACTTCTTATTAGACCATCTTCCCTGAATGATCTGTCTTCAATTTTGATTTTTTTTTTTAAGTTTATAAATCAGTTGTTTTAATATTGTGCTGTTTTGTGTTGTATATACATGATCCTATACTTTGTTGTAATTTTATGCTTCTATTCCTTTTAACTGCTATTTAACAATTTTTAATTCCTGTAAAGTGTAAACGTGGTTATATCAGCGACTCTTTTGTGGCTGCCTACCTCGTGTTTTTATATGAATAAACCAGAATAATAATAATAATAATAATTTGAAACCTTCCTACTGATATAACTGCCACAACTGTGAAAAAAAAAACACTTCCTCTCCCATAGCTTTTGTACAGATTAGTCACCATCTGCTAGAAGTAAACCACATAACTGTCAAAACCTATTGCAGGGGCTTGATAGATACGATGTCCTTGAATACTGCTACAACTTGTACTGCAATTCTATAGACCTTATGCATAGCAGCCATTGCCCTCTAAATAGAGGGCAATCCGGCAATGCCTTTTTTTTTGTCTGGGATTGAGTGAACCCTTTGCGCTTTCATTGTTACTGAATGAAATCATTCATTGCCAGACACTTAAAACCCACCGTATATTATCGTCAGTCAAGGCACAATACCTTCAGTTGACAATATTTCCAAAGGCTGCCAACTGTACCAATATCAGCCTAATTTACAAAAAAACGGATACAGACTGTCACTTGATAGATTTGGACAGATAGGTTATCTCTCCATGTTGTCACTGAGAGAGTTTGGGGGGTTGGGGGATTTAAAGGACCCTTCAAGCCAGACAATTAATCAATGTGCATCAATTATAATCAATTTTTTTTTTGTGGGGTGACTACGGTACCTCAAGTCAACCTAAAGTCTGTGAGAAAAATGTACACAAACCAGAAGTGGGCGTGGCCTATGGCCCAGTGTGGGATAGTCCATTGCTTCGACAGGGTGCCAAACACTTTTCAGAAACAAAATTCCCTGAGTGTTTCCGTGATATTTCCCTCGAGAAATTCCAAAATTCCATGAGTGTATATTTCACTTTAACGAGGTTGCTGGGAAGTCAAGAGATGGTTGCTGCACAAAAAAAATCCCCAGAATTTTCCCTGCCTGGAGAAATTGAAACTCTTTGTCAAGGTTTTTCCATGATTCCAGAGTGGCAGGGAACCCTGTGGTTACAGCAAACAGAGCCAGGAAGTGGGTCGAGAGAAGTGGGTCGAGAGGAGTGGGAGGGTGTCGGGGGGGGGGGGGGGGGGGGGGGGTAGTATCAAAAATGAAGACCCCTAAAACGAAGACCAAAGGCCGAAGACCCACTCAAAAACAAAGACTCACTCGAAAATGAAGACCGTTTTCGAGTGAGTCTTCGTTTTTAAGTGGGTCTTCGTTTTTGAGTGGTTCTTCAGTCTTCGTTTTAGGGGTCTTTGTTTTCGATACTACCGTCTGGGGATGGGGAATTTTCTCATTGACCTACCTTGCTGTGTTTCCGCAGGTAGTTGTGGCATGAATGCAGCACCAATCCCGGCTTCTTCTTGCCGATGTTGACCAGCGACGTGGCAATGATGGTCCGCACGCCCATATTCTTGTCGTAAGCTGTATCAATCATGGCCATCACCATGGCTGTTGTGGACAGAAAAATATTCACAACTAACATTAATTAGTTACATTTTTTTTAAAAAGCAGTTGATATTTGACTGTGAACTGGTCCCTGATTATCTTTCGGTATTGAAACAGCACGGCACTGAACATGAGCAGTGACTGTTTTTTGGGACTTAGACATTTTTATCGTGACGAATCTTGACCCAAAAATGTTCTTTTTTAACAACTGTTTTTTATAAAGAGTAATCAGAAAGACAGAATGGAACAATCCGAACTAATAATCATAGCGGATATTTTGCCGTCACCAGCAACATACCTCCTCATGCTATTTTGCCATGTGTTCGCTGTGATTGGCTGTTTTGATGGGAAAGAAAATGACGTCACGCTATTGTTATTACTTACGAGTAAACTAGTAATACATTACGGTGACAGTACATTAATGCATTTAAAGAAACGGCTGTCATCGAGCTACCACTAGTCTAGGTTCGAATCCACCAATGCCCATTTTTCATCCACTATTTTTCTTCTTCAAATTTAGAGTTGGGAAAGATTTCCGTACTAGGCCACCACTTTTTTCAAGCGCCAAGAAGTTGCATCCTTTATGGTTATTTCCTCCACTTTCCCTTCTCTACTTTCACCCTCTCCTTTCCTTTATTCCTATATATTAATCAGTCACTTACTTCATCGAGATTCGAACCTCGGACTCTTGTTTGAAACACAACACTTTTACCGCTAAACCGCACATGATCGCTTGTTCCAATGATCAATCTTTGGACGTATTTAAAGTTTCCATTGAAATAAACTAAATATTCACGAGAAATTAAATATTCATAATGACGTATTGCACATAATGACGTCATTGGCCGGCTCATGTGTTGTCATGGTTGTCGATGTCATGCATATAACGTATCGCTGTTTTCCAGACACTTCAATCAATGTGACCGGCTGCCTCCAACTTAGTTCTGCACGACGTGTGAATCCAAAATGTGCTCCAAAAACATTTTTTTCCAAATAAAATTTTGCATTAGGCCTACCGGAGCTTCCTGGAATAATCTTGGGTGAAATCTCAAACAAGGTGAGGTGAAAATTGATGTGTTTGGCGGCAGGCAAATGGTGGTCTAGTATGGAATTCTTCCCCAGTCATTGCAAAAATGTTGAAAAGACATGAATCTGGGACTGAGAAACATTTCCAATTTTGTAAAAAAATACTTAGAAAGTTTTCCTGAATCTCCATTGACTTAGTAGGCCTACAAAACCCCTGAGGGGGCGTCAGGATACAACATTATTTCCTTTATCAATGTCACTTGTGATACTTAAAAACATTATGTTAATAATATTACTTAAAGCCCCAATGGCAATGTTAAATCTCTCAGCAACAAAATATTAAAAGGGCAATAATAAATTATCACGAAATAGCTGCAGCTATCAAACCCTTTTTTTGTCTTACCGTCGATTTGGCCGCCCGTGCTGAATCCTTCATCTTCCCCAGGTAACGGCATGATCATGCAACACAGTGTCCCGGACACTTTGCTGGCTTACGGGAAATTTTTTATGCAAAGGACAACCACTTTTCGGGTCTTCTTTTTGCAGAATTTATCAACCACTGGCACTATTTAGCATGTTTAGTGACTACCGTACTCATGGTCAGCTGACAACACACTGATATGCATCGAGCGTGTGCGTAAAAAAGGCGTGCTCACGTACGTGCGTACACTTACTACGTAGTCTGGTCACGCGACCACTTGTAGGGTCAATTCCCAGGGCAAGCTGAAATTATTTGACGGCTGCTTTCAGAGACTAACATTGTCAGTCGCCAGTGTTTTTATTTGGGTATGGGATTATTACGTAATCGCCGAAACAAATGAAACTTTTCACCAATGAGCATTGACTATAGAGGCAATCTTGCTCTTTTTTGGGGCGGTGCTATTTACATTAACAATTTATATTTTATTGAGAAAAATGATGTCTGCTGGGTGGGGCATGAGTGGGGGGGGGAGGTAATTATACACAAAGAAATGCTGAATGTCATTTCACAAACTGGAAGAAAATTGTCTATGTAGGGAGCACTTTTTTAATGCCTATATACATGTACATGCAACCACATAAATGTAAGGCTTTGGAAAGATCCTCACAACTTGCAGTCGTTTAGGGGCATGTACCCTGCCCTTGGTTAGTCATTCACAAGTAATATACATGTACAGGGTTTTTGTATCATTTTCTGGAATACCCATTTTCTGTTTATTACGTTAACATTTTGGCTCAAGGTTCTTTTGTAAATTTGTATTTCTTTTGTCATTGACATTTGGAGTAAATCCCCACCCATCCCCTCCCCCCCCCCCCCCCCCACCAATCTTGCACGTGTCAAGGGCGGATCCAGTACACAATTTTCTGGGGGGGGGGCAAAAAAAAAGTTGGCCCCCCAATAAGTGGGTCGAAACAATTTTGGATTCTAAATGCTCTGGTTTGATCCTTGGCAATTTTTTTTGAAGGAAAAGATGGTGCACGCAGTGCCTGCCTTTATAGCAACGTCACTAAAAAAAAATCCGCCCTTTGCACGTTATCTTTAAAGTTTATCTAGGAGCCCAACTCCTAACACAAACACAAAATAAGAAACTTTTAGGAGTGGCACATCCATCAACAAACAACCACTCACTACAAAATCAAACTCGATCGACAAAAAGAAATTTTTGGAGAAACCGTTTTATTAAAAAATAATGCAGTCTACTTTCAAATTTATCGCAGTGATTACAAAAACTGTCACAAAATGATTGAATTAGACAGTTTGAATTTAAATGTATTTCTTGTGGTGAAAGTCATTGCGATCAATCTAATACAGATTTATGAGCACAATCAATTAACAATTTCATTTGAAAAATGCAATTGAAAATTCAACTTTAATCTCCAAAACGGTCAACTCGTTAATTTAGACTGCTAGGAGGCATACAATGCAACAACAAAAACAAAAAAGCACCAACGTATATGAAAGTGGCATTGTTGTTAGTTGAGGTCTCTACATTACGATGTTAAAAACAAAAATTCTCAAAATACATACACGTACATTTTGACATGACTCCTTTACGAAGGGACACAACTTTTTTTTAAAGCATAAAAATGCCACTTATCTCAAAACTCACGTACGATCTTGGTTAATTCTAAAGGAATAAAATAAAGCAGCATAACAATTTCTCAGGAGCTAAATATACATAGAAAAAGCCATTATAGATAAAAAATAATAATCATCGATAAAAATTGAGAGGTATTTATCACATGAACCTCCACCTGGTTTTTGTTTTTGTTTAATGGGGCAAAATAACCACTCATAACTTAGGGTAAAAAAAGAAATTTAGTCAAACTAGCCCCGTACGACGCCCATAAAATTCACTTTGCGTACCATAAATACAAAAACATCACCGACAGCAAAATATACAATTGCTAAAAAGGTTAAAAAATTTAGAATGTTAAAAAAGGGTTTCTACTTTTGTGAACATTAAATAAGCATTAAAAAAAGACAATTAAAGGGACTCCTCGAGCGAGGCTCGTTTTAGTAGACCAGGTTCCCCTTGTCGAACGCGTCTTTCCTGGTTGTCGTGCGGGGCACCAGTCGATTGACGGTAACCGCCAGGACGATGATGACAACCCCCAGCAGGGCCATCATGGCTCCCATCAGCCACATCTCCGAGTCGAAGGACGACTCGTGGGTGTGGTGGGGCTCCATCTCGTGGGACATGAACGGTTTAGCCGAGTCTGGAAAAGAGAAAAAGTCCAAATGTTTTAATTGGATAACTGTGAACAGTTGGATTCTGCAGAAATTCTGGGCAATTTCCATGGCAACGCTTCCTGAAGAATTTGTGTTTATTGTATCAGAACAAAATTCTTGTTTGCATATTTCTTGGGTTGGGATGATCGTTTGAAAACTTGAAAATTGTGAACCGATGAAATCGGTTTGTCCATCAAAAGATCGACACATACAGCGAATCTATGATACAGAATTCTTAATCAGAGTAAAATAAAGCACCCTGGAGTACTTGTTGACTTCTTTTAATGTTTTAACATTCCTTGTTCTAAACCATTACTTAAACCATTATTTTTTTTGTCAAACCATTTTCCATAACTAAAGGAATCCAAGGTTTGAACGTTTCTCATTAAATCCATTCTACAGTCTTCCTGATAGAAATTATGCTCCAAAATTTGCTTAGAAATTGTGCCACGGCCCAAGTTTACAAACTCCAAGCTTAAACTTCTTCGTTCATACCATTTAACTAACCCCTTAAGGACGGGGTGTAATGGGGACATTCCTCCACACATAGAGCAAGTGGCCCACATGACTGCACAGCCTTTGTGTGGTAGTGGGACTGCACAAAAGCAGCAGCTGTGGAACTACCCACTAGCCATGTGCCACCGCATACCACAGCAGGCAACTGCATTCCAATGAGGATTAGCGGCCGCGGCCATGACCGCTTCCCGTACGCATGGGGTTAACAAGATGAGTCTACATATTTACTTACCCATGACATATGTCTTCTTTTCGCACAGGACACCGGTGAAGTTGCTTGGGCACGCACAGTAGAAACCATCATCTTCTGGTATGCAGACACCGCCATTCATGCACATGCAAGCATCTGTGCCAAAAAAAAGAGGAAAGTTGGTTACCAGTGATCCCAGTCGAATTTGTCATTTTGCTAGACTCAAAGGGCCAGCCTATTGTCCTAAACAGATTCAATCAGTTTAGGACTACCAGACAGTCGGTGAAGCAATTGGTGGCAAAAAAAACTGAGAAAAACACTGAGCCAACATCCAGTGCTGGGCCAGCACGATTATGACAACCATATATAGACGGCACAGGTAGTTAACGTGAAAATAAGTCCCACTGCCTAGTTTGTAATGCACGACGTGGTTCTAACCAAATGCTTGCCTGCTGCAATGGCGGCCATTCATGGTGAACAATCGAATAATCGTGTGGTACTTTGATGTTTTATGATCAGACAGTATAAATGTCCGAAACTTTCAGGCTGGGCCTGGCCAACTTATACTGACCAACTAAAGCTGTCCAGCTGAAGCTGACCAGCTGACCATCTGTCAAACTTTTCGGTCCAGTTCGACTAGTCAATTAAGCCTTGTCTTGTGTTGTGTTTTTCTTTTTTATACCTAAACTCTCAGCCGTTTTGATGACCATTGTGAATACTTTTTTTTTAAAATCCATCACTTTGGTGGAACCAGTGGAAGATTTCTTGCACTTCGAACATTTTTAAATCATTTTTTGTTTCATCTTTTTGTTGTATTGATAGCAAAACAAATTTTTTTGAGTGGCGGGTATAAAGAAGTAATAATGAAGCTAATTGAAGTGCCGTTATTTCAGACCTTGCAAGTTATAAAGCAGCTGTTTTAAATAATTCATTCTAATAATTCACTGGTTTTTATGGACTTGACAAGTTCATAGTTTCATTCACATACCTTGGACATCTCTCTTGGCTCTTGTGTCTGTTGGGGGAAAATGATAAATACGAAATGGTTATTGAGGAAGTGTGAAAACAGTCGTAGTTTGTATGGTTAATTGTATTAAACAAAGAGAAAACACAGTATGTTGTTTCAAGAGCAATGAGCAAGTAAATAAAACCGAAATGAACAAAAAACGGGATCAACCACACATTTGAATAGACAAACTCGGGCACGTTATCACTGTACACTCACTCATGGGGCTTTAATTTTTTCAACCGAATGTTACATCTGTTGGAATTATACAACTGTTTAATGTTTACGTCCTAATGCTGGTGATGGGTATACGAGTTAGGCCTATAACTACTTGTTATGATTTTTACATGCATATAGTTTCAGCTCTGTACCCAGCTAAGTCTTGGGTCTGTGCACTCTGTGGTGCCAGTGGTTGTGTGTTTCGATCACTCAGTGGTGTTCCAAATGGTGGGCGTGTACGGGGCCCTCGTAGGAATTGATGTACAAGCATCGGTATTCGGCATAGTAATGAACGATGAATAACTGGAATGAATTAACATTTTCATGTGGCTGTGGCATAAATTCATACCAGCGAGTCAATTCTTGTGTTTTTGTTATTTTGAGTCGGAGTATAATGGCAACTCAATTAATTTCAGTACTGTCAATATTTAGTAGTTATTAAGTGAATGGGCTCCGTGCACAGGTACCCCCTCAACGTTGAGGAAGAGGGAGTCGTTAAAGACCACTTGGAGTGACAATGGATCGAAAGCATTGGCCAAGTTCGCTCAAGGACTGTAGTTGGCCAATGGTTAACTAACGTTTGCCCGAAACTCTGTCTAGTTGATGGTGGTTGACTACGCTGTAAAGTGGACTATTTGGAACCAGCCTACTGGGGTTGGTTGCTTCGCTGGTAACCAATAGCCGCGCGTATTCATAACGCAAGCAGAGAGCCAGGATCCAGAAGTTTTGCGACGACATTTTGACCAGCGTTTGACTAGAGACGTTCGCACGTTGCTTTCAGTGCGCAGGCGTAAGGTACGTCACAAATCAACCACTGGTCGACTAATGGTCCTTGCACGAACTTGGCCATTGCCGATGACGCCCGACGCTCACGCGAAGATAGTATGGCTTTATGCACATTCAGAATAAAATGAATGGTGCGTATTTCGCGCTTTACACAAGGGCGGATCCAGAGTGGTTATACTGGGGGAGGGGGGGGGAGGGGGGAGGGGGGAGGGGGGAGGGGGGAGGGGGGAGGGGGGAGGGGGGAGGGGGGAGGGGGGAGGGGGGGAGGGGGGGGGGGGGAGGGGGGGGGGAGGGGGGAGGGGGGAGGGGGGAGGGGGGGGGGAGGGGGGAGGGGGGAGGGGGGAGGGGGGAGGGGGGAGGGGGGAGGGGGGGGGGAGGGGAGGAGGGGGGGGAGTCAGAAGGGCTCATCAAGTGAAAATGGCCTTATTTGAGAGCATTTTGGTCACTGCTTGGGGGCGGAAACCCCTCTGCACCCCCTGGATCTGCCACTGATACGCAGAGGGACCAGTACGCGCACGCCACGTGTCCCGTCCACGGGCTCTAGAGTGTGGTAAATGATTACGCCTTCTCTTGTTCGCACACGGAGCCCATAAGGTCAGATTAAAACACACAAAAAAATAATAAATAAGACTCACTGATACACAGGTACTCTGATGGGTCAGGCCTGTAATAGCAGTCCTGGTTGGAAGGACAGGGGTCGCTAGCGCAAGGGTTAGCGGAATTATCACCTACAAAGACAGACCAAAACAAAATACGTAAAAAAAAAAGTTTGTTTTTGGATTTGTGAGTTTTGGTTCAAAACCCAGCGCCCACCCCAACCCCTGGCCTTCCAATCAACTGTCGGTGTCGTTTAGGTCAATTTTGGTTAGCCAATTAGAAAAAAAACTGTCCAGGTTTAACTGTCTGGATTGGACGGAACCAAAACACACCACAAACGTTGAGCCAACATTCAAGGTTATTTCCCGTGGTCGTCGTTTTGAGTCGATACGCATCCGCTGGCTGCATTCAAAAGAGTTAAGACATGTCTTAATTACATGGCTACGGCTTGCAATCACACATGGGAACATGGAAGCCGCTGTAGCCACTTCTCATAGACATGTGCGTTACTCCTGGCCCTAGCCAAGTAATACAGAAACAGCCTCGATGTTAACAAAGTGGACGAACAGTTTATATTTTGAAAGTAATCAATTCAACACCGACACTTTTAGTAACAAATGCCCGGGAGCCATGCAAAATTAGAGCAAACACAGACACACGGTTAGTGCCAAAAAAAATAAATAACAAAAATTTTAAAATGTACCTGATGTGACGGTCACAATGAAAGAGCACGTGGCTTCGTTCCCGGCGACGTCGGTGAAGACGTAGTTGACTAGGGAGCTGCCGAGAGTGAATAGATCTCCCGGCGCGCTGCTCCTAGATATGGAGACGGAGCCAGAGTTGTCGGCACCGACCGGCTCAGTCCAGGTCACGGCCACGCTGGTGCTGCCGCTGGGGAGAACCATGCTGGCGTTGACCGGGCAACCGGTGAACGTCGGCTGTTGGTCGTCCACTGTTGGAGTTATTGAAAAGGAGAAGCAATATAATTCCTTGAAATTCACCTCTTCTCCTACTAGCGTGGATCCAACTAGTGTTGATCCAACAGTTTCAACGTTTACAACATATTTCAGAATTTACTCATAGCACAAAGTTGTCAAGATGGACAAACTTGAGAAAATGACAGTGTTGCATAAATAAAAAGTTTAGGTTAAACTCTCAGAAAATCTGGGCCCAAGTTCATAGTACTAAAGGCAAAGGTAACGGAGTGCCCATCTCTCTTTCAAAACAATTCGCTCTTTTCACACTCCGCCACTGGGCATGCAGAGCCTCGATCTGGCAACTTTACACAATAAAAATAGCACGGGAATCACTGAACCAGCTATATTTATTGTGTAAAGTTGCCAGATCGAGGCTCTGCATGTCCATGGTGGAAGTGTGAAAAGAGCGAATTGGGCAAGACTCGAGCCAATGAAAAGCTGCTGTGGGAGGATCGCCCCACCTCCTCCACAGCGAGTGTTACATTCCCAGCATTGAATAATGCCGGTACCCATTTAACATCTGGGTTGAGAGGGGTAATTGAGGTAAAGCGCCTTACTCAAGGGCACAACACGCATGGCCACGGTGGTGCTTGAACCCACAATCTCGCAATCATGACTTCTAAGCTCTACAGCAAGAACACACGTGCCCACAGTACTATTAGTACTACTAGGCACTAAAAATTGCCAAGCACAGAATATATTTGCTTACCAAATATTTGCTAAGCAACGATAGTTTACCAGCCAAATGGTATGCTTTACATGGGGCTTGTGACTGGTTCTCGGCTCATTTCTGCTTAGCACATTAATTTCACTAAGCATTGTTTTCTATGGAAATTTGAGAGACTTACAGATGATATTGACGCTGAAGGTACAGAAGGCCTCATTGCCAGCGGCGTCTGTCGCCGTGTACATGGCTGTGGTCGAACCGACACCGAGGTCAATAGGGGATTGCAGACTACCGGTCACGGTGGGCGCGATACCGGAGTTGTCTGTAGCGGTGGGCTCAGACCAAGCAATGCTGGCCGTGGCGCCGGGTCCGTTTACGTAGGCAACGATGTCGTTGGGACAGTTGGTGAATTCTGGGTTAATGTTGTCGGTGGTTCCGCCACTGCCTCCGTTTCCACCTGCGCAAGCGTGAACCAAAACATTTTAATTAACTGCAAAATCCCAAATTTTGGCTAAACATTCTCGAATCTTTCCAAATCCATTAAAGTGCAAGAAAATCAAACCTGTGTAATAATTCACAGTGGCTAGGCCTTACCCTCATCAATTCTGTCCAACCAAACCTTATGCACACACAAGCGTTACATTTACACCCTCGACAAGTTTTTTGGCTATAGACCCCTTGCACATGTACCCCCTTCACTCAGTTCCAAAGAGACAGGTTGGAGGGCCTTGAACGCACTGCCACCTTATACTCGACAACATGCGAAGATAACAATTTGGCACATACCAAATAAAATCAATCGTGAATACTTTTTGCCACATGTGCATGAACTGGTGATCTCGTCTAATAACTTGGGTATCCTGTGATAACGATAACCCCAGGTACCCAAGTCAAGTCCTCGGGAGGTTTTCGTGTACAAACCTCATGGGACATTGAGAAAAAGTTTAAGTCCAAACAATATGAACAAAAGAGGGGAACAATAAGGGTCCGCAGAAGAGTAAGGATTCCCTTGATCAAGCGTCAGACTCGCCTGTGACCGTCACGGTGAAAGCGCAGGTGTCAAAGTTGCCCGAGATGTCGTAGAAGACGTAGGAGACGCGGGTAACGGTATCCTTGGGGAAGGAAGCCGGGGGTTGGTGCGACTTGGCCACGCCGGGCTCCCGTCCGCTGTTGTCCACGGCCGTGGGTTCCACCCAGGTGACTATGGCCGAGGTGGAACCTTGGTCGGGTTCAACCTGTCTGTTGGAGGGACAGCCGGAGATCTGCGGGGCTTCTTGGTCAGGCATGTTTCCACCTTGGGACAGAAAAACATGGGTTTTTTTAATGGTTATTCGCGGTTATCAGCCTTAAAGGTAGAGTCCATCATTTGTAATTTGTGCATTTTGTTCGTTTGAAGCAACAAAAGAGTTCAAAATCTAATGAAGGATACTGAGCAACTAACCTGATGAAGTTTCAGCTAAGCTTCAGCTGTACATTCCGAGAAAAACAGCATTCTAAGATCTCAATTTCAAATCAAAAGTTGCTGAATCATGTTTTGAATTGTTTTGAAGTGCAACTATACGCGACGTCGCGCACTGATCCGATGAATTATAACAACCGCGCGCGCGTGTGCGTCGTTCGAATACTTGTGCGCGCTGCGCTGAATAACAAAACGAACTACTAATTTAAATTTTCCTACGGTGCTTCTTAAGAATCACCGTTGGAAATGCCTTCTTTCGTTGATAACTTCAAAATGACAGCTTCCCAGAAAGAATAATTTCACAGGGAGTTTAGTCTCCTTACTATCTTTCAACCAAGTTAGTTTTTCAACAATAATTACGCCAGTTACTTTTCGGATGGCTGCAAATGATGGACTCTACCTTTAAGGTAAGTTCATACTCGGTGCAGAAAGAAACGTGTATTCTCAATTATGACATCACGATGAGAGTTCGCAAAGATCCCGACACATTTCAGCTGTGGCAATTTTTGCAGCAAATGTTTCCTCACGTTAAATTCACTTCACCTTCCAATTCGCTTCCAAGGGCGGATCCAGAACACACATTTTTTGGGGGCCCAAAAAAATTTTGGTCCCCAAAAAGTGGGTCCAAAAAATTACGGCGTGGGGTCCCAAAATTTGTTTGGATTCTAGAAAGTCTGTGATGCGATCTGAGGCTATTTCTGACCACTTAAACCAATTTTTGGGGGGGATAAGATTGTGGTGTGCCTGCCTTTATTGTGAAGTCACTTTGAGAAAAAAAAAATTGGGTTTGATTTGGGAGGGCCATGGCCCCCTTTATCCGCCCTTGTCTGCAAAAACAATATCAGCTAAAAACACAAGGACATTGGAAACAAACTTTGGACCACAAAATGGACATGCTTCGAAGACCAAAATTGCTGCATAACATTCAGTTACCCAACATTTCTTAATGTTGCAAGATTTTTTTTTTAAAAGCGAACAAATATAAATGAGTGTCATTCACAGAAACTGATTTGAAGGACCGTAACATAAACTTCTGGGTAAATTCCTAAATCCACAACAGTTTAAAACAAAAACCACCAGATTCTTTGCATTTGAAGTTAATAAAACAATATTTTCAAATGTATTTGGGTGTGAAAACTTACTGTTAACCATGACGACAAAAGTGCAATATGCGTCATTGCCAGACAGATCGGTGAAGGTGTAGGTGACGTCGGTGACTCCGACGGGGAAGCCGTCTCCGGGCTGATGGGTTGCCTGGACGGACACCTGACCGCCCGAGTTATCCACGGCCGTTGGGGCTGCCCACGTGACCTCAGTGCTGGTGGCTCCAGAATCAGCCGTGGCCGACGCACCCATTGGACAGTTGCTGATTTCCGGTGGGGTGTTGTCTGATGAAGCTGGATCGGGAAGAAAGAATTGGATTAAATGTTACGAATGCCAAATGTAATATTCAAGTCTTAAAGGTGGAATGTGCAATGATGGATTTGTGCATGGACTACAATGAGGACACTTTGAGGCGTGAAAGACGAGTAAAAGTTTCCCAATTGGAAACTGGCCGGTCGGAAACTGGCCGGTCAGTAGTTGGCCAGTCAGTAGTTGGCCAGTCAGTAGTTGGCCAGTCAGTAGTTGGCCAGTCAGTAGTTGGCCAGCCAGTAGTTGGCCAGCCAGTAGTTGGCCAGCCAGTAGTTGGCCAGCCAGTAGTTGGCCAGCCAGTAGTTGGCCAGCCAGTAGTTGGCCAGCCAGTAGTTGGCCAGCCAGTAGTTGGCCAGCCAGTAGTTGGCCAGCCAGTAGTTGGCCAGCCAGTAGTTGGCCAGCCAGTAGTTGGCCAGCCAGTAGTTGGCCAGCCAGTAGTTGGCCAGCCAGTAGTTGGCCAGTCAGTAGTTGGCCAGCCAGTACTCGGGCCAGCCAGTACTCGGGCCAGCCAGTACTCGGGCCAGCCAGTACTCGGGCCAGCCAGTACTCGGGCCAGCCAGTACTCGGGCCAGCCAGTACTCGGGCCAGCCAGTACTCGGGCCAGCCAGTACTCGGGCCAGCCAGTACTCGGGCCAGCCAGTACTCGGGCCAGCCAGTACTCGGGCCAGCCAGTACTCGGGCCAGCCAGTACTCGGGCCAGCCAGTACTCGGGCCAGCCGATAGTTGGGCCAGTCGATAGTTGCAGCCAGTCGATAGTTGCAGCCAGTCAGTGGGGCTAATCAGCATAGTTGGCCAATCAGTATAGTTTGGCCAGTTGGTAATTAGACATAAAGGAAAAGTCCACTTACCAACAACAGTGACCTTGAACGAGCATCTGTTTATGTTGCCAAAGGCGTCCGTGGCAGTAAAAGTGACCGTAGTCTCTCCGACATTGAAGCTATCGCCGGATGTCGCGGTCGCTTGCAGGTTGATAGGACCGACCGAGTCATCCGTCACGTCCGGATTTGTCCAGGTGGCCACCGCACCGCTGGCACCGAGTGGGGCCGTCACGACGATATCAGTGGGGCAGTTGGTGAGGGTTGGCGGTGTGTTATCAATGACCTGAATATTGTCTGTGGAAACAAAAGCGAAATAATTCCGTTATGATTCCGTTGGATGTACAATAGTTTTATATTGTTTGCTGTTCCCTGAGGGCCCACTATAGTCCTCTTTATGCCAATCTCCATGACCGACTCGATCATCGACTCGCTCACTGACTCGATGTCACTTGGGAAATAGACTTGCTCAAGTCTCGCTTTGGCTAAAAAAAATGACTCGAATATATACAGACCCCTGGTCTGAAGTCAGCTTTACAGGTCTAAAACCGCTAGTCTTGTTAAGAACTTGAAACTAGCTTGTGAAGAAAGCACAGTATAATTTACAATATGCTTTAAGCACAAAAAGGAACAGGAATTTGCTAAGCACAAAGTGACTATGCTTAGCAGACAACAGCATACCAAAATGTCATGCCTGCAGTCACCAGCTATATGATTGTGTTGCAATTGTCATAAATTCGGTTCAGTTATTGAAATTTACACTAAAACTGTAACCAGTTTTGCAAAGTAAAACACTTTCGTAAAATAAATTGTATAATACTTGTAGTAAAAAAAAAACTGGTATAATTGTATACTCGATAGTGTTGTAGTCCATTACAAGTCAGCTGGGCCCATTTTCACGGCGCTGCTAAGCACACAAATTTGCTTAGCACAAAAAATGTCTGGCTTATGAAAGCAGGCTATCAGCCAAAACTCCATGTGATTTTCATGCTAAGCAAACAACAGCTGAATACTAATCACAAGCAATATACATCACGTGGAGTTTTGGCTGGTAACCTGCTTTTATAAGCCAGACTTTTTGTGCTAAGCAAATTTTTGTGCTTAGCAGCGCCGTGAAATTGGCCTCTGGTCTTAAGACAAGTCACAAGCTGTTCCTGAACTGTGATGAAAGCATTTTGTTGTCGTAGTTCATCCCCAGTTACTTGTGACTGGACTTGTGATGGACTCAGCCCCGAGCTCTCAGAACTCACCACCAATATTGACGAAGAATATGCAACGGGCGTAGTTTTGGCTGGCATCGGCGAAGATGTACGTGACGGGCGTGACGCCGCGGCTGAACAGTGTGTCGGGCTGGTGGGAGGCATAGATCTGAGTGGCCACGCCAGACTCGTCCGTGGCCGTGGGTGGGGTCCAGGACACCGTCTGGCCGGCTTGGCCGCTGTCGCCAGCGTAGATAGACGCCGGGCAGTCGCTGATGGAAGGTGCAGTGGTGTCACCTGGAAGGAAACAAAATCATTTCATAGAAATATTTAAACAATTTTGCTATCAATTTGCTAATATTGGACACGAAAGGTTACTAGTTGATGTGGAAGTGTCTCCTAAGTACAAAAAAACCGAAAGCTTTTAAAGACTTGAAATTTGAAATTATCAATAAGTGTATGTTTGCGGTTGGTCTGTGTGACATGAAATCATTTTTTTTAGTTTATAATTTTGAAGAAAAAAGTCGGAAACTTTGGATAATATGCTCTGTCCTATATAAGGAGACAAACGGTGTTTCAAACTTTTTTCCTTCAAAACCACACTAAATCACAAAAATACAGTTTCATAATAATATCGCAAAACAAAAATCTGTTTAACAGAAATTAAAACAAAAACATTGTCAGAAATGAAAACAAAACGGGACACCCAAATGAGTTTTTAAGAACATTATTCCTTGGTTTCTGATGTGATTTAGGAAAAGCATTCTCAATTTTTTATTTTTTACAAAATTTGACATTCACATGAATGTTGACACTGTAGGTGGAAATGTTGACAGTTTCAAGTGATTTCAATTGTGCGAGATTTGAGGGTTTTTTAAGGGCTTGTCATTCACAAAGAAATGTAGGCTACTCACCGACACGTGATTCGCAAGTCTTGGACCCGAACCCAGATAAGCATTCACACATGAAGAACGTGTTGAAGGCAACGCAGTTGGCTCCGTTCTTGCATGGGTTGCTCAGGCACGGGCTGCTGACTACAAGAAATCAACAACAAAACACAACGTCCATGGTTATAAAGCCTTTCTTTTATAAAGTCTGGGATTTAAAATACCATTCACACATTAGAGCAACGGCGTCAATCACTTTTTAAAAGTGGGGGGGGGGACATACGTTGATCACAACTAATGCGAGCGCGAAGCCCTTGCAGCATGAATCATTTTGGATTCTAGATGCTCGGTGGTGCAATCTGAGGCAATTTCTGACCACTATAACCAATTTTTTTTGCAAAAGATCAAAATTTAAACACAATTTTTGAGTTTGTGGCATCACTGAATCAGGTAATCTGAGCTATAGAATCCGTAAATAGGCTATAACATTTATTCCGGGACGAAACAAAGTGGGAGGGGGGAGACAAACGATATATGATATATCCCCCTTAAAAATGGGGGGGGGGGGGACTTTTCCCTCCATCCCCACTGATTAATGCCCATGCATTAGATAATGAAATTTAAACCATTCTTCAAAGTAAACGATCTCAAGCTTGTTTTATTGAAAAATTTCTAACGAAAAAAAAACCCCAAAATGTTGGAAGGAGATCTACCAAGCTCCCATAGGAAAGCGCACATGTAAACAAAGCGTGACGTCATTATGTAACAGGTCCATTCATGAAAAGTGTCCCTATTCATGTCACTGAATATTCTTTTCCGGAGCATAATTTGCAAATCTGTGAATAATTTTTGGAAACAATAGAGCAGAGGATGAAATAAAGGTTGAAGAGATTTTCGAAGCACAGATGGTAGCGCTTGGTCAAATTTTGTACTAAAAGTTCAATAATGAAAACCGATTGTCCAGCATTATTTTTTTAGCAGTTTGTGCATCTACCTACACTGTCTGAGAGGGCATGAGGATTCTAATTCAACTTACTTGTAGTCTCGCAGTTGTGTCCCAAGTATCCGACGGGGCAAGCGCAGAAGTAGTCAACGTCGGAGTTCAAGCTGTGGAAAGCGTTGGAGCACTGAGCTCCTTGCCTGCACGGGGGTCTCTCACCAAGATTACAGATGTCCAGGGCTGGTGCACTTCCTGTAAGACAACAAAAAGTTTAGATTTATGTTTAGTGAAATCTAGGAGCAATTTCCTCCTCAAGAGATATTCTTCAGTGGCAAAACTCCCTTCTCTGCCATGCTCAGTTGCACCTTTTTCAGGTAAAGATGAAACTTGTTTGTGCATATTCTTTTGATTGGTCAAGCATATTTTATGCAAATTGCATGGACTAGCCAATTGGCACAAGGGGGAGTGGCCTAACAGTTGGGGTTTGCGACTCGTGATCAGAGGGTCAGGGCACGGATCCTACACACAAGGATAAACGACTGTTCCGAGCTCTAGTACAAAATGCACCGAGCAGACTTGCCTTAATTGGTTGGACGCGTGATGCAGATCGGCACAGTCCTGCAAATCTGAAAGCTGCTGCGCGCAGGGGTCTTTGTTGACAAGCATTCATAGTTTTTGCCACCTGTACGGGGCGTTATCACGCGTCTAACCATGAGTTTGGCCGAGTCGTTTATCCTTGTGTGTAGGATCAGTGGTCAGATATTCAAATCCAGCTGCTGGCAATATGTTATGTCCTTGCGCAAGCCGCTTTACTCCAACTTGCCCCTCCAACAAGAGTGTCAATTGGTACCACCACTAGTTGGAAAATAAACTGCGACATACTGGCATCCCATCCAGAGGGAATAGAAAATTTTCCCAGATGTTTCATGTCACAGAAACCGGATATTAACAACCGCACGATTTGTAAAGGCTTTGAACAGACTTTACCAACTTCACAAACAGGAAAACAAGAATCCTTCAAAGGCTTTTGTGAGTGAGACCGAAGTGCTATCTATACGTTGGTTTTTTTTTGTCTAATGAGATTTTTTTCTGTCAAATGTTTACAAGATGTTTTCAAAATAGCTCACCAGTAGGAGTATCGCAGTTGGTGCCGGTGAAACCGTTGGCGCAGACGCAGGAGTACTGCGGGATGAAGGAGTTACTGCCAGAGCCGCTGTTGAAGCCGTTGTAGCAAGCCGCTCCGTTGATGCAGGGGAAGGAACCACAGGCGTCCAACTGGGGAGCATTCACTGGAGGGAAAAAGATCGGCAGAATGAATTATCTTTCTTCAAATTTTGTATTAAAAACATAAAAAGATGTCTGGAAAATATGATACACAGCTGCTGCTAGAACTACAAACTTGCATTTCTTCAAATCTCACCAACTTTACGGAAAGAACATTGCAACCTGAAGCTACTTTTTTCTATTATATCATCTCAATGAAGGTCAGTCATTGCAAAAATGATGATAAGACATGAATCGGGGACTGAGAAACATTTCCAATTCTGTTAAGAAATACTTCGAAAATTTTTCTTGACTCTCCATAGACTTTGTACACAGCTGCTTGAAGTAGTGTCAGGTTGCAACATTCTTTCCGACTTTACCCCCGACTTTGTTTTTCCTCATACCCTAAACGGGCAGGTGTTGTTTTATCAAACACAAATGTTTTTGGTAGCCAGAGTTGAAAATTTGACATCTAGTGCAAAACCTCCATTTGATTTTTATGATAATCGGTGACAAATCATCTGAAAGACATCACTCTCCAAAGTTATACAGGCTTATCCTAAAAAAAAAAATTTGCCAATGATGTTGGTTTACCTTTCTGCGTGTTGCAGTTGGGTCCCACGTACTCGCTGGTGCACAGGCACATGTAGTGGTCGGCGTCCATGGTCAGGCAAGACGCTCCGTTCTTGCAGGGGAAGCTGTTGCATGGGTTAGGGTTCTCAGAGATCGCTGGAATAAATACAAAATTACAGACGTTAAATACGACTATCCAGGTTTGCGAAAACACCATGTGGGAATAATTTCTCAACTAAGATCAGAGAATGGTTCTGAAAAGAGCCAGAGGTATAAACTCATTATAGGAGAAGTATCCAGAGTTAGACAAACTTAAATCTAATTGACCTATCGCCGTTTGCGAGTAAGCCACACCCCTTAGACAACCCTATGGAGTTTTTGAACACTTAGTTTTGTTTGTCTCAGATTTTGTGCGTTCCGCGTCAATTTGCATATCATTTACTTTGACAATATATCACAAGCTGCGTTGATAAGATAAACCAATATCTTATAGCCATAGCCATACAGCTTATGGCCATAGGGTCTTATAGGACTACGACTTAGACTTACGCCAATGTCTACTAGCATAGCCATAGAGCTCATAGCCATAGACAGTATTCATTTTAGACAGTCTAAAACTGACGGAATCATTTTTTTTTACTTTATCAAAATTTACCTGCCTATTACTCTAACGACTGCTTAAACGCAATTTAAAGTGTAAAAACACTTTCAATATATGAAAATACCGAACAAACCAATGTCAACACACAATGAATCAATAGAATACCGAGCAACTAAAGTGACTAGTATTTACAAAGTAAGCAAAATGTAGCCTTACTTGTTTCACAGTTGAGTCCGATGAAGCCGTTGGGGCAGGTACATGTGTAGGCACCGCAGGCTCCCTGTACGTCACTGCACACACCGCCATTCTGGCATGGGTTGTTGGCGCACGCCGACGCAATGGCTGCAAGAACCAGGAGAAAGGTACGTTAGTCAAGTCCAATGATACCGTGCTTCAAGCCAACATGACGTACCGATCTCTACAAATGTTTTTGCTTAAGATATTCTGTAATAAAGTTAATGTAATTTCATCAGGAAGAAACCACAGATTTTTTGTTTTGTTTTACTGGCACTTTGAGCCTCTATAACCCCAACAGGCCTGAATCCTCAAAATTTTGATATGATTTTTCACGCACCTTAGGTGGTTAGGGTATAAAGATGCGACTTCAGGGTAACCCTTTCAAATACCAGCAAAAGAAAAGAAAACAAAGCTCCTTCTTTACCACTTGTCTTTACTGATCAGTTTCCGCATGATGGGCCACCACGGTTAGCAATTCTAAACTAGACAATAGGGCTTATTTAAACTGCAAACTCTTTATCAAATGACATTTATGGTCATTTGTGCCGTATACGGTTGACCCAGCACTGAGTGTTAGCTCCGCATTTTTCTCAGTTTTTGCCACCCATCACAGCTTCGAAGGCTTGCCTACTACCTATACAATCTTTGCCTACTACAATGGCGATGCCGACTTTTCCGTACCTGGATACAGGCTAGGTCAGTGAAAGCTCTAAATGGTTCTCGTATCTCATTTGACTACTTACGGATTTCACAGTTGAAGCCAGTGAAGCAGCCGCTGCATTGGCAGGTGTAGGAGTAGCAGGAGTCAGGCAGGGAAGAGCAGGCACCGCTGTTCAGACATGGGTTGGGGTTGCAGGCATCACGCTCTGAGACAAGGGAAGTGAACCAATCAGAGGGCGAGTGAATGACCACATGATGAGTAACTGACCAATCATAACAAACCATCTGATAGCAATTCATCAAATTACCAATCAGGTGGCAGGTGAGCAATTAGATAAACCAATCAAATGTAATGGACTAATCACATGTCTAGAAACTGACCAATCGCAGTCGACCATCCGATTGAAAGTGATCAAATTACCAATCAGGCAGGTGTCGGGCAACTATCAGAGCCAACCAATCAAATTGCAATTGACCAATCACATGCCAAGTAACCGACCAATCGCAATCAACAATCAGATGGGAAGCGATCCAGTTTCCAATCAGATGTCAGGTACACAACCAGAACAAACCAATAAAATTGCAACTGATGAATTACATGTCGAGTAACTGACCAATCACATGTCAAGTAACTGACCAATCACAATAAAGCAACAACTTTTTTTATGACAAATCAATTGTCTAACAACAAATCAAAATCTGGCATTAAGACTAATCGAACAATCATGTGTTAAGCAACAAATCCTAACAGCATTTTAAGAAACACTTTTTAATAGCCATATGCAATTCTTGCGTTACAATTTTTTACCAATTATAGCATATTATTACATTGCAATACCCTGAAGAATGCGTAAAAACGTTCAGTTCGATTGATGGGATGCTCCCAAGTCATGAATAATTCAATAGTTTCAATCGGGCCAGTATGTTCATTCATGAACAGTGATATCAAGAGCACTGTTGTTATTTAGTCAACCAGTTTACTTTAAAGCATTTTAAAGAACGGTTGTCGTCGAGCTACCACACAGTAGCCTAGTGGATAGCGTGATGAGCTATGGATACAAAGATTCCCGGTTCGAATCCACATCGTCGCTGCTCATTTTCATCAACTGTTTTTCTTCTCTGAATTTATCGTTTAGATAATTTGATTTAAAGGGAAAAAGGAAACAAAAGCTAAGTGTCTTGCAACAATTCAAAGGAAAACTGAATTATGCATGACATTGGAGCATCCAACCAATAGACACCAAAAATCGCATGCTGGGGCGGTTTGGGGCAGTACAGAAACTAAGAGATTCAACTTACGGATCTCGCAGCGAGCACCGGTGAAGCAACCGCTGCAGGAGCACCTGTACTGAGAGCAGGAGTAGAGAGCATTGGGAGTCAGCGAGGACGGTACACACAGACCTCCACTCTGGCAGGCATGGCTGTCACAAGCAGAGACCGCTGCAAAGGAAAAGACACAAATATTATAAGTCACATATCAATTTCAAGCCAATATAATTGCCGGGGTTGAAAGTGCTGTCGGACAGGCAATGACCGACCATTTTCTCATATTTGTCCCAACGAATTGCGTAATGTTAAATGCTTTCTGGGTGTTTATTGCAGCTCAAAATGTCGTTTCTGTCCGAGCAGCTTCTTTGTCCAATTTTGTACACTGTTTTTTCTGTCAATGCGGCATGTTTTTAATTGTGGATATGCTCTAGAATAGCGAATCTAGATTAATCAAGAAAACTTTCTAGGTACTTTTTCCTACGCACACAAAACATGAAAGGACATTACGCAGCTTGAAAAATCCTTGGTGAATCCCACATTTAAGTTTCTTGGGTTCTTGAGTGTGCACAATGATCAAGTACAGAGTTACCGTGGTCACCAGACAGGAAGGGCCCGTTGTGTGGCGTAAAAAAAAAAAAAATGAGGATTCGTATAATTTTTGGCTAACTTACGGACATCACAGTAGCGTCCGGTGAAGCATGGTGGGCACTGGCAGGTATACTCGATACAGCTGTCTGGGCTGGCCGTACACTGGGCTCCGTTGGCACACTGGTGGTTCTCACAACTGTCCACATCTATAGTAACGAAACCAAATTGAAATATCAGGAGTTTTCAATTTCAATGGCCTACAGGAATTGTGCGCAATCTGGATTGCTTAAATGTCAACACAGAAGAAAATAAAATCGATGTTCTATTTACAGTTTGATAAGAAGGAAAATTGTTCACTTACAGGTTTGGCAGTACTGTCCGATGTAGCAGGCAGGGCACTGGCACTCATACTGAGTACAGGTACCAGACAAGGCAGCGCATGCGGCTCCATTCTGGCAAGCGTTGGCCGCGCAAGCATCCACAGCTGTCAAAGAAAAACACAAATAAGAAATCATATCAAAATGCTTAAGACTTGGGTGCCAAGCATAAAAAACTTGCTTGCTTAGCATTGAAAGCATTTGCTCAGCATAGTAAAAAAGTTACTAGGCCTAGAAAAAAACTTGCTTAGCATAGAAAATATGTGCTTAGCACAGAAAACATTTGCTTAGCGTAGAAAATATTTGCTTAGCATTGACAATATTTGCTTAGCATTGAAAATACTTGCTCAGCACAGAAAATACTTGCTCAGCACAGAAAATACTTGCTCAGCATAGAAAATACTTGCTCAGCATAGAAAATACTTGCTCAGCATAGAAAATACTTGCTCAGCATAGAAAATATTTGCTCAGCACAGAAAATACTTGCTGAACATAGAAAACATTTGCTGAGCATAGAAAATATTTGCTTGTCAAAAACAGCTTACATGCCAAAATGTCATGTCGTGTATATTGCTTGCGACCGATTCTCAGCTAAATTTTTGCTTAACACAAACAAATATTTTCTGACTTACCAGCCTCGCATGTTTCTCCAGTAAAGCAGTCAGGGCAGATACAGGTGTATGTAGTCAGCGTGGTCGGGACGCAGGCAGCACCGTTCTGACAGGGCTCCGGCGAGCAGGGATTGGCTGAAAGAACAAATGTCAAAGGTCAAAAAGGAATCTTTCGAAGGGACAACAGATAAGTGATTTGCATTGTTTGATGTTGAAATGGATCAAAGTAGTCCAGTTTTGGGAGTCCGCTCTGTGCAGTGGTACTTCCCACCTCCTCTGCGACCCAGGTTCGAATCGCAGCAAAGCTCAAATGTGGATTGGATTTTTCAGTACCCGATTTTCTGGATTTCTTCAAGAAAATTTGGGGGTCTTCTCCAACCTCTGAATCATCTCTGTATTAAATCTGAAATCCTTTTTGGAAAAATGTTTTCAGTAAACCGAGTTCAATCACCTTTAGGTCTCATCTCACTGAAAGTCTTGGATTTCTCACTGCCAGGTTCAACCAATACGGGGCTCAATTCATTCCTTAATAGTCTTGAGATTCTGATTAACCTCCCCATAAACTTCTTGGAAGGAAGTTTTCGGCATTGTTCACAAACCGATTGTGGGAAAATGCTAATGAAGTTGTTCAAATCATTGAGAACACTGCAACTAATACCAATACAGTGGGCCTAAAGTGAAAACTTGTCCAAGACGTATCCCGCTTATTTTGAGATGAAAGGCCTGTTCCCCAGGCAACACTTTTACTTTTTCGCCCACTTAATTCCAACATCTTCAAATTATCTTTCAGTCTACTTGACTCAATCCCAATATGCTTTGTTATTTTAAGTCTTGCGAGAGAGTTACCTTCAACAACATCGACGTTGAAGATGCAATCTGCCATATTTCCGGCTTGGTCTTGGAATCTGTACTGCACGGTGGTCCGGCCGGCATTGAACAGCTCGCCCGGGTTCTTGGTGTGCATGACCAGGTTGACTCGGCCGGAATTGTCGCTGGCCGTGGGCGCGGTGAAGTAGACCGGTACCGGAGCTTTGCCCATCATGACGTGGAAGGTGATGTCTGTCTGGCAGGTGATGAGCATGGGGTTTTCCCTGTCCGCTGCGAGGATACAGGACGATAAAATCAGGTGAATTTTGAATCTTTGAAGGCTTCGCAAAATAAGCCACTTGCGTGTTAAATTTGAATAAAATCTGGAACGCTGACTTAATACAATGCTTTGCACGTTTTAACCTAGCATTCTCCCGACCAAAGAGACTGTTACTATATCGCGTGATTCGGGGCAAGCCTTATGCTAGCAACCCCCAGCTCCGGCATGGTCTGGTGTCTTTGTGCCATTCTCACCCATTGTGAACGATGTATTGGTGCTGAGCGTCTCTTACGTAACTATGCAAGAGCTTGCCCCGAATCATGTGATTAGCAACAGTGTCTTTGGTCTGGAGAATTCACAGTTAAAATGTGTCAAGCATTCTGAGCAAGTCATTGTACCAGACGTTTTTCAAATGTAAATCCCAAAGGGTATAGGTTACACGCAAGTGGCTTATTGGTTTATAGGCCATCAGCCTGGGGGTTTGGTCGGCATCAAATGAGGGGAATAATGGTCATTGTGATTTCTGGCAAGGTATGCACCCCTGTAGTTGGAAAATATGTTATAGCATTGCAGAGGTGGCAGCTTTTTGAGTGCTATCACTGTTTTTGAAACAATGGCAGCCAAAACATGCTTGTTACCACATACAAGTAATCCGGTTCCAGCATATTGGCGGCCAATTTGAAATTTTTTTTTAAAGTGATAACACCCAAAAAACTACCACCAGTCACACTACAAAGCTATCACACATTTTCCAATTTAAGATATGTATACCTTGCCAAAAATTGCTATGAACATTGCTCTTTTTGATCATTTGATACTGGTGGCCCAATTTTTGGACCGAAGCTGATAGACTATTAGTGAATCAGATGCAATGCCTTGTTTGAACAAATGTTTTCATTAAGATGTTTTTATTGTAGTAACTGATGCTTACAAATAATACCTATTCATTCATAACAAAACTGAGACAAGCCTAGAGCACTGTGAGATTAGGCCAAGGCTCTTCTGTGGAGGTAACTTCTCTTAAAAATAAAAAAAGGTTTCATTAGTTTGTAAGGACGCTCATAGCTGAAATTTTTGTAAGATCGTTTTCAAGATCATTTCAACTTGATCAGATATCAAACTGAATAGGCAATCTTGAAGCAAATTATATGAATGGAGATGAATCCACAAGAAAGAGAAAGATTGGATAAGTTAATTGAATAAAATCTGTCAATAGAAAAAAACACTCATAGTTGAAATTTTTGTAAGATCCTTTTCAAGATCATGAAACTTGCAATGCTAAAACAAATATGCATATAGATAAATCCACAAAAAAAAAATTGGTTAAAGTAATTGAAAAAAAAAATTCTATTAAAATAAAATAATGCAGAACATCAATTCATGTTCAATGTGTTTAAAATGTAACAGGAAACGACAATGCACTCCGTTTCAATATTAATTTGTAATTTGTCTTTCGTGTTATAGTTAGCTGTATATAGGATTCACTTTAAAAATTAAAAACAACTTACGTTCTTCAACTACACGGACGGTGAAGGTGGTGCTGACGGGGTTGCCAGCTGGGTCAGTGAAGGTGTAAGTGACGGGCGTGACGGATCCCGTCGGGAAGAAGGAACCGGGCTCATTGGTCCTGGTGCTGGAGAAGGTGCCGGAGTTATCGGTGGCCGTGGGCTCGGTCCAGCTGACCGTGGTGCCGGGGGACTGGAAGGGGACGGTGATTGTGATGTCCTCGGACATGGAGGTGATCATGGGTGGAATGGAATCAGCTACAAGGGGTGGAGGCGAGAAAAAGTGGCATTTGAAACAAGGTCTTCTGGAGGTTGCAGGTTCAAATCCCGCTATGGTCATCTTTACTCAACAATGTCACTTAAATACTGACAGTCTTGAAGTGGTCCCATTTAAGTTGTATGTTGGGTTACTTCCGACAGTACACCACTGTAGATTGAAAAGTCACACATTATTTATTTATTTTGTTTTTAAAAATACTTTATCCCAAGCTACATTCTTTGTACTTGCAAAGGTTAATTGTACAGTTACGGTGCCAGTTTGACAGGGCTGGTATAAAATGGAAAACAATTTTTACAGGACGCCTATTTTTTTTATAGAAGATCAAGAGAAATCTTCACAAGATGGATCCCGTGTCTTCAGAATTTCATTTCATCTAGAGAGACAAGAGACCGTTTATTTTTCGTTGCGCTACCCAAAGGGTCAGCATATTGTCCTCAACTTCCTAAAACCCAAAAGGATTTTCCATTCTAGCAAGAAAACACTCGCCTCTGTTTACCTATATTTGCATATCAGTGCACAAGCGCAGGTAAACGGAGGGGAGACATTTTCTGTAATGGAATTCCTAAAATCCAAAGGCGTTTTCCGATCCAGTATGAAAATCCACGCCTATGTTTACCTACGATTGCGCACTGATATGCAAATATAGGCAAACGGAGGCGAGTTGTTTTCTGTAATGGAATTCCTAAAATCCAAAGGCGTTTTCTGTTCCAGTATGAAAATCTACGCCTATGTTTACCTGCGATTGCGCGCTGATATGCAAATGTAGGCAAACAGGGCAAGCTGTTTTCTGTAATAGAATGAAATGTTTGGCTCAACGAGGCCAGCCTTGCTTCTCTTTTTTTTAACAAGAACAAGTTTGAAATAATGGGGAAAAACAAAATGATACTTACGCAGCTCAGTCACTTTGACGGTGAAAGTTGTCCTAGCTTCATTTCCAGAGGGATCGGTAAAGACGTAGGTAACCGGAGTCGTCCCAAGAGGGAAGAAGCTCCCAGGCTCCTGGGAGGTGGTGGGAGTGACCCTGCCAGAGTTGTCGGTAGCTGTCGGCGGGGACCAGTTGACATTGGAGCCCGTGGTGCCGAAAGGAACAAAGACTTCGATGTCCTCGGGGGAATCCACGATGCGAGGAATGATGCCGTCCGCTGGAATTTGAAATAAAAATTTTATCAAATGACATGGAGCAATACAAAAGTGAAATATTAGGGCAAAGAAAAAAATGCAAACAAACGATAGCAAAGTAGAAGTGGAGAGATGGTATGCGTATGGGAATGGCAACTTAACTTAAGTGGACAAAAAAAAGCTATGAAGAAAAGAGAATGGATGAAGAGGAAAGCTTTTGTTTAACACAAAATGATAAATAATTGGTTGATGATAGGTTGAACTGTTATAATCTTTTTAAATGTGTGGAAAGTGATAATCCAATGCAATTTGTACATTCATTTTGCTTTTTTTTTTACGTTTCTTCATTGGTCTATATTTTCTTCGTTTGTCCATACACTGGCCATCAAAATATTGGACAAAGCACTTGTTGATGTATTTTTCTATTCACCCGGTCTTCACAATTGTCCGTGACAACCAAATTTATTCTGCACTAAAATAAAAATATGCTCACAGAAGAAAGTTACCAAAATTCCCCACTTCAGTTCAAAAACATGTTGCCAACAATTGTATTTAAAGAATTAACCCCAACTCCCTAGCATGATTTATTAGGAACCATATCCACCCTGACAAATTCAGCACCATATAAGAAACTGCACAGGCATATTTCTGACTTTGTTTCTGGAGGTGTGCCGACCCAATGTAAAAGACTGTCAGTTTAGGGGTACTGTACCCATCCTGACAGATTCCAACAAAACATGCCGTTGGGGTTTGATGGGTCGAGTTCTGTTTAAAGAGTTTTCTGTACTTACGCAATTGAACCACGTTGACGTTGAAGGTCCGTTCGTAAATGTTTCCAGACGGGTCAGTGAAGGTGTAAGTGACCGGCGTGTTCCCGACGGGGAAGGTGCTTCCCGAGGGTCGAGAGGGAGTCTGCAAGGTAGATCCGGAGTTATCCGTGGAAGTCGGCTCGTCCCAGTTCACGACCGCCTCTTCCTCGCCGTAAGGCACCGTGATCGTAATGTCTGCCGGGAACCTGGTAACAGAAGGTGCCTCGTTGTCGGCTGTCAACAAAAAAAAGTTACATTATAATTTTGTGTATTTATAAAGCACACATATCCACTGGTATTGGTGCTCATGGCGCTACATGCCAATGAAACATTCCAAATACCATCTCAGATCCCTGAGGAGTATACAGTTGGATGACGCCATTTTGGCGCCAAGCAGCTAGAATCAACCACAGTAACCATCTCTGCCTTCACAGGTACCCATTTACTGTGGGGAGAAGCAATGAGTGACAAAGTGGCCAAGGGCACAATGACCCCAGGCTGGACTCAAACCCACAGCCTGCAGCATTACCCGCAGACCACAAATTCAATGCTCCAGACCACGAGGCCACTGCACGGCACTCCACGTTACGACAAAACAGATTAAAAATATCTTAAAATAAACTTACGCAGAACCACCACGTTGACGTCAAATGTCCGTGTGACGATGTTACCCGACGGGTCAGTGAAGGTGTACATGACAGGGGTTGTGCCTGGGGGGAAAGAGCTACCAGGCTGCCTGTTGGTTATGGTGTTGACCGTGCCGGAGTTGTCAGTAACCTGCGGCTGGGGCCAATTGACCGGGGTGTTGGTGGAGCCAAAGGGGACCGTCACGGTGATGTCCTCTGGGAATTCTTGGACGAATGGGTCTTCTTCGTCGGCTGTTGACAGAGGAATATAATGATCAGTAATTTGCATGACTATGGTCCCTTCCTGTCTGTCATTCAAACAAGTGGGCATTGACCAATCAGATCACATCTTTTGGTCAGGTGACAGTGCCACTGCCCAATTAGATTGCGACTTATGATCAGGTGGACATGTTAGCTTGGTTAGACTGGACACAAGCACTGTTTGAAATGTACACAAACGAAAAAGTGGGCGTGGCTTATGGCCAAATCAGCAGTGGTGTAACCACAAAAGGGGAAGTGATTTTTTTTTTTAACAATTTTAAGTGGTGTGAAAATAACGATACTTTTATACTTCAGTTGGTAAGATTATTCTCTTATATGATAAACAGAACCTACTGGGCCAACATATTATAAAAAAGCCGTCCATGACGTGAATAATTATTCCGTTTGTATAAAGCGCAGATATCACCCAATATTGATGCTCAATGTGCTACATCATTATAACCCTGCTCATTGGGCCAATGAAACATTCCAAAAACATTCTCAACTCCCTGGGGAATATACAACTCGATGCTGCCATTTTCGGGCGAAGCTGCTAAAATCAATCACAATAACCATCTCTGCCCTCACATGTACCCAATTTCATACTCCCGGGTGGGGAGAAGCAACGAGCGACAAAGTGCCTTGCCCAAGGGCACACACACCACAACCCCAGGCTGGACTTGAACCCGCAACATGCAGATTACCCGAATAATAACTGGAACAAACAATTTACAACAAGGTTGCTCTAGTTCAACACTTACGCATCATGACAACGTTGACGTTGAAAGTTTCGGTTCTCGTGTTGCCAGATGGATCAGTGAAGGTGTACATAACCGGGGTGGATCCGACGGGGAAGGTGCTACCAGAGGGAATGTTACTGCTCGGGATAGACGTTCCAGAGTTGTCACTTGACGTTGGCTCGTCCCAGGTGACCGGGGTACCCGTGCTGCCAAAGGGAACCATGACAGTGATGTCCGATGGGAAGGTGTTGATCATTGGTGCCATCTCGTCAGCTGTTGACAAAAAAAAAATTCAAAATTGTTGTTTATTTTGTTCTTTTACCACCTCATTGTGGAAAGTATAGTTGAATCTGGCGATCAGAATTGGAAGCTTTTACTGCAGTGATGTCATGCTCACGTCCATGCTGCACGCGTTCTTAAAGACGAGGCACACGTGCATTTTGGTATTCCTATTGGTTGAAGGAGCCTGGTGTGCCTGTGTATACTACCCGAGCGAAACTAGCGCAAGCCTGGCGCCACCACAGAAAATGGCTGCAGCCGGATTTGTCTGTGCGTGCCGGAACTTTCTTTTCAATTCCTACAAAATATCACAGTTTCAAACAAAATCAAAGTTGATATCTTGTTTTAATGGTCGAGTCTTGTTTTTCAAGTGGCTGCCACCTTTGGCCGTGAGTAAGGCCAAAAACATGGTTCTATTTTTATCTTTTTAACATTTTCGTCTCTAGCAGAGATGATCTCTAGCAGAAATGGCACAAGGAATGAGAAGACTTTGAAAGTTACCAATATGGGCAAAATGTTGACTAAAAAAACAATTTATGGCCATTGTACCCTGCACACAACGTTTGACAAAAGGTGCACGAGGTTGAAATAAAACTGAGGATGAATTTGGGCGATTCACAATGCAGTGCGCCACCAAGAGTTTGCCGTGGAGAGTCCATTTTTAAAGTTTACGGTCGACAAAACACGGCTCATTTGAATGAGTGTCAGTAGACAACTTGTTAATTTGTTATAGATTGAGGCATAGCATTCTGCCGTCTTACAAAAAACATGATATTAATAAAAAGAAAAGGGCAAACATATACTCCAATCATACGCTTACGAAACTACTGACCGGGAAAAACTAACAATTTCAAATGTCCCGCGCTGCGAATTTGTCGACCATCTCCCACAATGCAGTGGGAAAAATGAACTCTCTGTGGCAAACTCTTGGTGGTGCACTTCATTGTGAATCGCCCGAATTGAAAAACTTTTCAATATGGGTTAAAAAAAAGCAACTGCCAACTACATGTATGAGCAAGTTGTTTATGTTCCCCCGCCCACTCCTCCTTAAGTCAAAATAGAAAATAACCAAACTTACAGTCAACGATAACATTGACGTTGAAGTCCCTCATGACGGTATTTCCAGACGGATCGGTGAACGTGTACGTGACCGTGTTGGTTCCCGGTTGGAACGAACTGCCGGGCTGTCTGTTGGTGATGACGTTGACCGTTCCGGAGTTGTCGGTCACTACAGGGGCCGGCCAGTTCACTGGGATCTCAGAAGTGCCAAACGGAACCCTGATGGTGATGTCCTCGGGGAACTCTTGTACCATCGGTTCTTCGTTGTCGGCTGAGGGCAGGAGAGAACGAAATTATCTTATCTACATGATTTCTTAGAGCCAGGATTTGCTGTGGAAATTGGGTTGGTGCATGTGGTCCTTTTTTTTGCCTTTCTGCCTTGGTTCACATGGGGGTTAGGGTTCCTGTCCCTACCTGATTCCACGAGTTTCTCAAAATGTGTTTCTGGGATTTTTGTCCAACCTCTAAAAAAACCTAAACATGTCTTCATTGTTGCCTCTCTACAGGTTTCTTCAAGCTTGCAAGTTACGGTGCTTCAAGGAATCCTTGGTTTCATATAACACCAGAAAATAATTACAAAAACATTTCAAAATGATCAGGTATGTGCTTGTTTTCAAAATGTTCAAAACGGTGGAATCTTGACAAAATGCAAAGCACCATAAAACCAAAATTCCAATGACATTTTTGTTTGAAAATTCCCAGAATTGTCCAAAATCAGGAAACCAATGCCATTTTCTTTGTACTTGGACGTTTTGGGAAACAAGCCTAAACTAAACTAATAGTGGTTTGGCTCTTCCTCAAACCTTTCAAAAATTATTTTGAAGGATCGGAGCCCAAGTTTATGGAGCTGGTAAGCAGGATATATTGCTTCGCAAATTTTTGTGCTCAGCAAAAATGAGCCCAGAACCAGTCCTAAGCAATATGCATCACATTACATTTTGGCCGGTAACCCAAATTTGCTAAGCAGATAATTCCTGTGCTAAGGGTTCCCTGTTCCACAAAATTGGCCTCTGATTAGAGTACCATTTTAATCCCGGACCATTTCCAAAATTTCTTTCTCAAAGAATCCGTATGAATTGAAGTCTTACACAGCATGACGACGTTAACCATGAACGTCTGGGTGGCAAAGTTTCCGGACGGATCCGTGAAGGTGTAGGTGACGGGTGTGCTTCCGACTGGGAATGAGCTTCCGGAAGGAATGTTCACGGATTGCACGGACGACCCGGAGTTGTCCGTGGAGGTGGGCTCGTTCCAGTTGACGGGGATGCTGGAGGTACCAAACGGCACGACGAGGGTGATGTCGGACGGGAAACTTGTGACCACGGGACGAGAAGTGTCGGCTGTAGAAATAAGACGTTTGTTTCGATGATTTGCATTTGTTAAGTGTGCAACAACAAACAAACCTTTCTTTTAACCCCAATCGCCCTGAAATCCTTCAAAATCCTCTTTGCCAAAGTGGTGGAATTTGGAAGATTGAGGTTACATGGCAAAAGTGCTTTATTGATTTCGTAGGATGCACTTTGTCAAGGTCTTGGGCTGGACCTTGTGTTGTTTTGCTCAGCCATGCATATAAATATAGGCCTGGATTATGCTTGAAATCCTCCGTACTGCTTCAGGATGTCACTGGCCAAGCCCCGTTTGTCGACCCTGGTCAATGTTTTTTTTACAGATTTGAAAAGAGCCCAATCTCAGCATTACTGCTGTGAAAACCGCATGCTGGTACCATCTTTACTTCAAAAATTATGGAAGTCGGAAAACCAAGGGATGTGATTAAGTGATGTGATGAAGTGGCCCTATTTTGGCTTGAATCCCCAAATGATTTAGCTTGATCCCATCACAAACGTTCAAATTGGAAATGCAAAATATTTACAGGTTAATATTCACTGTGGGCAAATGGCCAACAATTGCACGAATTTTTCAATCTTTAAATGAATAGGAAAGAACGACTCAACAATAAAATACGTGAATAGTGCACTTACACAGCATAACGACGTTGACGTTGAACGTTCGGGTCACAATGTTGCCAGTCGGGTCGGTGAAGGTGTAAGTGACCGGGGTGGTTCCCACTGTAAACTCGCTGCCAGAGGGCTTGGAGGGCGTCTGGAAAGTGCCTCCAGAATTATCGGAAGACGTGGGCTCGTCCCAGGTGACGGGAGTACTGGTGGTTCCAAACGGCACGGTGACGGTGACGTCGGATGGGAAGGTCAGGATGTTCGGTACCTGATCGTCGGCTGTTGGGGGAAAAAGACAATGATAAATAAATAATTAAATAAAAAATGAATTTGTGGGGTTGATCATCCTTACTTGCAGCAGAAGCTGCATTTTGAAGGATGCAGCTACAACACTTCTTCATTCATTCATGACTTGATGAATTGGGCCCAACTGTCCCTGTCGAGCATAGTGTTGGAAAGAGATGGACCACTCAGACCAGTTTCTAGCTCGATGGATGTTTTCAGGGTCATGTTGGGACGACCTTTTCGTCGAGGGGCCTCAGGATTCCAGAGGAGAACTTGACTAGCTGGCTCATTATGTCGATAAACGTGACCGGCTAGCTAAAGGATCCAGCCCAGTAAATCGGTCCGAAATGCCAAGGCCGGCCAAATCATGATTTGCATGCCCTCAAATTCTTTGGTATAAGAGCATTTTGTGGGCCATGAACTTGAGGGTTTGTAAAAAAAGAAGGGTGGAAGTCGCGCCGAGGACTAGGAGCCCGTATTTCTGTGAAATTTGGATGAAATTGGGCCCTAAAAGTGCTCTATTTTGCAATGGAGTGTAGGCATTGTTTTTCAAAATGGCGATGGGCTTCACGACTGTTTTTAAGGGTGAATATCTTCGGATGGAAATTTCTCCCAAAAGTCAATGGATTAACCCCAAAAATTGAACAGAAAATGAAAGATGATGAATTTAGCTTTAATTTGATGCGTGTCTTGAACACTTCATAAAAGAAGCTGTTTACGTATTACTCGAGAGCTGGACACTCCATTATATAGCTAGAGGGGCGTTTCAAAACACAGAAAGTAAAATTGTTGACCCTCGGCTTCACCTCGGGTAATTATCAGCATTCCAGACTCCAACCAGTCTTAAACAAAGTGTTTAACACCTCCCAAGCACACATTTATTCCCTTAGTAATGAAGTTTCAGAAAGCCTTTGTGTACATGCCGACACACTGCATTCCGATTCCCTTTTAATCACAGTACAAGACAAATTTGATGAAATGAATATTTGAAACCATCTCGTGCTATACTCACGCAGGACATTGACGTTAACATTGAAGGATCTCGTGACGGTGTTTCCATTGGGGTCGGTGAACGTGTACGTGACGGGAGTGGTGCCGGGGGGAAACGAATCGCCCGGCGCCTTGTTGGAGTTGGTGTCAATGGTGCCCGAGTTGTCCGTAGACGTCGGTGGCAGCCAATTGACTGGAGTGCTGGTTGTACCGAAGGGGACCGTCACAGTGACGTCGTTGGGGAAGGACGTGATCACAGGTCGCTCGGTATCAGCTGCCAAGGAAAGAGAATTTAAATACAAAATGTTTGTCCGATTCAATGATTCCTTAATCTTTTGTACTCAAAATTACAATTTGTCACTTTTTCCTATGGTCCACTGTGGGCCAATACCCATGGGCGTTCGTTAAACCCTTCAAGTCTTCTGCACTTCCCAACCCGTACTTCTAATTTCTTTTGAGTCTGTGGAGTATGGATAAACACTTCAATTATTTCGTGGGGTTAAGCTCATGGCAAGCAGGCAGATGTGGGCATGCTTCACCGCTCTCCACAGTGCCGTTTTCTTTTTTCATGTGCAGCGACTCTCTGTACAACACAGTCACTATGACACTTCAAATCCTACACCTGAAACTGACCTGCATGATTTTTAAGGGTTTGACATATTGCTCTGAATATTGACTTCCCACTAGGATAATTGATGCACATTCGCTTCAGATTTGCTTAGCGAAAACAGGCAATGTACATCGCTTACAACTTGCTTGGCATGATTTTATGTTCAGCAGTTATTTTCTGTTAAAGAGGTTGTGGAATGCTCGAAGACATTTCCGTCATTTTTTTTGGGTATATGTAGCCTAAGGTGTGATGAAATAAAAACGACTATTGTTTCTGTCATGAAATGAGTACAAAAGGTACTTTTAAGAGCTGTTTTTCAAGTCCTGTCATGCCTGTTTTGACCCGAACGTGCAATCTGTGTAAAAGTCGTCGTTGCGGGCAGCAAACAAAACACAGTAAATCGTGACGTAATAAACAGGCCTCCCGATGCAGAGTAGCATAAACGAGTCCTGTTTATTACGTCACGATTTACTCTGTTTTGTTTGCTGCCCGCAACGACGACTTTTACACAAATTGCACGTTCGGGTCGAAACAGAACCTGAAAAATAGCTCTCAAAAGTACCCTTTGTACTCATTTCATGACAGAAACAATAGTCGCTTTTATTTCATCACACCTTAGGCTACATATACCCAAAAAATGACGGAAATGTCTTCGAGCATTCCACAACCTCTTTAATATCAGCTGTTCCTACAGAATACATCCAGTGGCATAGCCAGGGTTCTCATCCTGGAGGGTGGGGCTAGTGGGGGGGGGGGTTGGATGTTACACTGGATAAGGTCAGCAAGTTTTCTGGAATATTTAGAATTAACTGCCGACAGTTAAGCAGCACTATGTACCGACATAACACTTACCGAGCTCAACAACGTTGACAGTGAACGTCCGTTGGATATTGTTCCCAGTGGGATCGGTGAAGGTGTAGGTGACTGGGGTCATCCCGATGGGGAAGGTGCTTCCCGGTACCCTGGTGGGATTCTGGAAAGTGGTTCCGGAATTATCGGTAGAAGTCGGCTCGTCCCAAGTCACGATGGAGCCTGTGGCGCCGAAAGGCACTGTGACCGTGATGTCATTCGGGAAACTGGTGACCACTGGCGGAACACCGTCAGCTGTTTGAAGACAAAAATAAAAATGAGTTTTAACACATTGAATGAAAGCATTTACTTGAAAGAGTACACAGTAGATGATGCAGTGCAGGCAGTGAAGCTACTTTTGATGGCTGTGATCTAGCGACATACCCAGATGAGGCTACGGCTTGCAATTATATATATGCACTTATGGAAGCAGCTGAAGCCACTTCCCATAGGCATGTGTAATACTGTGAGCCATAGCCATAGCCAAGTAACTGAGATGCTTTCAAAATGCCAACTCGAGCCAGCGGCTGTTTCCTGATTTGTAATTGGGGTTTGCAGTATGTTAAGTATCACCATACAACAGCACAAAATAAAGAATGAAACCTAATACTTAGTTAAACAAAGACAATGACTGGAGTGGGGTCTGAACCTGCTACCTCTGGATTGCCGTTCCGGTGCTCTACCAACTGAGCTATCCAGCCCAATGTTGTCGGTTCCCCGTTTTGTCAATGTCTGTATTTCACTTTCATTCAGAATAAACTAGAAACGACAACCAAACTTACGTTGAACAATGACGTTGACGTCAAAAGACCTAATGACCGAATTTCCGTTCGGATCCGTGAAGGTGTAGGTGACCGGGGTGGTACCCGGGGGGAAGGAACTTCCGGGCTCCCGGTTAGTGAAGGTGTTGACGGTGCCCGAGTTGTCCGTGGACGTCGGGAAGGGCCAGTTGACGACGGCGGAGGTGGTGCCGAAGGGGACGGTCACAGTGATGTCGCTGGGGAAGGTGTCCACCTCTGGTTGCTCATTGTCAGCTGTGGAATATAACCAACAAAAAATTGTGTACATTTTTATTCAACTTTTGGCAGTTTTTGCTATAACAAAGACCCTAGACTAATTCGCTCTTTGCACGCTCCGCCATAAGCATGCAAAGCCTTGATCTGGCAACTTTACACAATAAATATAACCATCAGTGATTCCCGTGTCAGGGTTCAGTGATTCCAGTGTATACACGGGAATGACTGAACATGCTATATTAATTGTGTAAAAGTTGTAAAGATTGCAAAGGGCGAATAGCATTTTTAGATGGAACTGCATTTGCCCTCATGCTGCAGGTGTTCTTAAAAATGAGGGGTACACCCATTTCGGTCAAAAGACCTTGGACTACAAGGGTACTTACCAAAGCGGGAATTGCATGAGATTGGTTCCGCCTCGAAAAGTGGCTATCGCCAAATCAATCTATACTCAAAATTCTTCTGCAGACTCAATTGTGTTCATTTTAGTGATATTTTACCGACTGCATATTCCATATATTGCTCAATGCCTGTCCAAATCGCTCAACACAACTTACGCAGCATGATGACTGTCACTTCGAAAGTCCGCAGGACTATGTTGCCATTTGGGTCGTTGAAGGTGTAGGTGACCGGCGTGGTTCCGATGGGGAAGGTGCTTCCGGAAGGCTGGGAGGGATTCTGGAAAGAAGACCCGGAGTTATCCGTGGAGGTGGGCTCGTTCCAGGTGACCGGGGTGCTCTGCGTGCCGAAGGGAACGGTGACGGTCATGTCGGCGGGGAAGGTCAAGACCACTGGACCATCTTGATCAGCTGTCAAAACAAAAAATGTAATTGATTAACCTAAAGGGTTCTTGAAACAACTTTCTCTTAGGAACACATTTTGAGCAACTTTCTACTCTTAACTATTTGACATTCCTTTTTAGTTTATTTTTATGGAAAAGTGCAGTTCTTTAACTTTTTTCTAAAAATGTCCATGTTTTTCAAGACAACTGAGGGTGCTGTTGCTGTGACGTCATTGCAGGAAGGCACTGTTTAGTGCTTTCTGTCCAAATGGTGAACCCAAACATTTGCTCATTAAAAACACTTGTGAGAAATGTTTACTCATTGGCTTACTGCCTTGTAGTAATGACAGAACGAATCACTACAGTAAAGAAATATTACGCCAGTAAAGAAAATCCAAACTTCTGGCAACGTTTGGTGATGAAATAGCTGAAAACATAATTTGTACCAAAATAAATATTATCCAATTTAAGAAATCAAACTCAATCTGCATTTTCTGATCAAGAAAAGAAGTAACATGTAGTCGGACAGAAAAAACTGACACAGCACATTTCGATTAATAACATATTTGCAAAAAAAAAATGCATCCTCAGTTAGTGAAGAAATTAGCAAATATTTTCATGAAAGCCGATTATTTTTTTCTTCTGAGTTTCCTTTTGTGATTAGTTTCATTGCTAAAACATTAAGAAGCATGTTACACTTACGCAGAACCACCACGATGACGTTGAAGGATCGCATAATGTTGTTGCCGGCCGGGTCGGTGAAGGTGTAAGTGACCGGGGTTGTCCCAGGCGGGAACGAGGTTCCAGATGTGATATCCGAGGTGGCGACGGCAGAGCCAGCGTTGTCGATGTACGTGGGTTCCTGCCATGTCACCGGGATGCTGGCCGTTCCAAACGGCACTGTCCTGGTGATGTCGTTGGGGAAGGAGGTGATGATCGGAACTGAGGTATCCGCTGAAGGTTGACAAAAACAAAGGGCAATGTAATCTTGGCCATTTCTACTACATGGGGTGCTGTGGTCCAAAGGTTACAGTGTTCAAATCGTGTGCCGTGGTACGTGGGTTCAAATCCTGATACAGAACATGGTGCTTGTGCTCTTGAGCAAGGCACTTTACCATTTTTGTTTTGTCCTTCGGATGGGACGTAAAGCCGTAGATCCCATGTGTTGTGTAATGCACGTTAAAGAACCTAGTAACACTTATCACTAAGACCTGTCTTTAATAATAGACATAATTTCCAGCACCTTCAGTACCTCATTGTTCGTAGATATGTGTGCTATATAAGACTACGGGATAGCTCCACCCAAAATAGTTGTCATTGGAAAGCAACTCCGCCTCTGGAGCAAGTGTAACCTAAACGACACTCTTGGGGAACGCGCACTAGTACAACAGTAGGGCATTTGGTTTACTTCAATGTGGATTTTTCCCTCCTTTTTGTGAATTTCTAAAAGTTTTTAGCCATTAGTTTAAAATGCATATTTTATGGATTGAGATTGTCAACATCATGTGGAATTAATTTTATCAATATTTTTAACCATTGTAAGAAGCCTCTTGAGCATGGTGCTACATAATCTTTTATAATTATAACAACAGTTAAAGTAAACTTGGGAAAAAAAGTTGAGATTCTATCATTGCATATATTAGGAAACGTTTTCTCTGACGGGATAAACTTTCTAGACCAATCATTCGATACAAGTGCAGTTGGCAATTTCTGTTTTGATTTGACGATTTAATTTAATGGCAACAGGCTGCGACAAATATGAAGAACATATTGCTTCACACTTACGCAGCTCAATAACGGTGACAGTGAACTCCATCTCAACTCCGTTTCCGGTGGGATCCATGAATGTGTAGGTGACCGGCGTGGTTCCGACCAGGAAGGTGCTTCCGGAAGTTTTGCTGGGATTCTGGAAGGAGAAGCCAGAGTTGTCCGTGGACGTGGGCTCGTTCCAGGTGACGGTGGTTCCCGAGGTTCCGAAAGGCACCGTGACGGTGATGTCGGCTGGGAAACTGGTGATCACTGGCGGGACGCCGTCAGCTGTAGAACAGAATCAAGGTGTTAAGTTGCCATACACATTTAGCTTTTCTTCAAAACTTTAAAAGCATTGTATACCTAAAAACTGTTCGAGAGCCTCCAGGCAAGTCACTGAGCTTGCGCCGATGGGAGTTAAGCCCGCAACTTTTAGAAAACAATGCTGACCAGAACAGTACAAGGGTTACTGGAAACTGCTTGGCTTCGCTCTAAACTGCTTGGCTACGAGGCCCCTGGCAATTATGGTGGATGCATCTAACACACCAGGGCGAATTGTTTGCCGATGGAAAATGCCGTGTTGTTACTGACTGTAATACTTACGCATCACCACAACGTTGACGTTAAATGAGCGCTGGACGATATTCCCAGCCGGATCGGTGAAGGTGTAGATGACACCGGTGGAGCCCGGGATGAAGGAGCTTCCTGGGTTGATGTTGGAGTTGACGCTGACCGTGCCCGAGTTGTCGGTGGTTGTCGGCTCGGGCCAGTTGACCGGAGTGCTGGTTGTCCCAAAAGGAACCGTCACAGTGATGTCTTCGGGGAAGGTCTCGATCATTGGTGGTTCTTCGTCAGCTGTGGACAGAATTGAGTTTAAAATTGGTTCAGAATATAAGGCGCACTTAATTCGTGCGACTTCAGATATAACTTTCACTAATAGAAACGTCACCTTTGCACGGCGTGCTATGAGAGCAAGCAGGGTTTTGTTCCCGTGTGATACCTTTGATTAGGTACTCTGTGCTTTCATTGCAACTGAATTTAAGTAACAAAACTTGCCCACTGTCATGGCGCACCATGCAAAAAGTCTATTGCTTAACCCATTACCAGCAGTAGTGCACTACATTGGCGTATTCCCTGATGAGTTCCTTAAACTGCACAGTACAAGGGATGTTTGGAGATGTTTCTGGGGCTAATGGCTACATTTAAAAGCTCAAAGATCAAATTGTGCTAAATGATTACCGTTACCCAACAGGACTATAAAACACGCCTTATACTAAGCAACGTGGGGAGTAAACAGCTTGATGCTGCTTCCTAACAATCCCACTCTCTGTCCAAAACAATTTCTTTTTAGCTTCTCGATGGCGAGAAGCAACTTGTGATAAACTATCTTGCCAAGGGACACAAGCACTACTGGACAGGAATAATTATCAACAAAGTTTCCACAAAATCTTGATTACAATGACACTACAATACATTCAACATTTCTTTGTCAGAATTACTGTTTTGTTTTAAGCAAATATTTGTTAGTCACTGGTGAGATACTCACACTGCATAATGACATTGACGGTGAATGTCTGGGTGTAAGTGTTTCCCGACGGATCCGTGAAGGTGTAGGTGACCGGGGTGATTCCGAGCGGGAAGGTGCTTCCGGATGGCAAGGAGGCACTCTGAGTGGAAGTACCGGAATTATCCGTGGATGTCGGCTCGTCCCAAGTGGCCATGGCACTTGTGGTCCCAAAAGGAACCGTGATGGTTATGTCTGGCGGGAAACTGGTGACGACTGGACGGATATCATCACCTGAAAACATAAACCCAATATACCATAAGTCCAAAATTCTTTTGTCTGTTAACCAAATAAGAAATGACCCTTTATTCTAACTGGAGGTTTTCTCGATTAAGAACTGTACACGATCTTTGCCATCATAACGCTTCCATACTGCAATTTTTTCTCGGCGTTGAAGTCAACTAAAATTCTCAATTGGGCGCACTTCGTAAATTGGGTATGCTATTAACAATACAGAACTATGGGGATTTAATACTTACGCAGCTCAATAACTCGAACGTCAAATGACCGCATGACTGAGTTCCCATTTGGGTCGGTGAAGGTGTAGGTAACCGGCGTGGTGCCAACCGGGAAGCTGCTTCCGGACGGGAAGTTGGATGTCTGGGAAGAAGTTCCGGAGTCGTCTGTGGACGTGGGCTCTGGCCATGTGACTGGGGTGCTTTGCGTTCCGAACGGAACCGTGACGGTGACGTCGCCTGGGAACGTAGTTATCACTGGCGGCAAGCTGTCCGCTGTGACAAAATGCGAGTCAGACGACAAATTAAAAATGAATGCGGTGAACATTAAGTTGCCGTTAGTCACGGTCCGTTTTAGGATTTTTGGGCAATGTGATGTTGGATCTGTTCATGCACTTTTGACCTCTTGGCTTTTCTTACTTTGTTGGGGGTTTTTGCTGGTCACAAAGGGCCAGACTAGTGTCCTCTTTGTACTGACCGACTGTCACTAGTGACAGACTGGCCCCAGCTCTACTACAGGGCGAATAAAAAAAAGGAACCCTTTTAATTTTACTAAGAATGTAATTTGCTCTCTCCCCCCCCCCCCGTCTTATTTTTGAGTTTCACCAGTAGGAATAGGTTTTGTAATTGCAATTTTTCTAACAATTGTCATTCACATTGAAATAAAACACCCCCCCCCAAAATTAAAACATTCACCCAAATTTAGTGCAGGCATATAACTGGGAAGTCACAAATATAGAGGAAATTCAAAGCTTCAAAAGACTTAATAGACTTATTTTATAAATTCATAATGACATAAATGTGTAGCAGGGAAGGTAATCGGCCTATCCAAGTTGCATGCTTTTTAGTAATGAAATAATTCCTTTACAATTTTTTCAACTACTTGCAGCCCGACAAAATGAAGTTTTTTTTGTCAAGCAATTGCACTCTTTATTGCGATACTTACGCAGAACCACGACATTGACATCAAACGAGCGCATGACCGAGTTGCCATTGGGATCGGAGAAGGTGTAGGTGACCTCGGTGGTTTGGCCGGCTGGGAAGGAACTGCCAGGCTCCTTGTTGGTGTTGACGTTGACGGTGCCCGAGTTGTCCGTGGAGATCGGCGGGGACCAGTTGACCGGGGTGCTGCTGACTCCAAACGGGACTGTCACCGTGATGTCGCTTGGGAAACTGATGATAGATGGTTGCTCATTGTCCGCTGAGGAATTGTAACAAAAATCCATTCCACTTTTAAAACCGCAAGTAAAAATTTCAAGTGTTAGATTTTAACCCTCCTAGTCTTCTGCACTTCACAATTCTTCAGTTTTTTTTTTTTTTTATCAAAACCCCTTTTGCCTACAGAGTTAGCATCCACACTTCAAATTCCTTTGAAGTAATCTTCTGTTTAGTCCCAGCACAATTCGTTTGTCAAGCAGGCAGCTTCGGTTACGTTCATTGCTCTCCACAGTGCTTGTTTTATCTTGTGCAGTGACTCTCTGTGTGACACAGTTACTTTATTATCTTATATCCCTACACCCTAAATTGACCTGCAGGGTTTTCAACGGCCTCACACATTGCTCTGAATATTGACGTCTGCTTTAATAATTAAACTTATAAATAAAATAATGTTTTTGGTTATAAACTGAAGAATATTGTTTCTACCTATCTCCCATCGATAAATGGCCAATTGTGAAAAATTTATTTTAACAAACAAGTCAATCGTCCATTTTAAACACTAAAAAGAAAATCAGTCCAAATGCATTTAATGTTCCCTTTTTAATAATAAAATAAGTCCTTGTTTTTATTACTTGTGATTTGTTTAAAAGTAACGTTCATCAGAAGTACACACAACTAGTTATTGTAAAGTACATCACGGCTCAAATTTTACATAAAAATCCACAAGACAGTATACTAGTAGCTACAAAAATTCACACTCGAAGTTAAAAAATTCAGCGAAACAAAACACATCTAATTGCTTCTATATTTACTTTGACAGTTAAATATTGGCTATTGACAGAACAATTGTGAACTTACGTAGCTGGATGACGTTCACATCAAAACTCTGCATGACCACGTTTCCGAAGGGGTCAGTGAAAGTGTAGGTGACCGGAGTGGTTCCGATGGGAAAGACGCTTCCGGACGGACGGGTGGGATTCTGGGAGCTCGTTCCGGAGTTATCGGTGGAAGTCGGCTCGTCCCAGGTCACAACAGTTTGCATCGTTCCAAAGGGGACAGTGACCGTGACGTCCGACGGGAAACTGGTAACCACAGGTGGTTGTTCGTCATCTATTAAAAAAAAGATTATAAAATTAATTAATAAATTTAGAATATCGCATCAATTTCTCATCAATTTTGCCACGGTTTTCAAAGGTTTCAAAATCGGATCGTGCCATTTTTTCCCCAAGAGAACTGGTACCAAGTTTATGGAGCTGTCAAGCAAGAAATAGTGCTAAGTGAATTTAAATGTTAAGCAAAAATCAGCCGGGAACCAGTCACATGCAATGTACACAGCGTGACATTTTGGTTGGTGAACATATTCTGCTAAGCAATTATTTTCAATGCTTAACAAGTTTCTGCACTGGTCAACTCCATGAAAATGTCACGAGCAATTAGACAATTTTCTTTTAAAGTCATTACTTTTGGGGTTTTTTAAAGGGAATATACATCATTTGCTTTTGCTGTAATTTTCAGAGATGGATGGAATTGGGGGGTTGGAAATATAAAGCAAATATAGTTACACTGACTTTTTGGAGGTTTTGGGTTCGAAAATGCTATAAAAACCAAGAAAAACGATCATTTTCCTGTAGTCTGGTTCCCTGACTCCATATAAGAAGAAACAGAGCAGTTTACATACATTGGGGAATTGTAAGGTCAGGGAACCAGTCTAGCTGGCTCGTACCCGTTCATAGGTTTGTAATCGATTGCAAACAAGTACAATGGTCAATTGGGGCCAGTATTTGAAAAAAAGCCAGTTGTTTCCAACGCTGATCGGCCGATCAGCGTTGGAAATTTATACAAAAATACCACTTTTCTTGAAAATGACAGTATACCAGGTGCCATAATTTTACAGGATGCTTTAGACTGTCATTTACCAACATCCTATTAAGGTATTTCGCAAAAACTTGGTAGTTTTATTTTTCGATGTTTGCAAATGTTGTATATTCCCTTTAATCAAAATGAATTTATGCAATTTTTATTTGACAATATTGGTAGTAAAGTCCATCCATGGGAGAAGATCTGGCCATTGCCACATGACATAAATAAAAAATTATTGTAAAAATTATTGTTTTGTATGAAAATTCCCTAAAACTGTGACCGCATCATCGCACGAAATGAGAACCATGGGCAATTTTTCACTTTTAACAAACGGAACAGAACTGCAAATGTATCTGCTGGGTTTCACATTTCTGGCATGATTTTAAAACTTATCTACTGATTGAAAGATATGAGTTTTTGCATTCTACACGTACGTCTTTATGCTCTAAAATTAGTAGTGTTTTATATTGTGTGCAATTGTAACGTTGTGATGTAATGGCTGTATTTTTTTCTGTGTATTGTCGTGTATTTTTAATATTTTATATTTTTAGAGACGACAACTTGTAATTTCCAGTTTGCGATTTTAATAAAGTTTTTATCTATCTATCTAATTTGCTTTGTCACTTTTTTTTATATCGCTCAGTTTTAACATCTAAACATGTCCAGATTATCGCAAGGAAACAGTTGAATATTCCCATTCATTTCCATTGTGTAAGCTCAGTTAAAAAAATATTACTCAGATAAGCTTTGGCGACTTGTGATTGCTTTGTTAGGTTGGGTTACGATTGGTTTCGTTCCCGATGCCATTCAATACCTACCAGCAACCATAACGTTGACATTGAAAGTCTGCGTGACGATGTTCCCAGACGGATCGGTGAACGTGTAAGTCACGGCCGTTGTGCCCGGCTGGAAAGTGCTCCCCGGTTCCCTGTTGGTGGTGACGCTGACCGTGCCCGAGTTATCGGTAGCCGTGGGCACCGGCCAATTGACGACGGAGCCGGTGCTTCCGAAGGGAATGGTGACGCTGATGTCGTTGGGGAAGGTTTGGATAACTGGGCGCTCGTCGTCAGCTACGGGTAGAAGAGAACCCAGGAATTGAGAAATTACAAAAAAAAATCTTTTTTCAAAAGTCTGGAAATAAATTAGGGAATTATTATAATATAACATTTAATAAACAAATTCCTTTTTTGGTGAGAATAAACATTCAGTAAACACCCATTCGCTCTTTTCACACTCCGCCATTGGGCATGCAGAGCCTCGATCTGGGAACTTTACACAACAAAAAAAGCCGGTTCAGTGATCTGAACCCCCGACACGGGAATCACTGAACCGGCTATATTTATTGTGTAAAGTTGCCAGATCGACGCTCTGCATGCCCATGGTGGAAGTGTGAAAAGAGCGAATTTCAGGCTTCACTTCTAGTGTTGTTCCAAACAAAAATAACAATAGACCGGTGAATTTTTGGACCGGTGAATTATCCGTTGACTAGACTCTGGCATTAGTCTCTATGACTGAACTATTCTATTGATAGTCACTTCTGTTTGAAAACTTTACAGGTACTTAAACAAATCTTTCCCGCAATGAAGTTATCAGTAAAGGCGAGCCAAGCAGCTGACAATGAAAATTTCCCAAGAACATGCTCGCGACACATGCAGAGCTTTTTTAGGGGAGAACGTGAATTATTCTACCCGGAACTTGTCCTGGGTACCAATTGAGATGGGTCTTACCCAGCTGGATGACGTTCACGTTCAGAGTCCTGGTGACGAAGTTTCCAGACGGGTCGGTGAAGGTGTAAGTAACCGGCGTGTTGCCCAACGGGAATGAGCTTCCTGATGGGATGGGGGTCGTCTGGCTCGAGGTACCGGAATTATCCGTGGATGTTGGCTGGTCCCAGGTGACGACTGACTCTGTAGTTCCGAACGGAACGGTGAGAGTGATGTCGGAGGGGAAACTGGTGATCGCTGGTGGAGTGCGGTCAGCTGTTGAAGATATAAATCACAAGTATTTACCGTTAAAATCATGAAAATAGCTTTATTTGGGGGCGGAAATCAGTGGCTCGTGAAATTCTGTTAACCCATTTCCTTCTAGAGCAATGACGGTAGTAGCCTGCTGATATGCAATTTGAACTGAAGCCTCCAATAAAATAACTACTAGTAGGTCGGGAAGTTCTGACATGACAACTGCAAGACTTGGCAGAGATTTGGATTGATTTGGACTAATGGAAGAAACTGACATGTTTTTGACGGCTTACAAAGAAATGTGGCAAATCTGAGATTTTGTTTCTCCTTGAAGTCCAAGATTAGCTAAGAAACCAGGTGCGGATCCGGGGGTGGGTTACAAGTCAACCCAAAAAAAACGCTCTGCTCTGACACCCCCCCCCCCCCAAAAAATATAACAATTATAGTAATAATAAAAAAAGATGACAATCAATATTAGGTTTTGCCCTTCACTGATGAATAAATACTGTCTACTCGGTGTGTTATCTCCCGAGTGTCAGTTAGAAATAATCGCTCGGGTGGGACTCAAACCCACGACCTCTCGCTTTCTAGTGCAGACATCTTACCACTCGACAACCGAGCTTGCAAAATTGGACATTCTGCCTGTTCTCAACAATCGGACATAAAAGCAACTGATGGGGCCGAAAACCCCCCTTGCAAAAATTCCTGGATCCACCCCAGGAAAGGTCTAGTTTTAAAGATGTTGCTGTCGGCAGCTATCTAATACTTACGCAGAGCAACAACAGTGACGTCAAACGACCGTATCACCGAGTTTCCGTTGGGGTCGGAAAATGTGTAAGCCACCGGAGTTGTGCCGATTGGGAAGGAACTTCCGGGTTCCCTGTTGGAAACCACGCTGACTGTGCCCGAGTTATCGCTGGATGTCGGCACGGGCCAGTTGACAGGAGTGTTTTCGGTTCCGAAAGGAACGGTCACCGTGACGTCGTTGGGGAAAGTCAGGACAGTTGGCTGCTCGTTGTCAGCTGTGGAATGGATAAAGAAAAAATAAACAAGGTCTCAGTCTCGCTTGGCAAATTCAGAAAAATATATCAACAATCCTGAAATACTTTGATGCTGTAAATATTCAAAACTTTTCAACAAGTACTTTTTAGTTTTTCTTACATTCAGAGAATATACATAAGATGGAATTTTGCGTCAGGGTGACTGTAAATCAAATTAGGTTTTGCCCTTCAACGACGTATAAAAACTGTATACTCGGTGCGTTACCTCCCGAGTGAAAGTAGGAAAAAAAAAATCTTATTAATAGTTAATGCAGTTCCCGCTGCTATGTACATCAGATTCAAACCGGCCAGCTGATCCCGTTAGTTCAGTGGTGGAGTGATAAGACATCTGCACTAGAAAGCAGGAGGTCGTGGGTTCGAGTCCCACCCAAGTGATTTTGTTCCAACTTTCACTCGGGAGGTAACACACCGAGTATACAGCGTTTATACATCGGTGACGAGCAAAACCTAATTTGATTTCACAGAGTATAGTTTTGTTAAAAATTGCCAAAATTAAAGCCTCCTTGAAAAGCACTTGATCACAATATTTACGCTTGCAACTGCAAGTCCATTTTCTTTTTTCCTTTTTTAGCAATTGAAATCAAGAGAAAAATTTATTGCATTTAAAAAATGATTTATCACTTACCCAGCTCAATAACGTTGACATTGAAGGTCTGTTCAACGGAGTTTCCGGATGAATCGGTGAAGGTGTAAGTAACCGGGGTGTTTCCGATCGGGAAAGAGCTCCCAGAAGGCCTGGAAGGATTCTGGAAGGAACTTCCTGAGTTATCTGTAGACGTGGGCTCGTCCCAGGTCACAACGGTGTCGGTCGTTCCAAAGGGCACAGTGACGGTGACGTCCGATGGGAAACTGGTGATATCTGGGGGCTGCTCATCGGCTGTGGAACAAACAAAATCAGAATGTCGGACATATTACAAATCAATTACATTTTTTGGATATCAATAAGACTAACAAAAGAATTTTAGTTCTTCCCGTGTTCGAGTTAGCGGCAAATTGCACTAGATATTTTGAATGCATGCAAAATTACACCACTTTCGTATCTAAAATTTAACAAACTAAATGTCTGATATTTTTATTGAATAGAAATGTTTTGCCACAAGGTGGGGGAAAAATTACATTTTTTTTTTACTTTTTGATATGGAACTGAAATTTGAAGGCCTTAAAGTATGCCATCATCGACGTTTTTATTTTAAATTGATTGTGTTTAGTGGTGTCGCTAATTTTCTTTGTTTTCAGAGATTCTATATTGTAAAATTTACCTTAAATGTTGATGTTAAATTCTGTTGATTACTTATACACCATTTTTTCTGATTTTTTCCTATTTTCTTTCTGTTCATATTTAAAAAACATAATTGTGTATAATTCAAGTAATTAATTTATTATTTTTAAGTGTATTTTGAAAGAATGTTAACATGAACATATTTTATGATGGAATTGGCATTATACAAATGAATAAATTATCATCATTGCATTAAAACTCAATGAAAATGTAAATCATGCCATATTCGTTTACACAACTGGTTTGCCAATTTTTGGCCAATTTATGATCCACTAAGCACTGCTCCTATATCACCTGGATAATTTGCGGTATTAAAATAGTTATGGTTACTATTCCAAAAATTGGAGAATTGGCATGAAAAACCTGCTAGAGTGGTCATTTTGCTTGTCAACAAGCCACAGGCATGAGAAAGGTGAAAAGTCTATTTTTCACTTACCCAAAGGCACGACATTGACATTGAAGGAACGAATGACCAAATTTCCGGAGGGATCGGTGAACGTGTAAGTCACGGTAGTCGTGCCTGCCTGAAAAGAGCTTCCGGGCTCCCTGTTGGAGATGACATTCACGGTGCCCGAGTTGTCGGTTGCTGTGGGCACGGGCCAGTTGACGATGGAGCTATCGGTGCCAAAGGGAACAGTCACGGTTATGTCGTTGGGGAAGGTCTGGATTTCGGGTATCTGGTCGTCAGCTATAAGATAAAATTTAAGAAACGGACTTTGATTTTATGCTTCTTAACAACTTAAGACAAGATAAAAAAAAAATAACCTAAGAAAGAGTAGATCCTTTGACAAACCTCAAGTTTTCTATTTTTATTTAACAGTTGAGGAAAAAATAGGTTAACCCATGCATGATCCATATTTTTTATAAGATGGATTTTTCATCAAGGAGATGTACATTATACAGGGCGAGTAAAAAACATGAAACCCAAATGTCGGGACCATTGTTTTAGTGAAGTTCTGCATGTAGCACTTTCAAATTCAAGGATATAAAAGCCCAATTCATAAGCTTTTTTTTTAGTACAAGAATCATTCAGATCACTTATGTACTTTTCAAGTTAAAGAATTTTAAACACAACCACCGTTTTAAGGTTCTGTCCACGGATCACAAACAATTTCAGTGTTCTTTCAGCAAAACGAAAACAAATCACATAGGGATGTGTGCGAATTGTTTTTGTTTTGCTGAAAGAATGCACACCTTTTTCTTGTGATCCGTGAACAGAACTTTAAAACGGTGGTTGTGTTTAAAACTTGGTAACTTGAAAAGTACATGAGTGATTTTGAATGATTCTTATACTAAAAGAAAGCTTATAAATTGGGCTTTCATATCCTAGAATTTGAAAGTGCTACATGCAGAGCTTCACTAAAACAATAGTCCCGACATTTTGGTTTTTTTACTCACCCTGTATAATGGGCTCATTAAAAAATATGTGAACGAAGGGCAAAACATAATATAAAAATATTTCAGGTGTAAAATGTGGACGTGTTTTAAAACATATGGATGTGACATGTGCACGCGTTTAAATCCAACATTAACCTTGCATTATCTTTTTCTTCAAACTAATAGGAAAACAAAAATTGGCTTTCTACAAGCCCGTACCCAATACTCCTTCTGCAAGGGAACACTAAGTTACACATACCCAGTTCAATCACGTTCACGTTGAAGGATCGCCTGATCAGGTTCCCAGTTGGGTCAGTGAAGGTGTAGACGACTGCCGTGTTCCCAATTGGGAATGTGCTCCCAGACGGGGTGTTAGTCGTCTGGCTAGAGGTACCAGAATTATCTGTGGACGTCGGCTCGTTCCAAGTGACGACGGTCCCCGAAGTTCCGAAGGGAACAGTAACAGTGATGTCTGACGGGAAACTGGTAACCGATGGTGGTACCCCGTCGGCTGTTGAAAGGAAAAAAAATATGAGAATTTAATTTAATCTTTTGAGTCAAACAAATATGATTTCAAGCTTTGACCAGCAGCATCGTTTAATTTTGGTCTAAATCCAAATTGAAATAGTCGGGCAGATTGGTGCACAATATGATGGAATTGTTCATTTGCTGATAAAAGCATGAAATTTGGCGCACAGTCAGAGTATGTCATGGGAACGATATTTGGCTTTGGAGCCAACGCAGATTTGTCCTTGACAGATTAGGTTTGAACATTCTCTTTTGGATTTTGCGTGGCGGTGTTATTGGAAACGAACAAACTGCATGAAAAGCAAATAATCCTATATGCCTTTAAGCACTACATGTATGATTTTAACAATGCTGCAAACGTTCCAAAGGTTAGCGCTTTGTAGAAGGCGAAACTTCACTTACCCAGAACCACGACGTTCACGTTGAATGTACGCATCACAGAATTTCCAGTAGGGTCAGTGAACGTGTAAGTGACGGGAGTTGAGCCTGCTGGGAAATCGCTTCCCGGCTCCCTGTTGGAAGTGACGCTGACTGTGCCCGAATTGTCGGTTGAGGTCGGCACGGGCCAATTGACCGAAGTGCTGTCGGTTCCAAAGGGAACGGTGACCGTAATGTCGTTGGGGAAGGTTTGAATGGTGGGTTGCTGGTCGTCGGCTGTAAGATGGAAAGTAACAAACTTGGTGTTACCTCAGGTTACCTCAACAAATTCAGACAAAGTAAATCCTTCAGAAGGCAACAATCCTAGAGCCATTACACATTTTGTGTCATCGGCTGTAAGATGGAAAGTAACGAACTTGGTGTTACCTCAGGTTACCTCAACTGTAGGTTACCTCAGGTTACCTCAACTGTAGGTTACCTCAACAAATTCAGACAAGTAAAACCTTCAGAAGGCAACAATCCTTGAGCCATTACACATTTTCTTGCTCTATTTTTTTTTACAACTGAAGCAAAACGTGACCATAATCTTCAATTCGCATGTTTTCTTCATTGTGTCCAAACCATCTGCAAATTTTGTCATATTTCTTTTTTGGTAATCACTTAACATCAATGAGACAAGTGTCAACCTTAGCACATAAACTGTATGTACGTGAAAGTGCCAACTACCTTTTGGTAAAAAAAAAAAAAATATACAATTATCCTTTTTTTTCACATCATTTTTTAACGTTCAGTTCTTTAACTCTACACAAATTTATACTTACGTAGCTCAATCACGTTGACATTGAAACTGCGAATGACGAAGTTTCCAGTTGGGTCAGTGAAGGTGTAGGTAACAGGCATGCTTCCGACAGGGAAGGTGCTTCCCGAGGGTCGAGAGGGATTCTGGAAGGAACTTCCGGAGTTATCCGTGGAAGTGGGCTCGTTCCAGTTGACGACCGCATTGGTCGTTCCAAAGGGAACAGTGACGGTGACATCCGATGGGAAACTGGTGACCATTGGTGGTTCGTCGTCAGCTGATCAAAGTAAAAGAAGCGTTTTTGCTATTATGATCATTCCTTTCAATCTTTGAAAATAAAATTTTGCTGTGTTCAAATTTTTCATAAATTTGAACACAGGTGTACTTTGTCCACAATAATTCTCGGTACTTACGCAGGGTAACAACGTTGACTGTGAATGTACGCATCACAGAATTGCCAGCAGGGTCAGTAAAGGTGTAAGTCACCGGGGATGAGCCTGCTGGGAAAGTGCTTCCCGGTTCCCTGTTGGAAGTGATGCTCACGGTGCCCGAGTTGTCTGTTCCCGTGGGCACGGGCCAGTTGACAGTGGAGCTATCGGTGCCAAAGGGAACAGTCACGGTGATGTCGCTGGGGAAGGTCTGGATCTCAGGTGGCTCCTCATCAGCTGCGAGTTCAAAATAAAAGGAAGTTTACAAGAACAGTTGCGACAAAGCAATGAAGTGAAGGAATAATGATCATTCCTTAAAATCTTTGAAATGAAATTTTACTGTAGAGGTACTTTGTCCACAATAATTCTCGGTACTTACCCAGGGCAACAACGTTGACTGTGAATGTACGCATCACAGAATTTCCAGCAGGGTCGGTAAAAGTGTAAGTCACTGGGGTTGAGCCTGCTGGGAAATTGCTTCCCGGTGCCCTGTTGGAAGTGACACTGACTGTGCCAGAGTTGTCTGTTCCCGTGGGCACAGGCCAGTTGACGGTGGAGCTATCGGTGCCAAAGGGAACCGTCACGGTGATGTCGTTGGGGAAGGTCTGGATCTCGGGTGGCTCCTCATCAGCTGCAAGTTAAAAAATGAAAGAAAGTTTACCAGAACTGTTACAACAAAGCATTACGAAAAAAGGAAACTGACCTTGTTTAACTGCAAATTGATTAAATCAAACAAAGAAAATAAATGAAGCCAATTTGAATGAGGCATTCAGCAGTGTAGAAGCAGTCTATTGTCAGCCCATCACAAGCTATCTGCTCCTTTTGTGACTGGACTTACGATAACTTAGGACTGGACTTTGCGATTACCTGCGACTGGACTTGCGATTACCTGCGACTGGGCATGCGATTACCTGCGACTGGGCATGCGATTACCTGCGACTGGGCATGCGATTACCTGCGATTGGACCTGCGACTGGACCTGCAATTACTTGCGACTGGACCTGCAATTACTTGCGACTGGACCTGCAATTACTTGCGACTGGACCTGCAATTACTTGCGACTGGACCTGCAATTACTTGCGACTGGACCTGCAATTACTTGCGACTGGACCTGCAATTACTTGCGACTGGACTTGCAATTACTTGCGACTGGACTTGCAATTACTTGCGACTGGACTTGCAATTACTTGCGACTGGACTTGCAATTACTTGCGACTGGACTTGCAATTACTTGCGACTGGACTTGCAATTACTTGCGACTGGACTTGCAATTACTTGCGACTGGACTTGCAATTACTTGCGACTGGACTTGCAATTACTTGCGACTGGACTTGCAATTACTTGCGACTGGACTTGGATTACTTGCGACTGGACTTGGATTACTTGCGACTGGACTTGGATTACTTGCGACTGGACTTGGATTACTTGCGACTGGACTTGGATTACTTGCGACTGGACTTGGATTACTTGCGACTGGACTTGGATTACTTGCGACTGGACTTGGATTACTTGTGATTGGACTTGCGACTGGACTTGCGACTGGACTTGCGACTTGACTTGCGACTTGACTTGCGACTTGACTTGCGATTACTTGCGATTACTTGCAACTGGACTTGCAATTGGACTCGCAATAACTTGCAGCTGGACTTGCGATTACTTGGTACTGGACTTACGTACTTATGATTCATTACAAGTATTTTAAACTTGCATTTGGGGGTCATGTCAAAACAAATTTTACAAATCTCTTATGGATGTTCATACTCACGCGACATAATCACAGTAACGTCAAATGAACGCATCACTGAATTTCCAGCCTGGTCAACAAACGTGTACGTCACGGGCGTTGTCCCAACTGGGAATGTGCTCCCAGATGGGAGGTTGGAATTTTGGGAGGAGGTACCACTGTTATCCGTTGATGTCGGCTCGTTCCAGGTGACTGTGGCGCTCGGGGTACCGAAGGGCACCGTGATGGTCACGGGCGATGGAAAACTGGTCACCGTTGGTGGTATGTCATCCTCTGCAGATGACACAAAATATTGCCCATTCAAGCTTGATATGAGGGTATCAGTTTACAGGCATATAGGATCACTTGCTGTGCATGTATTTTGATTTTGTCCAATAATAACGCACTCAAAATCCAAGGAAGATTTGTTCAAAACCCAACCTGTTGAAGCTTCAGCTCAGTAGACATTACAATTCTGGAGAAAACAGTGAAAAATCATGCACAAGCTTTTGATCACGAAACATGATGTTTGTCCGTAGCACTCTATTTCCAAAAATCAGGTAATTGACTGATCGCCGGAAATGACCTACATTTGTTGATTTCTTCTAAATGACAGCAAGTCAGACAGAACAATTTCACGAGGTTATTAGAACTAGTTATGATCTGTAATCCAATAATTCAGTTTGTTACTTTTGGGATAAATACGAATTATATTTTGTGCTGTTTAAGGCATTTATTTTAAGTGACTTATTAAGTCCAGTAAAAACATTGTGATTTTTTAGCACATTCTGCTACGAAAGTTAAAAAGGATTCTAGATTCACCAACACTGAAGTACAGGAGATATCTGGATACTCACGAGCAACAATGACATTGACAGTTAAAGTCCGCATGACCAAATTTCCAGTAGGGTCGGTGAATGTGTAGGTCACTTCGGTTTCGCCGGGGGGGAATGAGCTTCCCGGCTGCCTGGTGCTGACAGTGTTGACTGTTCCGGAGTTATCGGTGGACGTTGGAGCATTCCAGTTCACGGCCGTGCTGGTCGTTCCAAAGGGGACAGTCACTGTGATGTCACCGGGGAAGGTTTGGATCACGGGCGGTTCGTTGTCAGCTGTGGGACGACAAAGAAACTGGTCACAATTTGTCATCGTTAACACGATGTGTCACAAACTGACACTCAGTTGTGCTGAGTGTTCTGTAAAATGCGCGCACTGCACGTGCGCGCATTTTACAGAAGCAAGATATTTTGGGTTTCACTAACTGACATCCTCCACAGTGCGGCATTTTTAGAGAGCACCCGTACATTTTCGGTTTCACGAACTGACACTGACCTTAATTTCACCAATTTAATGGTTTTTAATTAAATTTTCGTGTAAGCACACAAGTATTACGGATGGATTATATTCATGTAAAACCTTTCAAACCGTTTTTCTCCGTTCTGTATTGCTGCATCATGCTTGGGTGTCAGTTCGTGAAAACGAAAATCCTCCCATTTTGTATCAGTGTCTGAGGTGCGCTTGCACTAAAAGGTCTCCGTTCATGAAACTGAAATTCTTGAATACGTGGTTTTTACGAGCCGACACCCACTTGAACGGAGTGTCCGTTCGTGGTGCCGGTGACGAATTACGAATACGACACTGAATATTGAACACTACAACGAACACAACGTTTGAAACCAATTGCATTTGCTACAGTGAAAAAAGTACAGGATTGTGAATTACAACAATGAAAAAGATTTGCGTGTTTTAAAAATCAACACTTACGCAACATAATGACAGTCACGGTGAACATCGAGTTGACCGAGTTCCCGTTTGGATCCGAGAAGGTGTAAGTGACTGGCGTGGCTCCGACGGCAAAGGTGCTTCCGGATGGGATGTTTGCAGTCTGGCTGGAGGTACCGGAATTATCCGTAGATGTCGGCTCATTCCAAGTGACGACTGCGCTTGTGGTTCCAAAGGGAACGGTGATTGTCACATCTGATGGGAAACTGGTGATCACTGGAGGCACTTCGTCAGCTTTTGAAAGAGACAAAAAAAGAGACAAATTTGTTTTAGATTGATATTATCAGCCTGAAACAATACAGTTGACTCTCGTTAATACAAACACTGTCAATACAAATTCTGGCTATAGCAAACATAAAGCCTTGGTCCCGACTGTGCATTTATGTGCACAATGACTGGGACTGACGCTCCTGTTTAAATTCTGATATAACAATTATTTTGGCTAGGGCCGGCTGAGTTTGTATTAACCAGAGTGGACTGTATTTATCAGTTTCAAATCGTGTTCTGTAATGTACAAATTGATACCAGACTACATAAATCAAATTCATACTAATCAAATTCATACCAATCAAATTCATAAAAATTAAAATTGTAAGATAACAATTTTCAGGGATTTGAAACAAGCACTTAGCAAGTGTAGAATCAGTGCATAACAGCCTACTATTTAGAATTTTGATTTACTTGGATAACTTGACATTTATTTTGGAAATTTTAATTTTGGGGGGAAAAAAATTATTTGGCAGAGAATGTGAGGACAATGTCACAAACAATTCAAGCTTTTGAACCTGAAAATTTCGAACAGCCACCAATATCAGAGTCTAAGGATATTCTTTTTGCCGACCAGTAACTTTTGCTCAACATTGAGGACAAGCTTATTGTTCTCTAACTAACCAATTCACTGATGTTTTGGACTTTCAATGCTGACTGGACTTGGCAAGTTAAGTTTGTCTGTTTGTTTTTAAGCTCTGGCAGGAGCTTCTATACGTCACTTGGTGGTCGGTCTGTCTGTCCCCGGAAAAGTGACCAAAATATGCCCCCGAACTTTCCCATAAAAAGATAACTACCAAATTTTAATATAAAAAAAAAAGCAAACCAAATAAATTTAATACTTAACAAAAATAGTTTGTAACAATTTGGACAGATGTTATGAAAAGTTTGTAAATGGATGCAAAATATGTGTAGAAATGTTATTGTCGCATGGTATTTAACACAACATCCTATGGTGTCCCATATGTGCCATTGGCATCACATTTTTGGGCGTCCCATTAATCAGGGGTGTGAGTGACCACTGATAAAAATAGCTGAAAAAAAGGTGTTAAAAAGCTGAACCTTGGAAATCTCCTACAATTTTGTGCACAGCAATTGAGGAGAAAAAAATGCTGAAATCCAAAATAAAAAAAGCTGAAATCAGCCAAGATTTCACTCCCCCGCCATATGTAAGCTCTGGCAGGGATCATCTTGATATATTTCATGCAAGACTTTCGTGCAGGATGGCCAGAGCATATTGTGCACCCGCACTTATTTCATCGTCTTCACTTACATTCTTCAACAATGGTGACTGTGAACGTTGTCCTGGCTGTGTTGCCGTTGGCATCAGCGAAGGAGTAGGTGATATCCGTCACGGTACCCGTAGCAAAGAAGCTTCCAGGATCTCTAGTTCTGCTGGTAAACACCGTGCCTAGATTGTCTGTTGCAGTGGGCTCAGTCCAGGTGACAGTGGTTCCAGCTGAGCCGAAGGGTACCGTCACGACGATGTTTTCAGATGTCGTCTGGATCACTGGCGGCTCCATGTCAACTATGAGAATACCAAAAAAAGAGTTTAAAAAAAAAAGATACCATTCAGATCTTCGTAGCAATGGGGGCGGGGCTATTTTATGTAAATAAGACTGTATCAATTGGAACAAACTGTTTAGCTCCATGCTTGGATGATCACCGCACATATAGCACGTATGTATTCAACTGTGAGCCATGAACCTTTCTCAACTGCTGATTGGTTCCTAGGAAAGCGCTGATGTTTGTTCACGTACCGCGTGGCGCGTATGTTTGCAACCGTTGAGCGAGCCATTGAAGCTTTTCTCAATCACTGATTGGTTCTGTATGAAAGAGCGCTGATGCTTGTTCACATACCGCATGCTCGACGCGCATGTTTCCACAATTTTTTGCAATGCGAGTCTTGTTATTACATGGGTCAATATTGGTCAAGACCCCCATTGATTTGTTCAGAGTATGCCAGGAGGTGAGGAAGAAAATTTTGACCATCTGTGACCTCATAAATAGCAGGAGGGATAATAATTTCAATGTGTGATGAATGTTATTTCATCGCCATGGTGATCAGTAAATTATCAGAATTTTCAAAAAGGATACGATTGGTAGAGATAAGAACAAGGTGGCAATTCTTGATAGTCTTGTCCGAGCCCAGGTGTCTTGCCAATGGTATTGACTTGATTCAGAATAACCAAAATTGATTCACAAGATCGAATTGAGGCAGTGTCCAAGGGCAAGCTTCATGGCAGAAAAGTCCTGGGCCCAATTTCTTGGCTCTGCTAACCACAAAATTCCGCACTTACGACCACATATTTAGTGCTAACTGCGCTAGCAGAAACATTCTGTGCTAACCCGTCGGTGCGGAATCCTTAGTTACTGGATATATGCACACAGAAGCAAAATTTCCTTGCTAACGGCTAACGCATGAAATACGTTTACCGTAAGCGCAGAATTTTTTGCCATAGTAAGCAGGGATTTTTTGGTAACAGTCAGAGCCAAGAAATTGGGCCCAGCTAACTCCTCCAAGTTAGAAGCGTGCCTATTGCTTTGCTTACAGTCTCCATCAAATAGACAACACCTCCATTAGCAAAAACTGTGCGCTTGAAATCAAGCAACTGAGTCCAGTGACATGAATCAGGAAATCTGCGACATTCTGTACTTTTACGATTCCAACTTACCCAAAGTGACCGTGATCGTGAAGGTACACGTGTTCTCATTTCCAAACCGATCCACGTAGAGGTAGGACACCTGGGTGGAGCCCTGGGGGAACAGATCTCCCGGCTCGTGGGACGCTGTGGTGGTGAATGTGCTGGCATCTGTGACCGTCGGCAATGTCCAAACGGCCTGGATGCCTTCGGGAACAGTCGTCGTAAGGTCCATGTTTGGCGGACAGTTGCTGACCTCAGGCGGCACATTATCCACTATTTAAAACAAAAAATCTTGTTTAACATTTAAGAAAAGAGCCATCCAATACTCCAATTCTCTTGCAGTTGATTTTGAAATGATATTTGCCTTCAATTGTTTAACTTATATTCTAGGTTTTAACAACAAAAACCTTAAAAGAAAAAAACATACAGAAGTCTAAGAGTATGGAAGGTTAATAATAAATAACAGGTTCTTATAGCGCTTTTAACCAAGATCAAAGCGCTTAACATTATTATTACCCCTGATCATTGGGCCAATGAAACATCCCAAATACCATCTCAGCTCCCTGTTGATTATATAGGCCTACAGCTCGATGCAGCCCGTTAGGCGCAAGGAAGCTAATTCAATCACAGTAACCATCTCTGCCCTCACAGGTGCCCATTTACTCCTGGGTGTAGAGAAGCAATGAGTGACAAAGTGCCTTGCCTAAGGGCACATGCACCATGACCCCGGGCTGGACTCGAACCCACAACCTGCAGCTTTACCCACTGACCACGAATCCAGTGCCCTTAACCACGAGGCCACAGCACTCCACGTGATCTATCAAAAAGGGCCTCCACTACACCACCAAATTGCAAGCATTTGAGTTTAGAAACTAGATGTAAAAGACGATCTGACGCCCTGGACTTACCCATTAAGAAGTTCACAGAGAACCCTTCAAAATTCAGATTTTTGTCGGTGATGAAATACAGGAAGGCGACGTCAGTGTTCGGTATGATCGTTTCGGCAGGCAGTTGGGTGCCGTCAAAGAATGCCACATCGGGTCCCACCGTATCGCTGCCGAGGAGTAGGGCAAAGTCGACGGTCAGACCCTTGCCAATGTACAACTCATCCTTGTCCGATTCGATGCTGAACGGGGCGTTGAAGGTGAATTTGATGCCGTTGGCGCCCGGTATGTACAACAGATAGAGGGCGCGGTACCGGTTCGGGTAGACGTTGGGCCACTCTTTGCTGGTGAACGTACCGCTCTGGCAACTACTACCAAAGCAGGTGTACACCTCCTGATTGTCTGAAACACGGGGAAAAAAACAAACAAACAAAATCATCAGTTTTGAAAAAAAATTAAAATAGCCTGTCGCAAGTCAATCACAATATTTTTAAACATGGAACAGATCAAGAACAGTTATTATAAAGGAATATGTCTTTGTCATAATAATTTAGCTTGGGACTTTACTTTTTTTAAACCACATAATGGTCAGTTTTTATTTGCATAATTTTTTTTGGGGGGTAGGGGTTGAGAAAGGTCCTTATGCCCTTTAGACATGCCACTGACTAAATGAACTCGACCTTGCAAGTTGCACAATTACAAGGTCATACGGTCAAAATCTGCAAGGCTTGTTCTAGCTCAAAATCCAATTTAATTCCCCCCAACAAGTTTTTCCTACCAGGTCCAATAGCGCAGTTGTAACTGTCTCGGAATGGAAGGTTGCATTCACAGATATAGCCATCAGGACTGGTTGCGTCGACTGGTCTGTTGTAGCAATTCTCCCCGTTGAGGCACTGATTCGTAGCACACATTTCTGCACAGAAAATGAGGGAAAATGAAACTTTTAGGCCCACAATGAAAAAAAAAACACACTTTAAATTGGTTGTAACAAATTCACTTATTTAGCTGTTTTTTGATTCATTAATAGAGGGTAAGCACAACATTATCCCGGAGTAAAATTATATGCGAGTTTTGACCTCAGTACAGTGAGGTCAAGTTGTCAATCTCTCGATAGCCTCAGCTGACGTCATGTACTGCATGGACCTTATTGTTTAAGCTGTCTCTTACTAGTCAAGAGTTAAACTGGAAAAAATGTTGCAACCTGACACAACTTCAGCTGCGTACAAAGTCTATGGAGAGTCAAGCACACTTTTTAAAAGTATTTCCTAACAGAATTGGAAATGTTTCTCAGTCCCAGATTCATGTTTTATTATTTTTGCAATGACTGACCTTCATTGAGATGCTATATGAAGGAATAAAGTGGCAGCGTCAGACAAGTTGCAACATTTTTTCCGATAAACTAACATTTTGCCTCCGCTGCAGGGATAGGGGAACAAATTTCTTAAAAGGCAAGCTAATCATGAAGACTAGAGACTAGAGTAGACCCGTGAAAATGGCGTGTAAACACGCCACGTTCACGTCTAGAGAGACATGAGAGAAATGTCCCCGTTCTGCGCTTTTTTTTTATTTGAGGGGAGGAACCAACACATTTTTTCACCGTTTTCGGTAACAAAGGTATCTTTTTGCGCAGCATTATGACACAAATGAAAAAAAAAGACTTATTTTTCCACAATCTATACAGTTCTCACGTAAAAAGTGATTGAATCCATGGAAAAGGTCAAGTCAGACGAGCAGACGACAGTCTCATAAACTAAAAGAATTATGGAAAACGCCCAGGTCAGAATCCGCCGGATTAAGAATACATAGACTTAACTTGAGTCTCTCCAGGACTTTAGTACGCCACACACAGGGCGCCTTCGCCGGTATTTCACGGGGGGGGGGGGGGGGGGGGGGGGGGGGGGATGCACATAGACCAACTTTATCATCAAATGATGTTGTAAATCAGGCATAGGTTCAACATGAGCGCACTACATTATGGGCATTTTTTTTTCTCAAGAAATGCTTTCAGCGGAAGTATACAATCGTTTGGATAATTCAAAGTCTTTTATTCACCATTTCAATATCTGCCATAACCGTCAAATGCCTGCCATATCGTAAACTTGCAGGATTGAGATTTTTCCAATCTGGCAAAGTTGAGACTTTCGAAGATGTAGGGGGCCTAGGCCTGTAGCTAAGTTGTTTGTCATGGATCTCGTACGAAATAAGTTACCGAAAATAATACCAAACGCAGGAAATATTCCCGTATCTGGCTTTCACTTGTCACCCTGTGCACAAACCGTATGAGACTGGTCTGAAAATTTCTAAGTGTTTTATCAGTAAATACTTCAATATTTTCCCCGCTAAATTTGACTTTTAAGGACATTTTTTAAACTTTCTGATGGCTGATATATCAATGAAGGGCAAAATTGTGATGGCCAGATATGGGAATCTTTCCTAAACGCATTCCAAACTATCATGCAATGGGTTAACTATTTAAACAATAACTCAGCGAATTTTCCCCTATTTATAGGCCACGTCTTAAAGATATGTCCATGAATGTTATCAAAACTGCGCAACTGTTTTTAACGAAAACAAAATATGGCACATATACAAATTGAAACGGATAAATTTCACCTTCTACCCGTGACATTTAAACAAAAAACTGGTAATGGTATAGATCATGATCCCGTTCCACATTTTTTAGAGAACGAAAAGACACTTTTATGTTTTGGGACTTGCCAAAATAGCTACCATGCAGCAGATAACGGTAACTTGATAGTTTTTTTGTTCGCTTTGGTACCGGTACATACTGAATATCAACTTCAGGGTTCTGTTCCTTGGTCTATGGTTAAATTGTGAAGAGAGCCGATTTTTTTTTTATTGGGAAAATCATGGGGTAAAATGACGGTGCCTGAACTGCTTTGAAAAGAATTCCATACTGGCCCACCACTCAGAGCTCCTGCACAAAGTCTATGGGCCATGACTGAAAATTATAGAGTATTATCAAAGATTGTTTGCACTCCTCAATAGTATTTCTTCATCAGATTTACAACTTTAGGTACTTTTCCGGTCATATTAACGAATACGAGTGTCGGCCCAGTATGGAATTCTTTCCCCAAGAGACTTCAACTGACCACACCCTAGAAATGTATACGGTCACAAAAAATAAGACCACGGGCGCGCCCGGCTTTTCTGAACGCTGATCACTTTCACACCATATCCTCGAGTCGTACTACAGTTCTTGAAGGACGCGCATTGTCCGTCCTATACTGAAGAATTACATAACACAACTGAATGGAAATCTAGCTTTCTAAAGGCACCCACGCTACTTAGATCGCCCACGGTGGATGCTTATTATAGGCTTTTGAATGATGGTCACTGGACGGCCAGACTATATATGGGTCGCACTAAACAGCGTCAACACAGCGTCAACACAGCGTCAACACATGACAGAAGCGTCAACACACCGTCAACACATCCAAAACACATTCTGAATTGACAAAAAGGGCATATAATTGTGAAACATACAATAAAAGAGAATTTCCATTGGATTGAGTTTCCATTTCGTTGTTAAAAATATCGTATTTTCACGCGAAAAAAATAACTTGCACGGCCGTTGTCCGCCATCTTGACTTCGCACAAAGCTTGGACTACACCATTTCAAGTAGGGGTGTGTAGGTAATGACATTATCTTGTCATAAACAACAGAGGGCGCCTTGCTGCAGACTAGACAGAGGGATACCAGATCTGTGTGAGGACTAAGGATCGGAGGAGTGGTAGATCATTATTTTGTGAGTTGTGTTTATGTTTTGGTCTTTGCAGATATTTTTAACACTGGCGACCCCGGCCGCGTCCCTCTCTGTTGGTTTATTGTACAACGCTATCACCCTTTAGAATAATGGTATGGTCCGCGCTGCCACTGAGGCAACATGGCGGGTGTTCGGCAGCCGATTTCGGAGCGGCACGGAGAGCCAATTTCGGAGCGGCACGGAGAGCCAATTTTCTTGAACTAAAAATCGCGATTTTCAGACGTTTAACCTATTGATTTTAAGCACAAATCTTGTTTCTGTCCATACTGTATGGGTTACATACTGCTTTTGTAAATTTTAATGCATTTTGGATGTGTTGACGCTGTGTTGACGCTTTGGAGTGTGTTGACGCTGTGTTGACGCTGTTTAGTATGACCGGACTATAGTACTAGGGTTACATGTATGCTAACGCGGGACCATCGATTAGGTCCCTTGGATGACCAACGTGTTCAATGAATTTATTAGTCAGGATGGGGGGGGGGGGGGGGTCCGGAGGGTATTCAAGGGGGCATTTAAAAACCAGGCCATTCACAGCTTCTAAAACCCTGCTTTCAGCATCCCGTGCGCTTCTTTAAATTACTGATTTCAAGGGACAGGATTTACTTCAGGCGATAATTAGGTCTCTTTTTGTAGGCCACACCTTTTTTTCGGGGGTCAATAATACACCTGAATGAACTTAGCTTTAATAGTCCCACGTGAACCTCAATACTTAAACAGTGAAGATTACTACAGGATAAACTGAATGATAAAATGCAGAGGGAATCTTGACACTCGACTTTTTTGGGGAAAACTATGTTGATTTTTCTTTATTTATACTCGACATTCGGTCCTTGGCATTTATCGCTTAAACATTTATGGGAAAATTTTGCAACCTGACGCCACTTTTTCTTCACATATCATCTCAATGAAGCTTCATTCATTGCGAAAATGGTTATAAGACATGAATCTGGGACCAAGAAATATTTCCAATTTTGCTAAGAAATACTTAGAAAATTTGTCTCGACTCTCCATAGACTTTGTACCCAATTGCGGAAGTGGCGTCAGGGGAATCGCGTCAGGTTGCAACATTTTTTCCTAATGTTATTTAATAACATTTTAATGTTTCGTGACAAAAAAACCCTCACGACCACGCCATTCAATTGGCGGCATTAAAGTGCATTTCCGAAGACTGTTACGTAGTTACAAATTACGAGAAATCTTTGATCCCCGGTTTGCCGTCAAGAAAACCAGGTTGTTCTTTAAATTCAAACAACGGGAACTTCCGGAGCGATCGTGGCGGATTGAAACGCCTCGCCACCAAAATGATGATAACTTATTTGTCGACCTAAAACTAATTGTCGGCTGTTGCAATTTGCATGTCAATACGATACAATATATATATGAGCTAAGAAATACGTTATACGCAATAAATCAAATATGAACAAGCCACTTGTCATGCTCGTTAACAAGGATGCCAATCAAGTATGTACTCGTACTAGTTCTTAAGTACGTGCAATTGTCAGTAAGGTTGCAAACTAAGTATTACAACATGAAAAACACTTAGAATAAGATAAAAGGATACAAACAAAATAACAATTTTGATTTTGCCAAAGGTACAATGCAGAGTTCAGTTTTTATTAAGTGTTTTCTTTTCTACTACCATCTACATTTTGTCAACGTTTAAATTCTACCTTGCGACATCGTCTGTCCTGCAAGGAGCGTTATCACAGCCGTCAGAAGTAGCACCCCCATGCTGTCGGCTTCTTTTATCTCCCGCTGATGGATGCGGGCTCTTGGAAGAGAGAGATGGGCCGATATCCACTCCTTCACACAGCCTTCTCGAGGAGTGACTCGCGTCTTCACTACAACCCCGAAACACCACTCACGCCCTGTCCCGAATAAAAAGCATCTTTTTTCAATTCTGTATTGTGTCGTTTCGCGATGCTATTGGTCAAGAAGTGTCAACGCCCAGGTACTTGTTGGACTTTTTTTTAAGGTGCTCGAGTGCTTCCTCACAGACGCGTGGAGATTCAAGCCGAGCATGCGCACACGGGGACGCATTGCATAAAGACTAGTTATTGTCCGGAGCTTTCAAAACGACATCATCCAGCACGGACTAGTGGCGGTTTTGGCGTGAATGTCCGAACACTCTATGCAAAGTACACGATTGTTCAGATGCAGCGAAGAAGACAATCGATATTATGTCATTCAATTCATGGAGGGCTAGCTCAGACATCGGCTTACCGCCACAGCACTGATAGCCAAGAATGTTTTCAGCATTCCTATATACAGGGCAGCAGGGCTTAATGTTCGCACCTGCATGGGGCTATTTGATTTAGATTTAGACAAAGCGTAAGGTTGCCATTCTGGACAAATCAATAAGAGAAAACAAGAGCGAGTGCAAAATAAGCTCTGGTTGTGTTGCAAGAAGGATCTCCTGCCAGGACTTAAAAATGACAGAAATTACCTTCTAAGCACACTTATCGAAGGTTGCAGTGATTTTTGATAACAGTGTCGGATAATGTAAGGATATAGTACCTCTAAGGTCCCGGTCTAATTGCACGAGGACTATTTTCCTGTCTGTTCATTTTTTTTAGTGACCTGCTGCTTAATAGACAAACATACAAACAAACACAAAGATTTGGGATTGGCGTCATTTCCACGAGGAACCATCAAACGGCCTTGTTTCTATATCACATTTCACTTTCGCATTAGAAGTGCGACAAATTAAAAGTTTGAGGTCTCAAACGCGTCTTGACGGTCTTGTTTATATTAGTTGGTATATCATGAAGAAGATCAGCTGCAAACCCGCAACGGCAGATTTGCTGTTTTGCATCTCTTTAACCACGCAGATAAGTAAAATAATTGTTATTTTGTTATGCAAAAAGTAAATTTGAGTCATGAGTTAAAGGATCGGCCACTTTTCCCAACTTCACACGCTGCGGTCGCATCGCGCCCAAAACAAAAATGGACGGAGAACAACGTGAGGGAAGCATTGGTAAACGCGTCATTAAACAGACAGGCCAGGTTCAAAATAGCCCGATTTACAGGGGAGGCACCCTGGTACTTCTTTCAGCTTGTTGTCTGTTGAGGAGGCGGGGAATAAAAGACCCCAAAGCACGGACTCCAGTTTTGTTCCGGACAAAGCGGCAATCCCCTGCTCCGAACGGGGGTAATGGACCGATCCAGTAAGCCCCGCCCACTGCGCACGTGGGCAAATTACCACGTGCTCCTCTCCAATGCCACACTGCATTTTCCTGCCGCGCGCATCATACGCGCGTGCACGCATGTCGGACTTCTGTGCACGCACGTCGGACATAAATCACGGCTGTGATTGGTCAGTACATCATGGGGCGGTGCTTACTGGATCGGTCCATTGTGAGTGGATTCACTCCTTGATTCAAAATCTGCGTTGCTGTTCAATGCACCATAATAGAACCGTTCCATTTAATCAGTAATTCCTTTGCAATCAAGCCATACTCTTTGTTTGGCCCAAAACAGGGATAATGTGTACGAATTTATGTAATTTATTACAAAGGGTACCAACAACAGTGGCACTTTTGTATACGCGCAATTAAGCAAGTTGCGGTTCACACTCACTTTGCACGTATACAAAAGTGCAACTTTTTTCGGTACCATTTGTCACAAATTGCATAATGTACACTTTATCACTGGTTTGGGCCAAACAAAGAGTATGGCTGGATAGCTAAGGAATTTCTGTACGGCTCACTAGTAATTTGAGCAAGATTTGCCCAGTAGTTTTTGAGTTATAGACAAATAGTATAAGGGGGGGGGCTTTCTTTTTTGGTTGAGTGCGTGTGAGGCCGAGGAAGCCTTGATTTCACGATTCGTCGTTACTCTCGGACAGCGGCGTGCATCAGTGTGTAAGCAAATGCTATGAATACGGCTGAGTGGATTTCAAGATCATTTTTAAAGAAAGACAAACCATGAGAATCCAAATTGTGTACGCCACTTAACACTCTAGTCGAAGAGTGGCGTAATAGTGGAGGGGTAAAAAAAAAATCGACTGATATGATCCCTTTTAATTGCACAAAGGAAGTTGCCCCTGCTTTCACTGAAAGAGATCCTTAGTACATGGTAGTCTGAGTATCACCCGTTATCCACGGAGCCAAGTCTCCTGTACAACGTCTGATATGTCTAGACATGCAGATATATGCAAGCCGCGCGCCAGCCAATCGGAGTCGGTTTAACGAAAGCGTGACGTCTTTCATTCCCAAATCAGGACTAATGGTTTAATTGGTCAATTCGAATGCAGTGTTTTGTAATACAACAACAGCCGGGCGCATATCGCGTAACATGACACAAAGCGCGTGACACATTTTTTTTTTATCCATGTCTATGACACGCAACGGGTGAATGACCGAAGACCCGATATAGAGAGCGCCCGCTGATTGGTCAAAATCTAGAGGGCAAGATGCGGTTGTCTTGCATAAATTAATCAGCTAATCTGTTCATAAATTATGGAATAGATAGACTAAGTGCATGGCTGAACATAATTGAACCATGTTTAAAGTCTTTTATAGCATTAGAGATGTAAAGGCCTATAGCCGTGTGTTACACATGTACCTATTTTCAACCCAGGATCCAAACTATTTAAAAAAAAAAAAAGAAGGAAAGAAGTCCATGGAGGGCCGGATGTAACTTCTCGCATAAAACTAGAGCTTTTGAAGATTTTTGTCGACCAATCCGTGTCTCGGATGGAACAAGTGGAACTTCATTACAACATGTATAAACCTAATGATCTGGCAGGGATGATATTCAATATTGATCGATTTCACGAAGACTTCTTGGAACACGACCAGAGCTTATTGTGCACTCCACATATTATTCTTCTTCGATTATTTATTCCGGCGCTTCACTATAAATATTCCCCCGATCCCCAATGGTGAAATCATTTTAGCTACACGCCATTTATACCTGGACAGTCAGGTTGGCGCAGTGGTTTCGTTCCCCGCCTTCCACCTCTGTGGCCCGGGTTCGATTCCTGCCCTGGTCCACATGTGGATTGGGTTTTCAGTCCCTACCTGATTCCGTGGTTTCCCTCACAATATTCTTCTGGGGTTTTCCTCCCACCTATCAAACTGTAATTTCTTCTTATTGTCTCGTCTCTACAGCTTTCTTCAGGCTTGCGACACTTTTGAGGAATCCTTGCTTACATTTCCAGGAATAAAAAAAACTAGAGATGTGTTTGTGGACAAACACAAGCTGTTTCGGATATTCAAAATACTCTGTGCACGTGATGAACAATCAGTGACGTCACTAAAAATGTCATCTATAACAGCACATTATTCGTACATGTCAAGTTATAACCAAATCGAATATATAGGTCTGTAAATATAGGCCTATGAAGAACAAAATGCCCCTTTAAGGGACGTCACATGACATTTGATGATGACATCACATGAATTTTCATCTATAACCCATCTCGGCATTGGTACGATCACGAATTTCTTCTAGGACCATCTTTGGGTGGTAGTCTAAGTGTGTACCAGGTCTAATGTCGATCGCATAATTTACAAAAGTGCCAAAGTAGAGTGTTTCAAAACGTGTACAAACCCTATGGGGAAAAATGCATCTTTAATGTGATGTAACCCAACACCTGATGACGTCACGATCGCGCATTTCTTCTAGGACCATCTTTGGGTGGTGGTCTAAAATTGTATCAAGACTGAGGTCGATCGGATTTACGAAGGTGCCAAAGTGGAGTGTTTTAAAACGTGTACAAAACATATGGGGAAAAACGCATCTTTAATGTGACGTAACCGAACACCTGATGACGCCACGATCACAAATTTTCTTCTTGGACCATCTGTGGGTGGTGGTCTAAGTGTGTACCAAGTGTAACGTCGATCGGATTTACGAAAGTGCCGAAATGGAGCATTTTAATACATGTACAAACCCTATGGGGAAAAATGCATCTTTAATGTGACGTAACCCGACACTTGATGACGTCACGATCACGAATTTCGTCTAGAACCATCTGTGGGTGGTGGTGTAAGTATGAATTAAGTTTAAAGTCGATCGGATTTACGAAGATGCCAAACTGGTGTGTTTTAAAACGTGTACAAAACATATGGGGAAAAATGCATCTTTAATTTGATGTAACCTGACACCTGATGACGTCATGATCACAAATTTCTTCTAGGACCATCTGTGGGTGGTGGTCTAAGTATGTACCAAGTCTGAAATCAATCGGATTTAAAAAAGTGGCAAAGTGGATTGGTAGAAGAAACGTGTGTTAAACCTATGGAGAAAAAGTCTGAAAAAGGAGAGGGGGGTAAAAAAAAAAAAAAAAAAAAAAAAGAAAAAAAAAAATCTTAACGAAAACAAGAGCTGTTTCGGTGTGTTACCGAAACAGCTAATAATTGCTTGCAGAGAATCTGAGGAAACAATGCATTTACAGACCTGTGAACGTGAATGATTATCAAATTGACTCGGGCGTTAGAGTTTTCGTATATACTTATGAACGAAGTAGCAATCACCTGAGAAGTTGACACTGGAAGGGTGGTATCAATTACAGACGAATTGAAAGTCAAAACAAGGTAAACATAATTTTGTGGCGTTCGCGTGCCAAACATTTCATTCTTATAATCGGCTCACTTCTATGTAGACCGGTGATTGTGGAACTTAATGCAGATACCATAAAAGTTAAGTTGATGCTCCGGCGATAAAGAAAGATGGACTTTCTGCTATGAAAAGAACTAAGGTACAATCCCTCCACACTAATATAAAAAGGACAATATTCGTCATTGTTTCTGTTTCCAATTTTCGAATGTGAACAATTTTAAAAATGAAGTTTTCCAATGCTGAACCGGACAACAAACATCATCATTTGGCCCGTTGCCCACACATTGCAGTGGAGTAGGGGTCATTCTTTCAAATAAATTGATGTGTATATCCGTCTTTTGAAAGTCTAATTGGACAGCTTTTCCCGATTGTGTTTGT